AGAATCAAAATGGCGTCGATCTCTTCGCTCTTTTGAAGGTAATTTTCTCTCCTCTTCGTATATTTGAACAAGGCATTTCCCGAGTATACCCTCCACGGATNAAATCGCAGATGGCGCAGGGGGTCCCTCTGCAGTCAATTAGGGCTCCAGAAAGCACGAATCCAGAGGATTTCTCGAGTTTTACTTTGATTTCTTTATAATTATTGTACGAAAACGACAGGTGGAGTACGCCATTTGGTACAATACCCAATATAATTCGATATAGCTGTCAATATAAAAACGAACGTCGGCAACATAGGCATTTAGAAAAATCTTCTTTATCGACGTCGATCAAGTTCCTCGACGTGTTTCACTTCACCTTAATCCGAGCACCGTTCTCCGATTATCCTCTCGCATCCTTTCCCCATTGTTGCCCCGAAGAGGCAGCGCTATGGCGACGAAGGTTGGCATTACATAATCGAAGGACGATTTACGCCACGTGCAGGACCGTCTGCGGGAGAGGTGGACGTAGATGAAAATAAAAGTGCGCCCCCGAGCATTGTCCGGCGTGAAAAGCGAAAATGCGAACGTTTGTTCGGAGAAGGGCAAGCGGTGTTCCGATCTAAGTTAGCGGTTTTCGACGGATCACCAGCTGTGTCTACCGCGACGCCGACCGGAGAGATCGCGCGTAGAAAAAAGGTCCCAAGGCGGCAATGACGGCGGATTCACGGCGACCGCAAGTGTTCCAGAAGCCCCGTGGAAGAGCCAAATTGGCACTTAATGCCCCATTGTCCCATCGAGGCAAGACTCGTGAAAGAGTCCAAGAAAAGAGTCCCGAGGAAGGGAAAAAGATCAAGAGGGCCCATCCTTTCAGTAGCTCGGGCCACGCTCGTTCGCGTTTCTATTCAATTTCGCGTCGACGTGGCACGAACGTTCCAGTTCCTAATCACTGAATCACCGGACTTAGCGCCGAGAGACTGCCAGTATCGTTAGACTTTCAGATGGGCCAATTGGAAACATCTGCATCGGCCGAGTTGCGTGGAAACCGCTAAAGCAACTCCCGACCGATGATCGACGGCACCGAGATTACATGGTTTTGCACAATAATTCCCCGTAATGATGTAATTTGCAATCGGCACCGTCACGAACGGACGCCGAGGTGCCTTTTCTGCATTGACCAAACTCTCGGAGTTGGACCTCCTAGACGGATCTTCGCCACGCTCGCGATTAAACGAAAGACACCTCGGACGAGTTCTTTGACCGCGGACGATGGAAGTGAAATTTTCGTTCCAGTCATTCGGACGAGAAATCTGTACTCGCGGTAACGATCAAATTATCACGCGCAACCTGCTTTCCGGGGAGAGGTCTTTCTCGAATATCTACATTCAACTTGTCCGGTGATTGACTGGTCGCTGACACGATTATGGGTACGAAACGGTACAGCATCAACGAGTACCGTCCCTCCGGTAGGCGGTAGTCGTCACCTCTTCGGGTGCCTATGAATTCCCCGTACTTTACAGCCTATGCAAAGTTATGCAAATCGTTAATATTATGATAATCGAACCAACCAGTCGGGCCCCGTTACTACTTCTATTCCTATTCTTCCCCTTCCGTCCGATACGCATGCTCGTACTCGTACCTGCTCGTACCTTATTGGGCGGCCTGCCGAGGGCACTGCAAATCTTCCCGATGAAATAAGTGCACCGTGTCTTCCAGGTCGGAACAAATGTTCCCTTCGGTAACGATGACTAAAGATCCGTAAACGCGGTGCTCGAGCAAACGGCTTTGATCTCTCTGACCGCTCGCGAACGGACGACGAAACTTGAATTTCTCCATCCGCGTAATGAAGTCGCGATTGGAAATTTATTAACTCGGAGCTTGTACGAACGGTGGCGTCTCCCCCGGTATTTTCTACTACCGATTTCAATTTTAATACGCATTACCGTCGAAGGGCAGCCATGGTTTTAACGGACCGTAGGACGGGATCTCTTCGTTTCGTTGCGCCCATCTTCGAAGCCACCGCTACCGAGTGGGCAGAAGTATGAGTCGCGTCGACATTTAGATTCAACGGTAAGTCACTTCAAGTCGCAACGAGTACACAGGGAATTCCCTGTCGCATGAATCATTTCCCAGGAGTACGGTACGAGTCCTTCCTTCTCAATCGCGTACAGGTACTTATGACCTAGAGGTAATTCCAGGGGAACCGACGTCGACTCGAATCGGCTTCACCTTGGAGTTCCTCTCCATTTTCTTACATGCTATCGGTTTTACTATCAATCGTATAAATACCTACAACTTCCATGTAGCAAACTTCCTTTTTGGTGCAGCCGAGGATCATCTGGAATCCTTAGAGAGCGGCAGAATCCTCGAGCGTTTGCATGCGGAAGAAGGCGGCGATTCTTGAGTCGCTCCGCCTACTCAGGGCACTCGATTACCCCTTTCTCTGACCGCTCGCCTTCGAGGAGACTTGGGATGCTCTTGCGATGTAACCTGTCCCGATGGCCTCCTCTTGTCGACCTAGAAAAAAAAAAAAAAAAATTAGACTGAGAAACCACTCCGAAATTACCCTCTTCCTATTATCGCCATCATCGTGACCGCGTAAAGAGGAAATATCTTTCTTGTGCATCCCGAATAGAAAATCCACCTTCGTAGCATTGCAAGATACCTTTGATTTCCAGGTAAACGACTCGCCTTTCTACTGGGTCGAGGATTTTTTTTGCACAAATTTTCAGAAATTCCCTTTTCAAGAATTCGCGAAAACGCGAAAACGCTAACGAGAGGTAACCGACCGAGACAGGCGGAATGATAGATTTTCATCGGTTAATGGATTCCTAGAGACTCGATCTATATTCCACTTGGCAAGATCGTACGCCGAGGAAGGATACGCGAACCGAAAGGCAGCCAGAGCGAAAGCGATCAGGAATCGGTTGATGTATGATCGAGACAGAAATGGCTGTCCGCGCGAGAACGCGTCCCGATAAATCTCCCGGGTTTTTAACCGAGCGGACTTGTCTTTCGCGTATAAATATATCGTTTCCATAATAAATATTGATGCCGTCCGACCAATTGGACCCAAGTTCTCCAGTGTATATGCGCCGGCGATGGCGTCGGAGTAGCCGACGAGAAGGACTCGGCGGTTCCGATATCTCGTCCAGTCGGGGGACGAAGGAAGGAAGAGCGAGGGAGAGAGAGAGAAAGGCCGCAGGAACGATCCTCGATAATAAAGATATCCATTACTCGGGTGCCCCTCGTGCAAATATTTTCTTCCCTTCCGACTCGAGCCCGAAGAAAAGCGGTCTCGCCGCATCCCGCGATCGCTCATAAATGGGATCTTCTTTTACAAGTTAAATACATCCGTGGTTACAACGCCAAAGCGGTTTACTCTACCGGAGAAACGCGCCGAATTTAACGCCGAAATCTCCATGTAACCGTTTCAATGGAAAAAGATGTTTCGCGCAAAAAGGGAGAATCAGGTCCGGGCGACCCGATTCTCCCTTTTTGCGCGAAACGTAACGACGATCGTTTCTCGTGTAGCGCTTTCGAAAAAGCACCTACGTCCCCCTCGAGATTCGCCAAGTTTCTAGGAGGTAGTTGCATCCGCGAACCGGTTCCCCGTGGAATTCATCAAACGGAAGGAGCTGGTGCCTCGCGGAATTATTTAGCGGTTTATTTAACTAATTTAATAGCAAGACGCGTCCGGCAAAAAGCGGAAGGCTCGATGATCCGTGGAGGTAAATACCGATGTGTGCTGAATGAACGCCGCTCGTATACGATCATTGATGTCGATTACAATGCGACGGATCGCCTCACGGGGAATCTTTTCTTCTGGCCGGCCCGACGACGGGCCCTTTATTGGATTTAGTCCCCTAATGATTTCGTCAACCTCTGGGCCCTGTTCTGCATTCGAATTTGGCGCTGGGCAGAAGCGCAACCAAACGGGGCCCCTGGAACGTACAGAAGCATCGAATTACAGTCGGATATCGAACCTTACCACCTTTGCTCCCGCGAGACGTATTTCCGACCGTTCGGTTCGGTTTCGGATCTCCCCCCCGTGACAACTTATTTGAAGAAAATTCAATAATACACATTTTGCTAATACGAACATTTTCCGGAATTGTCTCCTGGTCGATCGCATCGATACGAATTTTAGATTAGAACTGTGCCCATAATTATGAAAGTGGTCTAAGTCAAAATTAAAAAAAAAAAATGAGTTTATCAGTTATTTCACGCCATATTATTTCAAACGAAATTAATTCAATGTAATTTCGAAACAAAAAATATATGACTTAGACCACTTTCATAATTATGGGCACAACTAACGTTCCACCTCGACGTCTCGCACGCCTATGCGGATCGTCTCGCTTCTCGAGATGTCCTCGGTGCACCGTTCCTAAAATTGTAGTGTTAATAATAAATTCGTAACGATTAGTTTCTTTCCCGATTATCCTGGCCACCGAGCCGAAAGCGCCCGACCACGGCGGATCGACATATCACTCCTCGACATGTCCGCGAATGTCAACTCTAAATGGAAACGTCTTAATTATCAGAGCACGTATCCCTGAGCGCGCGTCTAGCACAAAAACGGACCCTTCGCAACTTACCGAGTCTCTTACCGATCCCTCGGTCTCCCGATCTGCCGGCCTCCGGACTTCTCGGTCTCCCGGGCTTTTCGTTCCGAATGTTGCGAGAGGAATTATTTACCCTAGGACGACACGGATCGACGAATTAATTAATTTTAACGCCAAATGCGTACTTGCGGTTGTAAGTAGGAGCGTGGTGGGTACGTTTCCCCGAGGACGAAGAATCGAAAAGGTACATACCTAACGCTGCTTTCGACGGTTACTTCGATTAACAGAATTAGTCTTCGAGAATCGATCCAACCTGAATTACGATTATAAGTGAAAAGCCTTATTAGAGACGGCCAGGCTATTTGTGCATGACATCTGTCGGAGAATAGATGCACTACGTCTCGTCGGGGTATCGACGGTCGGTAACATCGATTGTCAAGAAATCGAAATACGACGAAAGCATGGACAGTTTCCGCTACTCTGCATTTTAGATGAGAACAAGAAAAGGCGGTGAAAATGGCACTAACTGCAAAACGATTTGATTTAAAACACGTGCCATGGTTCTCCTTGTATGTAACTCTAAAATATCAGTGAAAGTTTTAACTTGAATACACTTAATTTGTAGATTACATGTAATCAAACGGAAATATTTACTTTCAGATCGGAATGGCACAATGTATACAAGAAAATTTATTCCAACGATTTTTCGGAGCAAAACGAAGGATATCAGTTCTTACTCTTATGGAAGGCCAGGTAGCGGTGTTACGTTTTGCGATAAAGTTTACCAAGTAGGTGATTAAATATTATATTTTTCAGAATTGCAAGGTTACCGGTTGGAGTGGATTGTACTCTCGCAATTATGCAGGCCTGCCTACGCGATCGAGAGTTAACTCCAAAGATCGATAGGAATGAATTGCCAATGTATTATGGAAATGACTTATGTCTAATGTACTCGATCACGATAATGAGATTTATGAATCACATTTCTAACGTAGGGGATACGAAACAGTCGAACCTATTCCAAATTGCAAAACAATTAAAGATTCCAGATTGGATAGTCAATTTGAGACATGATGCGGCACACGGTCATGAATTACCATCAATCGATGCTCTTAGGATAGCTGCTAATTTTTTACTTAGATGGCTACATGTACGTCCTCGGTCCTAAAGTTACGGATTTTTAATTATATTCTGCAAGAATACAAATGTTATAATTATTATCAGGATGAATATTGGATCATCGAAGCGCAAATAATGAAAGAACAACTTCTGAAACAACAAGAAACGGCAGAAAAGGAAGAATCCGAAGATATTCAGGACCTCGCGGATCTAATTGAATTGTGGATGGCTGTGGGTCTATACATTGAGGCTGATTATTCTTTGGTCATAGAAGTCCCCGATATTGATCTGCGGTAACTAATTCTATTAACTAACTGATGATTGAAATAGACAAAAATACTAACATTCCTGTTAACTTTAGCTGAATATATTAAATTTATTTGATTATTTTAGGGATACCCTACATGATTTGCGCACACATACATTGAGTTGCCACAGTGACGCAAATGCACATAATTGTAAACAACAGGAATTTCACAACGATGAAACATACGAATTGAAGACAGCTCAGTCTATGCTCTTATCAGAGATTTCACGATTCTTGAACAAAAACACTTGCATTTTAAAAAAAGACGAAATCATACTAAATATTTTATGCGAAAGTGAAGCATTTTTGCCAACTTCAAATTTCATTAGCATATTCACTAGAAATCAAGGTCTAGACGATTTGAAGGAAAACCGTTTGCCAGTTAAGATGCTTAAATTTTGGGAAAATTTCATTACTTTGTTACAAGAAAGGAACATGCTCCAAAGTCTGATCCTTAAATTAATAGAAATTGTAAACAATTCGCAGGAGGACAAGTATAAAAGAAGAATTGCCTCTTTATGGATTCGTTCAATAGTTCAAAGTGTTTATAAAATAATAATTGCTCGGAAAATCATGCAAAGACTCGAGCATACCGTGGAGAACAAAAAACGAAGAATTTCTTTGGAATCTCTTTCTTATAAAATTCAGGACAAAGTCAATCATACATACCCTGAACTTAAGCAATCATTATGGTTAAAAGTGACAAGTGAAGTGCCAAGCTGTCTATTAGATATGAAGTTTGCAAAGGAATTAATCATTAATGCCAATGAATTCTCTGTCAATTTCATTTCTCAAATTATTGAATTGATCCTTCCTACTAGTTCTGAAAAGGAAAAAGAGTCACTCTTAAGAATGACCAAGATATATATGGGTGATTACGATAATCAAATTTATGAACTCAACGATAAAGATAAAATATATACTGTTGAAGACCTTATAGATTTATATGAAACTCGAGATGATGTACCAAGTGAGATAGATAAGACAGAAAGTGTTTCAATGAGAAAAAACTTAATAGAAGTTTATGATTGTACCATTCGTACCAATACTTGGCAACTTGCTACTGGTATGTTAGTACATTAATATATACGAGGACAGAAATATTTTACACCACATTGTTCAATATTATAGAACTTCAAACAATTTGGATTCGACTTTTTTTCAGGTGACAGTGATTGGAATGCATGTTACATCGGAATATTACCGTGGCAAATAAATTGTATAGAAACTCTGGCTCCGTTTACAACATCATCAAAATTAGAATATGTATCAACAAAATCGAATATCATACCAGGTATGATTGATAAAAATGATTTAAAGATGGAAAGTAACGTTAAGTGGGACACAGTCCTTCGAAAAAAGAAGAAGGTTAAGAGGAAAAAGCAGAAGGGTAAGGCAGATATTATGGTAGATAGAGCACTCGAGGTAGTTAAGAATTGCCATTAATTAATCAATGAATGTACTAATGTGGATGATACTTTATATTAAAAATTGGTGCCCTACGTGTAACAGTTCAAGTAAAATTTATTGATATACAACACCTCCCCTCTCATAAAATTTGTCACAGCATACAAACGTATAAAAATGTGATGTCTTATAAAATATTACTGCACCGTTTAAACTAGAAAATAAACGTCAAACCTAGCCCAGAAAAGTATTCTCTTCCAATAAATATTTATCACGGCATATTTACAGCCAAAGTGAAGAAGAACAAGTAGAACTAAGATAGTTTGCAATATCTATCTTTATAATTGTAAATCTGTTACTACTTCCTATTATATGAAAAACGTGAGAAACTTCCCGTACGTATAAATGCAATAAGCCCTGCTATGTCATAAATTATATCCAGGCACCAATGGTTTAATACAATGATATATTAAATCTTATTATTTTGCTTGCATCTTGTACACTAGTGGACATGTACGTCTTCCCTTTTTATATTGTCGTCACCATACCCACAAGAAGGCATTCATGTCCGTCAGTGTACTAATGACTACATTATTCAGAACATTAACTATCGCGAAGTTTTAACATAATTCGAAGAGTAAATTTGTAAAAATACATCGTTGTTCCTACTAAGTAATCATAAGTCATTTGAATAAATACATTTTATCACTATACAAATTAACTCACTTAAATGATAAAGGTGTGCGCCAGCGCTGTTAGTGAAATATCTGTTGTCAAAATGTGTTGAAATGTTTATGTAAATTTTGGTATTCTTAATGTGCAAACATCAGTGCTATCTAAAATCCTTTTTGCACGATAATTTTTTAATAAAGCATTAAATTTCTTCAAGTGCACAGATAATCACTATCTTAGCGTACGTATAAGCATATTTATGTGCCAACTTAGATTATTCCCTTCCATTTACAATATTACATGCTGAAATTAATGTATTACCTACTTGTTCCATTCTTTGGTCTTACTTGCATCAATGTTAATATAGCCCCCTACCATTAAAATATTTATTTCATGTGACAAATAAACATCCAATGCATGTACCTTAGACATTTCTTTTTATGTGTCAAATAACCTTATAACATTCAAAAAGAGCATAATTCAAATGGTCATAAAGTCCTGAGTGCTCTTAATCTGAACACCTCTCTTGTTGTATCGTATGTTGCTCAAATGATTCAGAGCTGAACGATTCAATAATTTTGATAAAGCCTTAGACCACCATGGCTCATTCAGAAACAGGTAGTGCTATCTTTTTTATCAACTGACAACTTTAAAAGGAATATACTAGCTTATCCATGGTACGAGTTTTTCTCAAAATGTCTTGAACGTTAGAGCTGGTATTTAAACCAAACTCATCCAATGGTAATCGAGCCATCGCTGCGATTCTATGAAACACATCGGTAAAGAAAATCAATCGTTCTGTTTGTGCTAGTTATAAAATAATGTTTCTAATTTACGATGTCTTACCTTCCACCAGATATGTTGTGCAAAAATTTCCAGTAAGAAGTTCTCAGATTCTGCGGTTCGATAATTGCAGCATGGAAAAGTATCGCTGTACTGAAGCTGTACAAAAAAATAACAAACCACCTGACTTCGGGAAATTTTTTACTCTCCACTCCTCTAGCCCAAAGTATCTAAAAATGTAGGAACATTTTAATAAATGGATTTTATTTCTTATGTTTCCTATAAGTACTACTACTAACTAAACATTTACCTGCAGTGCCTTCCACATGACATAGAGCGCAATTGTATTATTTGGGTACATTGTAAAGGCTATACTTGCAAGTACCCCTGCAGGAATAGCAAAAAATTGTGAATCTCCGTTAAAGACCCTTCTCAGCAAACAGGATGTTAACTAAAATATGTACATATATATAATTCAACATAAATTTACGATTTCCAACCTAATAACTCATTCCAAAATAATCATACGTATAAAATTAATATACCCTGAATATGCCAGGGAATCCTCCCAAGAATGTGGCTAAGTATAAATTTTCCCTCCTAAGAATAACATTTTTAAAGAGTTGCGGCCTTCTGACTAATTGTTTTGCTTGAAAAACTAACTTAAGTGCTAATTGCGCACACACGCCGTAGCCGAAGAGTTTTGCAGATCCCTAAAGAGGAAAATCAATAAAATCAAATACATTATTAACAAAACATATCACGATTTATAAAATTCAGAATTTAGTTAATAAGCCATATGTACGTACCATTAAAACATAATGGAAGCAACTATAAGGATGTGGACAGAATGGATGTTTACTTTGCGATTTCATCCATACAATTATGTCCTTATACATTCTGAACCCCTCCCACACAGCATTAAACACAGAATTTTTAGAAGAATTCAAATCTTGATTTTCATTTATGAAACTGGTCATTGGATCAGACAGTACTTCTGTCGATCTCGATGACTGCAACATTTGTTTTTCCTGATATCTGTATTCTTCATATGGCCCAATAACATGCCTAAATGACAGAATTTATTTGAATATTAATATTTTAATTAATATAAGCAATACCCAGCACTAATACCGTTTCATCCTCTTATTTACCATTTGTACTAATAATATTCTTTTTATTCATTAGAAAATTTGATATTTTTCTTACCTGATTATTTTAAAAATACTGTCCTCTTTATTTCCTTTACTACGGTATAAATGTAACAATAAGGCAGCACTAATGGCAAAGATATAAACTTCTCCTTTCTGCAAAACAGAGAAATAACCTCGCCATACGCCCATTCGGAATAGTGTTTCTGTTGCCTAAAAAAAAAATTCGTTAGTTCAACATATTTTTCTAATAATCCAAGACTTTTATAAAATGATTCTGCTTACAATATTAGAGACATAAAGGCACAGCAACGTGCGCCTTGAGGGTCTTTCTATAAGAATGGCCATTAAACTAGCTAGGAATGATGGAAGAAACGATACAGTCAAAATATTAAAGTTCCCCAATAAGCGCCTGGAATAAAATATTATTATCAATTACTGTTTAAAATGGTTCACCTAATTTATTATTTTACGCATAAGCATATATCTTGTTAGTAATTACAACAGTTGAATGAATTAATTATAAAACTAATAAATTACACAAGACAAATTAATTCACAAAATTATTACATAAAAGGTAATTACTGCATTTAATGTAAGTCATGAACCATGATATTTGAAGAAAATCAGTCCTTGAATGACTTTTTTAAAGTTATAATAAATATGCATCAAGGGAACGAAAAATAATACAATAATTTACATGTGTAATACATTCAACCAAAATTTAAATATAGAATACCTTAAAATGCAAAGATACGCAGCATATGCAAAACCATTCCATGACAAGAAAGCTGCAGACTGGAGTATACCGAGTAACATCTTTCTGATATCATCACCTTTTGGCACTTTTCTTCTCGTCATAAAGGCTATCTGTGACAGAGAGCAAATATCGCTTATTCTTTTTTTAACTTAACTAAACGTATGATTATTAGTTATGACTATCTGAGATTTTAATCGAACACCGAGGGCACTTTAAAAACAAATACTTCATTTCATTCTTTGAATAAAGGTTTGAATGGTGTGCGATCAGCTGCGACGAACGTAAATTCCCCCTCTATGTCGGCATCGACTAACCTAACCTAACGTCATTTTGAATACAATCGTGCCAGTTGCAAAGGTGCAATGAATCTCTATATACAATATCTGCATCAGCCAAGTTCAAGGATACATTTGTTCTGCGTCATGCCGCAAGGATAAATGAAGAAAAACTGAAGACAAAAAAAGGCACATATTTTTTTATCACCATAACCTCATTCATCGCGAGATCATTCAATAATGCTTGAAAACGAGTTTGAGAATAGAAACATTAAAAAATATCTTCGTAATTCGATTGTGACGCGGATTAGACATGAATAAAATTTTCTCCTCCACCGCGCCTGATTAGAAACGTCATTGCCGAGAGTCTCGAGATAATCGAGGCGTCGGTCATAAACAAAGGCAAGATGACGCACTAGGTAGACCGTGGAGTAAAGTCTGAGAGATTCTTGGAATGTGTGGAGTCCCAGGCCGGTAGCTGCGCTAATGCACGAGTCCACCCACGGATGCACGTACTCCTTGCAGCTGCAGGGAACGGCGAACTTGCTTAACCGCGGTGGCATTTTCAGATTGCGAAGCAATGCGTTCCCATCCACGATGCCCTTCCCTTCCTCGTTGCCACGTTCCGCGATCAGCTGGGTGGACCGATTCAGACTGTTGCTGCCTCTGTCTCTCAGTTCTCGGCCCTCGCGATTGTTCCAGCCAGCTCGACTGCCCCACCACGTTTATCTACCACCAGAGATGAGCACGAGACATTTCGTAACAACGATGTGACCCACACAAGCGCTCTAACAGGATTAAGCCACGTGAACGATGAACTCCGAACTTGCGTTCCGAATTCATCGGTCGAGCCAATCCACTCAAATAGTGGGGAGGAAAAAATTCAAGTTCCGCTATTTCACCACCGTTACATTAAATGGAAGATGCATCAGGCAGCAATAAATTCAAGAGTTCAATTTGTAAATAACAGATCCTACATGATGTAATCAAGTTTCTAGTAAACCTTACAATATACACCCAAGAATTCATAATGAGGTGAATAAGTATATTATTTGCTTATGCATACCGAGGCACACTTACCATATTCAAATTTTGAAAATATTCCCGCAATCGCGTACTGGTGAAATTATTCGGTACAGTCCAGTACAATGACTAAAAAGTTTTTATTACTAGTCTTCTAAGTACATTGCGTGTTAATGAAATACATAATTACATAAGTACATAATATACAATGTCTGAGAGAACGCTATAATATAAAATATTTGTATACACATAGAAATACTACAATTATCTTTACACAAAACTAAGTCGCTCTCTGCTGTCATGGTCAACGATAACTTCCCACAAGAAAAACAATTTATGGGAATACCAATAATGACGTCAACGTATTAATATTTTCCAATGACCTTTCCTAAAACCTATGAGTACATTGGTAATAATCCGACGTTTATTCGACACTTTCTTTACCTAGAATGTCGATAAGCACTTTTAGTTATGTCTACTGGAGCATGATTTTTAGCTAACACTTTCATTGGTTGCAGAGTGATTACAGATCACTTTTAGTGGACGGATCAGCAAATTGAGTATTATAACTATTAATATTAAGTATTTGCAATCGTTAGTAATACATGCTTGGGTCTGATTAACTAGGAGATATTCGACTGTAAATTGGTCGACTGTATGAACAACAACCAAACCCAAATGTAAAAAGAATCAAAAGTACAACAATTGCCGCGATCACAAAAGGGTATACTAGCACGTAAGTAAATCTGTTAGGTAACCACAAAATCGTAAATTCCATTATCTTTTCTTGCGTATCTGAAAAATAACGCATAATAATCATTAACCATCTTATAGAAAAATTGGTTCAGGTCACGTAATTAAAAATGAACAAACTCGATAACTTACTAATATAGGCTAAACCATAGCCCATATGCCTTGTTCCCATCCTGTAGGAACAGGTTGGTATTTGCAATTCATGAACATCGCCCACATCTAATCTCAGCTGATAAAACGGACTTTTATGAGGCGGAAGAATCCAAACCTCGCTCAGCTGATCCGTTGCAGTGTCCAAACTCATATGGAGAGCTTTATGTTCATGCGCAGTGAATATTATTTGCGGGGATAGCTCTTTAAGAACCTGTATATAGATAAATCCCATTATAAGAACCCATTCAATAATCACTTTTATCAAGTACTTACGTCTCGTACAAAATTTCCAGGTACAAATAATAAAGGCATATGACTAAGTACAATATTGGTTGTGTTTCTTTCGGTATAGTCATTAAGAAAGGCATCCTTTGGGGCTGCTGGCATGAAATGAGTCAACCTATTAACCTAACAATGGTGATATAATTTTCAATAATGAGAGTACATCACTCTAGGAAAATTATTGTCACAGATAAAATATTGCTGAAATAAATATATAGCTACCTTAAAGAATATTACATTTTTATAAGTCAATGTATCAGGTTGAGTATAAGCGAATTTAAATCTGTTGTGAATTCTTGTTGACACCGAATCTTCCTCTCCTCCTATATCATTATCACCTGGTAGGTATATTTTCTGAAATCATAGTAAATTCAGTAACAGTCAATAGGAAACAATTTAATATCTGATATCATACCATTATGTGATTTGGAGTATAAAATATATTGTCTAATCGTTGCTTGTATTTTTTAAAGTCATCGTTAGATGCTAAATGGCCTTCATCCATAAGATCTCCAAGAAATACAATGACATGTGGTCGTGAATGTCTTAAAGCTCTGGAGAAAGTCTTTGCTGTAAATCTGTAAAATTAGTGATTTCTTTGTATTATTAAATTTCTTAAAGTTAGAATAATGCCAGAATTATGTTTACCTGTCACTATCCCATCTTGCCAACCATGATCCAAAATAATTTTCATTCCTTTCACCTAAGATCTGTGGATCGGCAACCAGCAACACTTTGACGCAATCCTTACAGTTATGCACTGCCCACCGCAATTTTTGAATCTCATAGATAATAAACTCATTGTACATAATAGTAAACCCCAAAATTATACCAACAAGAACTGCTTTTCGACGTGCCCTAATAGAGATTTATTTATTTTTAATATGTAATAAATTGTAAAAATGTATTTTAGACTTATCTAGATTATTTTTTCAATCATACCTGTTTCGCCATACCATTTTTAATCAACATATGTTATTCCTTGAAGATTGAAATACCACGCTCGGAAAATAATTATTGTCTTATTAAGTTCATTGATATTGGAGCTATACTTCGAAAGAATCCTTAAAAAAAATTAAAATCTAATAAGTAGAGCTCTATAGCTTGCTATAAAGTTAGAAATCAATGCAGAACATGTGTACATTCATACAATGCATCATAACCTCTATTTTTATATCTAACACAATTTATTACTTGTTTATAAACGCGTATGAAATGCATCGTGAAACAACACGAATTACACGATAACCACACGTGAGTAAATAAGTCTAAACGAACTAAATGGATAAAATTAGAATGAATACAATATTCACCTTTAGCGAAGCCCGACAAATGCCCGCGAATACATTCAAACAATTTATTCGAAATAGGTACAAATCGATGTTCGGCACAAACGGCAAACTTCACGTCTTCAGTCCATAAGTATAAACCCGATGAGTGTAAATGTCACTAGAGATTTATTTCTTATGAAAAAGGTGAATCTACGTCATCGTAGTATGGACAGAGATGAGTTGGAAGAATGCTCACGAGCTGGGTTGCGCAATCGCGTCCTGTGCTGTCGTCGGTGGAGAATGCACTTGCCACCTGATACCTCCCCAGTGGCTCCCTGAGTTGAACCGCCACTCAGGGGGTATCAGGGGGTAAGTGCACGAACCGCCCGCATTCTCCATCGAGAACAGCACAAATCGCGATTGAGCTATCCAGACCATGAGCTTCAAACGCAGAGAAGACTACAATCTCTTAATCTTAGATCCATGCTCATAATACTAGCAGTTTGCTGGAGCTGGAATAGCTGAATCGTGTATGTGTAGAATAATGTGTAATTATGTGCACGAATGTATGTGAATGAGATATAAGGATACAGTCGACATAGCTATGTACAGTTCCCGTAGTTCGCAGAAAAGAGATGTAAGCAAAGTAGTGTGAATGCATGATAAGTCATGAAAACAATCTTTTCTGAGGAATGAAACTCCCTACTAGTAGAGTTCATTGTTACTCTGGTACGACACGACAAAATGGAAGTATCTCGGCTTGTTTTCACTTTATTTCTAATTCTCAGCACTGTTACTTGTCAAGTTAGTACATAATTTAGCTTTGGTTTTTGAATAATCGTCGATTTGAATAATGTTAACCGTTTCGTTTTCACAGAAGAGGACAGATGAATACTGTTCGTGGCGTAATGAAGATATTAATTATCAATTTAATTTCAAAAATTTATCATTGGAGGATCTAATCATTAATGACGATGCCAAAGACCTGATACATCTACGTTTGTGTTCTCCCTTAGAAACTGATTGTAACGGGCAATATGGATATAGTATTTGTCTTTCAAAGAATAATACCAAAATAGGCTTGGGTAATTAAAAACACAGTGTTAAAAATCATTTGAATGTTATTCTAAATTACTTTTATGTTATACTAGTCATGTTCATTCGTCAGGAAAAGCGCCACCTGAAGTAAATGTGACTAAAGGGATAAAGTTTAAATTCTTTGGAGATCGTTGTAACGCGAATACTAACTATACTGTACAGATTATAATGCAGTGTAATTCTTCAGCAGTTCATGAAACTGTCCCTCATATGTTTCAAAAAGTAAGTTATAGTACTAACTTGGAATTTTTCACTTGTTTATACCTTAAATAATATTGAATATAATTGACTAAAATCTGTATCCAAATAATTCAGTTATATAATTTTTTAATATAGGCTAACGTACTTCTTAACATTTTTATAGAGTGAGAATCATTGCGAGTGGTACATGATTTGGTATACAAAAGCAGCTTGTGGTAACATCATAAAATCAAATTGTACAGCAAAAGATGATTCTGGTCGCAGTTTTAATCTAAGCCCATTAACCAGAATCTCTGACAATTATATTATAGATGTGGGCAACACATCTAGCAAAAAGATTATACTAAATATTTGTCATTCATTAATATTTGGAGATAATACTAAATGCCATCCAAACTCTGGTGCATGTCTGCAAAAATCCAAAACCAACAATGACACATGGTTTGTGATATTTGATAAAAATAAATATCAAAGAAACACTTAGGTCTGCAATGAATTAACAACTTGCTAGCCTTTCTATTCTATCATATTTTTATGGAATGCTCATTAAATCTCGTCTCTTTGTTTTTCCATATGTATTATACTTTCGCCGTTTTATGTAAAATATATTACATAACGATCAATAATTACAGGTACGAAAACCTAGGCAATGTAGATTCATCCAGTGTCCCAGTCTTTAAAGATGGTCAGTTACAACTTCAGTATTTTGATGAGAAAACTCTAGATAATACTTATATCACCCTGTATTTTGTGTGCGACCCTAGCGCTAATGTACGTATAATTTATATGTATATACTTCGATGTGTATATACATTTTTATTAATCAGTAAACTAAAATATCTTCAACTTAATGGATATTTTACTTTTCTTACAGAATACTGATCCTGCATATATGAATGAAAGCGGTCCCTTTCATTACAAATTAAGTTGGAGAACAAATGCAGCTTGTGTTCCTGACTTATGTACTGCAACAAATCCAGTGACAAATTTTCAGTAAGAATTCTTAATACAAATTTCACTTTTCCACCATATCACACTTTTTATAACGTTTCAGGCATAACTTACAAACATTAATGAGTAGAGCATTTACTATTAAAGCACTGAATGGGTCAGAATATAAGATAGCAATTTGCAGACCCCTTCTCGGTAATCCGTGCAAATCAGGAACTGGTAAAATATTTTTTTTGTGCTTACTAAGATAAAATTAAATGAAAAGCATTGTAATGAAAACGTTATATATTTGCAGGTGTTTGTTTTTCTAAAAATGGAACGTCCTTTGGACAGTCTAATACAAATTTAACATGGCAAAAAAAGGGCCCTTTCTTAAATTATACCAATGGTGATATATGTAATAATCATGGACAAAGACGTTATACACTGATTTCATTTTTCTGTGGATCTGAAAGCTCCTATAATGGGCCGCGTATTATAAAAGAAGATAAATGTAGTTTAATCATTCATTGGGATACAAGTTTGGTTTGCGAAAAATCTGTAAGTTAGCAGAAATTGAAATTATTCTTTTTAAAAATTACGCCAGTCAATGTGTATAAATTAAGATCTATCGCCATTACAATTTTACTTTATTACTCTAGATAAAGTGTTCAACAGAAAATAATGAAGTAAATCTAACAAGTTTAATTCGTATTGATCATAATTACGTAGTTAAGTCTAAGGATGTTGATTTTTATATAAATATCTGCCGGCCTCTTTTACCTATGAACAATGTAAATTGCCCGCAAGGTGCTGCAATTTGTCAAGCGAGACGTAATCCGACAGGGCAACTTATCAATTTCACCGTAAGTAAAAATAGTTGAATTAGGTATCTTTCCCATGATAAATAGTATATTAATATAACGGGTAATTCATTAATTTATGGGTAATTTATTTATTATCTTAGAGTTTAGGATTTCCTAATGAGCCTCCACATCTTGGGAGTGATGGACAACCACTCCTAAGGTATCAAAGCAATGTACTATGTCCAGAAAATCCAAAGAAACTGATTTCGACAAATATTACGTTTCTTCGTAGTCCTTACACTGAAACTGTGAGTTCAATCTATATATTTATAAAGTATTAAAAAAATAAAGGTAATGATGTAAAATATTAATTCAGTTCATTACAAATTGTAGAAAATAGAATATAAAGATTATGGGGATTGTACTTACAAGTTTGATGTGAGAACAAGTGTCGTTTCTGAAGTACCAACAACATCCATTGAACCGTGTACATTGGAAATACCACTTACATCAGACAAGTTTTTTCTTTTCCCATTGCCGAATGAATCAGTACACTATGTAAGTTAATTCAATTATGTACTAATTATTATATTATTTCAAATATGATAACGTTTACAGGTGAAAGGAAGGAATGGGAAATTATATGAGGTAAGCATTTGTGGTAGTCGCCATTGCAACGGTTCAGTAGTCTGTGAAGGAAATAATGGCTACGGATCAAAAACTGATGTATTATTTGATCATAGAAGAAATGTTGTAACCCTTAAGTACAGTAATGGCACCAAATGTACAAATAATTCTTATGGTAAGTTAGAAGTAATTTTACTTACATTTTATAAACAATATATTATTTACGTCTAACCGATTGTGTTTACAGATTCACTTAACTCTGAAATAAAATTAAAATGCAACATGACGGCTGGAGTCAACGCACCTCAAATCAAGTCGGTAAGTCTTTTTCAATAGTTTATTAAATGAGAATTCGATTTCCATCGAAGTTAGCAAAATATTAAATCTATTGCTTGCAAAGCAATCACTAGGATGTGCACAATGAAAATGATTCTAGGGTATTTATAAAATAAATGAACTATTCATCAATTAAATGTTCTAAAAGTATACTTAAATTTATACAAAACATGACGTATATGATTTTAACTTTACATAGAAAGTATAAAAACAATGCACTTAAATTGATGACACTTTGAAACGGCACAAAACACAATTTCTTAACAAATTAATTCTAATATTAATCATAAAGTATTAAAAATAATTTCAAAATGAACATCGATTACAGCATTGAATTTACATGAGCATCTCGTTGCAAAGTTTTCAGTCTTATAACGGTTATTTACAAGTTTGTCCTCGATAGGAAACGTCAAGACCTTACGGCTGCCTCGATCAGGCATTTTCTGAATTCTACTATCTCAAAGATGGTAAAATGGAACGAGTATTTCTCCTAAGTTAACGTCAACGCACTTTGAATCACTAAGTGCACCCGCGTACCTTTAATACGTGTAAAATGTAAATCCATATTTCCATTTTCGTTACAACGCAGTTCCGACGTTAACTCCTTATTCTCTTTGGTTTGTTAAAATTAACGTTACTACATACCTTCTTAAGTGGCACTTCTAATTGAAACATAAGTCCTCTTCTACCGTAAAGTTCACTCCAAGCATTTGGCATCTGGGTAGGCTGCTCGATCAGTGATAAACAATCTTGATCCAAGATCGTTGTCGGTCTTCATATTAAATGCCCGCTCCTCCCTCCGGATCGTAAAAAATATACAGTGAAAATTGTACGTCAGCCGATTATTTCTCGTATGTCATGATACGCGCGACGTTATTAATTTCTGCTTTCGTATGGTATGTATTTCGGGTCTCGTACTTCCTAGTCATTAATCCTGATCCTTTCAGGTTATTCCATCTTCAGGATATCGCATTCACCCATCACACCGTGGTGCACTGCATCTTGTTGATCCGTGGCAAAATTTTCAACGCCTGATCATCGACCTTCGGCTTGTTATAATCAACGCCGCCATTTAAGGACGGATTCTCCTTCCGGTAGGATTCGATGAGGATGCATCCGTTCTTGAGATTCCCGTCGGCGAATAAACTCTTTATCGAGTCGGCCGGTGGCGTAGTTTGAGCCGGCGGGGTCGTCGGAGCATTCTGAGGGCCAACCAGGTCTTTCTTCTCGACGTTCACCTCGTGGGGTCTCTGCTTTTCGAAGATCCTCCCCCGGCTGCGTTTCTTGGTGAGCTCTGGCGGATGCGGCAGGGCGTAACGTAGTTTATCCCAAAACCAAGGGTCCCCCCACTTGACATAAGTGTTCATGCTGAGATAGGCCTTCAGCTCGGGGTCCAGGTTTTCCGTGGGTCCGATATCTCCATAGAGAACGACGATGACCCTGGCTCTGCCCTCGCTCAACGCCTGACTATGAGCCGCCCTGAACTCCATCCTCCCCCAGACGCTTTCGAGGAAATTCGGCGAGAGGACCACGACGGTGCGTCTCGAATCGTCGACGGACCTCGCAATTTGCGTCGGTATCCACTCTCCTGCCAGCCAATCGCGGAAGTGCAGGCACAGCTTGAAAGGTCTGGGACCGTCCTCCAGCCTCGAAACCAACTCGTTCACCACGAAGTCTTCGTCCTTATGGGAGTAGCTGATGAACGCGTCGTACCGCTTGTCCTTGTCGAGCTCGTCTTCGGTGACGAACCAGAGGAACAGCTGATGGGCGTAGAGCCAGACCTTGACCTCCCGCTGATAGCGGTAGTACAAGGCAGCCAGGACTCCGACTATCAGACCCGTCAAGGCTACGGTTAGGCTAATACCGAGAACAACTCCCGTCGCCGCTGGACAAAGCTCGTTTATCGTCATCTCCGACATCGGCACGTTCTCGCCCCCGCAGCTGATTTTCAGCAGCTCCGGGAGTTCGGTGAATTTCGCCTGGATGAAGTTCAGGAAGTCGCGGGCTTCGCAGTCGCACCTCCATGGATTCTTGTCCAACGTTAGCTTCTTCAAGGAGGAGTTCCTCAATGCCTCCAGGAATCTCCCGTCCACCCTGGTCAGATTGTTATTGTGCAACTCCAACACCTGGGAATCGAGTTCAGATTATCGATCTCGGGAATGACTCTTTGGACATGATTCTTTTTTTTTTTTCTTTTTAATAGTAAAACAAATACCCTAAAAAATCTACTCACCTCGAGGGTCGTCGGGAGAGTCTCCAAGGGTATCCTCGAGATGTTGTTATGCGACAGCGATAATACCGCAACTTGTTCGTATCCGGGAAGATCCATGGAGGGGGTCTCTTTCAAAAAGTTCCCCGTGAGGTTGAGCTCGATGTTGTAATTTTTAGGCGGACCGATCCTCTCCGGTGGTTGCCTAAGGTTCACGAAAGAACAATCGACCAGATACCTCGTGCGATAAGGTCGTATCCAGCACTCGCAGCCCTTTGGACAGTAGCCACCGAATTCTGGTCCCTTTACCGCGCACTTAAGCGTATGCCAGTGCAACCTCTTCAGGGGCATCCCTTCTAACCACCGCGGGCTTTTGCACGTCAAGTTTCCAGGATCTATGGAAAACAGTGCCTGGGCGTTGCGAAGTTCACCGTCCAGATATCGCAGGAAATCGTATAGGAAGCAGTCGCAGGCAAGTGGGTTCTCCTCGATCTTGATCACCACGTTCCGAGGAGTAGTACGATTCTGAGCTTCCGCCAGGGTCTCGGTTTGGGTCAGGATTACGTGACTTATATTGTTGTACCTCAGGTCCACCTTGATGTTCTCCGACACGAACTGCACGTCCGCCGTCTACGAGTCAGAATGTCAGATCGAAAGCGTGAATTTCACTCTCAAGGACATGGCGTTCCAGTGTGTAAAAGTGTTCCTCTGTGCGGAGGGAATTTTTGCAATTCTTACCGTGATAAATGGTATTTGATTGTACCGAAGGTCAAGTACGCGGAGCTGGGGACTGCTGACTACCCAGTCAGCGTACATCTCGGAGATGTTATTGTGTGCCAGGTACAGCTCCTCGAGAGAGTCGCAGTAGTGAAACGGCGATCTGGTTCCAAATTCGTCCTGAAACTGCTTCAAGGAGGAGTTGAGGGTGAGCGAATTGTGGGAGAACCTCGCAATGCGCAATTCTCTCAGGGCAGTGAACGCCTGTGCCGAGATCTCGATCATGTCGTTCCTCTCGATCTCCAGGACCCGCAAGGAGGTTAGTCCAGAAAAGAGGGGCCTGTAAACGAAATTAAAGGTATCAACGTATTTCCACGACCCAAGAACGTAGAAGAGATTAATGTTCAAGGTTAAAAAGACCAGGATAAATTTAGGTGAATTTCAGGGCATTCAGACGAAATCCCTCTTACCCAGAAATGGAGCTGAGATGATTCCTGGACAAGTTGATCCTCTCCAGCTTGTTGGTCGCGACGAAGAGTCTCTCCGGCAAGAATCGAAGTTCGTTGTAATTGAGATCGAGCGTCCTCAACTCGCTCAGGTCTCTGAAAATCAATTCCGGCATCTTCTCCAAGAAGTTGCTTTCCAAGCTGAGGTTCCTCAAAGCCGCGGCGCCCCAGAACGTGTCCTCGTGCAAGAAGGACAGTCCGCTCCTGGAAAACCTGGCCTCCTTCAGCTCCCCCAGGCCCTGAAGGAGCCTCCTCGGCAGGGCGGTTAAATTCCGCCGGTTGTTGAACAAGTTGAGCATCGTCAACCTGGTGTTATTGCGCAACAGCCCATCGGGTAGGCTCGAGAAATTATTGCCGAACAAGTTCAGGACCCTGAGGTCCGCGAGGTTGTCGAAGATCCCCTCCGGCAAGCTCGTCAAGAGGTTAGAGTTGACGTCGAGAGACCGAAGGGAGACGAGATCGTCGAACAAACCTGGCTCGAGACCCTTCAGCTGATTTCTCCAGAGGTTGAGGAGGGTCAGGTTCCTCAGACCGGCGAACGTCCCGGCCGCCAGGTACTCGATGTCGTTGTTCCCCACTTCGAGGACCCGTAAGTTCCCGGTTTTTTTAAAAATGCCCGCAGGCAAGCTCGCCACGTTGTTCTCCCTGAGGTCCAGGGAGGTCAAATTTGGAAGATGGTCCAGCAAATCGACCGGCAGCTCTGTCAATCCGTTGCTCGATAAGACCACTTTCTTCGCGTTCTCCAAACCCCTCAAATGGTCGCTCTTCAGGGTTGAGCTCAGGCTCCCGTACGACCGGAAGACCACGATTTCCGGATCCTCCACGCCGACTTTGCGGGCCACCTCGACTAGGGGTTCTTCGGGAAGGTCGCACATCTTGAAGTACATCTCCCGGGCCTTGTTCAAGGGCTCTGCCGAGCGATATCGAAAGTTCGTCCAATTCGGCGAGTTGTGGCACTGGACCTGCACGTACTTCCCGGGGTCGATGTTCAGGACGAACGCGGAATTCGCCTCCGCCTTGCAGTGGAGCTCGTAATCACCGTCGTGGCTTATCTGGCAGTTGCAGATCCCGTCGTTCTGGCACTGGAACCCGATGGTAGTGACCGGGATCGTCGCCAGGACTGCCGCCAGGATCAGCGATCGAAGTCGCTCCATCTCGAGGTCCTTCCTCTCACGGTGGTGACCCTGAAAGAAAAGTCAAGTCACACCTCGGCCGATTTTGCGCCCGACTTATCGCGGCTCCCTAAGTTCCTTCATCCTGTTGATAAGGAAATCTATTTCCTCCTCGCGGCTACAGGGCTCTCGGTTGGACGCTAACGCGATCTCGCCGATCTCGCCATACTCGTCCCCCGTTGTGGCTAAAAACTCGTTTATACGATATTTTTATCGAGTGTTCTTTCATCTTAGATCGACGTCGACCTTCGTCGACGTATCGCCACGATTCTTCGACGACCGAAGTACCGCGATAGTCGAACTTTGCCTTGCAAAAGGAGCTCGTTAAAAGAGTACTGGTGATTCCGTTGAGTCACGGCTTTGATTTATGATCGAACCATAATCGCAGCCTCTTTTCTTGTTATACGGACCGTATACTATACGGCATTACCGTATTCCCACTTTTTACCCGTTCCAATCGGATCGTACGCATTTTCACGCAATCACGTCGATCGACGTATTTCCCCGCGCGATCGGTGGCACTTAGAGGAAAGGAGAGTAAAAGAAAGAGAAAGGATAGAAACGGCTATAATCACCTCCTGAGAAGGAAGGTCCGAGTAGCGAAAGGGAAACGATTATCCGCCCTCGATCGTAAAGTGTCCGTAATTTTCGCATCGCTAAAATCCAGAGCGTCGGCCATTTTCTTTGCCTGGGAAAATCGAACGAAATCAACGAATCCTTGTCGGCATGCGAGTAAAATTTGACCGCCTAAAATTTTCGTTGACAACGAGCGCGTTAAACGGCGGAAATAATAAAAAGTCCTCGATCGTAAAGTGCTCGTAATTTTCGCATCGCTAAAATCCAGAGCGTCGGCCATTTTTTTTGTCTGGGAAAATCGAACGAAATCAACGAATCCTTGTCGGGATTCGAGTAAAATTTGACCGCCTAAAATTTCCCGTGACAACGAGCGCGTTAAACGGCGGAAATAATAAAAAGTCCTCGTAATTTTCGCATCGCTAAAATCCAGAGCGTCGGCCATTTTCTTTGCCTGGGAAAATCGAACGAAATCAACGAATCCTTGTCGGCATGCGAGTAAAATTTGACCGCCTAAAATTTTCGTTGACAACGAGCGCGTTAAACGGCGGAAATAATAAAAAGTGCTCGACGAGGTTCCGTACATCTCGACAAAGGGAGGACGCGGGTCTTTAATAAGACGCCCATTGTCATTCAAACGACGTTTTTCGGCAAATTCAATGACCCTTCTTTTGTCCCGTCGAAAGAATCATTGCGCGTTCGCGAAGTCGATTTGAAGACTCGAACAACCGCTTGTCGAATGTTTGCGCGTTTTAAATACTGATAAAGCAACGGGAGAATGGAACTCCGTGAGTCATGAAATGCACCATAATATAAGCTTATTGACGCTCTCGCACGTCTCGTTCGGGCTAATTCAGTTTCCATCCAGAGAAAAAATTACGTGCTTGAAAGTTGGATCAAACGGATCCAGACAAAATAAAGAACGTCTATTGTTCGTTCAACCGTTTAGTAAAGATTCATCATTCATTCACTCGGGTACACATCGCGGACGAGGACTGCTTAATAAATTCAAGGACACCTTCACCTTACCAAACAACTTCTCTAAACGCGTCGGATAGGCGATGTACGGATACGTTTAGATTTCTCACCTTACGGTTGGCCGTAAAAATACGGCAGATTTTATGAAAATCTCCTTTCTCTCATTAAATCGCAATATTAATAAAATCGGACATTCCTCGGGGTTTAAAGACATTACCGGTTTCGCAACAAGTTCCGCTATAGGTTGAATTGCGTCCAATATTTTTTTTCTCTTTTTTTTTTTTCTCAATATACATTCGACCTTATGTAAAACATGCCGGAGATACACATTCGCATGGAGCGACGCTTGGGAGCAGTTATCAGTGACGCTCCGGAGCGTTTTTTCCACCGGTTGATCTCTGCTCGGTGGAAATATTTCCTGGAATTTCGGTTTCGGCGTAAAATATCAACGGGATTACTTCTTATTAAAAAATGTCGTTTCGAGACGGTCGGAAAAACAAAAATGTTAGGGAAGGTATGAATGAAAAAATTCTCTCGGGTCGAATTAATTGGTGATCATGTGCTCGTCGCGAAGAACGGCTAATCACGGGGAGTAGCGAAGATTGCCCGATCCTTCGCTGACGTCACTGCCCGCGGCGTCCTATAGCGAAAACGCGTGAACGAGGTGTGTACCGCGTTCGCACGACCGCGCATACCCGAGCCGAGTAGAAATCGCCGATCGGTAAAAATCCACAAACCCGGAGACTGAAACGCAACCGCATTCGCAACCGTTTTACGCGGTCATTAAATACTCGTTACTCAAGATCGGCGCACAGCTACTCAACCTCGCTCATCGACAGGTTGTCGCGACATTCCGGGTGGATTTTTACGCTCTCCCCTGGATTACCACGTACCGTTTATATCGAGATTTTGGGAAAATACTCGTGGAAACGACTTTTACCGAACGAAAGTCCCGCGGAGCAGGGCGGAAGAATTTTCAAAACCGGAGGACACCGCGGGAATTTCGGAGCTTGTGGAGTGACAAGTTGTTGGACTCACCAGGCACGACTACTTGCTCCTTGCCATTCGGCCAAAAGTGGAATGGCCTATCAGGGGAGTCTCGAAACAGTCGGAACCGGGCACACACGATAACGGGATTTCGAGGAGACCCCTGGCCGCGCAAGAGCGATCATCAAGAGATGCGCACGGGCCGACCGTCGAGCGCGGACTGAGGATGCGGGCGAGTCGGGCCGACACTGGCCCGCGGTATCGGTACCAGGGGAAAGTAGCACGTGGCCGTCGATCCGAGGCGGGCCGCCATTGGTCGGCCTCCGCTCCAACGGAATGTAGAAGAGCGGCCCAAGGGAATGGACGGGCCGCGAAAAGGAAGAATGGGACGTACGATTAAAGGTACATCCGGGATGGTGCTTTTGTATGAAAAAGAAGAAATGAGAGGAATCGCGATGACGGTGCGTCTCTTCTTTTTAAAAATTAAAAATCACACTCGGATACGAACGGCTGATTAAAAGAGAGGAGTGGTTGATTATCCGAAGCCGAGAAGGACGAAACTGTTGCCGGAAGTGGGTAAACGTGCGAGAAGGAGGATTTTGCCGCTAATGACCACTGGCAATTGACGTCGCGGAAAGAGAGAAAAAAAAAGGAAATTTGCACCAGGCGTTTTATCCGTAAAGTGGAGTCGGTGGGAGAACTTAAGTGACCGCGTCACTTTGTAAAATCCGACGCCGCATTAATTGCGCGCGCTCGGAATTATCTCGCGATCCAATGAGGAAAGTTGGACTGTCCCCGATGTCTTTCGTTAAATTGGCCCTTTTTCTTAGGAATATCCAATGTTTTTATACTCCTCTCGAGGATGAAAAATGGGAAGGGGATTCATATTTGTAATACTGCGTATTTGCGTTGAAATTCACGCGGTCAACTGGCCGTTGCGGCTGAAAACAAGATGCGCGTGATGTAACAATTAGTGCTGCTAAGTACTCGAATGATATAGAAGTAGAAAAAACAGGACTGTGGATTCCTGTCTGGAATTGACTCGGTCATGTTTTACTGGGAGTATCTGGCTGCCGCTTGCCGATTACGCGAGAATAACACAAAATGTGGACAGTCCATGATCGAAACGCGCGATTAGGGAGGTTATCACTCGATCGTATTATAAATTATGATTCCGTCGAATTCCCCGATAAGTTTGATAGTGGCCTCCGAGTTTCGCGGTTACGTGCCATTTTATCGGATTTGGCGAAAAAAAAAAAAATGAATCGTGAGAAATCGAAGGAAGCCCACGGTAACGAGCGATGAGATATTTACTTGGGGTTAAATAACGTTTTATCGCTTCGTCGATACAATTCATCCAAATACATCGGTGAATCTACTTATACTTGAGCCTTGAGTCGTGGATTTGGAATTCGTTCCTTTACTCATTTAAGAAAATAAACCCAAAATGCTGACTGTCCGTGTAATTTCGTATACGCCCCGCTGAATCGCTTACTTCCAAAAACTCTAAAACGAGCGGGCAAATATTATCGGAGCCAGAGTACCTCGCTCTTTTTAAGTTAAAAGTTGTACCCCAGGAAAATTACTCAGCGTATAAAATCGAGGGATAATTTCAATCCCGAACCCGCGGTAGAATGCCGAAACGCTCCAGAGCATTTTGGCCGTGTATAAATTTACCCCATTGTGTCTTTCTCGTAGGTACCGGTAACTTTAGCAGCCCCCACGGTTCAACCCTTTCTTCGGCTTAATCCCCCGATGGCTTTCAACGTTTCCACGCTTGGTGTTGCTCGTAAATGACCGACGCGACGGCTCGTCTCAAAAGCCGGCGATTGGGGCTTTCCCGGTCCCTGGATCGTAAAATCCGAGGTACCTCCAGGTGGACGACATCACCCTGGCCAAAAGCTGCGGCAATAAATGCGACCGACCGAGTCGAAGGTGCAAAGGGTGCAATGGCGATTCGACCTAGCTTCGTCTTCCTTTCTCGTTGTTATCGGGCCCAAAAAAGCACCCCGCGTCGTCTGGTGGATGCTCCAGAATATAAATGAACGAGCTCTCTGGAAGTACATTGGGGGACATGAATGCTTTCCCTGCGGATATCGCTCCGTCCGAGGACGATGGGAAGACATTCGCGTCGACTCCTGTACCGTGTAGAGGGGTGCGTGGGATCTCCAAAGATCTCTCTTGGGCGCCCATTTCCTGCCAGACGCCGGACGTCGATTCCTCGAAGATACCGAAACTCGACCGAACGAAGACCAGCCTCTCGTTTCCTCTCACGTGTTCGCCAGCCGTGTTGCTCCGACCCCGAAAACCAGGCCCTAAATTCAGCCCCGTCCACTCGAGAAGCTCCGAGTACTTCCTCCTCAACCTTGGTCCTGGATCGGCCCAGGTTCCACTTCGAGCACCGGGAACAATCGCGTCGCTCCGCGGTTCCTCTACCCTCGAGTCGTTCCCACGGGATTCAAAGAGATTTTCGCCTCGCCTCGTTCCTGAGCGAAGTTTCTTTCGGCTGTTTTTCTTTTTTCTCCCGTAATTCCTTGCGAGTTGTAAGGACATCCTTTCAGGGGAGTCATAGAGCGAATCAAGGGGAGTGCGGAGGAAATTCGGAGGATCCTTAACGAGTCGTGGAATCGATTTTTTTTCAATCGGGCCCTCGAGTCGAAAAATTGTTTGCGCTTCTGGAGAACCAAATATCTCATTCCGGTACAATTAATAAGTAATGCTTCAGATAATCGAATTTTTCGGATAGGAAGCAGGAAGTGGAATCATGATATTCTTTTTAGGGTTTCCCTTGAGAGTCTCTTTAATCACCGAAGACGCACGTCGCGGTACAACTAATAAGTAATGCTTCAGATAATCGAATTTTTCGGATAGGAAGCAGGAAGTGGAATCATGATATTCTTTTTAGGGTTTCCCTTGAGAGTCTCTTTAAGCACCGAAGAGGCACGTCGTATGTTTTTCGACCCGGACTAGCAGATGTCGACTTCACGTGGGATGACTTCCGCTTCCTTTCGGTTAAGATGCAGCTCTGAATTATTTTTTTCTTAGCCTCTCTTCCATTTTTAGATTGCAAGGTTTGACGTGATCTGTAACTCCGCCTGCGAAGAACAATCTCAAATTCTCTGTACTCGTAATATCTGTTTACATTGTCGTGAATAATGTGTTTGCAAATGTTGAAACGATGGTCTGTTTTCTATCAAATAATCGTAATGTAATGGAGGTTTAATTTCGAACTCGTTAATGTTTCAGGAAACTGATTGCAGGGTTGAATTCGAGTGGCAAACGAGCGTAGTTTGTTCAAATTTGACCACTCGCGAAACGATCACCATTGCAAGCGATCCGATTGACCCGACAAATGAAGTTCAAGGTACATATGTTGTTTATATAGAACTGCAAAATCCGTCTTGATCAACCAATTGTTTTTTTAGGCGGAAGCAGTATTGCAGGCCCAATTGCAATCTTGGTGCTGGTCATCCTGATTGCTTGTTTCTGTTTATACAGTCCAGCAAGAAGAGCGCGTTTACGTTCCTACTTAAAATGCTGCAATTCGGATACACCGAGTGGACGAGCTCAGTATTATCGGGTAGGTTTACTAGAAAATAACTACTAACTGTATCATTCCGCATGATTTGTAGAACTTGAAGAAGCACGCTTCAATATTAATTCCTTATTAAATATCGTAAGATATTCCAGTCGATATTTTCCTTTATTTGTTTTTATTCATTCATTAGTAGATGTTCTTTTTTAATTCGGTCAAGAGCGTTACTCGCGATTTGGTTCCCGAAAAAGAATTAATCGTTGATGAAATTGTTTTCAATTAAAAATTCGATTAAGAAAGTTCATTTCCAACTCCTGAATTTAAGTCGTTGATTATGAATCTCCAAAATCATGTAAGATGTGCCATTTATTTATACCTACTGTTTTCAGTTATTTTTTCGCATTTTTATTAATTATGCGAGCATCAGTATTGCTTTAGTTACCTCACTAGGACTCAGTACAAAGTAGCAAGTTTTATTTCATATGTGAATTTATCATAAGCAGCTTACGCCGTTGCCATGTGCTTTACAATTTTTGTTTTACGAATTTGTTTACAAATCAGTAATCGGGCATGTTGTATTTGAAATATGTGAATCATGTGTATCAGATTACGGTAATTTTAAGCAACGTTAAATGTTTATTCCGCATGTACCAGTATTTGCTATATTGATATTTTGTGTAGAATGGTCGTAGTATTAAAATAATTCATAATCATCTGTGCAAGCCATCATTTTATCACACACTGCTATATCACCAAACTGTGGCGTTAACAATGAAATAACGCACTCAAGTTTCGAATTAACTTGCGTATGTGGTGGTGGTCCCTTATATTTCTTTTTGCCGCTTTTTCCCTGCCGTCATGTACAAAATTTCGGAGTAAAAGGACATACGTATCCAGCAGGCTATTAAATCTACTTAAAAAATACTAATTGCAGGTCAGCACCAATGAAGAATCTTGTTCATTACTGGACTCTTCTGATCCAACGCATTGTCAAAGTGACAGCGACGAGGATTTATTGTGTGCATAATTTTCCCTGATTTCGCAAAACCGTAAAGGTCGTGGTCGGAAGTGAGGTGCTCTAGAAGAAATCTCAACATTCCGGGAATAATTAAACATTATCATCGCCGAATAATTCTATTTTTATAAACGAAATAAGCAAGTCAAGATTCCAGAGCTCTCAGTCTTGTGCACTAACATTAATTGCGAATGGTAATTGCTCCAAAGAACATTCGATAATTTTAATATTTAATTACGTAACACGGTTGTAGTGCTAGTGTACCTTTACACGTTCCTCTCTCTTCAGTTCCAGGTTGTTTTTAATACAAGATATTGATGTAACAATTGTACAAATTAGAGAGAAATCTATCCGCGATACGGTACTAAATAATTATCCACTACGTGGATATCCATGGTACCGGGAATGGAGATTAAAGAGTTGATAATCTTAAAATTATATGAAAATTGTTGGGTTTAAAGAATTATGAGATTCGGGGTAGATTTGAATATTCGGGTATATTCGTTTCTACCCAGGCATATGAAAAAAAAAAATTGGCATACTTCGGATATTACAGATTCTCGAATTTCAGATTATTATTAAGCTGTCTGTAAATTAGTTTCATCTTAAATGAAGAAAGCGTTTAATTGTAAGCTTATTTATGTTTCTATAATTAATCTATTTTTATTAAGGATTATTTATTTAATGCTGTTCCAGGATACTAAAAAAAAATAAATTCTGAAACTTTATCCTTAAATGTTGAACAGGTTTGTGAATGAACTCATGAGTACGGTATTTCTAATGTTTAGATTTGCAGTTAAACGTCTCTGACTGTAAAGTAACCACCCTTCTGCCGACAAATTCGGCAGGACCGTGACATTTTAGATTCTCAGGAACAATTGTAAATATTTTCCTAACGTCTGAATCTTTTTCCCCCTCCAAATTTTGCAAAACATCATACAAGAAGCAGTCGCATTCGATGGGGTTCTTGTCAATGTATACTTGCACGTCACTGGTATAAGATTGTTGGCCTCCCAAGAATTTAAGGTCACTTAGGAAAAAATGAGTGATATTGTTAAACCTAAGATCAACCTTCAAGCTCGACGAGACGAATTGTAGATCGGCGGTCTGGAAACAAGTCGACATTAATCATTATTAACAAATGTCGAATAAAATTAAATATTGCATCTTCTTTCCTACTTCTTGACGAGGAATTGTTACTTAACGAATTAACGTGTAACGTAGGAATACTTACTTCCAAAGAGCTTATCTGATTGAACTTCAAATCCAACAAACTAAGCTGCGTCATGGAAATTATCCAATCGGCGAATATGTTAGAAATATTGTTGCGGGCTAAGTGCAATTCCTTCAAAGCCACGCAGGTACTGAAAGGAGATACGAATCCAAACTCCACTTCAAAATTGGTCTTTAGGTCGAGCTGATTGTTTGTCAATTTAGCGATATTTAAGTTTCGCAGACTTCGAAAGGCGCCGCGATGAATCGTTCTTAACTTATTCTCTTCTATGCTCAACACTTTCAGGTTTCTCAGGTTAGCGAAAAGTCTCCTGAAAGGTACAATTAAAAGGCATTGCGATTAATCGGCGATCCCACAAAATTTTGTGAGCAGGTAATATCTCCATTGTGAATTAAATTTAGCATTAGAATTTGTCATTGATAATTAAAGCAGATACATGTACGTACCCAGAAATGGCAGAGAGTTGATTCATCGAGAGATCCAATTCCTGGAGATTAGTGTTAAATTGAAACACTTCATCCGGAAGCGACTCGATATTATTAAGGCGGAGACTCAACTTCTCGAGGTTTTTACAGTCCTTAAAAATACTTTCAGGGAGAGTATCGAGAGCGTTCCCATCGAGATTAACGCTGGTCAACTTCGAGGCTCCAATAAAGAGATCCTCCGGTAATTGGCGAAGGTTGTTCATCTTCAGCACGACTGTCCGAAGCTCGCTCAGGTCCTTAAAAAATCCACTAGGAAGGGCGGGGAAGTCTTTCCTGTTAAATACCATCTTGAACACCTCCAACTGCTTATTGCGGCTAAGCAAGCCCTCGGGCAACGAATCGAAATCGTTCCCGGAGAAATGTAGGCTCCTGAGATTGGTCAGATTCGCAAAGATATCGGCGGGAAGTCCTCGGAGTCTATTGGCACCTAGGTCGAGGGCCTTCAGGGCCGGGAGGTCGTCAAACGCTCCAGGAAGAATTTCCACGAGCTTGGCGTTCCACAAATACAAGCCCTCCAATTCGGTTAAACCGGCAAACGAGCCCGGCCGAATTCGTCCTAGAGGATTATCGGACAATTCCAACCCCTTCAGGTGTGGAACGGCCTTGAAGAAGTTCTCAGGAATCTCGGTAATGGCGTTCGAGAGAAATCTCAGCTGCTTCAAATTTGGGTATCCTTCCAAGAGGTCAGCCGGCAAATCCGTCAGGTTGTCGCGGGTGAGAGTTAGCGCCTCCAGATTGGAAAATCCCCTCAAGTGGTTCTTCCTCAGGGTGTCACGCAGGTTACTCTGAGTGACGACGAGCTCCTTCAGGTTGGGCATTTCCAGACCTTCCGCAAATTCGAGGAGGGTTCCCGTTTCCGGCATGGGACAGTTTTTTATGACAAGCTTAGTCTCGTTGAAGGCCGACCGGAATTTCAGGGGAAGGACCGGCCAAGGAAGCTGCGATCCGCACTGCAGTTTTACATAGTGATCGGGTTTGATTATCACCAGCTCGCTCGATTTATCCCGGTCGCATTGAATGACGAAGTCGTTCTCTTCGGTACAGGAGCAGCCTTCCACGTCGCCGCAGGTGAAACTTTGAACCTGGCCGGTAGCAAAGGATGCCACCAAAGCGAGTAACATCCAGGGTGCTCCTGCCATCGCGCCGATTTAACTAAAAGAAAAATAATCAAAGAATTATTCCTTCCATAACTCGGACCGCGATCATTCTCTAAGGTCCAAATTGTAATTATTCATCGTTTTGCCCTTACTTTTTTCACCGGTCGCCTGCGCCAAGAGAGAGAACGCAACACTCTCACCGTGCTCGGACACTTCCACGGTATTTATAGCGGATATACGAGATTATTGACACGCAGCAATGAAATTTCGACGATGCCGATCTCCTTACCCGTTGACACAAGTGCGGCGGCGTTCATCATCTTTGTTTCCGTATCTTAAAAAAATCACTGGTTACACAGCTGATCTAGGCCGGAATCATTGATCTCCCCGAGCGTCAGAAATGTATCGTCGCTATCGTTTAATGGCACCGTGCGATCGGATCCAATGAATTATTCATCTTTATCCAGAAATCTCACGGACAAATCTGCACCCTAGACAGGCGCTTCTGTCTCGCGGCCCGCTTCGTTTCCTGTTCAGGAGCATAAATTTACATTTTTTTAAAATAAACGGTCTAGCGTCAAATTTATCGAACATCTTCCGCCCGCGTAAATTACGTTTACTCGTTTCCTAATCGAAGCCATCGCTCAATAAATTACTTCCACGCCGTAACTCGTGTTTTCCGAAAGTCCAATTGCACGAAAAATACCTGGGAATGGCTTCCGCCGGTCGGCCATCTTGAATCGCGAGGTTAAGGTGAAGTGAAACACGTCGAGGAACTTGACCGACGTCGATAAAGAAGATTTTTCTAAATGCCTACGTCGCCGACGTTGGTTCTTATATCGACAGCTGGGTCGAATTATATTGGGTATTGTACCAAATGGCATATTCCACCTGTCGTTTTCGTACAATAATTATGAAGAAATCGAAGTTCATGCCTTCTGGGCCCTAATTGACTGCAGAGGGACCCCCTGCGCCATCTGTGATTTCCAGGTCAATTCAATTTTCACCCCGAGACGTCGTATTCCCATCATTTTGGCATAGAAGCGCATACAACACTTTTTTTGCCTTTATCCCGTTCAAATGCGAATTTATCGATTACCAGAGTGTTCTAAATTCTCGTAAAATTGACCTGACCCTTTAGTTTCTCATATTAGACCCTTCGATAATTGTATATCGATCGAAATATCAGATCTCGACGCCATTTTGGTTCTTGTCTGGGCTGAGTTAAAAAATTTGGTTGAAAAATCCAAACTTTCAATGTGTCGGGACAATTCTTAGATGATCAGGAGTTATGTGTCAAAGTTTTGGACAGTTTGGCCTAATACCCTTAAAAAAAAGTGTTGTATTCGAATCGACTGATTTGAAGGATGTTTCACTTCACCTTAACAGCACACGACTTCTTGAACCGCCGTTTGTCAAGAAAACCAGGAAGGGAAGGAGCCAGACATCTCCGAAACGTGTCAACGGGTAATTTAAATAGTTTTATTACGATGGTACCTCAGATCGATCCTAAAATCGTGTCGTGTCGCCTTCGAGGAGGCGATCCGAGGAGCGCGTCGCCTCGGGAGCAAGAAGGAGCCAAGAGGTGTTCGTAGCACATTCATTTATTATAGGTAGATTGTTCATAGCTTGTTATTCGTCTATCCGTGTTATAGCAACAGTAATTATTACAGTATTACAGTTTGTTCATATTAACAAAGGCGTGTCCCCTCGTCCTCGCCGGGTCGGCGCCGGGCCGGCGGCGGGCCCGACGCGTCTTCCCAGCTCGCTCTCGAGACATCCAGCGGGGAGGAGTCTACGGGAATCGGTTCGCACCACCTTCCAATATCGTCTCGTCGACTAGGTGCGAGAGCGCGTCTCTACAAGCGCCCTAATAAACACGAAACTAACCCTCTCCGCCGCCCGCGCCCCCGACGCGGCGTCCCCCTCGCGCCGGGCCCGACGCGCGTCCCCACCGAGCCGTTCCGCGCGACCGGCCTTACCCCCTAGACGCTTAATAGTATACGTATGTACATCGTGTATTTGGCACCGAGAACGTCCCTCCGGAAAGCGAACGAGGTGGCCCGCCCCGCCCCGCGGGGACGCCCCGTCGACCGCGATTTCCCGCCGAAGCCCGCGGGGGCGTCCGAGCCGACGAGGCGGCCCCCGACTCCTCGGGGGAGCGAACCCTGGCCGAGGCCCGTTCGAGGTCCCGCGGTCCCGTCTTAGCAGAGGGTGTCCTGGGTTGCGGTCGGCCACCCCCTGCCATGAGTAGAGTTCAAAAATTCTCGGTAAGATTAAATTGGAGGAGGTAACTGTGAAACATACCGTAAGTTACCGGGAAGATTGAGAATTTAAGAGAAAATTTTGTTACTTCTACTTTAGGTTTCTTCGTTTAAATAACTTTTTTTTTCTTTCAATTAACTTCAAAGATCAAGCTAAAGAGTAATAATTACTATTAGAAAATATTGATTATAGGGTGGTATTTACCTCCAGGTAAAAATATTCACGTATGTACAACTTGACGGAAAATTCCATGAGATTTGTTTCAAACGAACTGATATTTTATTCTGCGGCGAAGCGAATGGGAGGTTTTTATTGGCTACGGAGGACGTATAGCGGAAATTCCCCTCTACGATGTTTCTCTATAGCTAATCGAAACCTCTCGTTCGCTCCGTTGAAAAATTCAAATTCTCATAATTTCTCGATAAAAAAGGCTTTGGAGAAGTTACCGGGAATTTCTCTTCGTTTCTGACGTAACTTACCGGATTTAGAACTCTAGCCATGAGCCCCGAGACAAGGACCGCGGGTCGCGGAGCTTCGGCGCGGGCCCGACTCCGCCGGTCGGCGGCGCCACCGTCGCGACTGCCCGCCCGACTTCGACCCCCGCGCGCTTCCCGGCCCGAGGCCGTCGATCCGCTAACTAGGTTAGGTCTTCGCCCATCCTTAAAACTCTTTGGCATAAGTGTCGTAAGATTTACATAATGCTCTCCGCCACGTTACGGTGGAATGTGTCGTACAGCTAGGCGTTCGCGCTCCGGCAAGGCGATCGGATTTTCGGATCGAGTTATCGGAACCGACAACGGCGCGGGACGTCCGGCCCGTCGACGTCCGCCTCGTCGGCGAAAATCGGCCGCCCCTACCTACGAGTTTAACGCGAGGTCGAGGTCGCCTCTTTCTATTACTATTAATCCGCGTTTCCGTTTCCTCTCGCTCTCTCTTTCCCTCTCTTTCTCTCTCTCCCCGATCGGCGTCGAATCGCGTCCTCGATGAGACTCGGACTGCCCGGCCGAATCGTCGCGCGAAACTCGACGACTCGACACCTACTCGTGTAAATATATTGATTATTTAATTGCAAATACCTTGGTATAATAATCGATAACAACCAGTCTCCCTTCCCGTGCGATTTGCGTCCCGTGTGCGCGCGGGTCGCGTCGGGGACGCCCCGACGTCGACCGGCGAGACGGCGGACGAAACGACGGGACGTTCCGCGGTAATCGCTTAACGCCTCCCGTTCCTCGCAAGTACCGCGTACGTATTTCTCGAGGTATCTGCAACGCGCTATGTATACATGGGTGCATATGTATGACGCAACGCAAATACAAAGGGACCGCGAGCGCGTCGAATCGGAAGTCCTCCCGTATCGGCGGTTTTTCTAACGCTGGGCGCACTCCTTTCTAGAAAATAATGATTCATCGGTGGAGCTAGGTAGGATGGTACGGTGTGACGTCACATTGAAAAACGGGATCTACGTCGGTCCCGGTCGTCGACTCGGGGACGGCGAGGTCGCCGGCGGACGCGCGGCGAGACCTCGCGAGAGAGAGAGCGCACTCGACAGCGAGTCAAGGGTCGCGGGTCGCGCGGAGGAGCCCGGGAGGTCCTTCCCGGCGGCCGACCGGGCGCCGACTGGCCTCCGCGCGCTCCTCGCGCGCCCTTATATACCTGGGACGCCTGGCACCCCGCACGACGCTCCGCTACGCGGGGCCCCCGAAAAGGAACCCGAAGAGGCCCCGTTTTTTGGCCTCGCTTTTCCCTCGACCTCTAGTAGATTTTCCTTCGCTTTCCTCGGGGCGAATCCAGAGGAGCCTCGAGGGCGGCCGTGCTCAGAAGACCTCGGAATCCGGCTCGTTCGAGGCCGCTGCCTGCAGGGCCAGTTGCATGCTCGGCTCCGTGTTTCGCCGCTTCATCTTGCCCTTGGTCTTCTTCAGCATCGTGGCCTAGGAAGGGAGAGGATCAGGGGATCGCACACAGGACCTTCAGATACACAAGCCAATACGTTCGAACACGGCCAGGGTATATTGAGTAGAAGGGCAACGACCCGCTCGCGGCAACCAAATTGGGGACGGAAAATCGAGGTACTCGCGCGACCGATTCGTAGGACTTTAACCGTGACATCCACGCACCGATCCTGCCTAAAAGTCGTACCCAGAAAAAAAAAAACGAATTATTCTCACCCTGTCACCTTTCCTCGCACGACTGACGCTAGATCGATAACTTTTATGGGTAGAAAAAAAAAATAAAGAAAAAAACCTGCATCCAACCGGGAACCCCTCTAGTTTCGTCTAATTTATTTCAGCGTTCTACCATCTTCCACGTCTATGCGCGTACACGCGTGTGCGTTAATCGTTACAACGTACTTATTGCTTCCGAATGAAGAAGCCGAAAAGCTCTAACGTCTACTCCTTCGCCTGGCAAACCCGACGAAGTGCTGGACGAGAAAGGAAACGGGCACCGTTTTCTACCGCATTTTCGGACCACGGTCCCATAGCTTCCTAACACGAGAGGGATCGGAGAAAGAGACAGATAGTGAGTGAGAGGGGAAAGAGAGATAACGAGAGAGGAGACGGTCGCGTTCGCAGGAGACAGCGGATGTCGCATGCTCGGAAAACCGATCGCGGCTCGATCGGTCGACGATAGATACACCCCGAGGGGCTATTCGCTCGGAAATCGGAGAAAACGACGTCCTTCTTCGAGGGCCGATCGCCACCGATTTCATAGGACAAACAACGATGTAATTAAATACCGAGGGACGTTCGGCGTGAAAATTTCCGTAACAATGTTTCGGCGATTTTCAGGGATATCCGACGTTCGGCGTGAAAATTTCCGTAACAACGTTTCGGCGATTTTCAGGGATATCCGACGTTCGGCGTGAAAATTTCCGTAACAACGTTTCGGCGATTTTCAGGGATATCCGACGTTCCGCTTGGGATTTCCTTCGAACCGGATCAATCTCCCACGGATTTCGAATAAATCGTATCGGGTCTTATTGCCCCTGGTTTCGAGCGATTTCCGATTTCGTGGGCGAATAACCCCTCGATCCACCCGGAAGAGTTCCCTTGGCCGCTTTTAGCACGGAGGAGTCTAGGCAGAGAGGTTGCCCGACTCGGCGGAACGGAACGAGGAACGACATCGAATGGACCGATTCTATCTGCGAGAGCTGCCGGAATGGCCGTTGGTCTACTCGTCTGTGCTCTTGCCCCCCTCCCCGTTAGCAGGTAGGATCGACGGTTCGGTATTCCGACGCTTGATCTTATTTTTCTTCAACATGGTAGCCTGGAGTGAACAGAGGAACAAGGAGTCATTAGTAGAGTGCGACTGGGCGGAAGGGAGGACGCATGCGCTCGCGGACCATCGGCCTTTGGATTTGGGTAACGCCCTGGCGGGATTACGCGCGATCGCGAGACGAGGTACGTGGGGATCTACTTCTAGGATGTACGGGATAGTTCTCCGTCGAATCGGATTTACGTGCCACGTTCGATCGGTCGTTATCACAAAGGAAACTCGGTATCACGAGCGAAGCGCTGGACGGTGCAGTGTGGCGGCCCTGGAGCGCCGCTACGTGAAATAAGCTGGAGTCTACCGTGCCGATTACGGTGTGCAGAGTGCACTGTATCAACGATGAAAAGAGTGTCATGGTTTGGCTTCACGGTAGCTAGGAATCGAAGAATGGACCTGGGGATCCGTTTCAAATGATTCCTTTACGCGGAAGATGCGCTTCGATACTTGGGAATGGACAATCTCGGGCTCGGCTAAAGCGGCTGGCGTGAATCGCCCTTAGGGTCTCTTCTGATTTTTCTTTCTCGCTCGTGGCTTGGTCGGACTCGATCGAGAAGCTCGGAAATGAGAGTCAAAGCGTGCGTGCATTTTCTTTTCTCGCCTAGAGATACGTGCGTTGCCTATGAAGGTGTGCACTCTCGGATATCTACACCATACCGTCCATCGCATCTGGGAAAACTCAGGGCCTAAATGCAGCAGGAAGCTTACCTTCAGTGCCGACTTCAGGACCACGACGTTCCCTGGACTTTGAATCCACGGCTCGCCGTCCACTTGCACCGCTATGTCCGAATATAAATGGATTTTTATGTGACCTCCCTGGAAACAGTGCCATTGTTATCGGAATGATTTTCCAGGTTGACGAATTTCAAGACTTACGGCTTCACCGGGGACGATCACAGAGGGCATAAGGTGAATTAAGGGGTCGGCAAAGGAGAGGGAATATCGCAGGGAGGTAGAAGCAAGATTTAAGGGAAACGGGATCACGGAGTTTATGCGATAAATAAATATTTAACAAACGTTTCGACAACCTGAGCTATCCTCATGGCGGTGCGAAGACCAGATTGAATCTGCCCCAAGTGCACCACCCCCGTAACGCCGACGACCTCCAACATCCCGTCCCAGTGATTCGGCTTATTGAACTGATCCTCCTTGTCCTGTCCCCAAGGATTCGCTCCCGAGCCCCAGCTGATTTGCGGAAAAGAAGGGCCACGATGAACAATTTGGACCGGTACTCTGGACGCGGGTTAAAAAACGTCTTGCCTCGGGACTACCTTAGAATATTGAGAATGATGATGCCTTCGACTTGCGGAAGATCCACCACCCGTCCGTCAACTTCCAGCCGAATTTCCCTGTGCAAGTCTTTGCACGGTTTCCTCCCGACCATCTTGCGCAGACCCATTTTCACGTAGACACCTTTGTTACGAAACCGACTGTTGAATTTGTTCGGATTCTCCTCTCGTGCATTGTGAAAATCGAGGCACAAGTCCGCGTCGATTCCGATCCCGAAGTAATTATTCATCACGAATATCTGTGTATTGTCTTCGCTGGTCGACCCAACTCCTAAAAACCGCAAAAGCGTGTGAACCTTTGTGTTTTAGAAATTTCCCCTCTCGTGCGGTACCTCCTTTACCTGCAGGGTTGGCCACTTGTTGCGACTTGTCTTCCTTTTCTTCGGGGTGGAAAACTACCGTCCATCGATCCAAGGTTATCTCTTCGGCATCGATGACGTCTCGCAGAAGACTCAGGGGGTCCTCGGCTCCGGTGTATCCCGAACCCCAGCGTAATACGCGCGCAAGATCGTTTCCGGTACCAAGTGGAACAATTGCGCATGCAGGCGACGAGCACTCGCTGTCCTGGCCGACGTTGTCCAGGCATTGTAACACCCAGCCGATCGTACCGTCCCCGCCGCAAACTAAGATTTTGTAATTCTTTATGTGCCGAAAGACGTATAGCCTGAAAATAAAAAATATTAGAGACAATAACTCGATTGGCATCCAAAACGGCAAGGGCCTCGCTGCAAGTAGGGTGTAGAAGACTCACCCCGGAAGAGGTCCGCCATTGTCCAAGTCGAATACTTGGTAGGGATTTAAGAGTTTACGAAAGCTAGAGATCAACTCAAGTCCCTGGCAACCACCAGATTTAACGTTTACGAATACCAGTAATGGGTGAACACCAGGTGGTACCATGCTTGGCTCGATACTGGGCAGGAGCATCACTGAAAATAATTAACAACGTCTGTCTCCGATTCGAGGTAACAAGGAGCGAATCGTGGTTCTCTAAAACGTTTCCCCAATGCTCACCTAAGAGATGTTTGTCCTCGTATTTGGATTCCCGCAGTGCGTACAACGCCTTGACCGCCGTATTCGAGTCCTCGTATATAATGACCATCGATCCGTACTCGTAATAAATGGGACCGATGGACGAAAACTTATTTTCTGATAAGGCAAGAAATGGTAACGTTTAGTAACGAGGAGTGTGAGCGATCGGTCATCTCGAGAACTAGTGGTTTACCTTTTCCTAAGAATTCGGTCAACATGTTCTCGTAATTGCGCTCGGACAGATTCGGCGGTAAGTTCCCAACGAAGAGAGCGAGATTGGGACCGTGAGGGTCCTGCTTAAGTTGGAGGTAAAATCGCATCAATTCCATTTGTCTAATCGAATCCTTCCCTAATTGTTTGACGATCTCCCACGGCTTCTCTTCCCTCGAGAGCACCCGCTCCGAAACTAAAACGAAACGCCGTCGATCGGATTATTTCCGAAGCGTTAACAGATAGGAAAAAAGAAAAAAAATGAAGGAACGAGCACTAACCACCCCGGTCCAAAAGAATTTCACTGCATCGGTAATCTTCGCAATTGATGTCCTGCAACCCGAAACGATGAAGAGCCTCGCGAATCAGGTCGTCGACAGTGGTGGTTTCCGTAACGGGTACCAAACAGAAGGACTCCGAAACTTGCAATTTCCCTGGATAGACTCTCACTTCTCCGCTGTCGTTATCCCTGAAGAAACGTACAAGAGTTTAGATCGCTTGGCGAAAAATCGAGGATCGTCCTTCGACCCGAAATCGTAACTTACTTAAACCTGAGGAAGACAGCGGGACGCTTGCCTTCCATTCGATGTAAATTTTGCACCGGTAACGGGTCGCACAGGGGAGTCTCGTCCGGGGCGTACAAATCGGTTAAGTAAAAATTGCCTGAAATGAATGATTAATGTGTAAACCGAGGGGCCATTGTCACGGCCCACTGGAGGCGTCCCCGTTAACGAACGTACTCGGATCTTTTGTAATGTGAAACGCTCGGAGGGCCGACGTAAGAATTTGCTCCGTGGTAGCTTGTCGGGACACCGTGACAACTCGAAAGATGCGCCTTCTCAAAGAATTGTTGCCATCGTACACCTTCATCGTCTCTGAAAGTGTAATAATGGTACATGAATCGCGGTGTCATCGAGCCTCTTCAATTATACGTTAAGACCCTCGAATCGGTATTTTCCCCTCGTCCTTTCGACCAGGTGAGAACGAGTCTCGTCGGGTATCCTAGTCCTAGGTCGGCGCATCTTTCCTTCTAGATCTTCGTTCGTGACGTCGCGTTCTATTCGAGTATAACCTTTTTAGGAGCGATACCTTCGTCCCCTCGTTCCTTATCGTCCTTTTCCTTCGGAGACCTGGGATCACGGCCGTGGGTTCCGCTCGACTGTGCCGGCTCGTCGGCCGCATCGCGGTATCGCGTGTCGTTGCTGCTGAACTCCTCGGATATGCTTCGCGCTGCGGAAAAGAGGTCATTTTTAAAGGTTCCAGGTCAAAGAAACTGCAAGTCCGGACTACGAGGTTCCAGATAAAGGGCGATTTCGGTTACCGGCTCGGGGAGGATCAAAAAGTATCCTCTGATTCCATTTCGGCTGGATCACCGCCCTCCCGGCTTAAACCAGTAGTACCCCTCCACGTTTATAATTACCAATTACCGGCTCGTTCCCCATGTTCGCGGACAAATTTTTCTCTCTAGCAAATTTCCCTTGGAAATAATTCCACGCCCGAAGAAAAATTCCAGGTGGCAAGAAGCGACCAACGGTGCTGGGAATCTAATTATCGCTCGATTGTTTCGGTTTACCGGAAAAAAATTAATAAATTAATAAATTAATGTTCAAACCTTTAGAAATTTGTCCGCGAACTTGCATGGCACAGAAAAAGGACTGAGTCTCGAAGGAGAGTTTCGAGAATGCCGAACGCGAGGATACTACTGCCTTTATCTCTCTTCTAGTCGTTTTCTAATTAAGGTGCTGATCCTCTTACCATCGATAGGCTTACGAAGGTTCTTTCGAAGCACAGATATTAGGGGTGCTCAGTGGCATTCCTGCTCTCGACTTCACAGCACATTGGTCTGATAAGCGTGACAGAATCTCACACGGCATCCAGCGGGCTGAGTGACAGCGCATGCAACGAAGCGAAACACGTCTACATGCTAAAAACGAGATGGCCAATAACGAAATATTGAAGAAACAATGTGAAAGGGCGCACGTTCAAATAAACTGCTCGATTTAAACAACACTTAGAACGAAAGCGTGCGTTTTGAGAAACTGTGCTGCGTTCCTTGCGCTCCTGCGTCCAGAGCTCGTTCCTCCATTAATTAATTCCGTTTTTAAATCATCCCCTCGGCACACATTATTTTTTATTCACAACGAGAACTTCCTGATCATCCGGAAATTCAATTTTTAAAGTCACACCTCTGGTCGTAGGAGCACGTATTGCGGTGGAGGAGGGTATACGTACAATGCGATGTGGCACAGAGAAGCGAACACGCTTTAAAGTACACGAAGCAATTTTCTAAGATGTACGTGAAGTACGGTGTACGATGAGAATGTATCAAAGTGTTAAAAAAAAAATTTCAATAATAAATTCGAGATTTTATCCCGATCCAAATCAGTGAATACCTGTCCCAGGTACGTCGGTAATTCTCTGAAAGGAGACACATCGAGGGGAGTTCGCGGGTGTTGGCTTCACTCAATCTTTTTTTACATCGAAAAACCTTTTGCCATTCTCTAGTCACATCGAAACCGTATCCTCGGATAAAACATGATCTCATGACCGTGCAGGGATCGATATGCCTTTTGTAAAAGCTGCAAATCGTAAAAAGAAAGGACGAATCGCACCGACCGGATTCCCCGTGGACTATAAAAGTATCGAATCCCTCCAAGCAATCGATTACCATTTTTCCGTAAGATCCACGCGATTCCGCGACCAGCTCGGGAAGCTTAGTGGCGAAAAAGTTAAACTCGGTTAGGTCGCACAGCCCTCAAACGGAGGAAGTTCATTTTTCATCGCGGCCGTGTATAAACCGGCGATGAATTCTGCCGTCCTTGTATCGAATCGGCCCGATGAAAAAGTAAGTTCCACCTGGCGATCAAACCGCTCAATCCGAAGGACGAATTTCCAAAGGTTTAGTTTCACCTATAACGTGTTACGTGCCTCCGGCGTTGTCGTTAACTCAAAAGCCTCCGGTGGAAACACCTCGAGAAACCCCGCCAGGCCGACATTAATTTCAATACCAGTTCCTTGATCAACGAGGTGCCGAATTAACGAGGGATCTCGGAAGTAGTTTCCATCGAGGGTGACGATACATAGAAGCATTGTAAACTTTGAAAAAGGAAGAGCGTCGTTCGGATGAGTCTACCGACTAGTCACTGGTCTAAGTAACAATACGTACGCGAAGTCATAACAGCTACGGTTAACGGAGAGAATTTTTTGGCGCCATCATTGCCACGCGTCGTCGCGCTTTCAACCCTTTGCCTTTACAATGACGGACTCGTCACCCGGGTCGATCTAAATCGACCGGCAAGGGGTTAAGAATGCCCCATTTCCCTTCGTTCTTCCATCGAGGGCAGAAAACATTCCCGAGGCGCGAAAACGCGGAAAAGTAATCGGCCGCCAACTAAGTCTCCCCGCAACGTGGTCCGAATAAAGAGCGCAGGTATATCTCTAATAGTCGGTACGCTCACACACATGGTTGCACGATGACGATAATAATCTAAGTACCTCGAGCATAAGGAGGGGAAGCATGACAATTTCCATGGCAGCTACGTGGCAAAACTAGTGAAAGGCGCCTCAAAGCTTCGGCCAGGTGGCCTGCACCCCCGATTTGTTCGCTCTCGGCGAAATCGAATCGCTCGCCGGTGAAATCTTCAAATAGAAGCAGACGGTGGTCCGAATTCTTTAAAAGGCTCGCCTTTTAGGACGACGGTCTTCTAAGCGATCTCCGTAGCGACCATCGCGTCGTCTCGAGTGTCACTTTAAACCTACGTATCTCCTGGTTTTCATAACTTTCCACGTTAATTGCGACAATTAGCTCGAGTGGCCATTGATAGTGAGTGCAAATGAATGATCGAATGGCGACTGTTTTTCCAAAGGGAACGGATATTCGACATGCCATGGAGAAAAGATCTTAAAAACGTACACAAAGCTCGATTAAGTATGTACGTGTAATTATCGAAGTTCACGTGCAAGGAGCCGTCCTCTAGTTAAAGAAATCGATCTATTCTACATCGGCTGCGAACTCTTCGACTAGGTTGTGATTTAGCCCCGATCGGAAGGAAATTCGATCCGGGCTCGGGGTTGGGAGCGATACGATTCTGTAGAAAAAAAAAAAAGAAATAAAAAAATGTAAAGGCGTAGTTCATCCCCGTGACTACTTAGGGCCGTCCTTAGACAAATTGCACCTTCGAGCTTTCGCGAGGTTCGTAAATACTCCAGGGAGAAAAAGAGGAACGAGTATACGGAACGGAAGATGGTATCTTTCTCGTACAGCCTTGTTCGCCCCTTATGTAAAGACGGCCCTGTACCTACCCTTGCAGCACCGAGCACCTTTACGGGTCGCTGACTTAACGGTGTTAGTGCAGTAAACTAGACATTAGACTTCATAATCGTGCAACAGTGCGTAATAAAAGAGAGGAAACGCGACGACTGACAGATCCGAATGGTTACGGATATACTCATGGGGACCGAACGACACGGCAAAGTTTCTTATCTCGGGCGACAAAGGAGAGCGAGAGCGATTAACGTTCGGTCGAGAGAGTCTCGAAAGGGATTAACCAATTCCGAGGAGGCGAAATTCATAAATAAGAAGAGTCCTCCTCTTCGACGTCCGCCCCGGGTCGACCTTTCCAGCCTTAAATTAGTACATATTTTATCTACTTTTCTCTTTACTGGGAATTCTTTTCAGCTCCAAATAAAAATTAATAACAGAGACTAGAGCTCGGTCCGGAGCGAAATTCAAAATATGCTCGTACGGTAAGAACCCGACATGCCCAAATCGATTTTTAAAACGAATCGTGTCATCGTTAACGCACCGTACGGACCCTCGGACGCCGCCGATGAAAGAGGACTTTCGTAGGAGGCGGGACTCTTTGTAAAATCACCGCGTAATATTACAGAGACAGTAAATCAATAACGAAGTACGTGACCGTGCACGTTCCGCAAATCGCTTCACCGGGTGATCCTTTAACCGTTTGTCTCGCCGAGCAACATTAAACCGGGGCGATCGTTCCTCGTTATTCGCATCCTCGTTCAAGGGAACATCCGTGAAACCTCGGTCCGCTCGTTAGTAGGGTGGCAAAAACAAGAAGAGGAAACAACGACAAGACGCCCGTTTCTCTCTCCTCTCGGACGGCGAGTCGGTTTGAGGTGTCGGCGAAGAATTACCCCCGTTCCACTTGTTTGCAAATCAGTGAAGGGTCTTGGTCTAAACGGATCGATCGAACCTCGTCTATCGCAAAGTGAAGCTGACGCATATAATTATCGTTCCGTCAGGGCTCCTCCTGAAACGAAACAATCGGCGCCTCCACTCTTCCAATCGTGTATTACGTCCCATCGTATCTCACGATACGTCGGATTACTTTGCGACAGGATATGTATATCTACGCCATGACACTCTACTCGCTATCGTGAACGTAGGAGGCAGACACTTACGGCAGGAATACTCACGCGCCAGGACTTCCTTACGTCGTACTTGCACTCCAATGATGGCTTCCATGGGAACCTCGGTGCGTGGGATGCTGACTGCGTGGGGCGGCAGGTAGATCGGTTTCAGACAGCCAAACGTGCATTCCGGGATCTTGACAACGGTGTGCATGGTCTTGTAACAGTACGCGTGCGACTGGAAGGACAAAGGGCACCGTATCAATCGCGAGACGACGGAGAAGGCGCCGAAGAGGTCCTTTTCGTTATTCTCCTCACCGTGACGCCGCACCACTCGCAGCGGATTCCTGAGAGGCACTCGGCGGAAAAGCATCCTTTCTTGCAGACGACGCATTTCGAGCTACTAGGGAGGTTTCCTTCGCGCCAGTGATGCGTGTGCTTCACTGACGCCAAGTCCTTCCCAGGTAGGTACGTCGCGTTCTCCTTGCAGTCCGCCACCGCGAAATCCTGGCAGTCGGTGTGCACGAAGTACTCGCATACTGGACAGAGAAATTCACGGGGATGGGTGTCTCCTAGCTCTTTCAGGATCTACCTCTAGGACTTACTTTCGCAGTGGATGGACAGATTGTCCTCCAACCGCTTCCGACACACGTTGCAGAATTTCTTCTTGTGGTGTGCCTGCTCGGACCAGCAGTGCGCCACAGGGTTCTGAAAGGACGGGATCGGTTGTTAACAGGGTGCACCAAAAAATCTGCAGATTAATTTAACGCAGTTGTTTCTTACCTTAATCAGGCTTGCCGCGATGCTGGAACAGGGAGAGACGACGGCCTTAAGACAGCGATCGTGCACCACGAAGTTGCACACTGAAACATTAAAATTAAACGGAATTAACGATCAGCAGGGTACAGAGGGGAGGATACGATATCCAAGTCCGATATTATAATATTATTTCGAGCTACCGACGGCGAGACCGACGCTTATATCGAGAAGTCGCGTCTCGGTAAAAGCCATCCGTATCCCCCGGTAAAAGAAAGAAAAAATCGCAACTAATGACACCTCTTGTAAGTAGCCTGGCCGTCCCGGTTGGTCTCGACGCTCAGTGTTCGTTATTGACATTATCGGTGCTCAATGGCGTGCTGGAACAATGCCACCGAACAATTGGCTGGCATAACAAAGCGCGGCAGACCGGCAACACGGACCGCCGAATGGGAGACATTACGTCCGACTTTTCGCCGATATCGTATCGTTTTTCCTGAATCTTTTCCGCGAGTCCGGAGCGAAAGGAAGCGGCCTCGATTTTCCCGCCAACCTCGACATTACGTGACGCGACCGGGAGACTAATCCTCGTATTAAAAAGCAACGCCTTTGACTCGGTTAACTGCAAGAACTTTCTCCGCTCATCCGGTACGATTGGCCCTCGTAGGCCCAATTTTCCAAATTTCTAAAATTCAGAATCCCACAAATTCGACGAAGGTACGAGATTTTAGGTGCTCTTCCGAGGAACGAATCTCACATATTTCCCATAAATTTGCGAATCGGATAATATTGACATCGATATTAATAATGTCGTTGTCAGGTACGTGGAGTTTTTCGGTGGCTAACGTGGAAGCGGGGGCATTGGAAGAAGTTATGCAACGTTTTCAGCCTCTTGATCACGGGTCTGTCCAGTTTGGTGGACGTGGAAAGGACGGAACGAACAATCGAGGGTTGGAGGGCGCACTGACGTCACAGGGCTGCTGGAAAAGCGAAGGCGACTGACCGTGATTGGCCGATGGACGGGGAGCCGAGTCTATAATTAAGGGGGTTCGAAAGGGCAGGAAGGAGTTCTTCCGAAATTTCAGCGACACTTTTCCGCCCGACGACACCACCGAGAGGCGGTTCCCCTTTCCGTAAAACGATTCCTTCCATCCGGCCATGGAATCGAGATGCACGGTGGGAGTCAAAGTGGGCGCCGGGATCCCTCCAAAAATTCGACTCCAAACGGCAAACCGAAATTTCTCCGGCGAGGGGAAGAGTCGGGAGCACCTTCTTCTTTATCGGATCCCGGCACTCCACCTCGAAGCGATCCCACACGAGAGTGGAAACGGGAGACCCCACGGATCGGGGCGGTTTCAGGGAAGCTCGAGGCGCCTCCACTCGAGGGGCGAATCGGAATTTATTCGCACCCTTGCGGCCCTTTCAGAGGTCTACGCTTATTTTCCAGCGGATAACGGAAGCACGGTGCACGGTAAATAAAAATCATTATCGATCCACCGTGCAACGTCATTACGCGAATTTTCCCGACATCGTTCTTATATCTCCTTCAACGATGGAGACGCGACGAGTCTCGGCGATCCCCGATCGGCCTTCATGGAAATTCCGGAGTTAATAATTTTTTAAATCTCTAATTTCTCTTCGGATCTTCCCTCTTCGCGTCCTCCGTCCTCGTCTTCGGGGTCTCCCGTCGCCGAGAGTCGTCTCTTCGCGTTCCAGCTCCCACCAGGCCACCTATTTCACCCCCGACGTCCTAACGAACGGATGGCACGTCGCATCCGACATCGTGCTCTCCTCCCAGAGATGACAAATCGGTATTCATCCGTCGATCCTCGTTGCTCCCCACTCCTCGCCCTTCCTCACCCCTCTCACCCCTTTGGTCTCGCGTTCACCGCTCCCCACCTCACCCCCTCGATCAATGCTCGCGAGTGCCGCGATGCGCGCACCCTCTGCCCTCTGTTTCTCCTCCTGCTTCGTGGCCGTCGGGGCCTCTCTCGATGCGCGCCCCTTCGTTCCCGGAGCGCGGCGTCGACGGGCCCCGTCGGGCCCGAGTCCCGAAGCCAGAGCCAGGCGTCCTCCTTCCCACCCACCGCGCGAATCCCACCCTCGGAAAGCGGACGCGACCCTGAATGGGCACTTTCCATTCATCGCCCGTTGGAGGTCAGCCAGGTTTGGCCTGCCGCGAGCGAGCGAAGGTCCCGAGGAGTCGACATTTCGTTACTCCGCGGTTATCGATCAGGGCAGCGTAATCGCGCTATATGTCCATGGCGGGCGCGATCGGGCCCGGGCGGCGGGACTTCCGGCCGGTCCCCGGGGCCCGAGGGGAAGCCGGCCGCCAGGGTGGGTTTCGGGGCTCGCCGCTCCTCCTGGCGTCGTACCGTCGCAGATGAACCCCGGCTGAATGATGCCCCAGAGTATGTCGGTGCAGCTGTGGCAGTAGGTCGGTTTGTGAAACGTCCTCTTACTGAAGCTGTGCCCGTGACTGGCCGGAGGCTCGGCCGGGGCCGACGCCATGATCCCCGATCCACCGCGGCACCGTTCACGCCAGATTTTCACCGTGAGGCCGCACTGCTCGCACCTCGCATCGATGACACTCGCTCTCTCTCTCTCTCTCCCTTTCTCCCTCTCTTTCTCTCTCTCCCTCGCTCTCCCGCTCGCCCGTTTACATGGCTACGTGATCTCGCAGCCGTAGGCGAGCATCTCGATGTCCAGGGGAGTCCTCGCCGCTCTCAGTTACATGCCCGTGGCGCATTTCCGGATGCTTGCCCGCAGCGTACCGTACCCTCCTCGCGGCCGAGCATCACTGGGCCGAGTGGACCGAAGCTCGGGCCGCCGCGCATCCGAGATACGGTGCGGGCGCCGGACGGCTGCACTGCCAGCGGCCCGCACGCGCCACCCGACCGGCACCCCAGCGCCGCCAACCGACCCCACCGCGCCCCGAGCGACGCCAGCGCCACCCAAGCCGCCGGCCGTGAGCCGAACCCTCGGAGTTCGAAAATTCTCAACGTTAAATCGGAGAAGATAACCGCCCCGGTAACCGGGATACGTCCCGCGGGTTACCGAGAATATCGACTCCTTGGGAGAACGTTCATCTTTTATTTATACTTTAGGCTTCTACCTCGTTTTTTGTCGCGCTCGAGTCATCGGCCCCCACCGGACCGGGTTGCCGGTTGGGACGATAAACTTTCGACGGGGCTGGAATTTTCTCGGGACGTTCGGCGAATAGGATTCGACGGACGGCAGGGCGATCCGTCGTCCTCTCGGTGAAGGTCTTCGAACGCGCTTGAAACTTGCCGCGACAAATCGAGCGCGCAAACGTCCTCTAGGATTCGATTGGCGAATCGTTTCCTGGCTTAGGGAAGGTCCTCCGCGCCTGCGCGGGGCGACCATCAAACATGGCGGCGCCAATCGGATCGACCGGCGCGAACTACCGACTACGTAGTAACCGTTTTTCCGAAATATTAGCGAAAAATGATAAAAACGAATAAAAAAAAAACGATCGACCGCAGAGGCCATCTCGTTCGAGCTTGCGCTATCAGGGGCTTGGGCACGATTTGGATGAAACGTTGAAAACCTTTCCGCAGGTATTTAAGGTTAGCTCGAGCTCGGTTCCTTTGCTTCGATGCGGAACCCGAGGGGCGTCGATTGTACTTCGTGCCGAATAATACATGACCACTGCTCCGGCTATGCCTCGAGCGACCGGGTCTTTTTTCCTTTCTTTGGCCCGGCCTTTTGGCCATGCACCATTTAAACCGGATATACCGCGAGTCTCGTTTTAAGATCTACGAGAAGGTTCCTCTCATAACGGGGGCAATTAAGCCAAGCATGCCAATAATCGTAGATCCGTTCGGATCCGGGAAGAGATTGGTCGAGGTAAGACTTAGCAGAAGTTCGCGCGTCTTTTAAAAATACGCCACTCAACCCACGTAAAAATATGTTTCGACAATAAGCATCGGGGCTCGCACGTGATCTCTTCGCGAGTGCGAGTCGAAATTCCCAATGCTGCCACCCACGCGCAGCCCGAGCGGGACGGCCGTTCTAGGTGGACCGGAGGAAGAATTCGTCGCCGGCCGAAATCTTTCTCCGACTCGTCGGACTTTTTATTTTTACTCTCCGAAGGGAAGAAGCCGCGTACTCGGGGAGCGCGTCCCGCTGCGGAGTCCGCGCCTGCGCGGGAGACGCTCCATATTCCCGAGCGAGGAAGCGTCGGCGCCCCGGAGTGACGTCAGGCCACGTAACCTGTATCGCTTCGGTTCACCCCGAGGAAGAGATCCTTCGAAACCGCTGGAAAACCTAAACGCCTCCCAATATTTATTCAGAAAATCCTAATCAACTTAACGGACGAGTCTCTCGAAGGCCCTCCAAAAATACGGAGTATACCTCCACGCGCTTCATCCACGACCCTAAATATGCGTATCGATAAGGCGAATTTTTTTTCCCACGACCCGAAATATGCGTATCGACGAGCGAATGATTTCGTCCGCAGACTCCTGTCGAAGGGCAGGACGCGTAACGTGGAAGATTAGGTGCCACGATATCGAATCGTCCGTCGTTCGATACAGGGTCGAACTCGTTATCTCATCCCCGTAAAGTCTCGGCTACAGGGGGACATATTTCGGCGTAAATCGGAAAGCTCCTTCCCCGAGTGACGTTCTCGGCTCCTCGTCGTCCCTCCGATCCGGCCGTCGCGTATTCTTGACCGAAATTCCCTCTCGGGGAAACTGGGCCAGCGAGGAAACACCGTCCGTGACGTCACGACGACCGATCGCGGAACGCGACGACGCGCTGAGAGCTCGCCGACGAACGTTCCAGATTTTAAGACAGTTTCCAATGCACGGCCGAGAGGGCGGCACGACGCCGGGGAGACCGGGTATCCTTCCCGTCCGACGAATCGATGCCCGAAACCACTCGTCCTGAGAAAAACTCGAGGAATTTCCGGACAATTAGTAGAGAGCTCGCGACATAGTCGGACGTATCGATCGGCGATTGATCGCACGTCCTCCACTTATACCTGCCGTTTGCACCCCAACGCTGTAAATAAAAAAAAAAAATGTACAAAACGGAACTACTCGGTTCCATCAATTCGAAGCCGCTAATGACCGACGGTGGTCGACGCCGCGTAAAGAACGAGAGAAAAAAATATGTAAAGTAGCCGGGCACCGAGGGAAAAAAAATGGGTCACAGAAAAAAAAACAGCGGTAGAGTCCGTAGCAGGTCCATGCACCACGTAAGAAACGATTTCGGAATGTCTTCGATATTGTATCGCGGCTTGCCGTTCTTCAAACTGGGTCATGTCTACAATATTGCCAACGCGCGTTCCGTTTTGGGGCGAAACACGTGACGCAATTTGCGGCAGCTGCAATTACACTTTCGCTGTCATTTCGCATGATTTTACGGATGTAATACTTATTTCGATCGTTCGAAGATTCCACAATACGAGGAAATGGTAATTTCTCGGATTTTATAATTAGGCCGTGGGACATATTTTTACCGTGCCGTAACATTCGAGGTACTTATCGGGTATGGTTTAAAACTCGCCGATAATTTATATTTTACTCCATACCGTGTACACTGTTACAGCATATGTGTATATATATCTTGATGTATAGCATTAATGCCTAGTGAGTTAGCGAAGGGTGCACGTTAACGAGGTGCATAATTGACGATAACGTAGCATAACGTTGTAAAGAATGTACTCGGTGTAGTTAGTGGCAATTGATATTACACTAGATAGGTTCTCATGGACGGAGTTTGAAGCGCGGTCTTCGATGCGACGTTCGATTTTAACTTCGTACGTTAAAACTTTCAACGTCGACTTTAAGAATAAATGCAATTTCTTTCAAGCCTACTAGTAGCTAATTCTAAAAAAAGATGAATAAATTCGTAGAGTAGTAAATATAAGTGCAATAACATGTCAAGTTACGGAGGCGAGGAAATCGTGAAATATGTATCCGTGCAGCTGTATTAGTTGCCATTGTAACGAACGCACGTGTGTAAGGTGACATTATTTTACAGTCATTAGTTAAACTTATACACGTACTTAACGCCTTATACATTTTGATTAATGCTGCCCTGCTCGCAGTCGCATCATCAAAAAAAAAATTGTCAGTTGTGCAGATATAAGATTAGGATCGCATATACACGATAGTAAAAAAAAAAAAAATAACGCTATTAAATGCGATGCAAACCTGTTAAGAATCTGCTTCAATCTGTAAATATTAAGTACCGGGAGACCTTATTACCATGGACATTTCGAGCTTCCTTAAAAATATAACGATATTACGTCTGATTACAGCCTAATATTAATTCATCGGGGTATCGATACGACGAGATAAAATGAAAGGTTATTCGCTTTTCTCAGACACTGAGCCTGCTTGAATATCTAGATATTTGTAAGAATTATTTATACGACCGCCTATTAGCACCATCGCGTGGTGCAAACATGAAGAAAATCCATTACTCTATTAAATTCGAAGAACTCATCACTGGCTATTCCTCCCTCCCAAGGGCAGTGGAATGGTTAAACATTCGATTAATTTAAACCCTACTTCAGCAGTAACAAGTGTAACACGCTAGATTCCTCTCACTCCTGCCAGAGTCCAATGGTTGAAAATGTGATGTAAAAATATATGTATATATCACTAGTGCTTTGATAAACCTATTAATCGCGATAATAATCTTTCAAGAGCCAATACAACGTCCCAAGTGTACGTATACGGTTTACATTAGTTCTCATCAGAACATTTGTGGGAAATCAGAGAAAAATTCACTTAAACTAAAATACCGCAAGAAACGGTGCTTGCTGTAAGTACATAATTATAAAGGCCATTTCTTCCACCGCCACGAGGACGTAGAGTACATTGGTCCAGAATTAAAACCTACAAATTGAAGGAATGCATAACGTTGCGGTAGGCCAGGAAGGGCGCTCTCTTAGGACCTCTCGATTACAAGCTAATTTTCTTGAAGATCTCACAATATCAATCGATATCAACGATACCAGAAGTAATTGCGAATGAAAAAAAAAAAAAAAATTCCTCATCTAAAAAGGAACGTCCCCAGCGATTACACGATCGTGGGAAAAATGGAGCAAATTCCCCGGCTCCGATTGAACAACCATAAATGCCATTCCTTAGTGATAATAACCCGAGGAGAATCCGAAAAGCACCGGGGAGAGAAAATCCCACGGATATGGGAACGCGATGATCGGTATGACTCTTACAACCGAGGATGCAAGACCGTATTACCTTTTATAGTCTCTTTCGGGTGTAACCCTCACGCCAAGGGTCAGGGACAAAGAAAAGGAAGTAAGGAAAAGTGCGGCCGGTATGCTGCTGGAAAGGATTATCCTAATCCGTGGTCTTCGAAAAATCCTTGAGGAGTTTCTTCCTGGAACATAAAAGAAACATCCCAGTTGAGTACATGGCTAACCGCGCTTTCAGTCGAGATATGAATAGGGGTCAATTACTTTGATGCTGCGCACTAAGGCATTGTGCGGATACGTAAATTAGCCAAAAATATAAGTGCACGTACCTACTTCGTAACAAGTTATCTTCTCCGGTTGCAGCTTCAAATGGTGAACTGAACCCTTTTCATATGACCGATCATTTAAACGCGTCGTCGTGCCAATTGCACGCGTCCATTCTTATCAATGTAACATGCTTCAGAAATCTGCGTTGCGATAACGACCATTCCAAGGATCGATTTAAAGAGAGGATTATGTTTTCGTCCACGAGAAGATAAAAGTTGGGACAAGAAGGTTCACGGTTTCCTTAAATTAATCGTACAATTAATCCTAGAACAGTAACCGATCACTTAAGAGGACACTGAAATTCTCTCCGAAGATCTTTGACATTTCCTAGAAAGTTACTTTATTTCATATAACTTAATCTCCATCCTTAGCATAAGGAGCTCGGATCCGTATCTTTTACAAGCGTATACATAATTCTCTAATCTAAGCACCGAACCTAATCCCGCGAATTTTGGAAGTGGTGACAAAACGGCTTAAAAGGTTCGCTTAGAGGCGCCTTCACACCGGGCGAACCGTCCAACCGAATCGCCGGATTAACAATAAAAAATTGACAAAACGCTCCTACAAACCACCACAGCACATCGTTCCTCGCCTTTCAACGGCGAATCGAGCCATTCGTTAATTTCTAACGTAAGGTATTCGCACGTTCCATCCCAAAACACACAAAAAAAAAAAAAAGAGAAGAAGAAAAAGGAAAGAGGTGCGCAAGGTGCGAAAAAGGCAAAGACAGAAGATCCTCTACGGACTACGTACTCCGAGTAAGTAAAATCGTTATTGCTAGGTACCGCAAGGTATTGCGGGTGCACGAGTCAATAAGTATAAACGGCCGTCAGTGTGGAACGTTTCTTTCGTCTCCTTCCCCTTGCACCGATGCAGGGAGAACCATGTGCACGTCGTATATCACCTCGAGTCCCGATTATACGGCGAAAGGTACGTATAAAAATATGCTAGAGTCCGTTATACGCATGCTTAGATCGCAGATAAGTGCCGAGTGTCTCCACGTCCAAGATCTAGTGTGTTCGTACAACGTGAGATAGATACGCGTGGAGGCTGAAAGAATGGCTGAAGAGGAGTCTCCGATCTTCGGGGTCGGGGGGTCCAGGCTTGGGAACGCAGTTCCTGAGCGTCTACAAAAGCCCTATTTCCCGCAGAGTACCTTCGACGGCTTCGTCCTTACACAAACAAACAAAGGCTAACTAGTCTTGCGCGCGTGTTTGCCTAATTTCCCGGGTTAATTCGCCGGATAATATCATACTGACAACAAGATGGCACACACAGTCAACCGAGAACCTAGCGAATCTCTTGGCTTGCTACCGCACTTCGATGACACCTCCTCGGGGCGATTCCGCTTATTCGCCAATTAAAAACGTATTCCAGAAGTGAGGTGCGACACCCCGCCGAGAATAAAGAGACCGTTCAATGAAATCCTAGATTTTTTTTTCTTTTTTTTTTTTTTTTTCCTTATCGCGCCCAGGGATTCGGATAAGAAGACAAAAGATTCGATTTGTTGCCGAAGGCTCGGTTAACGACATCGGTTTAACGAGACATCAAGGTGCACTGGCCACACTACCACTTGCGGAATTATTTTGGCGTGAACGTTTTGGATTAACAAGCCCCTAGATGTTAAGAGGAAAAAAAAAAGGACAAAAAAACGATAATGAGCCTCATCACAAATCTATCTAGCGATTCTCGAGAAATCACGTCGATGTAAAATATGCACAGACGACAGTTACAATAATTTTACATTCAAAGCGTAGGTGCCATTGGTGAAAAATTCTTTTATTAATAACCAAAAACATACAGATACATAATAAACAATCTACTTATAAACAGCAGCATTTCTATAGCAAACAGCCACTACCGCTCAAAAAAAAAAGAAAAATAAAAGAATTATAGGATCTGTCAGTTCTGCGGACTAACTATAACTACAATTATTGCAACAACGAACAGTTGTACGAGACATCAGAAATGTAATCAACGGTAAATGTACGATAATCAGGATATGTACAAATTAGTCTTAATTAGTCTTGTCATACGTGTTTGTCCATAAATATTCGAGATATGAAAATATTTGTTTGACCTTCCGCTTCTGCATAAAAATTGTCTCTATTTATATGCAGCCTATGCACTTTACTACGTCAGGTTTACGATTCGATTAGATCTATGTTAATCTAATAGAATTTCATCACTTTAATAACTTTAAACCAAAACCTGAACCTCAAGATCGCCAGGCCCCTTATATGTTACAATTACAAATATAATAATTAATTGAAACACGTGGTACGTCAGTATAAAATAATAACAAAGCTTATAAAAAAAAATATTATGCTTGATTAATACTTTTGGAAAGAGCAATATTCCGTAGGCAACCGAAAGCTCACTTTAGTTAGGAATGAAAGTGGAATAACAATAAATTGTATAACACAGCGCCGAAGCAAGGAACGACTAGAAAAGGAAGCATAAAAAACAAATCGAGCTTCTAACTGTACAGTGTCTGAAATGGCACAAAGGTTATAAATAAAATCTATTTATACATATAAACTCTTGAATTGAGAAACGAGGCAAGATGTAACGTTAAAATAAATTTCGTGAAAACACGTTTTTATTATTAAATATTATGCAAGCTCGTTTTGTACACGACAGAATAAAGCTATATTTCTGCTTGCTTAAATATAGAATTTCAAATAATTACCAGATACCTATCAAATGTTATTCATAGGTAGACCATATACATTAGATAATACTTTAACTATTGCATCAAGTACATTTTTTTTCCAAAAACTCTTACATCAATGCTTTATTTGCTATGGAAATGCTGCGATGTTCATACATAAATACTTTGATTGTAAATATAAGAATACATCTATGCAATTCTAAACAAGCACAACCTAAGTTTATAAGGACACTGAACATGTAAGCACTCTACGCCAACTTTAAAGTCAAATGATATATATCATCTCAAAAGTGTTATACAATAACATGCTCCTACTCCTACCGATATGGATCATAATGTATACACATTCTGCATGTTCGTGCCGATATCACTTTATACAGACTGTGGTGCACTTGTGTAATTACAAGTACAATGTTCACCAGCAATGTTTAAATTAATAAAATGTTATCCACTTTTGAAGCAGACATTTTTATTATCATTGCCCCCAAGCACTAAAAGTTAAAACATAATCCTCGTAATTTTTTAAAAATCCATATAAAAATGTACTATTAAATCATGCAAATCAAGTAGTGATCGAGTACCCTGTAAAACCAAAATGGCATTGTTTGAAATAAATGGAAAACATTGCACATTTACCCAGAGTGCTCAGACTGTACAGGTTACCCTTGTTACTAGGGACGTCACACGTTAACTCCCAAAGGACAAACAGGTCATATAAATATCACTTTAGCATCACATGCACATTAGTCAAATGCCAACATTTATTACATAATTAATCTAGTTTAGTTATATTACTTTCTTCAAGATCTATTAAGCTCGGTATTCTTTCAGTTAGATTTTGGCATTACGTGCAGTGCTAAGCCAAAGTGATGTGAATAAATAAAAGAGATAAAGGAGAAGATGTCGGAAACGGTAACATTCAACAAAACAGGTCACAACTCTATGGGAACATCTCCATGACTAACCTCCTGCAGCAGATCCTGTGCAGCAATGGCTTTCAGCACATTTTTTTTGCTTGTCTCTTGTATCTCACCACCCACCAATAGTTCATCCAGGATAAAATATGCCTTTTCAAAGTTGAAAATGATATCCAGTTCACAAACCTATGAGATAAAAGTAATGATATTCATTATCAATTATTTTTTATTAGCTCGTTATAACTTAATATAATTTATTGCTTGTACTTACACTGCCAAAGTATTTGTCCAATAGTTCTACATATCGATGTATGATTTCGAGCGTGAGCAATTCATTATCATTTTGCTCGATAGCACAGCAGAAATATAAACTAGCGTATCTGTAATGAAATAAAAATAATAACCGTAAAAAGGAAATAAAAGAAGTAATATTTAGTATTAAGAATACTACGATATTATAAAATTCACCTTTTATAAACCACTTTTACATCCTTCCACTCGAGAAAGCTCGACATCTTCGGCTTTCTGGCAAGAATAGTTGTAATGAGTTCACGCGTGATTTTCTTTTTCAATTTATCAGGATGCGCAACATACCACTTCTGTAGTCGCAACTTTCCTTGTCGACTAAACAACAGCATAAATTGCATCTGAAATTTAGACAGTACCGTTACCTGTTGGAACACGCCAAAGAACAGAACCTGGAAGTAGACACTTACCATCTTTCTAAAATTTTCAGTTCCTTTTGATAATTCTTGAATAAACTTAAAAAATAACAATTCCACTCTTATACTTTTTTGTTCAGCTCTTAGGTTTAACAATTAGCATTCTAGAAAAATGTATTATACTATTGTTCCAAGTGACAACCTATCGCCGCCATCTTGTTAGTCAATTCAGACCACAATTGTAACAATGAGTATGAGAGAACTCATGTCCCGAATGTGACCACTGTAAAAGAGGCGCTGCTACCTAGTGACCACACCTAGAACCTAGTACATTTTGAATGTAGCGCTGAGTGGCGGTAATTTTTGAAAATAAAATCAGAGATGAGTGGGAGATTGCCCCTCTTCCGTTGAGCTCGTATGCAACCTCCCAACTTATTTCTTGTTGTGTTAGAAAGCACGTGGTCGAGGATGAATTGTTTTTGATAGTGGAACAGTTTCATTTGATTCCGTTAAAAGGTGTTGAATTCTCATTTTGACTGGATCTTTAAATCTTACCGTCACTGAACTATAGTTGTTCTTCTGAAACCCTAAAATGGGTTTAACAAAACAATACTTACGATACGGTGCAGCTGGTAATTTAAACGTAATTACAAGTTCGAAATGCAATATAGTATTCGTAACATTAGAAGGCCAGGAAGGTAGATTTGTAGCTGTAGGCGCAGCCGAACACGTATATATCTGGGACCTTCGTTTGGGTGAAAAAGTGAGCTTGCAATTTTAACACGTCATTTTCCAAAAACACAATGAGATGCAAAAGGACCAAGTATTTGAGACTGTTTTTAATTATAGGCACAAGTTTTATTAGGAGAAACAACAGATGCTTCGTATTTAGCCGCATCTCCTAATAAACGCTACTTAGCTGTGGGATATGCTGATGGTACACTAAGAACGTTTGACTTACGATCTGCTGAGAATGTTAGTACCTTCATTGGCCATCGTTCCGCAATTACCACGTTAGCCTATGATTTTTTGGGTCATCGACTAGCCTCGGGATCGAAGGTATTTTGTAGTTATTTTTTTAATCCTGTTTTACTGCATATATAAATACCACTATTATTGCTTTTAAGGATACCGACATCATTATTTGGGATGTTGTCGCAGAGGCAGGAATATGCCGTTTGGCAGGGCATAAGGGTGTAGTTACTGCTGTAACATTCATGAGCAAACACAATATTCTTATCAGTGCAAGTAAAGATACGTATGTTAAATTTTGGGACCTGGATACACGACATAATTTTAGGACTTTAGTAGGTCATAGGTCAGAAGTAAGGATCCTTTATAATTTATGGATCATTGTTAACGTCTACTTTTAAACAAGTGTCTCATTTGAAAGTCATTTTATTGTAGATATGGAAACTAGTGCTTGTCAAGGATGATAAATACTTGGTGACTGGCTGCAATAACAATGAGTTATATGTTTGGAAAATATTTTTTGTCGATAATCAAGACATACAGGAACACATAAAAAATTTAAATATTGACGATGAAAATCAAGTGAATGATGCTGTAAGGCCTTTTATAATAATCCAAATTAATTTGTCTTGATCATGCATTTGAGAAACATTTTCACATAATTATTTGATTTCTTGCCAGAACTATCCATTGCGTTGTGAAAAACTTGGTGTTATTTTAAGAGCTGGACGGGGACGTGTTGTTTCATTGAGAACTGAAGCTACAGGTCAAATTATAGTATGCCATGGTGTTGATAATACTATAGAAACATTTTATTTTTTACCACCGGATGCTGTAAAACAAAAAATGTCAAAGCGATTAAAAAAGGAAAAGAAAAAAGAGGCGAAGTATGCATATACGTATATTAGAACTTTTAAGTTGATACAAAACAGTCAATAAAAATGGTGTCAATCATTTTTCTTTCAGAGAGGAAAATTCTGTGGAAGTTCTTCCCTCGAATACGCCAACTTTAAAAGATGAAATAAAAAGACTTCCTGTTATTAAAGTGTCAAATAAAGCAAAAGATCTAGATGTGATTATGGGAGGAGGCAATGAGCTGAGGGTAGTACATTTATAATGTATTTAAAAATATTATATTAAATCGGTAATCTATCATATATACATCATTGAATAATAACAAATTAATTTCAGATATGCACTAGTTTAAATAATAATAGTATCGAATTGTACTCAATATCTGCATTAGAAAAAGATAGCGAGCCAAAGAGTTTGCGATCTATAGTTATCCATGGTCATCGAACTGATGTGAGAGCTATTTGCTTCAGCTCTGATAATTTATCATTTGCAACAGGAAGTGGAGATTCTGTCAAATTGTGGAACAGGTAATGGATATATATTTTTTTTACGTTTCATTATTACAATTTTTTCTTCCAAATATTTAGGTCTACACTGTCATGTTTACGAACCGTCGAATGTGGCTATGTTTTGACACTAACTTTTGTTCCTGGTGACAGACATCTGATAGTAGGTTTAAAAAGTGGTTCAATGTTGATTATCGACATCAATTCTGGAGACATTTTAGAGGAAATTTCTGCCCATAACCACGAATTATGGAGTATTGCCTTATTTCCAAACATGGTATGTAGTTTTGAATGCCTGGTTTGCAAACTCTCTTGGAACATTAATTAATACCATTGCAGAGAGGAGTAGCAAGTGGTGGAGGTGATAAAACTGTAAAAATCTGGAATTTCGAGTTGATCAAAGATAGTATGGAATTTACGAAAGCAAAAATACTGTCAGTTTTGCATACCAAAACATTAAAATTGGAAGAAGGTGTGCTATGTGTTAAAATTAGCCCAAACAGCCGATTCATTGCCATATCCTTACTTGATTCTACAGTGAAAATATTTTTCTTTGATACGCTAAAGGTAATATTGCAATGTTTTTACTAAAGTAATCTCCAAGGGTGAATAAATTAAAAAATTCTTTGTTTCCTCTTAGTTTTTCGTATGCCTTTATGGACATAAGTTACCAGTTCTCTGCATGGACATATCGAGTGACTCCTCTCTTATTGCAACTGGATCAGCAGATCGTAATATCAAAATTTGGGGCATGGATTTCGGCGATTGCCACAGATCACTCTTTGCGCATGACGATTCAGTCACTGGCATTGCATTTGTACCAAAAACTCATTACTTGTTTACGTGCGGCAAGGATGGTAAAGTGAAGGAGTGGGATGCTGACATATTTAGAAAAATCATCACTTTACGAGTTTGTTCTCCCCTTTTTTAAATTATTACAATGTTAAACAATTATAACGAGTTATTTAATTATCTGATTTTATTTAGGGACATTCTGGAGAAGCCTGGAATTGTGCAATTTCACCAAATGGTATGTGCATTGCTTCCTGTGGGTCAGATGGAGTAGTCAGAATATATGAACGCACGATGGAACCATTGGTATTAGAAGATGAGGCCGAAGAGGAAAGAGAAAAACAAGAAAATGAATTAGCAACTGGAGATATCACTGTAGTTCAGGGTCAGAAACAACAACTGCTGCCATCAAGAAAAACAGTCAACAGCGAGAAAGGGGTACTGTATACAGGAACATTTTAATTTTTATTGCTTTCTTTCTAACAATATTACTAATATAATGAGAATACATATACATTATATTTCTATATAGGCGGAGTTAATTTTAGAATGTTTAGAGATTTCAAAAGACTATGACGAGCAAGTAGCCATAGACCCTAATTCTGCACCACCACCTCCAGCACTAATGCAAGCCTTAAAATGCGTAACCACTGAACAATTCTTCTTGGAAACGGTGAAACGTGTACGATTGAGGTGAGGATTTAATAAGTAAAACTATCATTTCATTATCTATCCGATCAATCTTTTGTCTTCAGTGAATTAGAAGAAACATTATTACTGTTGCCGTTTTCTGCTGCCTGTGAAATTTTGCGAATGCTCCCGAATCTATTAAAGAGTGATTATCAGGTGGAATTATTAGCTAGATTAGCATTGAGCTTAATACAAGCACATCATGGACCAATTATTTCAAGTTCAAACCTTCTACCAATTCTGGAATCAGTACAACAGCTTATCTTCGAAAGAGTATCGGCATTAAAGGTATATTTACACATTGATAAGTTTCAAAATAACTATCTTAGTAATTTAATTGGAGCCATGCAAAGGATTAATATCTTCTAATATTGCCCTTGCAGGATATGATAGGGTATAATCTATATGGTATGGCGTACATGCAGCGTCTCATAGAGGATCGTGAAAACATTCAATTGTTCAAAGATGCAACCAAGAAAAGAAAGCAAAAGTATAAAAGTATAAAAAATAAACAGAAAGCTTTGAAAAGAGCTATTATTATGTTATAGCAATTTGTTTATATGTATATATCTAATCAAGGATAATTTAAGCTGTTTTATGTAATGCTGATAAATTATAAGATGACGAAATAATAAAGTGTAATAAAATTTACACGCAAATTCAAATTTTCCAGAAAACATGACACTTTATTGTGTACAAATCTAGTGTGACTAAGATGTTACTTGTTTTGTGTCACTTGTAAGTATTGGTGCATCGATAGCACCGATTTCTTTTAGTAAATCTTGTTTTTTTGCAAAGTAGTCACGATACCACATTATGTGAGATTTCTTAAGCTCAACAGTCATATAAGGATTTTTAGATAATCCAACACAGACCAGTTCCATAAAATGCCGAATTGGTCCTTTTTTAGGGCACCAATCTTTTAAATGATATTCCATGAAAACGTGTTCTGAAAAATGTATATTGTGCTCTTCTTCCATTCCTATAAAGAAATATGTTTTATTAAAGATATACAAGGATAAATAACATTATGAATGGCGGCAATCTAGATTCAAAGACTATACCTTGTTCATTATCAATTGGAAATTTCCATAGTTTTCCTTGCTTGGTCCATAAAATCATTTCTTGGAAAATATTTGATGGTGGATGAGTTACCATAAGATCCAATTCACTCTCTTGTAAAGCTTCCCATGTTGAAAGCTTCGGAGATTTGTCATTTTTAACAGAGTCATTGGTAAAAATGTCTAATGGTAAACCATACAGATGATCAATTACAATTCTGTAACCAGATGCCGTTATTAGACACAATGTTTTTGATATTCCTTTGGTAAAAGAGTAAAAGGTATTACCTTCCTTGGTATTTACTTCCTACATGTCGTAGCTTATCTGTTATTTGCTGGAATCTTCCTGGATAGCCAACCTTTTGATCCATTGACTCATATACACTGTCTTCTATCTTCGAGGGTCTACTACTTGACAATGTAGTCCTATCATTAGTTTGAATTGGTTCTTTATATCTATTTGATCGGTGTCTTTGTTCTTCTAGTAATTCTTTAACCAATTTTGCTCGATTCATTTCACCTATATTGATTTTCTTCGGTGGTAATCCTGCTGATTCCTTGGATATCCCTTTGCTAAAAAAGAAGTAAAATTTCAAATTATGTTTATATTACAGATTACAACGACAGTGGTGCATAAGTAATTAAACCTAAATGGTGTGTCCCTTGAATCTTTTGTTCCTTGTGGTATACGTTGCTTATTAATATCGGAATCTGTAAGTTTACTTAATAACTCTTTTTTTGTTTTCTCTTGATCTCCACCCAGTGATGTTGCCACTGATTCAACTGCAGACTTCAATTTTTGTTCTATATCAACAAATGTAAAACCGTATGTGTATAATACAATTGATTAATCGTGAAATTGCTATTTTATTGGTACTATTCTCTACTAACCAAAGGGATTGTCTATGCTATGCTCAGCACGCTTAATTGCTTTCTTTCTTGGGCTTATTGCAACATTCAAACTCTTTGTGACTTTCATATCCTAAAACATTTAATTTCTTATTCACATCAATTAAGAATATTGCAAACAATATCCTTAAACATGAAATACCTTGGTCATCATATTTAGTAAATCGTTTAACCTAGTTTCTACATCAGAAACAGCGCTGTCAAGTTTCTGTTTTCTGTTTGTCTCGGATGGCTTTTCATCTTTATCAGAGTCAGAAGAATCCGAGGAACTAGAGGAATCAGAGAAGTTACACCGTCTTGTGGATATGTACAGCCACTGAATCGATCCTCCTACACCTGTCCTAGATCTTTTAAAGATACTTAATAAATTAATATAGGCAATCATGGCATTATACGCTTTACAAATAATTAAGCAAATTAAAGAATTGCTTATATCGATCGACAATATAAAGTTAAGTAACGGGTACATTACCTTAAGAATAATCGTATTGGTATCATGTCTGACTTTTTTAATATCTTACTGAAGTATTATCGACGTTCTTAACCTTCTTAACATTTGCATTATTTTCCAAGAATAGTTGGGGTAGACTCAACCGAAGAGAAAAGTAGAGATTACCAATGCCTCAAATTTAGTAGCTATAGTGAGTCGCTGTCACCTAATGGCAGTCCTTCGAAACTCTTCCACACTTAACACGATATACTTCCTATTATCATGTGGGAAGAAAAGAATAGTTGTGCCTTCTGTATGCATACAAACACGGCCACTAGATGGCAGTGATCGTCCGATAACGGCGAAACCCAATACGGGTATATTCTATGTTGGAAGAAACGTCAGATTTGTTACGATTACTTAGAAAAAGTTAGGAAAAGTCATGTAACTTGTCATTGATAATGGCATATTTATTTCAACCGGATTATGTGCGTTATGCATGTAACTGCGGCTCTCTGAAACCAATTTCAAAAATTTATTTTTGTCGCCACTGCATAAAAATTCGATGTGGATATTGCGTTTGTCATGAGGTAACTTTTCAACTCGTTAAACTGAGTATTGCATTAAAATTTAGAATTTTTAACAACAAACCAATTGCTCCCAACAGGTTGACTCTCACTATTGTCCTAACTGTATGGAAAATTTGCCATCGGCTGAAGCTCGTCTGAAAAAGAACAAGTTGGTTACTAACCAATTATGGTTATATTTTAACGGTTCATCTGCAATCAAAGTGTAATGAAATTTCATTTTTAGATGCTCAAATTGCTTTGATTGTCCATGCTGTTTTCAAACGCTGTCAACGCGTGCTGGACACGCACCGTCGAGGCCATCGTCTTCTGCAAATAGTGGAGATGATGGTAAAGATGTTAAAGCTACTCCAAAAAAAGTATATTATTTATCCTGTTCTTTATGTCGGTGGACCTCACGTGATGCTGGGATACCGGATCAGTATGTTGGTATGTATTAAAATATATTATTTATAGTATATTAAAATAATGGAATATATTATTACTTTGCTGCTCAGCAACCGGAGGTTGGCCAGAACAAGAGAATCCTCATACAATAAGAATTAGTGCTCTAATTGAGTATCACAAAATTTTGGTTTCAAAGGAGAAGCAACAACGCGAACGTAAGAAATTTCGTGCCAAGCGTCCTTTTGCACAATTTGTAAGTATATATAATTTGAAATAAGATCATTGAATTTCATGTTAATAAATGATATTTTTAGGAACCATTTGATCTAACGTCAGCAATTGCTCGGAAGCGTATAGGTCAGCCTCATTCAGTCTGGGATGCTCAGTCTCAGAATAGTGATCAACCTTCACCTTCAATAGCATCTGAAGATGTTGAGACTTTACCTGCAGGAATATTTACAGAAGTAATCGATATAACTAAAAGTAAGATCTTTATACTAAATTGCAAATAGAAACTACAAATATTCATTTTATTATTATAATTGGGTAATTATATATGATAGTTACTACATTGGAACAACGGTTGCAACGTCCAGACATGCAACCTGAAAGAATTAATGAGCTACGTCCTCAGCATAAACAACTTCTTGTCAAAAGGTCTCTGCGCTGTAAAACCTGCGAGCACAATGTCAGTAAACCAGAATTCAGCTCTCAGTCCATCAAATTCAAAATTCAGCTGACTGCCTTGTAAGATTTTGCATTATTGACAATTTTAATTTTTTACCAAAGTAGAGATTCTTAAATTATAATTAAAATGGTTTTAGCTATCACATTCCAGAAGTCCGCATAGTCACATGTGAACCTTTACGAGCAGGCATATCAAGTGAATTACTTCTAAAATTTTGTAATCCAACACAACATCAAACTCAAATAATTTTGCTGCCATTGGAAACATCAACTGTACCAACTACTATAACAGAAACTGGTGAAATGGAAGAACTTAAACGAGAAAATATACAAATGGTGAGATTAAACATTTTTCATTAACGCGTATATTTTATTTCCTTTATAACAATTTTTATAATCTTTAGGGTTTTGATTCACCTAATCTTCTGCCATTTGCGGTTCGTCAAGTATCTGTCACAGAAGATCCAAAATCCATTACGATTATTCCTGGTGCAAACATTTCTTTACCTCAAAGTGCATTGATTTTACCACCTCGAGATGATGCAGCTGAGTATGATGATACTGGTGATACGCATAATTTTCAAGATGATCCAAAGTAAGTTACTATTTACAACTTCATAAGAATTTAAAGCGCATTCAATATATTTATGATTTATAGTTTGGTTGTGTGGCGAAAAGGAAATAAAGCAATTGTACGATTACAAGTTACACCTCACAGGGGTGAACAATCCATAGAGAATCAAGAGAATATTATTGTGGGTCTTGTTATGCAGCATGGATATGTCAACACCATTGCGACATTAGAACATAAAACCCCGCAACAGTTAGATCTAAAGGCAAAATTATTCCTCACTCTTGGAAAGCTTGTTGGTATATAATTTCACACATTTGTGAATTAATACATTATATTAGCACTTAACTTTCAACAATTCATGACTTTCTTGCTTGAAATAACTGTAGTAATATGTAATTATATATGAAACTTGTATTCTATCTTCATATTAATGAATAAAAAAAAGAATGACTAAACTTATCTTATTAATTACCATTTCTAACAATAAACCAAATCAGGGCAGTTACAATAGCAAAAAGAATAAAGTATATTAATTTTATAAATTTATTGTAATAAGATAGCAAACCATACATAGTACAGTAAGTCCTTTAAAGCCTGCGACCACGACGGCCTCCCTTTCGGCGTGTAGAGTCAGAAGGAATCGGCGTGACATCCTCGATACGACCGATCCTCATGTTAGATCGAGCAAGAGCTCTCAATGCAGACTGAGCACCTGGTCCAGGAGTTTTCGTCTTGTTACCGCCGGTTGCTCTGAGTTTAATGTGCAATGCAGAAATACCAAGCGATTTGCATTTTTCTGCGACATCCTATATGCAAGATATTTATAATGAGTTCAATGTACATTAGACTCTATGGTAACATATTTGATCATTCACCAAAAATTAATTACCTGTGCTGCCAACATAGCAGCATAAGGTGATGCCTCATCACGATCAGCTTTTACTTTCATTCCTCCGGTGACACGAGCAATAGTTTCTCTGAAAACCGCGATAATTAAATTACGTACACGTCGAGTTTATCATCCAGAGGTTAGGTAAAGAGGTTATGTTTTGGAAAAAGTAATCGCAATAATATGCCAACCTGCCAGACAAATCGGTTACATGAACAAATGTGTCGTTGAAACTGGCGAAAATGTGGGCGACGCCAAAAACGAATTCTCCTTCTCGAACTTGAGGCCCGAGGGAGAGTTGCACTTCTTCCTTCTGAACCTTTCCTCTCTTAGGCGCCATTTTTGTCTGAAAATGTCACAAATGATTTTACGTACGAATTGTTATAACATTCTTTGGCAATTAACATTTCTTAAATTTTATTCGCGAAACTATTTCTACATTCTACATTAATTTCAAACTATGATAGAAGAATATTCGGAAAGACTTTTTGACAGCCGAATGCCGAATTCTCCGTGCGATCGGCACTCACGTCGTCAAATTTTAATCCACTAACATCTAATTATTTAAATGGTATACTGCAGAAGTTATAAACTTTTATTATTCTCGCATATTAACACAACGCAGCGAATTCGATATCTTTTACTTAAAGTCACTATTTATTAAATAATTCCATCAAAAACGTACGCACTGAACAGCGTTGTCTGCAGCCCACCTGATACAGGAAGCTCGAAGAGACAGGGCTTCCGGCGCGCGAAATCAGAAACGTGCTTTCGATTATTAAAAATTACGTGAATAATTTTTGAAATACAGATTATAATACGTGAAAACCTAAAAAAATTGTTGCTATTGATATCAATGTTGTTATCAATGTCATTACTGAATGAACTTTCATCAAGGAACTGTTTAACATTTCTGGGAGAAAGTTGTTAGCCAGTGAGAAGACGCGTGAAAACGGTGATTTTGTAAACGCGCCTAAATATGGGATAAGTAACTTCCTGTTAAGCTGGAGTCCACTGAGCGCGATGCGTCAACGCATCTGCATGGAAAGCCAATCAAAACTTCGACGGAAGTGACGCACGAGGTTAAGCGTAGTTCCGATTGGTTCTTCATTTTCTACTCGTGAACGCGCCGCGCTCTGTACGACATCCGACGCTCTTAGTGGAACTTGAACTCTTCTCTGATTGGTTGGCTCCTCCGGGAGGGGATGCGGGCGGAATCGAGCCGAAACGAAGCCAAGACGGAGTGACGCCATTTCGCTCTTCGTATTTTTCGTACCTTTCGTTGGGTGTGCAGCCAGTTGCAGTAGACGTAGTGGGACTTCCACAAATCTCAAGAACGTTCTACTCTAACTGCAATCGCTTGGCAGAGCCGTGTGGTTTTCTCCTACGTTTAATTGACTATCCAGAAAACTGTAAGTATATTCACAGGGAAAGCGTGAAAAAGTGGGTGGGTTAGCGTCATGTAATCAAGAAATTTTTCACCCTGTCGGCAGCGGATTCGTATCTGGCCTAGAAATCTCTTTACGGACGATCTACCTGAAGTAGAAATATTCCTTTCAAATCTCGTATTTTTGAGCTCTTAATTTTTTATTATATACCTTAGCCGAGGACGATTATATTGCTAAAATCGCACATTGACTCGTGCTGGTTGTATCGCCGCATACCAACGACCTTCGATTTATCTCGCTTTTTTGTTTCCGGCGGAAATTTACACAATTTTCGGTTTGTGCTTTTCTCTCGCGTCTAAGCACGAATTTGTGAAGCATTATGATTTCTGATGCAGAGAACCAATGTAATCTCGTCTTCTATCGGAACGATTTTAGATTCTATGGCAATACGTAAATGCGTTAGTATTGTAGCATTAAAACTTATTTATTATTTATTTAGGAGCCAGTGCAGTATGTCTAACGGAAACGGAGATCACGACGACGAGGGCTACGTAGTTAAGTTGCGAGGACTTCCCTGGTCTACCACTGTCGACGAAATCATGAAATTCTTTAGCGATTGTAGTATTTCTCACGGTAAGGCCGGTATTCACATGACCATGTCACGCGAAGGCCGTCCTAGCGGAGAAGCATACATCGAGATGGAAACCGAGGAAGACATCGAGAAAGCTTGTAAAAGGGATAGAGATCATATGGGACATCGGTACATCGAAGGTACGTATACTTTACACGAATGCTTCTACATTAGGAAAATCACAGGATGCATAACGGTTTCTTCCTTAATTCCTAGTTTTCAAAGCAAAACGAGGTGAAATGGAATGGGTCGTAAAGAGAAGTGGTTTAAATTTGGAAAATGCCATGGACGACGGCTGTGTCAGGCTACGTGGGTTGCCGTTTGGCTGCTCTAAAGAGGAAATAGCTCAATTCTTCTCAGGTATGAAAGTATTTTATTCCGAGACTTGATTATCTTAATTATATTAAAATTCGTTATAGTTCATATGTAATTTTATTTTTTATTTCATTTTATCATAAAATTTGTTGGCTGTTAAATCCGTACGTTCTAATTTCGATTTACATTAAGTAACAACTTCGAAATGATTTTTATCATCAAAGAGCAAAGCGTAAATACTAGCGATGAATGTAAAGTCTTAAAAGAGTCGTTAAAGCTCCAATTGATAAACGCAATTTTTTGTTCCAAACTTTAAAATTTACATTCGTCTTGAGTATTGCTTTCACAGTTTATCGTTAACGCTGACGTTCCTGTTAAAGCTTAAGAAAATCAATATTGTTATAATTTTGCGTCTGTAGTCTCAAAAACGTAGTTGGAACTTAAGTCTTGACTCTGGAGCGAACAGCATTGAACCGACGTATGCGGTAAAGTAAATCTGCTCGTTCAAACCGGGGTACTTGCACGTATGTTAAGAGAACTAATCGATCTTGCTCTGTAAGGGTTTTAATAAGTTGAAGATTTTATATTGTCTAATGGGTGTTACTCGCTACAATGTCGTTGTTTGATTATGTGTGGGTCAGGGTTGGAGATATTGCCGAACGGGATTTCGCTACCGACAGACTACACGGGCCGCAGTACTGGGGAGGCTTACGTTCAATTTGTTAACAAAGATGTTGCGGAGCGCGCTCTGCAGAAACACAAGGAAAAGATAGGACACAGGTGGGGCACTGATGCTAGCCGGGTCTGGGTATACTTATGATTTTTCAATATCATTTTACGATCGTAGAACAAGTAGGCGTACTCAATCGATAGATGATAGCGCGAAACGGTCTTTAAGGAGGGACAGTTCCTTTACTCGAACGTTGCTCGTTTCCCCTTGGATGTTTCTCGTCTCTAAGAAACCTCGGTCGCGCTTTGCGAAGCTTCTGCTAAAAGGATCATTTTCTTTAATTCCTTTTGGAGTTGCGCGCCAGACCCATGACGCCGTCTCGGAAAATAATCCTTGAAAAGATCTCCCTCGATCCGAGCGTGAGTCGATTACGAAGAACCTAACGACCGGTAGTGGAACTGTCTTCCTAAAGACGCGATTAAGGAAAATTGAACGGTACGACGCTTAATCACCCGTGAGAAATGTACTGTTGGCCCGACCGAGGCTCGACCCGTGGGTGGGTGGCCCCTTACATCGTCGCTCGTCAACGAGCCCCGAATCCCATGGGAGAGTTTACCTAACCCTTACCGCCGTAACCGCGGTAGCGGTGCTAGGACCGAGGGAGGGCACTGCGGAGGTAGTAAACCATCAACTTCGTTTAACGCTAATGCTAATTCCCTGCGATCGCACTTTTACCTCGTCCAAGCCCTACAAGAGGGCCTCGAGTATGCGCGAATCTTGCATGAACGATCCACACGTCCGATCGTTACCAGAGTTCGTTGAAAAGTGCGATCGCAACAAACCTTGCTCGAAGGCGAGTACTGACTTACATCGGCGAACGAGTGGTCGAACCGAGACTGAACGTCGACCGTATGACCGTAGGCGCGGCTTGAGAAATTTCTTCTTTTTTTTTTTTTCCATTCCTTTGACACTCGAGTCTCTCCGGACTCGGGTACCGTCTCTTCGATGTTAAATTTCCGAGTAACAACCACGCTCCCTCGAGATGCACATGTCTAAGCCGTTGGAACCGCTCGATCGGAAGTCTTTTTTGTACGTTTGATGTGTCGACGCGCGTCACCGGTGTTCGTTCCTAGACCCGAGAAATGGCGATTTTAGGCTAAACGACAAGGCGACGTGAGATCTGTCGGAGGATCTTAGGAAATCCGCGATTGGATGATATTTTGTCTCCGGTTTGCCGTCCATGGAGGCTGGATATTTAATTTGATCGAGTCGCGGATCTCTGTGAGTCCTCGACCAGTCTGGCGACTCCTTGGAGGGCCTCGTCTCGAACAGGATCGAGCATCCTTCCTTTCTATCCTCGATAATCTCTCGATAATGCGAGCTTAAGTAAAGAAACGAAAAGGACTAGGTCGGTGGATTAAAAGACTGACTCGCGAATTCGGTGGCCAACAGATACATTGAGATATTCCGAAGCAGTCTGTCAGAAGTCCGCGCCAGTATCGGACCGAAAATGCGCGGAGGTCCGATGGGCGGTTTCAACCAGAGGCCTGCCCCTTACGATCTCAGCGACAGATTCGGTGGGATGAATCGCTACAGCAGCAACGGAAGGGCTTCTAGGAGCAGGGGTGAGACGCTTCCTTTGATTACCACGTTTCTAGTAAAATGAGGAGAAAAAGGAGAAAATTGACCGTCAATAATCCATTCGACGCAATCGCAGATTTCGACGGAGGCTTGTGGGGCAGTGGCAACAGTTTCGGATCTCGCAGCAGCAGTATGGGGATGCGAGGTGGATTGGACATGAAAGGCGGAAGTTTCCGGAGCAGCGGCGACAATTGGACCGGAAGTTCGGGCGTGCATTGCATACACATGCGCGGACTACCGTTTAGAGCTACCGAGCAGGATATAGCGGATGTGAGTTATCGGTGGAATTCCTGTCCGCCTGTAATGGCCGTGTACTTACGTTTTATTTCTTTCCCCCCAGTTCTTCAGACCCATCGTTCCCGTTAATATTCGGATTATTCTCGAGGACAGCGGCCGCGCATCCGGGGAAGCCGACGTGGAGTTCGCCACGCACGAGGAGGCCGTTAAAGCGATGCTCAAGGTTGTTCCACCGCTTTGGGGTTTAGGGAAGGAACCACTTATTTCTTTACTCTAATTTTTTCTCATTTGTTTTCGGCGCAGGACAAGAGTCACATGTCTCACAGATATATCGAGTTGTTCCTCAACTCTACGAACAGCTCGAGCGGCGGCGGGGGCGGCGGCATGTCGCTGGGTGGCATCGGAAACTTCTGTGGAGGTACTTGCGGAATTTCATTGAGTCCATTCGAGGAAACTGACCTTTCCGTTAAACAGTCGCCTCGAGTCTCGATTGATTAGTCCGCTTTTCTCGTCCAGGTTTGAGCAACAGCTTCAGGTCGGGCTACTCTCCCAGCAGCCGTGGATACAGCAGCCAGCTCGGGGGGAGTAATTACAATAGTTTCTGAGACAGATCTCGGCAGTTTTTCATTAACCGGCGATAAAAAATTGCCAAAATTCAAAGTACTGAAATCGACGTTGCAATCGTAAGTGGGACGACTTTTGGCAAAGCCGGGGTAACTACTTACAATGTTAGTTACAACGAAGGACGAAGAACCCTCGTAATGGCATCACTCTTACGGAAGAGAGCAACCGGGTAACGCGGTGCTCGGCCGAAAAATCGTCCGAGTTAATGCTGTAAACGTGTATATTACACCAAAAAGAATGATGCTGCAACTAGAGTGGATTCAAGTTACGAAGCAGTTGTGCTCTAATTTCTTGGTCGTTAGAGGAAACAGATAGGTATTAATGTTAAGATGAAGTAACGTTAAGGTAGACCTATAGTTGGTAAGAATCATTTTCCATGGAATTTAGTGTAACGGATATGTACGTGTATGCTCGACGAGGAAACTCGTCGATATAGGTATGAAACGAGAAAACGAACCTCACGTTGAAATTCTATGTCTGAATTGGAGAAAGGCGCGATTTTTGTTTCGAGTACGTCTTACGTAAATGGTTTGTCGAAGGAGCCGCGAGGTACGTCTATTTGAAAATCGATTTTTCGATTATGTAAAATATCCCCGAAAGCCGGTTAGGAAATAACTCGTCGTTTTTCATCCTTACGTAAGCGGGCGACCTTTAGGAAATTTTCTCTCGTTCCAGATTCGAATAATCTTCGGGCGATTATTTTGCGACTTTGGAATTGGGTCGCCTCGTAGGAAGGTTTTATGTACAAGGGTATGCGATTTAATACTAAAGCTCGATCACACACCGACAGCGTATAATTTTCTCGTTACACTTCTTACACCTTGAAGGAATCTCTCTCAACGTTTTTCAAATCAGGGCTGACTGGTTATCGGGGTGATTACGACCGTAGCGGCGGAATTCTACTTCGATTTAGCGATGTCAACTTAACTGATATTCATTGATGGTAGCCTTAGATTAAATACGACTAAGACTTATTTATTTCCTACTAGCGGACGTTCGTTTCGGTTACATAAGAAGTGTTCTTCACCTTTGTTGCGGTAAAGATGCGGTTACGCTTGTTGCGAATAGTCGCGCTCCTTAAAGTTTAACGTTTTATACCTGAAAGAAGAAAAGATATTTGGGGATCCGATAGGTCTTGGTCCGAGGGAAACCGCGATGGTCTCTTCAAGGTAAGAATCGGTGTCGGAGCAGACAATGTGTAGTCATTGTGAATTGTACTTTCCTGATAAATAAATATTAAGGATTTAGAAAGGCGAATTGGATTGCAGTCTTAATCGTGCCTTTGGGAAAACCAACGCAAGGCGAGGAAGATACGGCGAAGATCTTTTTCGCGATGACGCACCCACCGTAAACAATTTCGACCAGGGGCCGATTTCCCGACTGTTCGCTGATAAGCGAACCCCCACGAAGTTTCGATATCCACATTGAAACGTTCCCAATTTATGGACCTTTCGGAGCTCATTAGCGCTGTAAATTTGTACACGTGTCTGGGAGAGCTTGACAAAAGTCAATTACTCAACCGGACGGTGCCATTGACTTTTGCCGGAGATTGCGCCGCTAGTCATGCGATTCCGATTGGTAACGTCTGAATGTTACACCCAGACCTTGTTCGTTAAGAAAACTATTATTACGAATAAATTATCTGTCAGGCTCCCGCTAGATAGCGCAAATTTTCCCTTGGACTATGCTATCGGCATAGTGTATAGACACCCAGTAAGCAGCGACTGCTCGACACGTGGGCGCGGTCGACGCGGTGCGTGTCTCGAAAAGGCTCAGCGTCCTTGGGAACGTCAGTTTAATTGTTCCGATCGACAAGTAACCTGTAACCGGGATCACCTTACCCAGCATGGACGTTAAGGCGTTCCTCTTGGCTGGTGTTACTATCGCACGATCTCGCCCACTCGTAATCGTCTAATCGCAAGTATAATATCGTAAACGGTCCTTAATCACCGGAGTGACGGTGCAGTCGCACCGATAACACCCGAGATACTCCCGTCCGTGCTCCCTTCGGCAATTGAAATAGGATCCGAAGCCTCGAGGGGTAAACAGCGAGATCTTTCGTCGTCTTTGAGGAGGGATATATCTCTGAGAATCAAGGGAATCGTGAACGAAGAAATCTCCAGGATCTTCGAAAGGGCTTTGCCCTCTTGACACGTGAGTGGCGAGCGGGAAGGAAAAATCCTCTCCTTCTAATTTGTGCCCATCATTATGAAAGTGGTCTAAGTCATATATTTTTTGTTTCGAAATTACATTGAATTAATTTAGTTTGAAATAATGTGGCGTGAAATAACTGATAAACTCATTTTTTTTTTTTCAATTTTGACTTAGACCACTTTCATAATTATGGGCACGTTTATTCAATATCAATCGAGGGAAAAATCCAGGTATCATTTAATGTTACCTGTAGTCGCGGGTTAAGCTCGTCGGACTTTCAGAAATCCTTGCACTGGTGTTTCGGAAAATTTGCGAAATTTTTTTTCAAACCGCGGCAGGAATTACTTATTGATAATAATTGGAGATACAAGGTGGTAAATTGATATCAATTGTCTCGGTAGACACGAGCGACTGATCGGCGGGAGAAGCAACGATTCGAGGCCGCGGTCGAAGCTGGACTCTCCAAATCCTTGAGCCGATCTTCGATGCAGATTTTGTAAGAGCTAATTATAGCAGTCGAATGCGCCGTGACGCGTCGAGGAGACAGTAGCGGAGAATGTACAATCAAAGGCAGGCTGTGCGATACGTCCCGGGCAGAGGAGTCGAGAGATACAACGAGGCTTTTCGAACCTTGATTCCGATACGCTCGAGGCGGAAGTCAAGGTACTATATCGACGAATATCGGAGATCTTTTATTTTTATATTCATTGCCTTCTCCTTTCTCTTCGCAGGCAGAAGGATGTGATGCCTATAGACGAGGCCGGACTCTTCTCCTTCATCGCCTTTACGTGGATCTCGAAATATGTGTGGAAGGCGTATCGCGATGGCATTTTCCTCGAAGAGATGCCCGCCTTGTCGCCGTATGACGTCTGTGATTATAATTCTCAGAGGTAGTATTATTTATAGTTTGTATGTACATCGGGTAGGGCGTTGGTAAGACTCGTATATGATTATTAGCGGATGTATTAATGTGGAAACCTTTTCAGATTGGAAGCGCTATGGTTGGAAGAGGTGACGAAGCGAGGTGAAAAGCTGGCATCTTTCAGGTCTGCGGTTTGGAGATTCGTTTCCACCAGGATTTATGCTTCTTTGTTCCTGAACGGTTGTTCCGTCGTTCTGGGCTTCATAGGGCCTGTACGTGAGCGCTGCAATTTATGCCCTGAGAATCTTACAAAACCACTGATGCGTACTTTTAATTAAACAGGCGATTTTGATGAGGAACCTGCTGGAGTTTGCCCAGTCTCCGGAGGGCACCACGTGGGATGGATTGAAGTGGACTTTTCTATTGACTGCCTGCGATTTTCTACGAATAATGTTTGCAACTTGGTCCTTTGCGATGAGCTATAGGACGGCGCTAAGACTGAAGTCGGCTTGCTTGGCCTTGCTGTACAAAAAAATTATTTCCCTCAACAACCTAGGACACAAGAGCACGGGAGAGGTAAATCAATCTATGCAAATGCCAGTTGATCTCAAGATATTATTTGTATGCAGATGTACGTGGGGTGGCGCTTGAAATACCCGCCTCCCTTTATCGAAATTAAATTTTACGAAATTATTTGACGATTACCCTAGCTGATTAATATGTTCTCTAATGACGGGCAAAGACTGTACGATGCGATGATTACTGGGCCCCTGATTGTCGGAGTTCCGATAGTGACTATATGCGGAGTGATATACATTCTCCGATTACTTAGCCCTATGGCTCTTCTGGGAATTATCGTCTTCCTCCTGTTTTATCCCATTCAGGTAAATCCGCCCACTTTTTAAAATATTCTCTTTACTTGGGTTACTGCTCTTTGCGCGATAATTCATTTACCTGTTTTCCGTATCTTTTTTCGACAGTACGCGATATCGCGACTCGTCAGCTATTTGAGGAGAGGAACTGTTCGAATCTCCGATACCAGAATCAGATTGGTGAACGAGATGCTGGAGTGTATAAGACTGATCAAGATGTACGCCTGGGAAAACCATTTTTGCAAGGATCTTCTCGGTAAGTGCTGCACGAAAGAAAGAAAAAAAAAATTAATATGGCGATGACAATATTTACGAATTTTAGACGTTCGAGCTAAAGAGCAAAACAGATTGATGAAGACGGCTTACTTTCAAAGCATCGCCGTATCGTTGGCACCTGCAGCTCCGGTAATATCTGCGATCATAACTTTCCTAGCACACGTTTCAGCCGGTTATGATTTAACCGCTGCACAGGTAATAAACTAAATTGCAATGTACACGAGATAATTTAAAGTCGCATTATCTGACATATTTTACTTTCAGGTATTTCCCCTCGTATCGTTCTACAATACACAAATCCGTAATTCGTTTAACAATTTGCAATATGCCGCGGGCAATGTTTACGAGGCTACCGTATCAATCGATAGGCTGAAGGTGTGTACTTCATATTTTTCTTTTTACTTATTCCACGAAAATGCAGCAAAACGTCATTAATTAATTTTTTATTTTTTTCACTGTAATCAGAGCATTTTACTACTGAAAAGTGAGAGCTGCCCGATATCGAGACCAATAGTCACATCTCAGGCGCTGGCCATTGTAAACGGAACGTTCGTCTGCGATCGCTATACAGGCCAGGAGAAGAATCCAACTTCTACTTCTAAAAGTCTGAAGATAAAGAGAAAACAGTAAGTTCCCTGAAATTCGATAAAAGTAATGGTACACCTTCATGCGGAGCCATGTCAATCTTGGGAAATCGGTGAAACGGATGTTTGCTATTCGTCCCGTAGGAAGAATCCTTTTTTCCGCGGACATTTGCAGGGAGAACAATTCGGAGGAGCAAGAGGCGTGCGAGCGTCTGAACGTTGGAGGAGCGGGAAATATCGAGAACGCCGAAAGCGTCGTACTCCTGGACGACGTCACTTTCGAGGTGACAAAGGGTAAACTGGTCGGCGTTTGCGGCCACGTCGGCAGTGGAAAGTCTAGTCTTCTGTTGGCCTGTCTGGGACAACTGCAGATCAAAGAAGGACAACTGTTGAGAGACGGCACTTGTGCTTACACGAGTCAACGAGCCTGGATCGTGAACGCCACTTTGAGGGAAAACATTCTCTTCGGTCATGACTATAATCCTAGTCGGTACCAAGAGGCGATATCTGCCTGTTGCTTGACCGAAGACTTGAAAGCAATGCCAGCTGGCGACCGCACGGAAATAGGGGAAAAAGGAATTAATCTGTCAGGAGGTCAAAAACAGAGAGTCGCTTTAGCCCGAGCCTATTACGCCGACCGGTAATTACACTAATTACACGCTACGTCACTTGTAAGGAAGTCGGAGGGATTATTTTATGAGACATTTTTTTACCGTGCAGCGACATTTACTTCCTGGACGACCCGCTAGGTGCCCTTGATGCGCACGTCGGTCCTCGCGTTTTCCAGGACTTGATCCTGAAGGACTTGCGATCCAAGACCGTCGTCCTCGTGACCCATCAAGTGAAAGTATGTAATGTTCGGGTATTTAATTTAAATACGGGAACTGAGTCTGGCTCAGCGTTGTATCGGTTTCAGTACCTGCAACGATGCGCCGAGATTTACGTGATGCGGAAGGGAAAAATCGTGGAGCACGGGACACACGAAGAACTTCTTGCATTGAACGGAGAGTACACCTCCATGGTCGAAGCGGGGTGCTCGGAACCTGAAGCGGACTCTGCCGCTGAGTATGGCAGCTTTACTATTAATTTTGCATGAATAAAATACATTAAGTTAAATTTAACCGAGAGTCTTCTCGAAAACTCGTAGGAAATCTACAGAAGAGGAGGGAATCTCACAGGATGGTCTCGAATTCGATGGGTATCGCGGGTCGAACGCTACTTCCGATACTTGTACCAAAGATGAACTCGAAGGTAACGAGGCCGGTGAGTTAACGTGTCCTCTTATTTTACCCCTACAAATTTGCATGGGAAAAATGCAACATCGAATGTAGGGTAGTTGTACCATAGTTTGTTACTTGTAGATGGTAAGCTGACTACGGCGGAGAAAACTGGGCACGGTGATATCAAGACCCGTGCGTACCGTGCGTACATCAGAGCGGCCGGTGGTTACTGGATAGTTGTTTTAGTAGTCTTCGCATTTTTTCTGAACGTTGGTAGCACGGTATTCAGCTCTTGGTGGCTCGCCATTTGGCTGAACGCGAAGGGCGGGGTGAGTATAATTTTTGCAACTCCTTAGTGGCATGGATTAACGATTCCCTAGAATCGGAACCGTCCAGTGACGTTGATAAAAGTCGTTGGCTCTTTGCAGAATTATACTCGCGAAGGAGGAAATGGAACCGTGATGGAACATTCGAGAAGTTTGAAAGACAATCCAGATTTTGAATTTTATTACACGATATATGGGGCCAGCATCGGAGTCATTCTGTTGACTAGTTTTATCCGCGGCTTTGCTATAACTCGCACTGCGATAAAGGCGTCGACTACTTTGCATAACGCAGTGTTGAAAAAAATAATAGCCGCACCGATGCGATTTTTTGAGACCACGCCAGTAGGAAGGATACAAAACATGTTCAGCCGAGACATAGATGAAGGTAGAAATAATTCCTTCCTCGATAAAAATCCGGGATTAATAATGTATAATTTCTAATCCATTTGCAGTTGACAACAGGTTGCCATTTACTTTGGAAACCATCATTCAGAATGTTATCGTCATACTATTTGCTGTTGTCGGCGTGTGTGTAGTGTTTCCATGGTTTATGGTGCCCCTCGTAGTTCTGGGCGCCCTCTATTATTACATCGGAAAAGTATTTAGGTATGATCTCTCGTCTTTTTAAGGACTGCGAAGTAATAATTCCAATTCGGACGAAGCTGCATAATTTCTTACATGAAAAAAAAAAATTACTTTTCAGAGTTGCAGCCAGAGACTTAAGACGAATAGAAAATGTGTCCAGATCTCCTATATTCAGTTTTATCACAACGACGATTCAAGGATTGAGTTCAATTCGTGCGTTCAATAAGGAGGATGAGAGCATGGCAAAGTAAAATCGATTCTATCGCTTGAGTAGCAAATGGAAATGTGATTTCTACTAAGGTAGATTTCAAGTTTAACTTTCCTTTGAATAATCTTGATTATCGACTCATGGTTCCATTAGCTACTCGAGTCTGCCAATTTTTAATTACCCCTAAATAGTCGCTGATAATTACCAGCTTCGTCATGTTTCCAGATTCGTACAATTGTTTGACTTCAACAATGCTTGCATGTACGTATGCAATTCCACGATCCGATGGCTGGCGTTTCGTTTCGATAATCTGTCTGTACTGGCAATATGCGTGACGGCGTTGTTGGTGACATTTTTTAAAGGTCATGTACCTCCTCCACTGGCAGGTTTAGCGTTGGCATATTGTGTTCACATTTCTGGAGTATTCCATTACACCGTAAGAGTCATCACTGAAACAGAGATGAAGTTTATAAGCGTCGAGAAGATGGAGGATTATTTGCGCGTGAGTGACGTTTTTATCCTTCAAATTACTTATTCCTTAAATCGCTCGGGGTGATGAATTAGATTATACGAGGACGCCCTTTCGACGTGGAACTATTTTAGACTTTGGAGAACGAACACGACGGGAGAAAGTGCCTAGAGAATCTTCCAGACGATTGGCCGCCTGGTGGTGATATTAAATTTGATGCCGTACAAATGAGGTACCGAAAGGGCTTGCCGCTTGTCTTAAAAAATGTCACGTTCCATGTCAAGCCTGGGGAAAAAATAGGTGAGAAATTACGTGATCAACAAACAATGTCAACTTGGGCAAATTTTTTTATTATCCAATTAATTCCTTCAGGAGTCGTAGGAAGAACGGGATCGGGCAAGAGCTCCCTCACTACGGCACTCTTCAGTCTGGTCAAGCTTTCCAGTGGGAGAATTAAAATCGACAACGTAGATATCTCTCAAGTAAAATTGGAGTTACTCAGGAGCAAGCTATCCATCGTACCACAGGATCCTGTACTGTTCAGTGGAACTATCAGGTAGATATTTGTCGCTGATAATTAATTTTATCACCGTCCTGATTCAATCCGTATTCGTAGATCAAATTTAGATCCGTTCGAGATTCACCTGGACGCTGAAATTTGGGAGGCACTGGAAAAAACACAGCTGAAAGCAAGGGTGCAGATTATTCCTGGACAGTTGGATGCCGCCGTAGGGTTTGGTGGAGATAATTTGAGTATGGGCGAAAGACAGCTTCTTTGCTTGACGAGATCTTTGCTCCGTCGAAGCAAGGTACGTTTTCCATAATTTTGCGTTTCCTTTTCTGTCAAGTTAAGCGGGGACTTTGTATTTTAGATATTGGTCCTGGACGAAGCCACCGCTGCGGTTGATCCGGAAACGGAGACGGCGCTCGAAGCTACGGTACAACAGGAATTTTTGCATTGTACAGTTTTAACGATAGCACACAGGTTACAAACTATTTTATCCTGCGATCGAATCCTTGTAATGGCGGATGGCCGAGTATCGGAGTTCGACGAGCCAAAGAATCTCCTCTCAAACCCGAATTCCGAATTTTCCAAATTAATGGCCTCGGCGGAAATGACCGTAAAAGAATCTTTAAAAAAGAACGCCTAAATCGATGTGCCTTTCAGATTGCTATCAGTATTTTTAATATCTAGTATTAACGAATGTTGCATGAAAGTGCATTTATTCCGTCACACCCCCCTGATAACGAGTCTCAATGGAACACAATGAACCGTCACTTAAAAAATGTGATAGAATACGTGAGTTGACTTAAATGAAATATTTACAACTCCGAACTACCTCGAGCAATCGTTATCTTAAGGACGTTCATGTTATCTTAAGATACACGACCTACACTAATAACGCGCAGTTGAAAGAGTTATAACTAGCTAAGATTAACATTTTTCTTCCACATCGTATTGCATTATTAAAATAAGAAATAAATGGCTTTTTCCTAGTACGTTTTAAATCTTGCAATTTTCTTAAGGAACTCGTGAAAATCATTTTTATTTATATTTATCGGTGGGCTGTTTTAGTGAAATAAATGTGGCGATCGGCGGGCCCTTTTGTTAATAAATAAAATAGGCGAGCGGAGGTAAATTTAGGACACTCGAAGGCGTCTATATATCCCGAGGATGTCTTGGTCGAGTCTAGGACATTCGAAATATTGATTTTACAGGGTGCTACTGCTCATGCCCAGCATCTGTGTCGGGTGCTCGGCGGAGCTCCACCGAAAGTTGACCGCCATGCCGCCAGCTTGTTATTGCTAAGATGTTTATCCGCCGTTAAATTTGATCGTTACTTTATGTCAAATGTAGTTTATTCAATTTGCCGTAAAGGCAGGGTGTTTCGTCGACAGGTGCCCTTCGGGGAAAGGTAAGTCATTTCCTGCGAGCCGGCGAAAACCTGGAGAATATTCGGATGGACTTGTCCGAGGGTCGCTTAAATTCAAGTAAAACCTGGAAAAGAAATTGCGGAAGGAATTATTTAGCACCCTCGGTCAAGAGACGAGAGAGCTCGGTATTACTTTGAACCTTTCACTTTTTAGGCCTCACCATTGCGAACATAATCCCGATTATGATGCTGGGGCGGAAGCAGAGCCTCAAAGGGGAACCCGTCCTGGCCGATTACGGCCCGGAAGAGTCCCTCAATGAAAGCGCTGACATAGAATGGGTGAACAAGGTAACCGAAGATCTTTCATTCTTGAATTTGAAACTGGTCCGAAGACTAAAAAATGTAATCTTTCCTGTAATCCAGCTATGGGTTCGAAGATCGATGAGGTTTTGCGCCCTCGTCTCGCTGGCCTCGGTTTGCCTGAACACCCCGAAGACCTTCGAGAAGGTCCCACCTCTTCAGTACGTGACCTTCGTCTGCGATCTCGTGGTCACCTTCCTCTTCACTGCCGAAATGATCGCGAAGATGCACATACGGGGAATACTGAAGGTACGCGACACCTTCCACTAATCGTAACGAGTAGACGGACCGGAAAGTTAGACGGAGACTCAGAGATCGTTTCAGGGAGAGGTGCCCTACCTGAAGGACCATTGGTGCCAATTTGACGCGAGTATGGTGCTGTTCCTCTGGTTCTCCTGCATCCTGCAGATGTTCGAAATGCTCGGCTTCGTCCTGAAGTTCAGCTGCGCCTCCATCATCAGGGCACCGAGACCGCTCATCATGATCCGATTCCTCCGCGTCTTCCTCAAGTTCTCCATGCCCAAGTCGAGGATCAACCAGATCTTCAAGTGCGTATCCGTTCTTCAGATTCGACGATTCCGAACGACTTCGAACCTTTAGATGTCTCTGTTTGCAGGCGATCGAGTCAACAGATCTACAACGTCACCTTGTTCTTCTTGTTCTTCATGTCGCTGTACGGACTGCTGGGCGTGCAGTTCTTCGGCGAGCTGAAGAACCATTGCGTGCTCAACTCCACGGATCCTAGCTACATCACGATAAACAGCATGGCGATACCGGACACCTTCTGCTCGACGGATCCCGAGTCCGGGTACCAGTGCCCGGAAGGGATGAAGTGCATGAAATTGGAATTGTCCAAGTACATCATGGGGTTCAATGGATTCGACGAGTTCGGTAGGAATGAACGATCGCGCCATGAACTATGGAGGAATACATATTATTACCATGTAGTTTCCGATACCGTCGCCGGGATATTTACCCAAATTACGTGCTGGTTTCAGCAACCAGCATATTCACGGTGTACCAAGCGGCCTCCCAAGAGGGCTGGGTCTTCATCATGTATCGCGCCATAGACAGTCTACCTGCCTGGAGAGCCGTCCTTTACTTCAGCACGATGATATTCTTCCTGGCGTGGCTCGTCAAGAACGTCTTCATCGCCGTTATCACCGAGACCTTCAACGAGATCAGGGTGCAGTTCCAACAGATGTGGGGCGTGCGCGGTCATATCAGCAACAGCTCGGCCTCTCAGGTACGAGGATCGTGCCGGCCTTGCTTGGACGTTTTTTATCTTCTCTATTATTTTCATCCATCGCAGATATTAACCGGCGACGACAACGGCTGGAAATTGGTAACCCTGGACGAGAACAAACACGGGGGCTTGGCGTCGCCCTTGTGTCATGCTATTCTCAGGTCTCCGCAATTTCGCATGGTGGTCATGTGCGCCATTTTGGCGAACGGCATCACGACGGCCACCATGAACTTCAAGCACGATGAGAGGCCGAGGCACACTTATTACGACAATTACTATTACGCGGAGATAGCCTTCACGATTCTGCTCGACCTCGAGACCCTCTTCAAGATCTGGTGCCTGGGCTTCCGTGGCTACTACAAACACTCGATCCACAAATTCGAGCTCTTACTCGCCATAGGGACGACGATACACATCCTTCCGTTCTTCTACCTCTCGGGGTTTACTTATTTTCAAGTAAGTACTCGTTTCGGAGGAAGTCTCGTTTGTGGACATCTTTGACCAGGAATTTATCTTCAGGTTCTCAGGGTGGTCAGGCTCATCAAGGCGTCGCCCATGCTCGAGGACTTCGTTTACAAGATCTTCGGACCCGGGAAGAAACTCGGGAGCCTCATCATCTTCACGATGTGCCTGCTGGTTATTTCTTCCAGCATCTCCATGCAGCTTTTCTGCTTTCTCTGCGACTTTACCAAGTTCGAAACGTTTCCAGAGGTAGTACTCGCTCTTCGGATTCTCGACGACCTAGTAGAAAGAACCTAACGAACGGTAAGCATTAGATTTTGACGAAGGCTAATGGGATTTTCTTTTTCCAATCTGCAGGCCTTCATGTCCATGTTCCAAATTCTTACGCAAGAAGCTTGGGTCGAGGTCATGGACGAAACTATGCTGAGGACCCACGAGACCATGGCGCCGTTCGTTGCCGTGTATTTTATTCTTTATCATCTCTTCGTCACTCTGGTGAGAATCTGGAACTGCCAAAATGAGGGAAGGTGAAATTTTCACATTTTCACGGATCACTACGTCTTTCCTTTTAGATTGTGCTGAGTCTGTTCGTCGCCGTGATTTTGGACAATTTGGAGCTCGACGAGGATATCAAGAAACTGAAGCAATTGAAGTTCCGCGAACAGAGTGCCGAGATCAAGGAGACTTTACCGTTTAGACTGCGTATTTTCGAGAAATTTCCGGACAGTCCGCAGATGACGTGTTTGCACAAAGTGCCATCGGATTTTAACCTACCGAAGGTAATTCCAGCTGGGCGAAAGGTTTAATCGTTAACGTTCACAGGTTGTCAATCCAGATGTTTCCTTGAATTTCAATGCCACCAGGTACGGGAGAGCTTCATGCGGCAGTTCGTCTTCGAGGTCGAGGACGAGGAGAACGAGGGCACGAAAAGGATCAACGAAACCTTCGACTCGAAAATGGTTTACCGCAAGCAGCGCCCGGTAAAGATACTAAACGATCCGCCGAAGGTGAGGAACGTGGCGACCAGCTTGAAGAAGGCAGCCGTCGTCTACGTAATCAAGTACGTGTCCAGTTTCGAGGGTTTTATAAGCGGCGAGAACGTTCGTTATTAATATTTTTATTCCTATCAGCGACTCGAACAACCAGCGGTTAATGCTCGGAGACTCGGCGATGATCCCCGTCCCGGGTAAAGGTCTGCTGAAGCCCCAAGGGACCGTCAGCAGTGCGAAACAACTGCGCATAGATCAGAAGAAGTAAGTCGTCAAAGCCGTGGCAAACCTCCGAGGAAATCTCCCTCGGCGGAAATTGAAAGGGTCGTCCGGATCTCCCACTTAGTCTTCAAGAACCCGAGCCAGGAGTCGTGGCTCGTTTTCTCCGGAGAAGGGGCCCAGCGGGGATTCGTTCAAGTACGAGGGTCGGGTCTCGCTGTTTCCAGGTCGATTCGTCGCAGCGTGCGCAGCGGGTCCATTAAGCTGAAGCAGACGTACGAGCACCTGCTGGAGAACGGCGACATCGGGGCGATTAACCGAGTGAGTTCGGCGCGCAGCAGACCCCACGACCTGGACATCAAGTTGCTCCAAGCCAAGAGGCAGCAGGCGGAGATGAGAAGGTCAGAACTCCCGGCGAAGCTCCGGGGCCGAAGCTCGGGTCCGGTAGACGGGAACTCGATTACGGGGAGAGAGGGAGGTCCGGTCCGAAGACTGTCGCGCTGGTTTCAGAAACCAACGCGAGGACGATCTGAGGGAGAACCATCCCTTCTTCGATACGCCCCTGTTCGCGGTACCTCGCGAGAGCAAGTTTCGAAAGATCTGCCAGCTGCTCGTCTATGCCCGGTACGACGCAAGATTGAAAGATCCGTTGACCGGGAAGGAGAGAAAAGTGCAGTATAAGAGTTTACAGTGAGTACGTCGTGTCGTATCCCGTACGTGTCCGGCCGTCTTCCGTTTTCTCGGTCGATTGACCCGTTGCCTGCCCGAGACGCCTCGCAGGGTCGTCATGCTCCTTCCTTGAACTTGCACGATCACCTGAAATGTGAGGTCGCTGGTTCAGGGCGTCGTCCTGGATCCAGTGGTACTTTGATCGGTAGAGGGAAATCGAAACGAAGCGTGGCTTTTCTTTCTTTCACGATCCGTCCGGGTGGCGAGGAACGGGTCAACGATCACCGCGATCCAAGTCCCCTTGAACGGGTCCTCTGAGAGCGCGTCGCATCCCTAATTTCCAGCAATTTTCTCGGATTGGTCACGTACTTGGACTGGGTTATGATATGCGCCACCACGCTCTCCTGCATATCCATGATGTTCGAAACTCCGAGGTACCGCGTTATGGAAATCCCGGCGTTGCAGATCGCCGAGTACGGCTTCGTGATTTTCATGAGCCTAGAGCTGGCTCTGAAGATCCTGGCCGACGGACTCTTCTTCACCCCGAAGGCCTACATCAAAGACGTAGCTTCCGTTCTAGACGTGTTCATTTACGTGGTAAGAGTCGCGAGGCGAGCGAGGTCCGGGATCGTCATTCACCGGGAACGGGTTCGACTCTTTCAGGTCAGCCTGGTCTTCCTCTGCTGGATGCCGAAAAGCGTCCCGCCCAACTCCAGCGCCCAGCTCCTCATGATTCTCCGCTGCGTACGACCGCTCCGAATCTTTACCCTGGTGCCTCACATGAGGAAGGTCGTCTACGAGCTCTGCAGAGGCTTCAAGGAGATCCTGCTGGTGGGCATGACCGAGACGAGTCGGACCTCGCCTCCGCCTTTCGTCCTTGCTTCCTTGGGTTTCCGTGGTTCCTTTCGTCGAGCCCTCTGCCGGTTTCGGTTTCCATCTTCCTAGAGTAACGAAATACCGGTGTAATGAATATTTTCTACCCTTTGCGATGAGGAAGTGGCAACGAATCTACGTTTTTCGTCGCTCGGGAGGAACCTATCGCCTCGTTGTCTCTTAGGTATCCACCCTGCTCATCTTGCTGATGTTCATTTTCGCGAGTTACGGAGTCCAACTCTACGGCGGCAGACTGGCTCGCTGCAACGACCCCACGATCCTCAAGCGAGAGGACTGCGTCGGCGTCTTCATGAGGAGAGTCTTCGTGACCAAGATGAAGCTCCAGCCTGGACAGAACGAGAGCTATCCTTCCATCCTGGTACCTCGAGTCTGGTAAGTCCGACCTCGGAGAGTCCTCAGGGAGGAGTCCATCTAATCGGATTTTACTCCTTCAAAGGGCAAACCCTAGAAGATTCAACTTCGACAACATCGGCGATGCCATTTTGGCGCTCTTCGAGGTCCTCTCCTTCAAGGGCTGGCTCGACGTCAGGGACGTTCTCATCAAGGCGCTGGGCCCGGTAAAATTTATTTCCGCTCCTTCCACGTTTACCCAAAATGCCGATCCTTTACTTCGCGAGCCGATAAACGGCTTTTCCGTGGTTCCAGGTCCACGCTATCTATATTCATATCTACATTTTCCTGGGATGCATGATCGGACTGACCCTCTTCGTTGGCGTCGTCATCGCCAATTATTCCGAGAACAAGGGTACCGCCTTACTCACCGTCGACCAGAGACGCTGGTAAGACGATCGAGTACGAAAAGATGGATCTTCGGAAGTTACTCTTATCCTCGTTTCCAGGTGCGACCTGAAGAAGAGACTGAAGATAGCGCAACCTCTTCATCTGCCCCCGAGACCTGACGGCAAGAAGTTCCGGGCCTTCATTTACGACATCACGCAGAACATCTATTTCAAGAGATTCATCGCCGTAATGGTGCTGATAAACAGTGCTCTTCTCTGCGTCTCGGTAAGCTAGCTGCGTAAGCTAGGGCCCTTAGAGAGATGGGTACATGCGTAAGTACTGTACTTCCCGGCACAGTGGAGAGTCGAAGAAGAGCACACCGAAGCGTTGGCGACCGTTTCGACGATGTTGACGCTGATCTTTCTAGTCGAGGTGATCATGAAGAACATCGCGTTCACACCTCGCGGGTACTGGCAGTCCAGGAGGAACAGGTATGACCTTTTGGTCACCGTCGTTGGAGTCATCTGGATAATCGTGCACTGCACGATGCAGGTATGCAAATTTCTCCGGTAACGTTAACGTCTCTACAACCATGCCAGAGTTAAAAGTATTAAACTTGGAATTTTTAATATCCCTAGAACGATCTCTCCTATGTGATCGGCTTCATGGTCGTGATCTTGAGGTTCTTCACCATCACCGGGAAGCACACCACCCTGAAGATGTTGATGCTCACGGTCGGAGTCTCCGTCTGCAAGAGCTTCTTCATCATATTCGGGATGTTCCTCTTGGTTTTCTTCTACGCTCTGGCTGGGACCATTTTCTTCGGTACCGTCAAATACGGCGAGGGCATAGGAAGGTAATTTCTCTTCGGTAATAAAGCTGTTTTAGGTAATTAAATTAATAGAAAATAATTAATGCCGTTTGCGGGATCCAATAGGCGTGCCAACTTCGAGTCACCGGTGACCGGAGTTGCGATGTTATTCCGCATTGTCACCGGCGAGGATTGGAACAAAATCATGCACGATTGTATGGTGCAACCGCCGTATTGTACCCCAGCTGCCAATTATTGGGAGACCGATTGCGGAAACTTCCATGCCTCGCTGGTCTACTTCTGCACCTTCTACGTCATCATCACCTACATCGTTCTGAATCTACTAGTCGGTAGGTATCGACGACTCCTTTTTACGAGTCTTGCCCATAGTTGATTCGAATTTTCCCTGGTCACTGCAGCTATCATCATGGAGAACTTCTCTCTGTTCTACTCGAACGAAGAGGATGCACTTCTGTCGTACGCGGACATCAGAAATTTCCAGAATACCTGGAACGTGGTGGATATTCATCAACGAGGAGTCATACCAGTTAGGCGAGTTAGTAATTTTCTTATTTAATCCCTTTACCGCAGCGTCAGTTTGGTGGACCAATTACGAGAAATCCGAGTTTCAGGTGAAGTTCATCCTGCGGCTACTCAAGGGAAGACTCGAGACGGATCCACAAAAAGACAGGCTGTTGTTCAAATATATGTGCTATGAACTGGAGAGGCTACATAATGGCGAAGATGTTACATTTCACGACGTCATTAAGTAAGGATCTTATTAAAAAATTATTGCTACCGCGTTTCCATGTGTTCTAATCGAGCCAATCTCGTCTTTCGTTTATAGCATGCTATCGTACCGCTCGGTGGACATTCGCAAAGCTCTTCAACTGGAAGAACTTCTGGCACGAGAGGAGTTTGAATACATTATAGAGGAAGAGGTGGCGAAGCAAACTATAAGGACGTGGCTAGAAGGATGCCTGAAGAAGATTCGCGCCGTTGGTGTAAGGAATCGAATGACCGAGACATAATAGAGGATTTTTCGGAATGATCTTCCCGGGATGAGCAAATTCCTTTTTTTCAGAAGCAGCAAAACAGTTTGATCGCGGGCCTCCGTGCAACGAATGATGCAACGACTCCTGCGCAAGATCAACCCGAGGAGAAAAGTAAAGAAATCGGGCAGGATCGCGAGGAAGAGGTCGAGGCGAAGGTAGAACCCGAGATTTTTATCCAACAAATTTCGGAATCCTCCGTCCTACCTGTTGCGGTAATAATTTCTATGCGTTGCTTAGGAGGTAGATGGTCTCAAACACCGCAACAAGAAACCCGTCGTCCTTCCGAGGTCGGACAGTATAGGAAGTGGTTCCGGCAGGAAATATCTCGCTCCTACTTTATCAGACCCTGCGTCTGTCAGGACTGATAAGGAAAAAATTAGCGCATCCAAGAAGAGGAATAGTAGACCTTCTCGTAAGTACTACAAAACGTGGAAGGAACAAGTGTCGAGTAATCCAGGATGTCGTCATAAGAATTTGTTGCAGCGACTGTTAAAAATAATTTGCCACACCTCACGGAAGGGACCGAACAGAGCAAGCAACCGAGAGAGACGGCGCATTCTAAGGCACCTGTTCCGAAAACCTCCGCAGTCCTGGCAGAAGTTCGAGAATGGTGGTGCGATCAATTGGCCTACAATTCAGAATCCAGTGACGAAGATTCTTGAACTAAAGGTTACCGATTTTTTACGCTTTTATTTAATTCTTTTTTTTCTTTTCAATGACTCTGTGCGACCACCGGAGCCGTTTCGAGCTGGGGCGCTTTATCATTTTTATACAAAAATGACAAATGGTATACCTCAGGTTGTTAGACGTGTAAGAGATCATTATTCAATGAGCATATGTACCTAGGTGTGAACGGGGTGCGACATTAACGGCTATCGCTTTTCCAATTTATGGACCGCGCTGGTGAAATAATTACTACACACAAAGTTCCCTCTCGTTGATGTCGTGGCCCGCACAACGGTATTGACTTACCGGGGATAATACTTACGTGGATATTTTTTACATGGACTATCGTCGTGTGGAGGATTTAATAGATCATAGGAATACGCCGTAGATTTTTTACGAATGACCTGAAGAATTCGCACATGTTAATCGGGGATAATTTGGAAGCGATCCTGGACTTTTGCCGGTGCAGCTGAAACGATCAATAATTAACATGTTTAAAATGCGGTTTAGAAAAAAAAAAAATCAGTCATTTCAGGACAAATGGATCCGGTGCCATTGTGCGTCACTGACTGAACGCCTAGATTTTATATGAAAGTAGACTTGCTGCATGTATTTACCTGACGACAAAACGGACCTATGCTACCTTCATTTCTGCGAAGGGTTTACATGAACGTGAACATCTCTTGATTTTTGTAGCCAATTCGGAAGTGGAGGGATTCTAAAAAGCAATAGCGTATCAGATTTAACCTGTCTTAGCTAGGAAAAGGATGTAGCTTATGTATGTATGCCTGTTATGAGTACGGTTAAATTGATGTTACGCAATTGCACGGTGTTCTACTGATGTCGTATGGGATCAGTTCATCGTCCTAAATTTCTAATATTTCTTGTTTTATACTTTCAATTACGAGAATTATTTTTGCAAAAATATTAAGATAGTGAATTTAATTACGAGTGAGATATGGCATTAGCCGGTATATTATATTGTTATAATATCCATTGTTATTCCTGCAGAAAATGCTACGCGTGTTTAAGTAAAAACACATAGCGCGTGAACGTGTGTTATATTACGTTTCCGTTATCGTGATAAATGTTGATAATTATTGCCTAGTTTATGTGCCAACGTGTTGTACTATGATACACAAAAATAAATGTTATTAGATACGATGGACTCGATGCTCATTTTCTTTCGGTATATTTTATTTTGTATAATCCTCTATCGAGTATAAAAAATTTGAACTATAGTAAAAGCACTGATCGAAGTGAGCCTTCTTATTCTACTGAGTGGCATTTAAAAAAACACTGTCAATAAAATGTGCTTTACAACATAATGCACAGATATAACCACTCTTCATCGATGTGGTTATCATCTGATCGTTATCCATTAAAGCACATAACGTATTTACTTAAATGAGGAAAACGTTGTCATCGGCGAGCATCAATTTATTTGCATCCATCATTTGATTGAGAGCAGCTGAAACTTCACTTGGCGTAAAGGGTGGGTCATGTTGACTACTGAGATGTTCTCGTATCCTGGCCATCGGAAGCGTTTGAGTTCTTGCCTCTTTGAAAAGTTTGTGCAAAGTTGAAAAGAAAACCTTGAGTCTACAACATATGAGAAAAAAAAGTTGGTTTAACTAGTCATTATCGCGTTTTTTTTGTTTCTTTTTTTAATGACGCACCTGTCTTCGGTAATACTGGCGGGACTGGTTTCTTCAGAAATAGTAGCCATTGGTTCGGCAGGTGCTCTAGAATCGGTAGCTCTTTGGACAGCATCTTCAACGTGTGACTTATCTTCTTCGCTATCGTACTCATACGGATCCTTACCATTTTCACCCGAAGCGGTATCGGTTCTTTTGGTTCGCTTAGATTTTCGTTTTTCCACGGTTTCATCGTCCGTACTGACTTCGCTGTCACGTCTTCGACGTTTCTTCTTTTCCTTCTCCAAAACTCGCTTAAAGTAAGCGAACTGCACAAGCTCAATGGCTGAATGTGCATCCGCTACCGTTACGTACTTAGAGAGTCTGGCTTTCGCATGTGCCGTTGATAAACGAATGAGCGTTTCCAAGGTTCGGGCAGTTACAGGTTGCGTCTGAAAAAACGATTTGTTAAAACCATATAATAAATCCTTTATCTTTATAGAATTTAAAGATATATCGTACCCTAGCCACGTCGGATTCCAAACTATCTTCCGATCGAAGTTTGGAGTACTCTTCCGCAATTGCGATGCTAGCTTCTTCCGTTAATTTTGGTTTCATGCAGCGCGCAATATGAATATATTTCCTCATAAATCTGATATTAAGAATTTGATCACTGTAAAATATTTTATTCGTTAGGTATGCAATTTACGATCTTAAAAATACCGAGAAAATTGTGTCTGAAAGTAGACCTCTTTGAGCGACTGTTTCCATGTAATAAAGGATCATATTTCTCGAATACTTTGTTATCGGTCTCTTCCACCTCGTCTGCATCTGGATTTATCGTTGTCAATATGTCCATATCTGCATTTAATGGCAGAGCCTGTCCTTCCGGCTCACCAGGTTTCCTGTACCTGTGCATTCTCACTACGTGATTACTTATAATATGATCTTGTTCGGAGTCAACGATATCCAGCATGACGAATAGAAGATCAAATCGAGAAAGCAATGAATCTTGCAGTCCAATGTTCTCCATCGGTGTTTTGTACTGGTTGTACTATAAATTAAAACACCTTTTTAATATTAGCCCGCAATTTATGGTAATAATTTGTAAAACTTGATCCTACTCTTCCGTAAACTGGATTAGCAGCCGCTAATACGGAACATCGTGCGTTCAAGCTAGCATGAATTCCAGCTTTTGCAATGGTGACTTTTCCCTGTTCCATTACTTCATGAATAGCAGTTCTATCTATATCTGTCATCTTATCAAATTCATCGATACAAATGACCCCACGATCAGCTAGAACCATAGCACCAGCTTCGAGTCGACGTTCTCCAGTTTCTTGATCAGATGTGACCGCAGCTGTCAAACCTACACCGGACGATCCTCTACCAGTAGTCGTAATTGCTCGTGGAGCCGTACATAAGACGTATCTCAACAATTGAGATTTTGCAACAGATGGATCGCCAATTAGAAGAATATTTATATCACTGTTCACAAAATTGAAAATATTGAGTGAAATCATGGGCTTTAGAGTAGCACTATTAATTATTCATTCTGAATCAATGAATTAAATAAGAACGTAGTTAACAAACTCACCCCCTTAAACGTGATCCATTTGGTAGTATTTTTTCAACACCACCCAATAGCAAGTACAGTATGGCTTTTTTAATATATTCATGACCACATATCGATGGTGCCAATGACTTAGCAAGTAGTTCGAAAATATCGTCACAAGGATTATGCCTGGCTAATTTCTTACACATTGCTACATCGTCGTGTGAAATAGTAAGATTAGCCTCTTTATTTAACTGGGTGATATTATTTGCAATTAGAACTGTCCTATATAAGAATTAAAGATTTATATATTATTAAGACTACAATTATACCCCACTTTGAATATTTTAAAGTTTAAAGAACCTGAAAGCTCCGGTAGTATATCCTCCTTGTTTTCCTGGAAGACACCTATAATTTCCTATAATTTGAACTCGATCACCTGGCTTGCACAAGTCCACCAAATCATTATCACATATTATGTCGACGCTACGTGGCAACTGACCCACAGGAGCTTTTTCAGGCATTTCTTGAATTGTCAATGTTTGATGGTCTTTATATGTAGATAGACCAAATTCGGTCTCCAATGGATTTCCCTCATCATCCTATACATAAAAAAAAAAAAAATAGATCCTACTACCATAATTTACCTATTACATTTTTACCTTTGTAGGGTATGCTGCAGTACCAGGAAAGGCATCAACAGAAGTAAGATCTGTATAAGCCCTTTCAATAGTTATTTTTGTCACAGGACAATAATGAACACTCCTTACAACTTTAGGTCTGACAAGAGAACCTGTAAAAAATAAACTTTAATATAGAAAAACTATTCCTAAAATACTTTTGCATAATAATGTATCTTACATTTAGTTACAATCCCTTCTATGCATATCAAGTTCCCTAGATATTTTGACGTCGCCGTTCGTGGTGTGACATGCTTGTTACCGAAACTTCCTTCAAAGCCAACAAAAAAATCTACGTGTTCCTTAACATAATCCACGTCAATACTGCCAACGAATTGTTTTAATGCACTCTCAAATGCAAGCTGTTCTTCGAAAGAACTCTTTAATAATCTAAAGAAAAGCATAAATCACTACACAAATGTTATTACAAACTAATAAATCCAAATATTACAACAGCTTTCTTTTCTATACCTTGCCGCACGATTTGGGTTCTTCCTTCGCAGATCGTTAATGTTAACGATTAAGCGACATTTTTTTTCCTCAATCATGTTCTTAACTAGTGATACATAAATCCCTTGATCTTCCTACAATAATTAGTTGCATACATAAGTGATAAGTAAAAACATTAAAATCCTAAAAAACTTACTTCATCGTCCAAAAATTCCAAGTATTCCTGCTCCGCATTTCTTACTGCCAGATCTATATCCATTGTTGTTAATGCTTTTAAAACCTATATTACCCAAGCGTTCTTTTCCGCTTAAGAGGCGTTTCCTACAGACAAAACTCTCCGAACCGATTCTTGACAATATCCATGCAAAATTCGCTCGACTTTACTGAATTTTACTCGAGTCAGTTTGCGCGGGAAAAATATATGTATGTAAATATATATATTGTATTTTATGGGGGGGGAATGTGTATCTGCACCCGTTTCGCCACAGATCCGTTTGGATAATCAGCATTCTCTGTGCCGGCCAGAAATGAGTTGGTGCCGGCCTTATAAACGTGAATAACCCTAGTAGAAGCACAAATATCCCTAGGATCCTGAAAACGAAATCATACCACGAACTGTGTCCAATTTGAAGAGATGCTACAGTCGATATGTCCAATAATTGTGTGTCCAATGTTTTATGTCCAAACCGGTCTGTTGCGAAGTGGGTTTCTCCCGCAAAGGGAAGTATATTTGGAGACAAGCCTTGTCTACATGTATTATGGATGCGAGGCGTCTGTCAATGCGAGTAATTAACATCGATTAAAACAGCTTGTAAGCCTTTGATTCTGTCAAAAATTCCAAGAATTTTCTTAAATACTGTTCTGTACACTGACCAACTGAATTGCGTCGTTAAAACGGCGATTCTTAGTTAAATCTTCAAAGTTGTAGCGGCCTGTCAACTGTTGTAAGACACTTTTTTGGAGAAAATTTAGTAGAACTGACATAATATTTAATCGTTTAGTTTATTTTGTAGTTAACTAACATTCTTTAACCATTTGGAACGCTTCTTTTCTTGCTGACTCCAATGGTAGAAAGCTCAGAGCACTTATTGACTTTCTGTCGTAGTGGATATATTTAATTCAATTAAACATTGATCCTGTCCGATTTGTATTCACTTTGCTATGACATATCTTTAGACTATATTTTATTACTGGCCACAGATAAGGCTTTTCCATGTAATTTTTAAAAGTAGACAATGTGCCATGATTTTTCTGTTACTATATTATTATTTATTTATTTCAGGAGACATATCATGTCATCTCCAGAGCAATTACAAATTGTTCAATCAAAATTCACGTCAGGTGAAACCGTTGTAATTGTATCCTTTAAATCAAGTATTCCTCACTGAATTAATTTCGTTAAATTATTAAACCTTAATCAAACATAAGACAACGGAAGCATCCTTGATGCAAGGATGGGTAAGAGCAGCGAGGCTCCTTGCATTAGTCAACAAGGGTTCTACGTATGCCGTAGTCATATTACTTACATCCAGGTCTCCTCCACAAGTATATAGTGATCTCACCATAGAAAGAGTATTGCCTATTGATCAAGATTTTAAGTGTGATATAGGTAAGTTAAAAATTACTCTGAATGTTATTACAATTATTTAAAATAATTGATGTTATTCAGAAACTGCTATATCTTACAGGTACAGATGGAAAACAACAGGATGGATTGGAAGTATATTTAAATATATCGTCTAGAAAACTTCAATTAGTATTTGAAATGAGACCTGGAGTCGCTACTAGTTCTTTAGTCTCTGAAATATTCCGAGCTATCGAAGGTAATTCATAATAAATAGAAGTTCGACAAAAAATGAACTACATTATGCACATTAACTGTTGTCAATTTCACAAAAAATTTCAGTGTATCAAAAGAATAAAAATTCAACGATGGAATACTTCTGGATTCAAAAATTAACAGGAAGTACAAGAAATTTAGATAGCACTGTTGATATTGGTTCAGACAGTGCTGATCCAGTAAGATCTGTAACTAACTCTGCACGATCTGTAAATAGCCCTGTTCTATCATTAGATTATATGAAATTCAATTTTAATGTATTGCCTGCAATGGAATTAAATTAAATATTTATTACAGCTAGTGGAACTAGAAAGCCCCGATCTAGTAGTACCAAGGCGAAACATTGCCTCCGGGAAAACGCCAGTTGCTGCAAGAGAGTCAGTAGTTCGATATCAAATGGCATGTAAAGAAGATGATTATACATATACGGAAGTGTTTAGGTACGTTGTAAAGTCGTAAATAAAAAATCGGTTAAACCATTAATCGTGTAATCAAATCATGAATTTTTTTTCAGAATATTTGTAGGCACTTGGAATGTTAATGGACAACCACCAAATGGAATCACAATAGAGCAATGGTTAAGTTGCGACGAGGTGCCGCCTGACTTGTACGCTATTGGTTTCCAGGAACTGGATTTAAGCAAAGAGGCATTCCTCTTCAATGATACTCCACGTGAAGAAGAATGGCGGTACGGTAAACGGAGATTTTAAACTGCCATCCCTGTCTAGTATTTTCTATGTTAATACGTTGACTGCAATTTATGAATTAAACATTTTATGAATAACTTCTACAGGAAAGTCGTAACCAAATCGTTGCATCCAAAAGGCGTTTACCAGCAAGTTGCATTAGTGAGACTTGTGGGTATTATGCTAATCATATTTGCTCGAGACATACACATGCCTCATATAGACAATGTCAGCGTAGATACCGTAGGCACTGGAATAATGGGAAAATTGGTAACGTAGTATCGATTCTGCCATTACAAATTAATTTCGCTAATTATGACTTTCATAATTATAAGTCGAATTAAATGCATACAGGGCAATAAAGGCGGCGTGGCTGTAAGTTGTTCGATTCATAATACATCCGTTTGCTTTGTAAATGCACATTTGGCTGCACATTGTGAAGAATTCGAGAGGCGGAATCAAGATTATGCGGATATCTGTGCTAGGCTGAGCTTTTCCAAATACGTTCCACCAAAAAATTTTAAAGATCACGAGTAAGTAATCGTGGTGGTGCAAGAATAATTAGAATTATTTCTTGATACAAATTTAATTGAGGATTATCATCAGTCAGATTTATTGGTTGGGCGACCTAAACTATCGGATAACTGAAATGGACGCTGCTATTGCAAAGCATCATATTTCAATGGAGAATTACCACCCCGTTCTGCTTCTAGACCAACTTGGCCAACAGAAGAGGCTTGGTAAAATTTTTCAAGGTTTTCACGAAGCTGAGATTAACTTCAAACCAACTTATAAATATGATCCGGGTACCGATTACTGGGATTCAAGGTACCGCAGATCTCACCGATAGCATTAAATAAATTTAATTTTAATTGAAAAACCTAATTGTACTTTTACTATTACAGCGAAAAGGGAAGAGCACCTGCCTGGTGTGATCGCGTACTATGGAAAGGAGAACCAATAGCTTCGATAAATTATAGAAGTCATCCCGAATTAAAGATCTCTGACCACAAACCAGTCAGCGCAGTTTTTGATTCCCAGGTACTCTCAAACATTTTTGGCCATGCTGTTTATGGTGTGTTAATATTTATCATTGTTATTAAAAAAATTTCAGATTAGGGTCATCGACAAGGTAAAATATCGAAAAATCCATGAAGAAGTCATGAAGAAATTAGATAAATTAGAAAACGAATTCTTGCCTCAAGTGATGGTGGACACGACAGAAGTAATTTTTGATACTTTAAAGTTCCTGGAGCCCAGCAGTAAAGAACTTATAATCGCTAATACCGGGCAAGTAAGTGTGATACACGGTTATGAAAGTATTAATTGTCAATCATTTTTAAATTACGAATATATATACGGCTTCTAGGTACCCGTTCAATTTGAGTTTATAAAGAAGCTGGATGATATCAGTTATTGCAAAGACTGGTTACACATAGAGCCTTATACTGGGTTTATAAAACCTGGTGAGAATATTTCTTTGACTTGAAACATTAGGATATTAAAATAATATATTAATTCCCCTTTGCTCTGCTTCTACAAAATAATCAATTTTTATTAAACTAGGAGAGAAATGTGACATAAAATTGGAAGTCTATGTCGACAAGAAATCGGCATGCAAACTAAATTCGGGAGAGGACAAATTGTACGACATTCTAGTCCTGCATCTCGAAGGAGGAAAGGATATTTTTATCACCGTAACAGGTATGTCCAAGATATATTTCAAAGAAAAAATCCATGTCTTTCGAGTCAATTTTTAGGTACATACGAAAGAAGTTGCTTTGGGTCTTCAATGGAAGCGCTAGTGCATATTTCTGTACCAATCAGAGAAGTTCCTGTCGGCAGGTTAATGGAATTGGTATGTTACCCAAAATCCTAGGGGAGCTTTTTCCTAATTTTATGCTACTTTCGATTTTCTAACAATTTTGTTCATTTCTTATAGGAAAATAATAAAAATTTGTCGTCAGAACCATACTCAGTTCCAAAAGAAGTGTGGCAGTTAGTTGATAGGTTGTACCGACATGGTATTAAAACGGCTGGACTGTTCGAAACTCCAGGACTTCACAGTGAGATCATAGCAATAAGAGATTGGTTGGATCTCGGGAGTCAAGATCCTATACGTATCCTTGTGTCATCATTTTACTTATTAACAGGAAATTTTCGTTAACGTTTTTAATTCAGTTTCGATTAAACTGATATTCGCGATCTTGTATCACTCTGAAGAGATATTGAAAAGGATGGCATGAACATCAAATTTCTTTAACAAATGTATAAACAGCTGGTGGCGTTCATTCCGTCGCGGAAGCCCTCCTTCTACTTTTAGAATCCACCGCCGAACCTCTAGTCCCATACAATTTACATAATGTATGTTTATCGGCGGCTACAAATTATCTGCAGTGCAAGCAGGTACGTCATTTTTTTCGAAATTCGATCGGTATCCAAATTTTATGTGTAATCATTTCAGATCGTTATGCAGCTACCAGAAATAAGAAGAACGGTATTCTTATACACTTGTTCGTTTCTTCAAGAGCTTTTAAATCACTCACAAGATAACGGCCTAGACGCTAAGACACTTGGTAAGAGATATTCCTAATTTTTAACGAGTGCCATCCTCATGGCCATAAGCTATGCACACCTAACAAACATATTTTTCGTGCTAGCGACGCTGTTCGGTTCTATTTTTCTGAGAGACCCTCCCAGAAGTAGGGACGACCGTCTCCAGAGGAGTCGAGCCACTCAAGCGACGTTCGACAGGAAGAAAGCTGCATTTGTATATCATTTTCTGATAAACGATCAAAGTGATTTCATTTTTGGTCGATAGTTATGGACGTGAAGAAGGTAAGAACAAAATTTAAGTATTAGAGTATCGGAAAATTTTGTTCTGCCTTGGTACATACGTATTGTACTTATGTGCATAATATTTAACATATACACGTTCGTAAAATTACAGAGTATAATCCGGCTTACGCGTTGAAACGTAAACAGTTATGATATGCTTACACGTGAATGAATTACAACCTAGAACAAGGTTTTCTGTCGGTTGAAATAATAGACTAACGTCAAGTAATTTAATTCTTCTAACTTGGACAGTTCAATCGTTGATTTCATACCATTTTTTACCTAAATCATTGTGTAAGTGATATTTATTAAGGGCTACTAGAATGCCCAGGTAACTTGAGTCCATTCGTTACTCTAGAGAACAAACTGGGTATTTTTATAGTTTTATACAATTCCATGGTTATCCTCTAAGGCCGTCTGTAGTGCGGAATTGGCTTTCCTTTTTAAGGGAAGCTTAAAAGTACAACCTCTACTTATATCACTGTTGTGTTAAGCGATAATATGACACCATTGTATTATTTAGAATTAACGTGTTACAGTAATGCATTATGCCATAAAAAATTGTTTTCTTCAAAATCCTTTGAAATGGTATGTAGTGATTTTCATTTAAAACATTTTATAATTCGACATCGATGGTATAGAAATTTTCATGAATCATACATTGTAGGAAATATACAATTATATATATTTTTCGCTTAACATGACAGAATAAAATAGCCATTTGTGTATAATTACGTAAATTCGTTTCATTCAAAGGTTGAGATTATATCCTGATTGTTTATTTGTTGCATCCTTAGTAGTAAAATGATAGGATATCTGTATTGATTATAATTACCTTATTTTAATGTATTATATATTTATTGATGACCCTTACTAATAATCCCTTATGTATGCAGTCAAATGATGGAACAAATGATGAGATTCTAGACAATGTATGTATATGTAATCGCTATCGCCAAATGTTTAGAGTCCTAACATCAAGTACAGTGCCAATCAACTATAGAACTTTTTTTTTTTTTTTGGTATTTCACTAAGTAAAACTTACTTAATATGTTTAATTAGTTAAGGTAATTTAATCGATTTCTTTTGTGCATATTAGATTACATTTTTGCAATAGTTTATGTTTAATAGTAGGCACCATGACGATGTCATACCATTCTAGATAAATTTTGTATAGTCTTGTTCATATACACTGATATTTATTAAACACATAACCTAATTGAAACAACACTATGTATATTATTCTACAGTATCCAAACCAGTCCAGTCCAGTACAATATCTAGTTTTCACTGTGTCATGAAATTTTTTAAATAAATTGCAGCAACCTTTATTTCATATAAAAATTTATTGTCGTATTATTGAAAATCGTAAATATTCGAAAGTTTTTTTCCACCATCATATCACAAAGCAACAATACCTAACGGTCCTTTGGCAGATTAAATTAGAAAAATTAAATGTATATTCAGTTATGATTAAACGAGCGTAATTCCTATCAATTTTACTTATAATAAACATTTTACGAGCTACTGTATAATTGTTATACAGTCTGTTCCTTATATGTAAAAAATATTTACACGTAAGGAAAAGACCTTTGATCAATGGGTTTTCAAGGATTAAAGAAAGTTAAAACTGGAAGCCACCTTGTGGAGCTGCTTCAGTCGGTTGAAATTCTAATTGTTCCTCCTCTGTAGCTGGTGCAAGATTATTGTCCTCGGTATACTTAAAGAAAAAAAAAATTGTTTGAACTTCCTACTTTAAGTAAACGATGAAAAAAAAATGTACTTATGAAATATATAAATTACATGATTTAGTCTTTACTTTGCTACTTACCCCATCTGAGTAGAAAGTGTCAATCATTGCCATAACTTTTTGGTAAACTTCATCGTTATCATGCTGCTGCAGAGCCTCTAATTTATCAAGACCTCCAACTTCTTCAATCATCATAGCAACACGTTCCACTTCACCTATTTTATCAGCAGCATTCAAAATATTTGTTAATCCATCGAGTATAACCAAAATTATCTTCCAATCCTTAGCTTCCAGCATACTACAGAATGGCTCAAGAATACCAAGTTGAATCAATTGAGCAAGTTGTTGGACAGTACCACCTGATGTAAAATTAGTAATAGCCCAGGCAGCTTCTTTCTGCGATTTAAAATCTCCCTGCAACAGAAACGCCAAATTTGTTATTCTTTGTATTATATTAACATTTTTTTTCGTCAGACAATATCATTTACCTTTTGAAGAACATGGATAAGTGATGGAAGAAGTCCAGCATTTATAATATGTTGAATTTGATTATGATTTCCAGCTGCAATATTGCTTATTGCCCATGCTGCCTCCTTTATAATGTTCACTCGTTTATGATGTAACAATGCCCCAAGATGTTTAAGTCCTCCAGCAGTAATTACAGCATCAGTTTGGACATCATTTCCTGTTACTATATTTCCGACTGCTCGTAAAGCTGGTGTTAAAATAGTCACCTCTGCTGAGGCTAGAAGTTCAACCAATTTTGGAATCACCCCACTGTTAACCACAGCTTCAATTTTTTCATTTTCACCGTCACTGAGATATGACAATGCCCAGCATGCATCAGCTGAAATTAATATTTTACATTAATAAAGACTCATACCAAAAGTAGCTATAATAAAATAGTTAGTTTTAAATTTCCTATTTAAAGAAACATTCATACCGAGTACATCATTGTCTGCATAACTGAGCAGTCGATTCAAAACTGGAAGAGCAGCCTTAACAGTTTGGAATGGAGGTGGTGGATTTTTATTACGACACAGATTAGAAAGTGTCCAAACTAAATTGCGAGTGAAAGATACCTGTAATGAAAGATTTAAATAAATTAGAAATAAAATTAATTACATCATATTGTATTTGCAAAGAAATCGTACAGGAGTATCTGGTTTGATAAGCTCCAAAAGGAGTGGTAGAGCATCATGACCAAGAACAAGATCACGTGGAACAGGTCCATCTCCAGCAATATTTCCAAGAGCCCACACTGCTTGCTCGGCCACATTAAGAGATGGCGATTTTAGTAACTCTATCAGTTTTGGAATAGCTCCATGCTTTATCACAACTTTGGTTTGATCCGAAGTACCAGAAGCTACGTTAGTTAATGCCCATGCTGCCTCAAATTGAAGTGGTGGGCTGAAAGTAAAAAGAATAACTGATTCTATGCCAATTACTACACACATGTATATATCGATATAATAATAAATGCACAGGGTAGACATACTTATCATTGTAGCTCAAAAATTCAACGCAACGAGGAACGATGCCTTCTTGAATCATGTCATCGATGGGTGGATTCCTTTCTTTGCTTAACATCTTTCTGCATGCTTGAGTACCCTGTAACTGAAGAGCTGGAACCGAACTGTTCATATTACTGATAATTTGTGTCACATCCATCAGTCCTACAGATGACTTCATGTCTGGTGGGCTTAATGGATCCAAAGGACTCAATGGTTCCGTAACTACATTAATGTTACGACGTTTTAACATTTGCTCATCTTTCCGTGCTTTGCGCAACTCAACGGACGTCTCGTTTCTTCTTCTTCGAACTTCCTACACCGGAGAATTAAATGTTTTAGTTTAAAACTTAAACAACATTAACAATATTACATTATAATATAATGTACTAACATCGTGTTTGCTGTTGAACTTAAATTTAGCCAAGCGGCTGCTGTGCTCTCCTTCTACAACCGGCATCGTGTCTGTAACCAAAACAAAATACCCACCAGTAAATTCATTGATCTCATCTATCATGCTCCAATATAAAATAACGTTAACTCTTTTGACAACCGATCAAAAATAAAATTTTTTTGGAATTAAGTTTTATTCACGTTAAAAGTCGATGCAATAATGCTAATAGCTGTTTTAAAAAGAAATCAATTTGTAAATGAAAATTTCTTCGAATACAGTAACTGATAAACTGAATGCTTTGTATTTCAACTGGCCCTTTAACGGTCCTATGAAATCTGCGTACGTTGTCTTTCAATTTTTAGAGAACTTACCTGCGTTGCGGGAGGCTCGTTGTTGGATAAGGAATAATATTTCAAAACTCTCCTCACTCGATTCAATAAGTTGTGTGGAAAATATTTGAATTCCGTTTAATCGCGACCTGCGCGACACCGATTTACAAACGGCGTTGGCGAATGTCTGCGGTGGTCTGCGGCGTGCTCCCCTGACTGTTTCGTGACCTGTTGAGGGGAAAAAAAATTAAATTCCCTCTCGACCAATCAGGACTCTGAGACTGTTGCGAAGAGAAATCCCATCTTCGCTATGATTGGCTCGTGTTTCCTGAAGGTCACGCCATTGGATGGGACCGACTCAACGTACCGCCGTTTAAATTTCACACACACGTTCATCTAATCCCTCGAAGCCTCTTGTTGCCGAGGTCATTATGTCTCCCCAAAAACTAAAAAAGATGTTTATTCCCCTTTTTTCTGCATGAATTTCCTTATATTCTCTAGAAATTTATCGAATTCATGTTTATATTTAATACGTAATTATTAAAGATCTGTACAGGAGCACCATCACTCTAACCATTATTTCACATTGTCCCATAGAGTAACAATTAAATTTTACACACAGAATATGCGTCTTTGAGTAAAAATTTCAGGTTTTTTTCATCTTTGGAGAATTGGTACTTGTTTTAAGTACATGGTAAAAAAATACGTGTTGCTGTAATCAGTTTTAATAAATATTTTTCACAATGTCCCTTTGTTATTTTCTTTGACAAAGCAAATTTTCACATTGTGTTTAATGCAAATTATGAAACTATTTATGGACTACGAAAAAGCTTGGTCTAAATATACTTTTGAATATTTTTTAAGGTTATTAATTGTCTAGAATTTATCACTGGCTTGCTTAAGATATATCAGAATTAAAAGTGATATTAATATTGGTTCCATTTTTGGTTTAATTAGGGTTAAAAAGCCATTTAATCATAAAACATGTTTGGCTCGTACTCCTGGCAATACCAACAGTTTAGAAGATCCGAATGTTATTCAACAGTAGGACTGACATAATAAACGGTGAAAAGCATCAAAAATGTTTGTAATTTCATCTTCCAATTTGTTACGGGTCTACGGGAATGTGAAGCTATACCCTAGATATTTGGTACATACATTATTGTCATGTCAATGTGCTGTCAATGTTATGCTTTTAAGTATTTACACAATATAACCTAATCGCAGAATTCGTAGGGGTAACACAATCTGTAGATGTATATACTTATTACTTATAGTCTAAGTTTATTCCACGAAGGACGCTCTTATATGTTCCTGGGTGTGACGAAAGAAAATTAAGGAAGGCCCGCAAACTCAATGTCGATCTTGTTGCTTTTGACTGTGAGGATGGAGTTGCTCTTAATCAAAAGGCAAGTACTACTGCCCGTCATTGGTTTATAAGCTTATGATTATTTTTAACATGTATCATATTTTTTTATAAAAGGATACCGCCAGGCAAAGGATCCGAGAAATGTTGGATTGTAGATCGTGGCCCTGTAGTAGGCCAGAATGGGGAGTACGAGTGAATGCAGTGAGTTCTGAATTATGCTACATGGATTTAGAGGCTATATTAAGTGGAATTAACTGTCCTCCTTGCATACTGTTACCCAAAGTGAACACCATCAACGAAATGCACTGGGTAAAATTATTGTACTATTAAAACTAATATTAATTCAATATTTTTTTTGTTTGAATCAAATAAACTGTTTAAAAACTTTATCGGAAGGCAATGGATTGTAGCATTACAATTGTGGTAGTAAATAGTTGTCGATACATTTTCTGTTATATTTTTGCTATAATCTTTTTCTTTCTGTATTAGAGTTTGAAAGAAAGCCGATTCTTTTTCTTACTTTTATCCTTATATTTTTAAGTTTGCAGACACTGTGAGTAATTTATATTCACATACATCTCCAATTAACTTAATCGTGTATAGCGAAACTGCAGTCAGTATGATGAACTTACCTAAAATTGTAAATGCTGGAATTGAAATAGGGAAACATTCTCCACTGAATCTTGTAGCTCTTGTAATGGGTAGCGATGACTACGTTGCTGATATAGGTAACAGTATTATTTGATAAAGTATCTTAAGTTTTGAATAATGAATGCATATGTAGAAGCAAGTAATTATTATAATACCATAGGTGCAACGAGGACAAAAAGTTGTTCTGAAATAATATATGCAAGGCAGAGACTTGTAATGGTTGCAAAAGCTTTTGAGTTACAAGCCATTGATATGGTGCATATTGATATTCAAGGTGAATTACATTAATTAGACTGCAACTATATATGTCAATTATCACAGAATAACACATTTTTTTTCAGATTTAGATGGTTTGAAAAAGACCTCCGAAGAAGGTGCAGCCTGGGGATTCACAGGCCGGCAAATTATACATCCCTCCCAAGTTACTATTGTCCAAGCAGCTTATAGTCCTTCCGTAGATAAAATTAAATGGGCTACAGAACTTATAGATGCATTCAGAAGTCACCAGGAATTAGGAAAAGTTTGTATTTTGCAGTTTCTATTAAATGTACTCTTTTTCGCTATGTTTCTTTTATCGTATACTAGGAAATTAACATCTGTTTACATTTTAGGGATCATTTGTTTTCCAAAATCAAATGATTGATATGCCAACTCTAAAACAAGCAGAAAATATTATTACCTTAGCCGATGCAACTGTAAATCATAAATAACTTTTCTCTCCAGTTTCAAATTATCTCTTAGTCTGAAATATGTAAATACATGAAAAGATATAATAAAATAAGCAAGAATTGTATATAATTATTTTATTTATCGTTTATCGATAAATATAATGCATTAAATAATTGTTTGATATTCAGTGTCACAGATATTAGTTTTCCTGCAAAGGGTTACAAAGTGCCTTATGTATAAGTACTGTACAAAATATAAATTGTGGGCCATAATTCTATTAAAAACTATATAAAAAATGCACTTATCATTGTATATGTGTAAGTTTCGTAATTGTGTCCGTTGGTCGCATTCATTGTGAATACATTGTGTGTATACAATTTTAAGCCGGTACAAATAACTTCTAACACTTATTACTAATAATATCCACAATTGAGATTAAAAAATTCTAAGTACTCCAATGCGGCAGTTCTGCCAATAATACAAATGCGTAATGATACAGTTAAAATTTACATATCCCAACACAAGGAAGAAAAAGGTGTACTTTAATGCATTATGTGCAAAGCATTCTGAATTTTTTAATAATAAAATAAATAATTGTATACGTTAAACGCATAACTCTCCTGACAGGCATGGTGACGATGACTTAGAAAAATATTGACTTTTTATGCAGGTATCACATGGTTGTATTCAATTCAATTAAAGCTGATTATTTGAATATTATAAACAAATGGTTGAACACTAAAGTAGAACTAGTCACAATTTTGAGATTTTTTGAAGTCTTAAAGCCATCACCCCATAAGAATGGGTAAGTTTAATAAGCCTATAACCCCATCCAATATTGTCAATTATGTAATTACTTAATTACAGTAGATTTTAAGTTAGAAAAATAGACAATACAATGTACTCTTCTTTTTCTAATCCAAGGAAGTTCTGTCAGAATATTCACACAGGAGTTTGTTGTGAAATATGCTATAATTAGGCCTGATCTTAAATCTGATCAACACATCATTTGACACTAACTCATTCAAGAGTACAGAATGTGATTGGAGCATTTAGAACCATCATTTATACCTCTACCTTATGGTACAATCGAATTTATAAATACATTAAGCCAATTACAAGCATTGCATTAATGTAACTTATATGCATTTGGTGTATTCTTCTTTTACAGTATTTATAAATACAAAACAAGTAAGCGTTTGCCAAATATATGATTGTTATGTCAATATTAAGAACCGACATAGTTCTTGTATATCATATTTTATATCAGATATCAAATGTTTTATTACTGTAATATTTTTAAAAAATATGATGGTAAAAATTATTCAAGACTGTCAACATTTGATTTGAGCGACACTTTGCATAGACTTTTTGAGCATATAACTCAAATTATGCTTCACAACTTAGTATATTTTTTAAAAATATTTATATGATGTAGTAATTTCCTTTGCATATCTTGAAAATCACGTAATACATGATTCAACTGCTTTTTTGACCGTATCACGGGCATATGGTATATAAGACAATGAATACCATGTCATTGCCAAAGATTGAAGAATTATGAAGAAAAGGGCAAGTCCGGCTTTTTTTAGCTGTGGAAAAAAGCAATTATTACAATTTTTAAGTTACTTTTTAAAAATAGCAATAAACTTACATGAATAGCAGCAAAAAGGGTCATCACAATTGATACAAAGACTAAAACTGTTGCAATTACTCTCGTCGATGCAAACATTTTTTTAAGTTGCTTGACAGGCCCCATTAAAAAGCATGTGCTAGAAATTAAAAAATTAAATCAGATTAATTTTGGATTTTTTGTAATATAGAAACATATAATAATGTACATTTCTCATAAATAAATTGATCGTGTACGTCGTGCTACCTTAACAATGAAATGATATTGCCAAGAGTATAGAATACTGCAAATACTGTTAACCCTCTATTCAAAAAGAGAGCAAATGATCCAAGAAACGAACAGAGAATTCCAATGACAAAACATATGGCAAAACCCTTGATTCTCGTCGACCAGCTAAGCGTTGACGAATCCATCACCTGTAATACCACCAAAATATTTATTCTCTGGTTCAATTAACAAACTTTAAAATGCCATTTTATTTAAAAATGATCACGAACTCACAACTAGACACAAACTCACCATAAAATCTACATCAGCCTTGCAGCATTAAGCAAGAGATCACATCGTTAAATCTTTTGTGGATAAATCAGAGAAATTTAATGAAATCCGTTTACCTGAGTAATTATGCCGCTTTCCTCGTCGCATTGCTCGTTGCCACTCAACGCTCTCCTTAGCTTCTCCATACTTCACGATCAATGTTTCCTAAACTCTACACAATTTGTAACCTTGAACGGAAATATTTCTTTTTATATTTACACTAATGTAATTTACAATAAAGAACCAAATATATTTTGACAAAACATTCCACCTTCTTAATACGAGGATTACAAGACCATAGTTCTACTATTCCAAAGAAGTATCATATCCTTCGGCTGATGAGTCGTAAACGGTTATATCATCCATCAACTGATCGTAGTACTTTTTAAAGTGAGAATTCACGTATTCATCATCAACAAATCAAGCAATGAATACAAGATGAATATGTGACTATGTTATACTTATGAATAGGTTTCTTCAACTGTTTCGAGTCGTCGACCAACAAGTGGAAAATATTTATCAGCGAGCTCCCTTCATACCGCTGACTAGCAGATAAAAAGAAATATAAATTACGTGTAAAAGAAATTTATTAAACGATCTCCACGTCATACCATGTGACGGGAATACTCGCAAATGTCACCTAGAGATGATTACCGTAATTCAACCCACCCACGTTTTTATCGCTCGTTATCAATCTAAATCATTCCTCTGGTGATGTTTGGTAATGCCTCGGGTGAAGTGATAGCGTTGACGCTCTTAATTTCACATACCACATGCCACTCTCCCGACAGCTGCGAAAACGTAACGAATATAACGAAAATTCGAAGCCATCGGGGAGTATCAGGTGGGAAGTGTATTAGCTGTCCACATCGTCCACCGAGGGACAGCACAGACGCGCGCCCTGCCCTCATCTCTGGGGGTCTATTACGTAAAGCAAATTGAGCGAAAATGTGAAAAATGAGTAGCCCACAGTATTGCCAGTGATCTCGCTCTTTCATATAGCGAATACGTAATCCGGCGCATAAACCCACGTGAGATGAAAGTGGAAAAGTGAGCGCTCTCGTCAAAAATACGTAATAAATGCCCTGATGTCATTGGCGTTTCGGGAAACGTGGAAGTTCCCAGAATTCTAGGGAACTTTTTGCTGGAACATTCGTCGGAGGGAGTAAGCGCGAAAATTCGTATTTTCGAACGGATGAAGTTCAAGACACGAACATAACGCGGACGCGATGTTTCTCTTAATCGGAATCCGAGTGATCGTTAAAGAAAACAAATCGTTGAAAGAATAAAAACAACAGTACCTCGTTATTCATCCTCCGTGCACTTTATCGCAAGGAACGTCAGACTTTAAATGGTCTTGCTGGGTTTTTTTTCGCCGAAAGTGGGGACGATGATTTGCGAAGGCCTAGGTTGATCGATGGAGATTGGAAGGTTCGGCGCTCGTCGTTTGACTGGCGCGTCGGTGATCCACGGGGGGGCGACGTGATGCCATTGGCGCGTGGAAAAGCCAAAGGGCACCGCGCGGTCCCGCCGCAGAGCCGAGGGAAACTCGGAACCTCAGAAGTGGTCGCGATCTCGGACGGAGCGCCACGCGAGTCGATTCACGGGTGCCGGTCTTCCGATCGATTCGAACCCATCGATAGGGGAGTCCTCGGCGAGACTCGACCGAAGAGGGAACCCCATGAAGGTGAACTCCGAGTGACCGCTTACAGTCTCCACACCTCTGCGAGGAAACACATGGTCCGGTGATTCCGAAGATGACCATGACTGCGTTTCACCTTGGCTCCGTCCTTTCCTTCCTCCTGATATTTCTCGCCGCTTTTCACCGAGGTGAGTGACTTCTTTTTTTTTATTTCCTAAACCATTACGTTATAACTGACTACGAAGACGTGTGATAAGACATCGGGAGGAAAGAGCGACTCAATTTACTGAATACGGTCGGAGTGGAACGCTTCTTCTCTTTCTTCACAAACTTCCACCAAAGTTTTCAGGTTTAAGTTCTCGAACCTCCCTAACGGGAAAACTTTCGTTTTTGAATCGACCGGATTAAGAGGCATGGGAAAGTGTCCCAAGGAATCCATTTTTCATTCGGATTACCTGGGCACCTTGCCGAGGGTGCCAAAAAAGAGGCATTCTTTTGGGGTTACTCTCATTGTTGTACATTGAACGAGCGGCTTGCTGGGTTCGATCTAAAAAAGGTACGAGGTTCGCGTACGTATTTTTTTTTTTTTTATATTAATACACGTATTAATTACTCGTTCGTCTGATAGGGAAAACACTTTTCAAGGGACTTTCGCTAACGTGCAAATGGCAGCGAGTCGATGGAAAAAAATAAATTGGAAGCTCTGGAGTACCTTGAAATTTCCCTCGACAATGCACGCGTCGTTACCAGAAATCATTGAACGCGTGCAATCTGTTACGAGAATTCAATGAATGCGTGCACATTGCCACGAGAATTCATTGAATGTAAAATCCAATTAACTTGCGTGCAAGGCACGTAATCCCTTCCAATGATTGCATCATGGTTTTTAATGGGTAGCCAAGGACTCCTTGAACAAACGTTTCAATTTTTTTTTCTTCCATTCTCATCCAGATTTCAGGGTTTCCATCGGAGCGCTCTACCCGGGGCATCTCAATTTTTCCCAAATGTTTTATCGTACCGTTCACTAAAGTTAAAGAGTATTTTCCAAATATCTATCCCAGTATTGGTCACGGATAATTGTGCTCAATCCAGCAGACCGTTTAGGCTTAGAGTACCTGTAAGGTATCTCTAAACGAGTGCTTCATTAAGAAGAATAAAAGTTCATGTTTTACGCAGATCGGGAAAAAGAGGGCACCGAATGGATTATGGCATACCAGATCTTCCCCAGGGAAGTCGTAGAGTGCGCCGGCACTTGTAATACTTCTTGCGTCGAGACGCGTGCTCAATTTCCTAATTAAATACACGTTCCTGGGATATCCTGTCGAGACTTTTGAAGCGCACGACTTTCCAGTACACTTGGCTCAATCGACATTACGGAACGAATCATTTGCTCCAACTTTGCACGTACAAAAAAAATCAATAACATACGAGAACTTCCCAGGTACCAAGAAAATCAATGGAGTCATTTTTAGACAATCGGTCCAAGATCTCACATGGCGTGAAATTATCCGTCATCTCGTCTCGTTGTTTCAGTTTCTCTAAAATTCACTAGTCGCCAATTAACGGGGTAAAATAGCTTCGACCGTCCCCCAAAGTGTACGAGTCGTTAGGAAGGCCCGTGGAAGGAAGGTAGTCAAATTATTTCCCGGCGGTAAGATACAAATTATGGAAAAATAAATAAATAAAAAAAAAAAACTAGCAATGGGCCACATCGTAGTCGACCACCTAGACGAGGAAGCCTCGGACTCGTAGCTTATCGCTCTTCGCGGGGCTTCACTCGTTCTCGATAACGCGCATCCTGTACTTTTATCAATAGCGAACAAAAGTGGCGTTTCGCGTCGAAATCGCGTCTATCGCCAAAAAGTAGGGTCGTCGAGTTCGTCAGGTCCTAATCCCTATTAAGTTAACGTAGAGTCGGGCAATTACAAGGCGCCTCCTCCTTCGTGATTCGCGGTAGATTGATTTTTCTACATGGAGAGTCCCCGCCACCCGGGGGTGGGAGATCGATCAGCTGGTCGCAAAGCGCTTCCGCCCCCTTTTGCTTTCATTTTGCGCGGAAGGCTCAATTTGCGAAGCGGCTGTGGCCTTATAGTTTGCTGAAAATTCTGGGTTTGTTATAGTGGTGTGTGACCCCCGCAAAGGATATCGAGCGACCCACTTTCTCCGCCATCTCGCTCCGACACCTTCCGTTCCCATCTCCTTTTCTCTCCCTCGCACGATGCCACCCTGCCGTGCGAACACGTTGTGTCCCCCCAATATCTCGTCGAGTCCTTCCGATGTTCTGACAAATCAGCGGAAATTTTTCAAATTGTTACGCCGTCCCAACCGATCCCCGATTTCGGCTCGCGGATGTATGCCACGGGTGAAGGCTGTCGGCATTGACGTATCCTTCGAGGCCGTGAAATAGTCGGGGCTTCGAATTAATTAATTAAAATCATTCCGACCGTTTATAAATTGTCGAGTCTCGATGCGAACGTCTGCCTAGAATGTCTAAGCCCTAATTGGACGGCTTTCAGGACTTTCCCTCGTCCCCTGGTATTTCTTTCACGACGAGGGTTTCTCACTAGCGGGGGCCCTAAGACCTGGAATTAATGCCATCCTTGGGCTCGGTCGCGGATGGAGGGCACAAGGACTCATACGTATGACGACACGAGCTCGGCTACTTTATAAAGGTACCCGAGGAGGTGAGGTTCCAACTGGGGAAGCTCAAAAGCGAAACGCCCGAAGCGCTGACTCGGTCGTCGAGCTTCGTCCCAGGGAAGTGTTAAGTGCTGGATAAATTCCGTGTAATTGCTTGCCTGGGAGTTTTCCCCGATGTAGGAAAGGTATACGAGAGACGTAACGGCCTCGCGATGCTCTGGAATGCCCCCAACATATTTTTTCTTTTTTTTTTTTAAATTTATTCATAGGTCGAGGAAGTCGTTCGCCTCGTCGAGTCGACTAGGGGTGGACTCTATCGGGAGGTTCGCGGGTAATATATATATATTTTTTTCTCCCCGTCGATCCTTTAACGCTAAAAATAATATATTACTCGGGCATCTTTCCCAGCCGAGGATAAAAATGTCCTCGTTGCACTAGGCGCTCTCGGTGCACCTCGTCTGGAGGCTCGTCTAGACAAAGAATTCTTTGCCGCCTTGGGGAGCTTTGTTCCCCGAGAGCAGGAGGCAAGGAACGCGTCCCCGTACCCGAAGCGTTTACGGAATAGGCAAGGAATGGAAAACGGGGGAACTTTTTCCCCGGAACATTTGCGAGACGCGAAATAAATGGAAAAAGCTCAAGTGAACGTCACGTAGAAGGCATTTATGATCGACTTTCTCGGTGGGGCGGCTTTCCGAATTTTTTGGGATCGTCGTTCATTTTCTAAGCCGCCGGAGATAAAACGAAAAAGCGACTGGGAAACTCACGAGTCTCGATATCGAGAATTCCAGCCCGCGGGAGGGAACCCACCCCTTGGTCAAACTTTGTTTGAACGAGCTGAATTCTTTACGAGCCCTCTATCGATTGGGTCGGCTGTGCCTAACATTTTTAGTGCACACGCGTCGTATCGACCGGTCGTCGGTTGACATTTTAAGCAGTCTAATTTCAAGGCATTAGACGGTAGCGGGGTTTGCTCTTAAAACGGCGACCTACCGCCACCAGGCACTGATTTCACAGGAGAAATTGGCTTCCCTCGGAATCCTTTCCGAACGGAATCGAGTTCCACTTGGTACCGGATTCGAAGCCAATTGATCAACCCCTGGAACCCATTTACTATGCGAGAATAAGTTCGCGTTCTCCTTAGGACTTCCAATAAAGGGAATCGGGTTTGCCGGGTTGTCTTGCTCGCTTTGGGCGAGAAGAGTCGCAGTTGATTAAACGCGGTTTCGTCGGCGGAAATCGCCTTCCAGCGGACCTTTATTCCTATTTAACGACCGTCTGGGTCGCGTAATTATAAATAAATTCCTCCCAACCGCAGATTGAATATCTCAGACGCCAAGGAAACGCCGTCTAGGTACAATATTCATTTCGGTGCTCGGATATCGACCCGTAGGAACGAAAAGGGCATTTCGTGGCGGTTTTCAATGTCACGGGGGAGATCGATATTGCACTTTATCGCCCGGACGCGTCTTCGGCGTCTCTCGATGTTATCACAAATGTCCGTGTAACTGGAATCGCGCTTATGTCGCGAAATATCATTTGCAAAAGGTCCGGTCCCCCGTCGATTTTTCGGGGCTTTCAACGAGGACAAGTCCTGGGGGTGCCGAAGGTTGCGAGCATGTAGCATACCGCAGTACGTTATATATCGCGAGCAAGGTCAACCTCGGCCGCCATCTTGGTCCCCGAGGTCCCAGAATTCTCTGCGCGCGAGGGACGTTTTTCGTGACGTAAGCCGGGAGCGCTAATGTCGCGAAATATCATTTGCAAAAGGTCCGGTCCCATGACGATATCTCGGGGCTATCAACGAGGACAAGTCCTGGGGATGCCGAAGGTTGCGAGCATGTAGCATACCGCAGTACGTAATATATCGCGAGTAAGGTCAACTTCGGCCGCCATCTTGGTCCCCGTGGTCCCAGAATCCTCTGCGCGCGAGGGACGTTGGCCGTGACGTAAGCCGGGGGCGCTAATGTCGCAAAATATGATTTGCAAAAGGTCCGGTCCCATGACGATTTCTTGGGGCTATCAACGAGGACAAGTCCTGGAGATGCCGAAGGTTGCGAGCATGTAGCATACCGCAGTACGTAATATATCGCGAGCAAGGTCAACCTCGGCCGCCATCTTGGTCCCCGTGGTCCCAGAATCCTCTGCGCGCGAGGGACGTTGGCCGTGACGTAAGCCGGGAGCGCGGGCATAAATGGCCCATTGAGGGTTGGAAATAGCATTGGGATTCCGGCTCGGTCGATAAGGGGTCGCCCGTGACGTCACGTACCACTGCCCCAGTTTCGCGAGACGCTAGCGAGACTATCCGGCAGGGAAAGGAGGCCGATCATCGTCGATCAATCCTGGGGGTGGATGCTTGCATGTCGACGAGTTCCGCGAGAGACTTCCCCTCGGCCAATTTATTTGCCCTCCCTAACGAGTTATCATTTCTTTTGCCTCCCTTAACCGTCTCCATAAATCGGCGCCCTCGTAAGTCCGATCCACGTCGATCGATCCAGAGGACTTGCGGATGCTGCGACCTGCAAAATAAATTTTTTTTTCGTCTTTAAATCACGATTTTATTCTCGCCCCGGTATATACCGAAGCCCTAAGGATCGATTTCAATCGATGGATCCAAAATGGCGGCACCCATGTGTAAGGTATCCTAGGAAAAAATTGACATCTATGCGGAGCGAGAATAGGGCGCGTTAATTCGGCGATAACTGCCGATTCCCTTTATATTTCCCGGCTACCATGGGGACTATCTGGAAAAACTATCAAAAGGATGCGGACAATTGGGGGGAGCGACGTAGAATCGCGTAATCGATAGACCGCGAGAACGGGCCGAGGGGGTAATGAGGGTAATTCCCTGATTTCGATCGGAATAGAAGGGTGTTTGCCTCGATCATACGTACCGATCGCTATCTTCGTTATTACGGTAAAGCATGGTCGGTTTATTCGTCCAATCGTTATCGATCCATCCCGTAGATAGGTATCCGTGCGATCGAACCTTCCCACCTGGAACACCTTCCTGGAAGGCCTCGATCGATGGATCGCAGGAACGAAGCACCCCATTTTCCCCGGAAGAAATGTTTAGAAAAGGTGACCCGAAGAAAATGCAGCTTTGTGCGGATCGTTACCTCGACTTTCCATGATTTCAGGGGAAGCGATCATCTGTTATCAGTGCAACAGCGCGTACGACCCCAGGTGCGGCGACCCCTTCGACCCGTACAGTCTGGGGACCGTCAACTGCAGCATCCAGACCCGACCGGAGCACCTCAGCCACATGGAACCCGTCCTCTGTCGGAAGATGAGCCAAAAAGGTATCCCCGGGTCCATTGAAACTTCGAATTTCGACTCCGTAGATCGGTGGCGCGAGGGAAAGAAAAGGGGATCGAGGGAGTCTCTCCGTAAGCGAGGTCCGAGGAGATATTTGGCAAGTAGGAGAGAACCAGGACGGGACGGGGAGGTAGAAGGCACCCCTGCATTGCGGTCTTCTCTAACCATGCCACGGGTTACCCCTTCGAGGCCCGGTCCTTACGTAACGAGCAACCAGCCGACGTTCCTCCTGATGTATCGACGTTATCGATACCTAGGCGATATCGCGACGCAAAGCCACAGGTACACCCTTGTAAACGACGCCGTGAGGGTGCAGCCACTTCCACCGGCCTCGGTGGGATGGAGAAATCAAAGATTCGGGACGAACGGGGATGAAAATAATGCCGGGGTGCCTCACCTCATTTTGGCGACCTCTTGTTTTCTTTTTCTTTTTTTCGATACCTAGGCGATATCGCGACGCAAAGCCACAGGTACACCCTTGTAAACGACGCCATGGGGGTGCAGCCACTTCCGCCGGTCTCGGTGGGATGGAGGAATCAAAGATTCGGTACGAACGGGGATGAAAATAATTCCGGGGTACCTCACCTCATTTTGGCGACCTCTTGTTTTCTTTTTCTTTTTTTCGATGCCTAGGCGATATCGCGACGCAAAGCCACAGGTACACCCTTGTAAACGACGCCGTGGGGGTGCAGCCACTTCCGCCGGCCTCAGTGGGATGGAGAAATCCAAGATTCGGGACGAACGGGGATGAAAATAATTCCGGGGTGCCTCACCTCATTTTGGCGACCTCTTGTTATCCTTTTCTTTTTTTCTCATTTTGCGGATTTCTTTGACCGAGACGGAAATTATCCCTTTGAGACCCGGAAGACTCCCTGTGGAAAGAGTAACGAGGGCCGGGGTTCTCTTTGCCATCGATAACTCCTGTGATCCTGGGGGAGGTACGGGGTCGGATATAGAGATTCCACGGTAGGGTTCAACCCTTTCGATGGGATCGATCGCAGAGGCCCTTGGACCTTCCTGGAGTCCTGCAGGATTACGGCCGAGGTTGTTAAACGTTCGAGAGGACGTTATAAAAATAGGAAACGGGATGGGGATCCTCCGAGTCTTGGAGTAGGTCGGGGTTATTAAAAATTGAAAGAGTGATCTGTCGTGCGGTATGTCGATGCAAAGGTTTCTGGCGGTGGATTTTATTATGAAGAAATTTGGTCTAATCGCATTCTGTTTTCAGTGTACGGGAAGGTGAGAGTCGTCAGGGGATGCGGATTCATAACCGACGAGAGGGACAACGGGGAATGTCTGCTGAGGACCGGTACCCACGACGTGAAAGCTCGTTACTGCGCTTGCACGGGTGACCTTTGCAACGTCGGGAGCCACACGTCACCGATAATCGGTGCGATAGCAACATCGATCCTATTCCTGGCGTGGAACGCGATTTAGAGTGCCGAGGCCCGTCCAGATCTAGGAATTCACGGGATCCGGGAGACCCGTACCGAGTTCCTACGAGAAGAGCGCGATATCCTGTAGGAGAAGCTGCGACTCGTCGAGCCCAGGTCGCTCGCCTAGAATAGGGAGAACTAGAGATATCCGAAGTCGGCCTCGTTTTCGGAGGATCAGCGAGATCGTCCGCGACACCGAGGGATCCGGAATCCCGGGGGAAACGCTCGCGAGTACATCCGGAGATCCCGAAGAAGACTCGGTGTACGCTTCGCGAGCAGCCGGGCTATCGAGAAGGTCGAGATTAAAAAGCCGTCTTCGTCCTCGTGGGAAGTCGCCCGTCGTCGAGGAAGCACGATCCTCGGGGTAGATGGCACCCGGAAAGAGGAAGAAGTCTATGGAATTGATCCGGATCTCGAGTGCCCGAGATTAGGGTATACCGGTGAGGGGGGACACCATTCGAAGACGAAAGGGAGCGGGTCAAATCGCGGGGGGAATTATATCGAGTAGTCATACAAACTGCCAGACACTAGTACTTAGAACTTTTGCAATACCTAGGAAATATAGGGTAGATATAACAAGGTAGAGGAGGTGTCGAGCCCGATCTAACTAGCGAGTTACGTCCCTCGTCGATGCGATCGTCGCAGCAGGCGTAGATTTTTGCGCGGAGCGTAGGCGGCCGAGATTATTAAAAATTACGCGATGTCGCTTCAAATCGGTCTACTGCACGATGCTCTCTTACAGCGTACAATGATTAGCTGGCCGATGCTACGTAGATTCGTCTCCTCGAGCCTCGTGGCTCGTTCCAGGGTTTAGTCAGTTTTCGCGAACGCGGTCGATCGAATCTGCAATGAGCTGTCCTCCTCTCGGCACCTCCGGCAACTCGGAACTGCGGAACTGGGTTTATGGGTTTTTGGACCGACTAGGTTTCTACCATACGATGCAGTTCCTCCAACGAATCGTAGGGCATTTTCCGAAAACGGTTACGGTAGCTGGACTTTACGGAAGAAATGGAAATCATTTGAGAAGTCGTTTCCCTCGTAACCGTGGGGTAACTGGGAAGGAACGGATCTATCGGTCGACCGGTTCGAGAGCTGGTTGGTCGAAAAATTTGCCTTGGATTCTGCTAGGAGAAATAATCGCATTAGGTAGAGTAACGATCAAGGAGGTACGGAGTATTGAATTTAAACGCGAACGGTAGATCGCTTACCGGAAGTCATCTCAGGGTCGATAGGAGCTATGACGTGCATAATGACATTTTTCCTTAACGAACGTGTGATATTCGCCTATCGTTGAAGCAAGGGTGTCTCTCGATTCTCTAGGGAAGGAGTCCTTCGCATGCGGAACACTCCGGAGCACATTTGCAATTAGTGATGCAGCTACTCGACAGAAAGTTGTCTATGGAACTTGGTGGAAAATAAGCAAATCCCTTAAAAAAAAAAAATAGAAATGAAAATGCTCCGAATCGTGCTTGCTCTTTGCCTTGCTTGTTTTTAACTGTGTTTTATAGACTGCTTTCGACGAGATCCGTGTATCGCTACTTGCGACGGTAGCCGAGAAATTTCTCTGAGATTATCGCGAATCGTGGATGAGACCGTCTTCGTCCACTTTAGCTTCAGATATGCCGCTCCGATCAGAGATTCGACGCACGGAGCTTAAAGTTTATTGTTAACCGTTGGCTCGCATTCTTTTGATACATATTTAGTTGATACGCTGGGTACAGCACTTGCACTCGAGGTCGGTAAAATTCATAGTTTCGATTCAAATGCATTTGCCATCGAGATCAATCGCAGTTTACTATCATCGGAAAACGAAGTCGTAGGTGGATCAGAAATCCTCAAGAGAAATACATATCAGAATTTCTATACAAATCTACCGATGTTTGTATTTACACGTGCATATCATACCCCTCCCCGATCGTAATTAATTTATATGAAATTATGCAAACGGATCTACATTATAAACTCTATCAGAACGTTATTTCATTCTACGTTAACAAATTGTTTCGTTGGGACGAGTTTTATTTACTTCGATCGTAACAACCGTTCAAATGGAAAATCAACTTTCCGAAGAGATTTATTAAACGGCTCCTGACGATATAAAAAAATTTCTTAAGTCATCAATGTAAGGGTAACTATCATTGAAAGTCATACCCGACCGGCCAAAGTGTTAACAATAAGATCGTACTTTCTGTTGTATCAAGAGAATGTTCAAGTCAAGATTTATGAATTTATTTATAATACTTATTGTCAAGCGATATATATATATATATATATTATACACACAGATACACCTTGTATAGAGACTATTGTATCAATAAAGTGTTAAGTGGTTACCAAAAACGCAATCGAAAGCAAAGATTCGGACTTTATTATCTCACCCAGCGCTACCGGAAAAATATGTAAATATTCAAGGTGTCGTGTAAACATTTTATTACAAATTATCTAGTCACATACATTTCGGTACAGGTACGCAGTACTAGTTCACAGCCTAGAGAAAGTTTAGATAGTGCTTGAGAATATAGTTTGCACCACCTTGCACCAGTAACGAGTCACCAGGTTAAATTTTAAATTTATCTCAACTTCGCACTGTCTATACTTTCTCTATTCTCGCAATATATCGACAGCTCAATTTTAGCCGGTTTCTTTGTTGTTGTTGTTTTGTTTTTTCCTGAAGATTTCAAACTACACGCTTATTAGTAGGTCATCCGCGAAGTACGTGGCGGTGTAATAATTCTACGTAAGAAATTTAAAAGCTCGTAAAAAATTATGAATCACCCTAGTTGAAATTTCGTTATCAAAAAGGCACCGGAGTTTTCTTTCCCAAGTGTTAGTATTTCTTCTTTTTTGTATCATTAATCCAGTGACACACACAGTACATTCGCCATCGTAAATGCCTTTTACAATTAAATATACTTTTAAAGATTTTGTGCGATGTTCAATCAATGACGTTTAATAGGATGATATGATTAATCGTTCGTAAGAATTAAGTTGCGAGGTTTCTTGTGATGAAGAATTATGCATTGCAGGTGTTTAAGTGATTTCAGGAACCTTACAAAATATAATTTAAATCAACGTAATGGTTCATGTTCGTCACTCTATAAATTAAAAAAAAGAAAAAAAAGAAAAAACAAATTTCAAAATAAAGTCAGGTTGAATTTGAATGGCGATATCAAAAATAAGTTGAACTATTTGTATAAGCGTATATTAATGGTTTCCTTGCTTAAGAAATGGAATATATTGCAAAATGTAGGACAACAATCATATTAGCAAGGTGCTGTTGCGTAAATCTCCATACAGGAAATATAATTTCCGTAATTTCATTGAAATTCATAACATTTCTAGTCTGGAGATGTGAGCTACATTATGCACGCGGTAATAAATATTTGATTATTTTAACGAATTAACTTTATGTAATGTGATTCGATGCATTGATCATGTAACAGGAACGTATGAAAAGTATGGAATGGAACAATTATTCTTACTGTTCAATGTTAATCGGAGTTGTATCGTAGGAGCTACACGATAAACGAAATATACATCATTTCTAATCCGGGAAAGTAAAGAAAAAAAAAAAAATATGCCGCAAACGAATGTGGCTTCTCTTTTATGAGCAATTGTCTGAATATTTGCCGAATCAATACTTTAATCTAATTTCCACAAAGTACCGATATTGGCAGTACTCGATATCAACGAAATATTTTCCCTCCACCTTCGCAGTGTATTTTCCGGATTAAAAACACGGATATTTTCGATACGGCGAGAAACGTTCACAATTCGTTGATTGACGATGCACTTTTAAAAGTTCCCTCTCAAAGTGGCAGTGCGATGCAAACAAAAACATAACCTTTGTATTTCCAAATTAAGAAGCCTTTCATTAATAAGCCACTTACATGGTCTGCGATTTTCTGTAAGATGATTTGCAATTACGTATTAATTTATACATAAGTATGCATTTGAAATTAAATCCGGGTACAATCAAAGAGTCTCTCCAGTAAGAGCAATATACGACTGACAACTGTCAGTGATCCACCTGCCAAGTCATTGCAGCCTTGTATATTTGTTGAGTCCATAAAGTCATAAGATTCTTTTTTCCCCGATTGCTATTATTAAAGCAATCAATACCTTCGAACGATTATGCTTGTGGCATAAGGCTGGTTGGAATTTTAAGACTAGCATGATTGACGAATTGTACGATCTGTACGTACAAATTCATGCACCAACCTTGTTGATTTGCGTTGTGTGAAAGCTGGGACATAAACAGTTTAATAGACTACGTATCCAAGAGGATGGTAGTCTCCGTCGATTTTTCCCCTTCATTCGTGGAAAAGGGAGTTACCACTTGCAAGTTCACCGAAATATATAATGGGTAAGTCAATTGCTTATCCAATGACATTATTTGTTTCTGAAAATACAGAGAGAACTGCTTTGAGATTTATCGATACTTTATGATAAATAAGTAAATAGATCATACCTCTTCATTTTTATGGAGAGATAATTTAAGTAAGCCAGAGTTCTGTAGATGCTTAACTTGTCGTTGCTCGTCTAGAGAAATTAAGCAAACTCTGAAATTAAATTTAATACGTTAATTTAACTATTTTCTGATAAAGAGTAAGAAATTATTTAATTATGACGTTCTCAAGGGACTTACTTTAAAATAATATTATAATTGCTATGGTTAGTTTTTATGTGATCCGATCCCATTTTATGATTTCGTTTGATCCTAAGTGATGTCGTATCGAGGGAAATGACCAGGTCAAGACCAAAAAGAAAAGCTGTCCATCTCCATGTATGTTCACCTGCTTTCTCCACACACCTTCCGCAGCGAAAACATTCTTGGTTGAATTCTTCCTCGCTCATCTGCTTAGGTCTACGATTTAAAAAAGGATTAATATATTACGATAATTTAATTATTTAATTAGAACTTGAGTACTATGCCAGAACGAATAAAGGTTGAGATTGAAATATCTACCTAGTTGCACTGGGTTGACACGAAAACAGGGATGCAACAGTAATAATGTTTTCCAGGAATCTGGGATAGGAGGGGACACTTTTAGCTTGAATGCTTGGGTAAAAAGCACAAGCAAGGCTTTTGTAATAAGCCCGAATAATAAGACTTACCCGTTGTCTTTGCTTGCCTCAATTTGTAATAAATGTAACCACTGTTCTTTGTATGCGTTATGCAACCATTCCGGTGGAATCAAATTGTCACTGTACAGAATTTTCACATCCTGATCATGAAGCAACAAATATTTCATTCTTAGTGCTTTAAACGGAGTAGCAAATTCTTTTCCTTCTGGTGTTACGAGGAATGGTTCCTTCCAACTATGATATTTGAAGTACTCCTCCATTTGCACAGTCTCTTCTGTATTATCATGTACGTGTACAAACAGCCTGTAAACAACGATAATTTCTTAATAGCACAAGTTTGACTCTAATCATTGAAAAAATGAAGAAAAATTCAAATCACATTCGAAATTCACAATGAGGTATTTTCTCAACTTACCAGACCCGCAGCATCATATATATGCAAAATTCTGTCTGCATTGCAACTAAATCGGAGCTAGAAATAAGTTCTGCCATTAAATCAGACGTGATTTCTTTTAGAAAAGATGGGTGCAACCATCCGTGACCTAAAAGGTTCACTTCTAGCCATCTTTTAGCTGCAGATTTAACGACTGGCACTCCATAGGACATGGCAGCATTGTAATAGGGCACCACTGTTTTGATGTTGGTAGTCTCTATCATAATGTCTGTGCATTGATCAATTAAGCCCTGTAATTGGAATAGCGTTGCCGTTGCCAAAATTGATATAACGTCTTTTGGCTCCAAACTAACTTCATCTTGGTAAAATGATCCCAGTACGGTTAATAAAGCTGAAAAAAAAAGTATGTCATTTTTAGAAATCAAGACCAGTATAGGTACGATAGAATATTTTTTGAAACTGTTCTTTAAACTATTCAATAAACTGGAATCATTCGAGTAAGAGAAGTTCAGTAAATCCAGATATAGGTATTGAGGTCAGTCCCATCTGACTGCATCTTACACAATAGTGAATCTCGGAGGAACTTTCACTTGGACTCTTTCCTTCACGATTCTCCAGAATTACATAATGAAACTATTTAACACGAAAAGTATAAATTATATAAAATAATGGACTTACAATCTGACGTGATATTAGGATCAGCAATTTCAACATTAATAATTTTCTCATTAGTCTCTCTCCAAGAACCCGAAAACATACTTGCAAAATAGGGACTCTAGAAAAAGAGATGGGCATTAATATTTAATATTATATCCTTTTCTACCAGTATATTACCTGGCTTATGTATACTTTGTGCAGTCTCCATGCTTTCCCGAGCATGAGAACAGTAACGTCGCTACCTTTCTCCTCTTGAAACAAAGTCTTGTATATATATTGTGCCGTGGTCAATAATTTCCTTCTGAAAAATGTAATTTATTTCATAAATTCTCACCTATACATAAAATAGATGGATACAAAAAATTAAGACACCCTATATATCTAGACGCCAGAGGTACTATGATGTCATCTCCAAAGAAAAGGCAAGCTTCCTACATTTGTTGCAGCTGCAGCTACAATAAACTGTAACTGTAACTATAGCAAACCTGCTTAGAACCAACCTTGAGTAATTGTCAGGTTCTCAAAGAAGTTATAAAAAATACATTTAGGTTAACGATCGTACCATGTCTACCGATTTGTTACCTCCAGTGAACTAAATTAAAACTGAGTGTAACTATTTTTGTAACGATATAATTAATTACAGTTAAAAATAGATCTCTCATAAAACTGTCCCAAAAAAATACTATAACCAAATTGAATCTACAATCATTATTTTTCTGCTCAGCACTTTTACAACAGGTATCTCTCAGTGTACGATTACGCATATCTTATAAAAAAAACTATTTAATTATAGAAACAGGAAGGAGTGCTTCAAAGGTATACAAAATCCTGAAGAACAGGTTAGGATTCCTTCGACCTATTGCTGATATTTTAAAACATCTTCTGACTGATACAGTCAGGTATATTTTGTAAATAAAGGGTAAAAATATACATCAATATCTTTTGCTAGTTTACAAAAATTGTGGGAAGTAAAAGGTAATGGAAAGCACGTGGCTTATCAGCGACGAATAATGGCTACATCGCAAAAGGTCGACTGAGAGAGGTACCAAGGATCCTTACTTTTTTGGCGTTTGCAGAGTCTTGTCGATAAAATCCGATTCCAAATCGAAGCCATCCTCCTCGATGCATTTTCTCTTGCGCCCGCGATATGCCGAGTTAACGGCGATGTTCGACATCGATGCAATTCTACTCACGTAACCACCCATCGCGGAGATTTAGCAGAATTTGAGATCACTGTATACTTATGTCAAGATCTCATGGAATTTTGTCAATTTTCTGCATTATTACGGGTCCGGAAGTACTGTGAAGAACCGCAGAAGGCTGCCCGCAACAAAATGTAAACATTTTGTCCAAAAACTGCGCATAGCGCAACTCGGCTGAACTCGGCCAAACTCGGCTGTACTCGACTCTGCTCGAACACTTTGACTATACTCGACACGCACACGAGCTCCGTCGACTTTCAGCCAAATTCGCGGGTGTGCGTACGTTTGTTCAAAGGTGATGCAAAGTACCGGTAAAAGCATGAATATTTAAAGAAAGTGAGTAAAGCAGATAAAAAATGAAGAAGAAAATAAGAGTCATGAACGTAATAAAATTACAGAACGGTTTTGTTTGAATATTTGAAAGAGAATTAATAGTGGGATTTTTATAGATAGGGAAAGGAAGTCGACGATGGATACTTATCGCTATCAAAGAATTCAGAAATTCTTTTGCCTTATTACAAATTTTTCTGGAAGAACTGGCGCTCGGTACAAATTGTTGATATAGAAAAAATTATATTAAATCTACAATCGTATTTCGACGGTTAATTCTCATTTATCAGCGGTACTGATTTACATTGGGTATTGAAACATCTTACGTTATCGACTGTTTCGCATTCTTATCTTGGCAGTGTTAGTGCTGATCTTCCAACATCTTTTGTCTCCGCACAAAAAAAATTTGTAAATCTATTCTTACAACTGATGATATCACTTGCTTAATGTACAGTTAAAAAGCATTGTTTCGTATTACTATCGGTTTCCCACAGAAATTACAACCATTGTAAGTATATGGTTGAAACAACGTGAGCCTGGTACCTGCATACCAGAAGAGTTTTGATCCTTGTTATTCATTGTCCGAGTTCTAAATACACTTAGCACGATATTGTCTTTAAAGGAAATGTGGTTAAAAAAACCAAGGCGTGAAGAATGGGCACGTGAATGATTACGATTAGGATAATGGTGATGATAACGACTTTGGCATCGGTATAGTCAATGAGGTTCTGCCGTTAATGAATGTCACTATATCGGAACACTCGACAACAGAGTCCGCACGATTACTCATTGAGTTTAATTCCTATGCGGGAGAGTTGAATCTATCAGTATTTGGTCACATCATAATCCGGTGGTTGATTTTCTAACGTACAGGGCCTCCGGAACTCTTGACCTTTTTCATGAAGCCATTTATTTGCAACTAAAATAAAAAAGTTTATTGAATGACTTAACGTCATAGGTTTTTCTTTTTTTTTTTAAATTATGGAGAATATATTAAACGTACCCCACTTAGTACCAGTTAATACCGGACAAGCAGCATGCCGAGTCTTATAATCTCCTTCGCCATTTGGTTTCAAATTATGCCAAAAAGCTGCGCTTCCCTTCTTAGGCCATAACGAAAGACGAAGTCCTGGAAAAACGGTGGCTCCGCCTTGTTCGACATCGCTCATCTGTAAAAGTGTGTAACACCGAAGCATGTAAAATATTTCAGAAAAACTATAACATTTATCTCACTTACATAGTATAAAAGGGTAGCAATGCGATTTCCGGTGTTGAGACTCTTGAATGCATTTTTCTCTTCTCTCTGTGTGATGGAAATAATAATTATTTATTACTACTTCACGATTGCGATGTTGTTTAGAGCAGGTACTTCGTTACTATGTTTTTACCCGAGCAAAGTCGAAGTGAGGTTCGTAATGTCCACCGATGCCATAATTAACAACTTGCAACTCTTCGGCGGTAGAGATGGTCAGTCCGGTCATGAGTTCAACTCGATTGCACACTGCAGCGACATGTTTATGCTCACGTTCCTGAAGCCAAGCACTTTTACTGATCCTGTAATTGGCGGTTTCTAGCTCGCCGGTTTTCATGTTTTGCACCGTGGCACGTTTAAACTGTAAAAAAGAAATATTACAGACAATGACGAAATGAGCATTAAATAAAAAAAAATCCGATTAACCACTGGGACGTCTGACTGAACAGAAATTATCCAAGTGGGACTGATGGAGGCAAGGCAGGATAATTTACATCCATCCGCTAGTAAAGTTCATTGCTAACATCGGAAAGAAAACCTAGATGACTCACCCTAGGTTGAGCCAGTCTTTTAATAGTTTCGATTTCATCGTCGTAAATAACATCATGGAAGATAACTATCCGAGGATCGAGGTACGCCTCTTCCATCTTGAAAGGACCGATCCTTAAGTAAGGGGATCCTCGATCAACGTATTTGCACTTGAGTTTTTTTTGTATCTCCAATGGTATGGTGGCTTCGGCGCGGCAGAGCATCTCGTACTTTTCCCGGTCGGTCATTTCTTCAACGGACTTGATCTTTTCCTCGACTATAGCGAAAGCTTGGCCTGGCGTAATCGAATCCTCGCCATCTTCCCCGCGTTTTTTCCTCACTTGACTGGCTTTCTTTTCTAACTCGTCTTGATAATAGACGCGATTCCCGAGAGCTCGCGGATGCGACGGCACCAACTCCAGAAGCTCATTCGTCATAGTCAGGGCTCGTGCAACGTTTCCTAATGAAATACTCTTCTTTAGATACACGTTTCGGAGGGACGTAATAAAGTTACGGAGCACCAACCCTGCATGTACGTGGAGAAGGCCAGGTACTCCAAGATGTCCGGCTTGGTGACGGAAGTTCGGTTCTGCTCGTCCTGAAGACGATCCATGGCTTCCTGCATCCAGAGCACCGTATGGTAGTGATCGCCATTGTTGTAAGACTGTCGACCCAGCTCGAAGCAATCGCCGGCTGGAAGAAAGAAGAACCATCAGGCGTCCAGTAATTTAATCGAAACTTTTATTAAAATCTCTTTCTTACCGGTCAATCCGGTACTGTACTGTACGCCATTGAGGACGCCCCTGGCTATCTGTGCAGTCTCTAATTTGTAAGTGTCCTGCAGTCTCATTAAAGCGACCGCGGCCCCGTTTAAATCCTCGTCGGAAGGGAACTTGATGTCGCTCCTGGAATTCGTGATGTTCTCCACGAATGAGTTCCCCACATCTTGCGTTATCAGCTCCTCTATCCTCTTCCAGTCGGTAGTCAGTCTCTTTATCAGGAGATAGGCGTTGATGGGGTTCGAGAGATACTGCTGGATGTTGCGCGACGCTTCCTCGTGCTCTCTCGCGTACTCGTCTACGTTCCTGAAAACCGGCCAAATTACGGTTTAACTTGTAACGTAGAATTATAACGTGGGCTGCGGTCGAAGTGAAAATGGCGCCGAGGGAAGGCGACCGCCTCGGAGTCGGGACTTTCAGGCTCGTCTCTATTCTAAATTACCGCGTGGCTGCATTTACGTACACGCAACGAGAATCTTCTAAGGCAACGTTAAAGTGCCTCCGGCTGTTTTTTCGTTGCACGGAATTGCGCTTACGAGAGTTACAGCTGACATTTAAGTGCCCATTGCCCTTACAATGATTTCTCCGTGACCCCTTTATATTCGTATTCATTTTTCGGCGCTGTTTCCCTACTCATGATTTTCATCTAAATGCATAATTTCCCCCTTTTTTTCCGTGTTCCAGGATGAATGGACGCCGCTGTATTTATGAATACGCGTGGAGTACCTCCTGAGAGTGTCCAGTCGTTTTTCCTGCACCTCGATGTACCCATTAAGGGTGCCGATAAGTACAGCTTCCGTTTCCAAGAGCTCCTCCATGTCCGCCAGAGCGGTGTAAAGCTCAGCGTTTGCATTCTGAACTCCGAGGGCCACGATTACGACGGTCAGCGTGGTTATCACTCCCGCCGCCATGTTTTTATCTCTCCCGCGAAGAGTGCCCGGGAAACCTAGAGCAACATAAAAAATAACACGCCTGAACAAAAAGGACGTTGATATAAATAAGTGAGTAGATCAGCCGACTGCCCAGAGGTAATCGCTTCCAATAAATATTCCCTTCCGCTTTTTCAGGTTCTTCCATTCAATCGACACCGCGCCGCCATTGCGAAACGCATCGTAATCCGAAGGACAAATAATGGGCTCCCGCTTTCGTCGCTTTCGGTAAACCGCGGCATTGCGCAAAAGACGAGTCGAGTGCGCGGGCAGAAGCGGCTGATTTGAAATTTAATTGAAATCCAACCGAACGATTTCGCTGGATTTTTCAACGGGCTGGTTAGGAAGATCGGCGACCACTCGGCTCGAACTCTGTCGGCTTTTTCGCTCGTTTTCGTTCGTTACCGCTACCGTAAGAAGCTCACCGAGATTCGTTCCCGCCTATTCCCGACTATTATATACCGCTTTGCCGGTCACCGTGCCGAAAACCGTGTCGAGGAGACGGGGAATGCCCGGCGTTACCGGGGGACTTGAATCGAGATTATTCGTCGTTCTCCGGGATTCTTGCGGTACCCGATGCCATTATTTTCGCCTTCTACATTTTTCCAGTCACGTATGTAGAAGCGAGGTCCGTACATATGCTCGATACGTTCCTCGCCTCGAGCGTGACATCATCGAGATCGTTGCACGCACCTACGTCCATCCAGCACGGATCGCTACGACTGGAAATACCCGGACTCCTGCGGAACTCCAACGAGAATCACCTCAAAGTCCCGATAAAGACGTTTTGAAATTTTTATTCGACCAGAGGGTGGCGGGGAAAAAATATCCACCGAGGACAGCAGGTCGCGTACCGGGTTCTGCAACGCTAACTCAAATTGCACTTAACCCTACCCCGACCACCGGGATGAACGATGAGGGGACGACGTTCTTTCCCGGGTGCGCGTAATCCGGGAGATAAATTATTACGCCGGTTAACTGCGTTTCTTCCTCGTGGCGAGGCTAGCGGCCGCGAATCCTGGAGAAACTGGAGCGGAGGGACGCTAAATCCCGCCGGCAATGGGGAGGGAAAAAACGTCTAGAAAAAGTTCCCTCGAGAGTCTCTTCCGAGGGCTTCCGCGATGACGCGTAACGCGCTTATCCGCTTCTTCCGGCCGCCTCGCGATCGAGCCCAAGTGGCGGAGCTAATCGGGATCGATGGACCGATAAAGTGCGACGAGTCGAGCGCATCCTTTTTTCGATTTACCGCGTACCTCGTTTTTCCAGGTCGAGCTTCCCACCCCCGCCTCCGCATCCTGCACTTACCGGCGTATTCCTCGTGGTGTTCCCCGCGTGGTGCGGCGAGGACGATTATTCGCGCGGTCGGGGGATTTCTCCTTTAAGAGGCCGGCGACTTCTCTCTCTCTCGACTCCCACCCGTCGAGTCGGTCCGCGGGCTCCGCACGAAATGGGTTTCGGTGCCGCGCGACTCGGCGCGGCCGCCACGAGTCGGCTGGACCGCCGAGGGAAGCTGCGCCGAGAGCCGCTCCGTCGCGACGACTGCCCGAGATATGGACGCGGGGTCGCCGCAGCCTCCGTATCGGCTTCGGCGCCTGGAGAGTACGAACCGTTCGACGGTTCTGGACCTACTGGGAGCAGCGTCCGGCCACGTGACTCCCGTGACGTCACGCGTCACTTGATATATCCAGCACGCGGATCGGATCGACGCTGGACATCGGATCCCGGGGACGCGTCGCCCGTCGATTCGTCCGATCCGAGGAGCCTCCTCGAGAGAACGGTCGAAGGCGATCCTTTAACCCTTTGAGGCACGGCATTTATACCCCACCGCATTAAAAGGTGGGACACTTTTAATACCACCGTGCCTCAAAGAGTTAAACGGCTGATTAAGGTGAAGTGAAACACGTCGAGGAACTTGATCAACGTCGATAAAGAAGATTTTTCTAAATGCCTACGTCGCCGACGTTGGTTTTTATATCGACAGCTGGGTCGAATTATATTGTGTATTGTACCAAATGGCATATTCCACCTGTCGTTTTCGTACAATAATTATAAAGAAATCGAAGTAAAACTCCAGAAAATTTTCAATCATTTTTCATTGTTTTGACAAATTTTTTGACAAATTTTCATGTCAATTAAATTTTCACTCCGAGACCTCGTATTACCATGGTTTTAGCATAGAAGCGCATACGACACTTTTTTTGCCTTTATCCTGTTCAAATGCGAGTTTATCGATTACCAGAGTGTTCTAAATTGTCGTAAAATTGTCCTGACCCTTTCGTTTCTCATATCAAAACCATCGATAATTGTATATTGATCGAAATATCAGAGCTCGACGCCAGTTTGGTTCTGGTCTGGACTGAGTTAAAGAATTTTTTTGAAAAATCCAAATTTTTAATGTGTCAGGACAATTCTTAGATGATCAGGAGTGATGTGTCAAAGTTTCGGACTGTTTGGTCTAATACCCTTAAAAAAAAGTGTTGTATTCGAATCGACTGATTTGAAGGGTGTTTCACTTCACCTTAAGGCCGAAGACGCATCCGGTATAGTCGAGCCACCTGAGTGGCACTTCGCGGGACGCTTTTTCTCGGGAAACGAGAGTCTCTATTCGCGGCGTGAATCCGATAACGAACTCGCGTTTCCTAATCGGGCCTTCCGTTCCCTTTTCCGCGCGGTATTGCGCGATTTTCTAGGCGGCCGTTAAACGAATCCGAGATTCGAGTCGGCGAAGAGGGAACAATCGGAATTAGAGAGCAAGGGGTCCCCAGGCCAGTGAACCGAAATTTTTATCGCTATCACGCGTGCCAAGAATTCCCCGTGCCGAAATTTTGGCTTGACGTTTCCGACGTTCTTACCGTGCGGAGATAAACGTGGACGATTTTAACGTAGGCGATCGATACGTGGACGTTTTCGACGTTCTTACCGTGCGGAGATAAATCTGGACGATTTTAAGGTGAAGTGAAACACGTCGAGGAACTCGATCGACGTCGACAAAGATTTTTCTAAATACCAACGTTGCCGACGTTCGTTTTTATATTGACAGCTGTGTCGAATTATATTGTGTATTGTACCAAATGGCATATTCCACCAGTCGTTTTCGTACAATAATTATGAAGAAATCGAAGTAAAACTTCAGAAATCCTCTGGATTCATGCTTTCTGGGGCCCTAATTGGCTGAAGAGGGACCCCCTGCGCCATCTGTGATTTCCAGGTCAATTAAATTTTCACTCCGAGACCTCGTATTGCCATCGTTTTGGCATAGAAGCGCATACAACACTTTTTCTGCCTTTATCCCGTTCAAATACGAGTTTATCGATTACCACAGTGTTCTAAATTCTCGTAAAATTGTCCTGACCCTTTCGATTCTCATATCGGAGCTTTCAATAATTGTATATTGCTCGAAATATGAGAGCTGGACGCCATTTTGATTCTGGTCTGGGCTGAGTTAAACAAATTTTTTTGAAAGATCCAAATTTTTCATGTGTCAGGACAATTCTTAGCTGATCAGGAGGGATGTGTCAAAGTTTCGGATAGTTTGATCCAATACCCTTAAAAAAAAGTGTTGTATGCGAATTGACTGATTTGAAGGGGGTTTCACTTCACCTTAACGTAGGCGATCGATACGTGGACGTTTACGACGTTCTTACCGTGCGGAGATAAACGTGGACGATTTTAACGTAGGCGATCGATACGTGGACGGTACGCTCGCGGACGTGGGACCGTCGTCGACGGAGTGCAATAATAATCCCAAGGTGGACTCGTGAGGTACATGTTTCTCTGGCAGAGGCCAATTGGCATGTACGCGAGTACATGCGACGCGACGTGTAGTCACACATGCGAAACGAGATAGAGGGTTCGTTATTCTTGCGTAACCATGCGAGAATGAAGACCTCCTCGTTTTTTCCCATTCGACGTAGAGGGGTTTCGAGTATTTTTTTTTTCCTTTTTGGCATTATTCACAAACTAGCTTCGCGAATGCCGAATGGAGTCCTATTCAGTGACGTTCCTCCATTCGCATCGATTTTCGTTGGGGCGTCAACGAGTCGGTGAAAACGTGGAAAAGCATACACCCTGGCGAAGCAGATTTATTAAGCTAGATTTATTGCAAAACACTCCCGTTAAAGGCAACACATTTTCGTAACACATTTGTACTTCAAAACATAGGTTAATAGGCTATTATCTATTTTCAGCGGTCGGGTTAAAATTGAATGCAGCAGCCGACATCGTGGGCGATCGCGAGGACTTCGCCATGGGGGAAGAATTTCTCTTTTTACGCGGTAAGGCCATTCGGCAAACTCGTAGACCGATTCGACGCGTATGCATTTTCCATAAGTCGTCCATAGAACGCGCTAAGGATCCTCCCTTTATTCGGGCCCACCTCGGAGTAAAATATGAACGCGGCTCGACATATAAATATAATAATTTTTCATCCTCCCAGCGGACCGCCAGGGTCTGTTCCAACTTTGAAATAAATTCTAGCGAGGTGTCGCAATCGAGACGTAGAAATAATCGAACCGGGAAAATTCCCTCGTACCTTCGCATACGAGGATAATTCCTCTTCCCCTCGGAATGGCGGAACTCGAGAGTTTCTTAAAAAATAAATTCCTACCGCTTTCCCAACGTGCATGGAATGGCGTTAACGTCTAGTCGAACTTACGGCAAGAGACGGTACGTTGCGACGACCGTCTTGAAAGGCTGATAAAATTCCTCTTACGATCTCGTTTAATCTTTTTCCTTTTTTTTTTCTTCCCAGGAGGATCCGGAGCGAGGCTAGCTAGAGAATCTCGCGAGATTTCAGCTTCTGGCGAGGTCTCTCCTGGAATCGATTTTTCTTTGGTATGTCCTTCCGGACACGAGAGGAGCGCGCGGAACCGGCTACGACTCCACGGGGTCGGTCTTCTTCGGGAACATCGAGGCCAGCTCGTATTGCAAGCTCCTGGGGATGTCGAGAAGGAAGGCGTGCCAGTCTGAGCGCAGTTTCCTCTTGACGACTCGCAAGCAAAGTTCCCGGAGGGAGTAAATCGGCAGCGTGATGTAGACGCAAGTCCTCTCCACCCTTGGAGGGAGGTCGTCCGGTCGAATGGCCACGTCCCTCGGGAACCAGGCCTCCGGGAAGAAGACGTCGCTGCAGTTTACCCTGAATCTGAAAGGACAGTTTCCTCCTGACTTTTCGTCGCGTCTTCTCGAGGAGGATGGACGGAAGAGAACCAACCCCAACGCGTCCCCGTCCTTACCTATCCTGGGTCTCCTCGTCGACGAAGATCCAGGGGTGCGTAACGAAGGTATTGACGTCGAGGTAATCGCGGTAAGACAATATCCCGTACTGAACGGCGTGTCCTTGATAGTCGATCCAATAGACGCCGACGCTCCTCCTGGTGGTGTTGACGAACCTGACGAAGGAGCTATGAACGTTGCTGATGGACCGGAGAAAGGGCAGCTCCTGATTCGGCTCCATTACCGTAAAAGGCTACGAGTCGTACCTTTAGGTAACGAATGCTCTTCGCTATCCGCGGCCCCTACCCCCTCACCTATTGGCGAATCCTTTTTTTAAGCATCACCTCGATCCGGACGCAGCCGGACCACATAGGAAGCGGCTTCTACCTCGAGGGTCCCGACACCCTCCGAGCACTTCCTAAATACCTTTGAATCGCCGGAAGAAGACTCCGACCACTTTTCTCTACGCCTCCTCGACTCTCGCGGGTGCTGAAATCAGAACCACACTGATCAGCACTCGTTCCGAGATTGCTCCCTCTTTTGCCCCCAGGAAATCCGGATCCTCGGGTAAGACCACGAAGCGAGTTCAACGTTAAGGTGAAGTGAAACATCCTTCAAATCAGTCGATTCGAATACAACACTTTTTTTTAAGGGTATTAGGCCAAACTGTCCAAAACTTTGACACATCACTCCTGATCAGCTAAGAATTGTCCTGACACATGAAAAATTTGGATCTTTCAAAAAAATTTGTTTAACTCAGTCCAGACCAGAACCAAAATGGCCTCGCGCTCTCATATTTCGATCAATATACAATTATCGAAGTCTTTGATATGAGAATCGAAAGGGTCAGGACAATTTTACGAGAATTTAGAACACTCTGGTAATCGATAAACTCGCATTTGAACGGGATAAAGGCAAAAAAAGTGTTGTATGCGCTTCTATGCTAAAACCATGGTAATACGAGGTCTCGGAGTGAAAATTTAATTGACATGAAAATTTGTCAAAAAATTTGTCAAAACAATGAAAAATGATTGAAAATTTTCTGGAGTTTTACTTCGATTTCTTTATAATTATTGTACGAAAACGACTGGTGGAATATGCCATTTGATACAATACACAATATAATTCGACACAGCTGTCAATATAAAAACGAACGTCGGCAACGTAGGCATTTAGAAAAATCGTCTTTATCGACGTTGTTCAAGTTCCTCGACGTGTTTCACTTCACCTTAAGTGTACAAAGCAATGACGAAGGGACGTTTTGCCGCTAGGTACTCGAGTTTTCTCCAACACCACCCTGGATTGACGGAGGCACGCGTTAAGCGACGAGCAACAGGGAGAGAATCCTCATCAGGAGTGGGATGCAAAGATACGACCAAGGAAGAGGGTGAGAGGCCAAATGCCGCTTTCGATCTTTCCCCTGCGGGAAATAATGGCAGCTAAGCTGGTAAACCCGGCGGACCGTAATGACCAATTTACCGAGTAATTTACTCGGGCGCGTCTCCTCGATTTTCCGTAGGCGAAAGTCTCGAGGACGACAAACGCAAGAGATACCTCGACGTCGCTGTTAACAGTGTCTACCTGTCCAGGAAACGCTTAAACCAGGTGTAGCCGAGTGAACGACTAGGATCGCGGCAAGCCAAGGAGGTTGTTAATTTTTATAAACACAGACGTAGGATCCGCAGAGACCCTGGGCACCCTGGATCTTCGCTCTCGGTTCCTCGTGTGTGGATAAGTCACCGACCGAGGAAGCCAAGTCACGAGGAGACTTTCTAGCGACGGAACGGCCCTGGTCCTCGAGTCCTTTTGACGAATCGCCAGCAGCTGCAGCGAATCGTGGCATCGTTTACTTGCACTTTCGCCGAGGAGGAAAGGTTACGTGCCCAATGAGCAAGAAATGGATTCCATTGTTGGCCGTTGATGTACGGTGCTCTGTCGTGCCGTCATTCGGTCACTGCATTGGAACGGGCGAGACGAGGTACACCTGCTTTTGGTCATTTCGACTCGCCAGGAAGTTAAGACCACTTCGATCGAACGGCCCTAACACCGCTTATTCGGTTATACTTTCAGGGAAATAACGTCGTAGTTTGCTTTCACCTAAGTGAAAATGCCACCCAATCGGCGTAATCTAATCGACATTATTTCTCATCCTCGTTGCGGTCATTTCCAAAGGTGAGATCGAGATAATTCCTGATAATTTAATCATCGGCCCTGGGTGGAAGGAAAAAAACAGTGCGCAAAATATGGATAAAGGGGGACTTAAAATTATCGTCTGCACGTAAACTGTCTCGGGATTTTTTCCGGAATGCAGGCGTTCGTTACAGGGACCGCGACCCAGGAAGGTCCTGAGATGGTTCTATCTTCGGTCACGACCGGTTTTTCTAATTCCGGAGGTTCAGGTTTGAGTCGGTCGGCAGATGCCCCTGTACTAGAGCCACCCATGCAGAGAATCATCTTCTTCAAGGCGAGTTTGACGGCTTCCCTGTCCGTCAGGTGATCCTTGTCTATCTCCGCGATTTGACATTGCCTCTCGACTCGACTCCGGCGATCTCGATCCTCGGCTTCGAGGTAGCGCTTCAACACATAAAATTTTTCCTACGGTCGAAAATAGATTTTAAGAGTCTCCCCTGGTCTGGCCCACGACTCTATTTTAATAATACACCCCAAAGACCCCGGAGGACGGAATCGTGCCTTACACCGAGGTGTTCTTCGAGTTTACTCCAGCGTTCCTCGGCCCTCTTGGACATCTCCTCGAGCTCTCTCTGGCGCGTCTCGTAGTCGTCCGACTCGGATAGCTCGAGCATTTTCATTCTGTCGGCAATCGACTCCAACATCGGCCCGAGGTTAACTAGCTGGGGTCACACGAGGAGCCTGTTACGAGAGTGCCAAGTCGTGGATCCCAGTGTCTCCGTTCTTCGGGAGAAAGACGCTTTCGAGGAGACCGAGGGAATCACGAGGGAAGGCTTTCGTCGACCTCTCGTCTTCTCACCTTAGATTTAATATCATCGGCCGCTAGAGAGAATCTCTCGATTTTCTCGACGAACTCCACCCACTGGTCCATCATTTCGCCGAGGTCTCTCTTCTGCGTCCCCAGCTCGCGGATCAGGATCTTGCAGACCGTCGTGTCGTCTTTGATCGAGTCCCCGAAGAGCTCCCGCTCGCTTTCGGTCAACTCCACGCAGCACCGCACCTCGTCCTCGGAATTCTCCAGGTCGTCCAGCAGTTCCGCTTGAGCCTAACGAAAGGAGGACCTCGAGCCCACTGTAATTACCATAAAGAAACGTCCCGCGGGTCGGCTTTCTACCGGGGGAAGTATAGAAGTTCCTGCTCGACTTGCCAACTAGCTTTTGCGCTAACCGAGTGCATCGACATCGTAAATCACCGGCCGACCGGTATTTCGAAGATTTGGCGAACCGACCGAGAGTTTCTTCTGCAGCGACTGCATAGTCTCCTCCAGGTAGCAGTTGCACTTCCTCGTGCACGGGAACAGTCCGTTGGGGGCGAGCGAGAATCCATCCTCGCCGAAGTCGGGATGCCCATCGGCGTTTGCATTCGTGATTCCTGCAACGGGTAGAGAACCTTGAAGCTTCCTCACGGCATAGATAGTAACGGGTCGACCGAGTCTCGTCCCACGATCGGTGGATACCCAGGTTCTCCTTCCTGGCTCCCCGTCGACCTTCCGCAAAAGGCGTGTCCCTCTTGCCTAGTTCCAGGTCCTCCTCCTCGTTGCTCTCGCTCAGGATGGATCGCCGTACCCTCCGACGCGTCCCATTGTCCTGATTAATGAAATTCTCTATAAATTTGTATACAAATTAAGAAGCAATATCCGGGGGATTTTTAATACCAAGGTGCCATCCTTGGCGAGCAGGGACCTCCGCGTTCCTCTTTCGGCGCCATTCCCCTTGCTCCTGGACACGTTCATCGTGTCGCTTCGCGACGTTGGGTTTCCTCCTCAAATTTATCCTCCAAGGCTCGAGTCGAGGAAAATCCTCGAATTCGTCTCGCTTTCTTGGCCGACTCTATCGGGATTCGAAGATTCCCCCTAGGATCGATCCAATTGTGCTCGTTCGCCTGGTAATTTCGCGGACTTCCGCCTCGGTGAGCCAATCCGCGTAGAATAATTACCAAAGAACTTTTAGACCAGGCCGCACAATGGACGTGTGCGCACAATAGCGGCGCATTTACGGGACAACCATTGCCTGCAACCGAAGTCGCGGTTGTGCCGACGCTTAGAGTCGCCGGGGGCTCCTTTCTTCATTTACATTTTACAGTGTCATTTACCTGCCGACGATTTGACCGGACAAAAGAGCGCAGCCACGGCCGGCTTAGCTTTCCTCCGAACGGCCGCGGGCAAAGAAAGATACGTTTCCGATCACTAAACCCTCCTAATAATTCATTTCCTATACCGCAACGCCATTTAAGGGGATGCGAAAATGGCGTCAAAGTGGTCTCTATGACTCTCGTTTATGAAACTTTTCTCCTAGCAGGGTGCATCGAATCGTTTCAAAGTTTACAACGTGAATATGGAAGCTATAAGGAAGGTCCTGACGCCCCCAAAACTTCAATTTTTTTTCTTAATTTGTTTATGGATATTTTCAGATTTTTTATAAAACATGAAATTTTATGAGCGTGCAAAGTTTGTAAATTTCCATGAACGATTGAGCTTTTGGATGCCACATTCGCGTCCCCTTGACGAGGATATTAAAACGACAACTCGATGAACAAAGCGGCGATCGTTCTTTTTGGTGTCGCTCGCGGTTTCGTAAAAGCGCATCCGCTCGGGAGTGCGCGCGCACGCGCCGCGAAGATGCAAATCGTCAGAAGGGCGCCTTGGCGGCGCGTCAAACATCCGTGAATCAGCAGACCCGATAGCGCTCGGTTCGGCCGCGAGGGAAAGAGAGGCGGGGAGACGGACATTTCGCGGGCTCCGGCGCGTTGCCACGGACAAAGAAAACCTGCCGAGCTTATACGCGCGATTATCGGCCGCAGTCGAGAATGAGATCGAAGGCGACCCTGTTGATACTAGGGACGGCGTGCCTCCTGCTGAGCCCGACCTTGCTCGAGGCCAAGAAGCACGCCGATTTCGACGAGTACCGAGAATGGGAGAGCTTCAAGGAGTTTCAAAAATGGAAGGCCAAGATGGAACGCCGAGACGAGGCGGACTCCCTCGAGGTCCAGAAAATTGCGGACGATAGACGCGTCGGAGAGGCGATGTCCGCCCTGAACGAACCACGCAAGATCAAAGTCCAAGATCGCCCCAACGGGGATCCTCCACCTATCGACGACGCGGCTCTCATGGGACGGTATATCGTTAATCAGGCTGGTAGGTGATTATAGGTTTCTTTTGGTTTGCGAGGGTTTTGTTATGTAAAGCGAGAGTCGCGCGGCTGACTTTGCATTATGTAAAGCGTGAGAAAGCAATGATAAGCTAGAGTTTATAGGTACGTGATTACAGAGCAATTTGGAAGTTTTGGTCGCAGGTTGGTTCGTCGACTTTGCTTTTGTTAGGCTTGTGCAAGGGGTAGCGCAGTTTTGAGTTACTTGGTTAGGTTGCGAGGTGTTCGGTTGATGTATTTCTGGTATTTCAGACTGGACATCGGTGGCAACGATTAGCAGCAGCAAAGATATTAAGTCGTTCCCCTTTGTCAATATTATTTCCTTCAGCGACGGTCCACTGGGTAATGGTTCAGGAGTCCCGTACATGTTTCTAACGCCCTTAGACTTTACGGGTAAAGATCTTGCCGTAAGTTTTGTCTTTCTCTCTTTCTTTGGTTACGACGACGAGGATATTAATAAACAATAAGATTGGTTTGTTTTGCGTTCGTAATCGCGTAGGAAGATCGGAGAGTCACCTTAATGATGACGCTGGCACAAGGACAATACTGTAAGAAAAAGGACTGGGACCCGATGGACCCACGATGCGCCAGAATAGTATTGACTGGCAAAGCAAGAACGGTTCGAGATATATCCTTAATTTAGTTTTTGTTTCGTGTGCGCTAAATGGTTTCTAGCATAATTATCTTACTTTAGGTTAAGAACGACAGTGCCGAGATAGAAACTGCAAAGGAAGCTGTTTTTGGCCGTCACCCATGGCTAGCTCACATGCCAAAGGGTAATGAACGCGTAAAAAGTTAAGTGTAGACGAATGTGTTATTAATTATATCATTATTTACAGATCATCACTTCTTTTTTGCTACCTTGAAGATATACAAGATCGCCGTTCTGGACACTTTCGGTGGACCAAAATATGTGTCCGTCAAAGATTATTTCCATCCCCAAATTCCTGATAAAACTGCTGATTATTATCAGCGATTCCCGATCGAGCGAAGAGAGCATGAGAATGAAAACCTAGACAATAATCTTAGGCCACGAGTATATTTTGTATAAAATAGTAAATATTTTTAATGCGTCAGGATTATGCCAAGGCCTTCGAACAAGATGAAAATTGTAAAACGAAATATTTTTGTACCTTATACATAGTGATATATTCATAATGTTGATAACTTAGGGAATTGATATACTAGTTCTTATTCTCCATAGATATACAAGGAATGAAAATGCACTAGAATGTCCTAGTCAATAACCTATACAATTTATACTTCGATAACTGTTATCATTCTTTATACAAGTAAATCTAGATAATTCCACAAGATTTTTTAATAGATAACAGACCTGTGCCAAAACTTATGTAAATCTTCAAGGCAACATTTCAAGACTGCTGATACATCGTCGACGTCTCAAGGTTATGTTTGTGCCACCCTTTTTCCAGTCTATGTCGATATTATGTATTCTTTAAAATCAATGTTCGACTCACCTTGATCACTATTGGCGTCGATGAAAGTATCAATCCATTCACGTGATTAAGATGAACTAAAATAATAGTTTGTCACAAATCAAGTCCAAATACTCGAAATAATTCCAAGCAAACGCCACGCATTCGATTTTTAACCACAACACTACTTTTGAGATTCTCTATTACACGAAATCTCATAACGGATACATCTCCGAGGGATATAACTCATCCGTAACTCATAAAACCGGTCGAACCGAATGTTTTATCTGGAAAAACACCGCGAGTGTTCGCAAGAGTACACTAAAGATTGTTTCGCAACTCCAGCGCATATCGGGAGACGTAATGGCGGTCGAATATTTCCGCGGGCTTTTGCTGGAAGATTCGAATGATTTTTTAATTTTGCTGAAGAATCATCTACAAGAACGAAAATTATTCCAATCGTTCAGTACCTTTATCACGTTCATTGTGAACCAGACAAATAGTGTTGGGTCTACCACGACTGTTATTTTTATAAAATTACTCCGCTAACTTCTTTATTTAAACGAGGAATTTTAACTAGAATTAGTTAAAAATTAAATCGGAAGTCACCCATGTCCTGTGCTGCTCCTACGTGTGGCATTTGGGTGGCTTACACATTTAACTAGTTGGAAAAATTGCTGAAAGTCCTTCATTGATAGCAGTTGATAATGTAGTTTCTATGTGGATAACTATATTCAGGATAGGTTATGTTCGGTGAGGTTCAGTGTGGTTAAGTTGCTGCAGTGATTATACAGAGTGACTGAATTACGAAATCATAAAACCATGAGCTACGATTCACAAATTTTTTAATTTAATCGTTGACTACAACAATGTGGTTGTATGAGAAAGAAATATAGCTATTATTGTGAATTAATACTACTGTTGACATTAATTCAAACTATGTTACATATTTTTACACTCTAGATAAATAACGGTTTTTCGTGCTGCAGAATTGTGAATACAAAATGGGAAAAGTATATTCCATATTGGGAAGAAGACTTCAAAGATTTAATGTTGATAATAGAGCTCAGAAGATTCTTTCTCGAGATAAACAAAATCCTGCTCCGCAGTATAAGTCTACGCAAGAACAATTAAACATTGTAAAGAAGTGTATGTTTACAGTTGAGATTCTATGTCCAAAATATGGTTAAATATCGGTATTCTTGATCAAAGAAACTGATTATATTAGATCATTAATGACTTATTTTCAGTGTATCCTGATTTTATGGAAAAACATAATAAAAAGGATAAGGAGCTTGATCATCGTTTAAAGGATGTTCGTATCGTTTCTCATGATCCAGAGGTAACTGCTTAGAGATATATTATGGGTTGCATTATTAATTCAAGTTAACCAAAATAGATTTATTGAACGTGAATTGATTTCTTTATGTTACAGGGAATAAAAGAGAATGTAAAGTCTGACCCTAAACGGTCTTTACCGCACGAGAGAATTACTGCCCCAGAATTTGAATTTGGATTTTATGAACCATCAGTTATTCCAGAGGGAAAATGTAGTTTAAAACAGGTGTTAAAATTGATCGAAAATCATGCTCAAGATCCGCAGACACATACTGCTGCAAGTATAGCACAAAAGTATAAGTTAGACCCAAAGCATGTAGGTATGTACCAATTCGTTTATATAACAAACTTTTAACAACAACCGTGATCATTAATTATGTCATTGTCGATTTATTTCAACTGATCTGACTTTTCATTTACAGAAAATATATTAAGATACTACAAGATGTATGAACTAGTTCTCCCAAAAACAACTTCCAAGAGTGATAAGTTAAAATTCAAAGATAATTTTGGGTTTCTTAAAAAGATGATAAAGTGATGCATAGTTAATTATGCTTCAATTTCTATAGTACATACACTGACGTGTTATTAACAATAAAACTGTAACTAGCTGTAATTCAGTATAAATGGCTACGTTACTTATGTCAGTTTAATTCCACACTTCGTACGGTCATTCACCTTGTTCCTTGTTAAGAATGATGGATGTTGAAAATCTCCAGTGGGACGTCATTTCCCTCCCTGAAGTTTCTATCGATTATAATCGCTCTGATCCGTCCTCGATCCGCGAACACACTTTGTCCGTAAGGTGGCGGCATCTGGTAGCGAGTGAGCACGACATCACTAGCGCCGCCACCGGTCGCGAGTGGAACCTATCGCGACTAGCGACCAGCCGCGACCAAGGAGTGCAGTCGACGGAGACGGAGCGAGATTCGTCGGCATCCGGAGGGACCGCGAAGAGTAGTTGATGGCATCCAGGAATCGGTCGATCAGTCGACGGTAGTCGACAAGACGTTTGGCTCGACCTAGCTGCATCGAGGACAGAGGAAGCCCTTTAACGAACCTCCGCAGCACTCGGCACTCTGTGATTTTATGCAGCTCAACGAAGGATCCGCCTCGCCCCCGCGCACCCGTCAAGCTTTCGCCGGAGGACTCTAATCTAACGCACGATGAGCTTCCTTTTGTAAGTTGCGCGCGCGGGGACGCTGGGCTTTCATCGCGAATCCGATGGGCAAGGACGACTCGTCCTCGATCCGTCCCTAGGACCGAGGAACACCGTCGCGTCCTTTGAATTACATCGAAGCGTTGCTTGGAATAGCTTCATGGATCTCTTAAAGACGGATAGGACGGAGGAATCATTACGTCCCTTTCTGGCCAATTGTCGTCCACTGGCCATATTTGTTTATATTGGAGAGCCGTGACTTCTTGACACTTGTCGAAGACCGTTTAAGATATAATCGTTTCGCAAAGTCCACATCACTCGTCAGAGCTCGATGAAAGTCCATTCTTTATTTCTGCCATGAAATTGTGAAAACAAATTAATTTGTAATATCCACTTTTGTTAGTTGCTTATGGTTTAATCATTTGATAAAGAAGATGATGTTTTGTAGTGGAAGCCGATCCTCGAAAACTTTTAAGCCAAAGAAAAATATTCCCGAGGGTACGCACCAATATGACTTAATGAAACATGCAGCAGCCACTCTTGGGTCTGGAAATTTACGACTCGCCGTAATGCTCCCAGAAGGTGAAGATCTTAACGAATGGGTCGCGGTCAACAGTAAGTCTATCGAACCGTTTTAATAGAAATGAGTGTATTACGACGTTACTTGGAATAATCGTAATGTCTTGTCACCACAGCTGTTGACTTTTTCAATCAAATCAACATGCTGTACGGTACCATTACGGAATTTTGTACGGAAGAAAGCTGTCCGATTATGTCAGCCGGTCCAAAATACGAATATCATTGGGCAGATGGACACACGGTTAAAAAACCAATAAAATGCTCCGCACCTAAGTACATCGATTACTTAATGACGTGGGTGCAAGATCAGTTGGACGACGAAACGTTGTTTCCTTCTAAAATAGGTAACGGACATTTTGCACGTACGGACCAATGTTTTCTTGCGTAATTTAATTCTATCATTGACTCCGTTCCATGGCTACGTAGGAGTTCCATTTCCAAAGAACTTCCTCTCCATTGCGAAGACGATATTAAAGCGGTTGTTCAGAGTGTACGCTCATATTTATCATCAGCACTTTAGCGAGGTCGTTCAACTGGGCGAGGAAGCTCATTTGAACACATCGTTTAAACATTTTATTTTCTTCGTTCAGGTATGCGACGTAATTCTCGATCCATGATTATCTCATATCCATATAAATTAACATTTCGTATTTCTATCAAGATTCTTCTCTTTTTCAGGAGTTCAACCTGATAGAAAGACGAGAATTGGCACCCTTGCAAGAGTTAATAGAGAAACTAACTGCAAAGGACGCGCGATGAACGCTCTCTTATCCGAACGCAATCTGTGAAACTCCTCCAAAGAATCTCACCGCGCTGCATCCATTAACTCCTGTTTAATTATGTGTATCGTTTAACTAACCGCATCGTCGATTCGACTCGAAAGAGCTGTGCGGTCGGTGATACAGGCGTCCTCATATATGTCGGTCCATATACCGACGATTACACGTTTCTTTGAAGCGCGAGCGTGTATTTCATCACGGCCTTTGAGGGGATGCGAACAAGCGTCGCGGACGTCTAGAAAGCACAAACGTTCGCAGGGTCGCTGGAAACTTTTAACCGTTAGGCATTTAGCTGGAGCTTTATCGATTCGAGGTACGCGGGACCTCCGTAGATCGCCGCAGAGACATTTTGCACCGTGAATATCTATAATTTATTGCATATATATATATCTATCGAGCCCTGATACTTCAATACGACGACGGTACCGTTTGCCTACTCCTCCTGGCTTAACCAGACCTCACTTCGACGAGATCTCGGCAATTCCTGTCAATAGCGTTCGTAACTTACGCCTCGTATTTCCGTATTTCGAACGCGTGGGGTAAATCGAGATATTTTTCTAAGTACTTTTGCCCTTACGTCTTTCGCTTCTCGCTGGCCAATTGGTACGAGTAGAACGCGAGCCTCGTAGAAGCGACATTGCTAAGAATCGGTAATCGCGCGAGCGTGCGTACCGAAAAGTGCATTCACGTACACGCGATATAATCTTTTCTTTCTCGATATATCGGTGATTGATAGAATCGAGGGACAACGTTGCGTACACGTTAAGCCGTCCCGATGTCACGAGCACTTTGATATCCGAGCGAAACTCTCCTCGACAAGTATTGCGCTTTCCGCACCTGGTGCGTAAGCGTGGTTCCTAGGTTTAACGTATTATTTTTATTAATATTATTATATTTTATTCCATTTTACCATCGTCACCGTGTCATCGCGTCGAGCACTCGTAGATTTACTCCGCCCCCGCTGTTTCTTCGCATCGATTCGAGTGCACGGATAAGAGGAGAGAGCGCATAAACGTACCGCAAGGAAATAAGACAAGGATGGTCAAGATCGCGTTATTTCGACTTGGCCTTAAGATGGTATATAGTTATTAATTCTCACCTCGACCGTCGGAACGACAAACCGCGAGGGAGACGTTCACGTGAATTTTTATTAACGACGAAATGGTTTCGCTTTATCGGCCGCTATAACGGACAATTAATAAGTACAGATTAGCGGAGACTAAATTGATCCCATCTGCCGAATCGTGAGCGAGAACGATGTGTCAGCAGAGAACATTTAATACCGGCGCATATCCCTTAATAGACTTATATATAACTAATTCCGAATGATTTTGTGCAATATGAATAAAATTTTTCCAAAATATTCCGGACGTCCGTCCTCGTTGCTCTAGCGAAGTCCTGTCGAGGATGATTTTTATATTCCGTTCCAATTGAACAGTCTTCTTCCGCAATGACTTCTCACGGGTCGACGTCGTCTGCACTGAATTCGACGACATCCGCCCAAATTACCGAGTCCGGGGATGTCGTAATTAGGGTACCTCGGGATAGGGTAGAGCCGAAATAAACGTTTAGGTCTGCAGACGGGACAAGTGCAGGGGTCGCAAGGAAGCGGGAGGAACTCTTCCTCGATGCCGGAGTCCGTTTCTGTGAACTCGAAGGAGCCGTTCTCTCGAAGATCTCCCCCGATGACCGACTCGGAGTCCTCGCCATAAACACCCCCATGCTCGTCGTACTCTCCGTTTCGACAAAACCATTGTCTCTCGCACCCTTGCCACCGATCTAACTCGTCCTCGTCCTTCCTCAGCAGGAACACTCGTCTGCAGAACTCGAAAAATCTCTTGCGCTTCGGTCTCTGGCAGTAGCACGGAGTAAACCCGGAGTAATCGTCGCGATAAATCGTCATCTCGAATCCAAGGATGATTCTCAGCCCCCTTAAATATAAGACTCCGTGACGGAAATTTAGGAAAAAATTGTAAAATTAATTTTATCACCCCCTGAAGGGTTAACGTTCTTGAACGCGGTTGGACGCGGCGAAACAAAAAATCAGAAAATAGTCGAGGGAGCACCGGATCTTAAGAAACAAGTGCCTTTATTCTAGGTTCAAATCTCGAGATCCATGACTTTTTAGCGACGAGGGACAAGAGACAAGTATCGCGGAACTGGATTCGCTTTACAAGGGCCGTGGTCTAGGGAAGAAGACGAGGAGAGGAGAGACCATTTTCAACCCCCACGGATCACTGAAATTTATAATTATCGAAGAGCTTCCTGCTTCCGCCCTGGCCGGAAACGGCGTTGAAGAGCCGCTTCCTGGCACGAGCCGCGCTTCCGCGTTCTCTGCGCACCTGTGCTGTTTTTCGCCGAGAGGCGAAGAAGTCGAAGAAGAGGCTCTTCGGGTCCGACCCCGAGTCGACTCTCACGAGGCCTCGAGACCGCAGAAGAGTCGCACAGGACGAGCACACCTTTCGGGGGCAAGACTCGGAACTGTTTATGCCGAAGCAGACGTCGTGGAGCAGGTTACAAAATTCGCAGGGGGTCCCGCAGGAAGCGCACTTCCTCGCGCCCCCCAGCCAGGGGGTTCGACCGATGGAGACGCAGCTTCCCTTCCCTGGAATTTCCTGAATCCCGAGGGACTCGCATGGACGATCTCTCCTCCCTCCTGGATTTTGCTTGGCCTCCAGGCACCTCTTCAGCATCGAGGAAAACGCGCTCCTCGTCATCCTTAGCTCGTCTATCATCGAGAAACAGAGCTCGACCGGGTTGACGCTCGACGGGATATCCGAGCAGATGGACTGCAAGGATACCTGAAAAAATCTCGAGATCGGTCTTCGGGTTCCTGGAGTACGGGCACCTTGGGAATGAATTTCTTGAGGTACCCGAGAACGCTCGACGATTTCGCGTCCTTCCGTTGGAAAAGCAGGAGGAAGAGCCTCCGATTCCTTGTGTAGAGAGACCTTGGACCTCGGCTCCGGGGACGAGGACGTCTTCGAGGTCGTCGCGAGAGGCGGAATGGGCGGGTGTCGGTCTTCGCCGGAAGCCATGGGTTACTCTTTGAGGAGCGTCGTCGACGCCAGCCACGTTAATTATATTGTTAATTTCTGGAGGAACGGTGCACGTTTCCCATCCTATGGGTCATGCCAATTTAAACGATTTAAACCGAGGTAAGGGACGGGATTTTGCCAGACCTTCCTCTGTTTTTCCTCAGGTATTTAATATTTTTGACATGTTTAAGGTCCGTTTCCAGACTCGGTGATGATCGAATTTATTTTATCCAGACGAGTCAGCCGCGCTCCTCGTGGTCCTGTCGAGAAACGACAAACGAAATCATTAAGGACCGAATTCCACCGGCTGGAAGGATGCCTCAAAATTCAGGGCAAAATCCTTTCGGATGATGCATCCGCGAAGTTCGACCATCCAACCCGCAACCACGTAAAGTAAATCAACGACCCTCGCTGAAGACTCGATGGACTCTTCCCTGACTCTCCCCCGGAGGATCCCTGACATTTGGGGACGTCTCTGCCGAGTCCGTCACACGAGTTAACCTTGAAGATCCTGACCATCCGAGGAGCTGCCCATATCTGGTAATAAATGATATGCGTCCATAATTATGAAAGTGGTCTAAGTCAAAGTTAAAATAAAAATGAGTTTATCAGTTATTTCACGCCATATTATTTCAAACGAAATTAATTCAATGTAATTTCGAAAGAAAAAATATATGACTTAGACCACATTCATAATTATGGGCACATATCTATGCAGATCGGGCATTTAAATGAAGTCTGAATTCATGCAGCTGGCCGAAAACTAGGTGCGGGACGGCGTGCCATGTACACCCCTTATGACTTTTATGACATGTACCAGCCAGGGTTTTTTGGCGATGACATCGAGGTCGTTCGCCAACAGACCGCCGACCTTCGTCAGAAGGCAAGTTAAATTCAAGTCATTTATTTGCATGATACTTTTGGTTGGAGAGAAAAAAGAAAATTTAATTCTCTTGTCTACTTTTATAAAGATTAAATTCCTCGAGGAGCGCCTGGAATCCGAAGGGCGATCAACGGACCCTACGAGGAGAGTACCCCCTGGAGGATTCCCAGGAAGTCGCTGTGCCCAAACTGCATGGCGTCGAGCAGCCGAGCTGGGAACGAGGGCAGTTTCTGGAGGCACTTCTCCAAGGGATGCCCTCTTCTCGGTGATGGCATCCCTTTCGACGGCGGGTCTGCCCGTTGCTCGCACAAGAGGGGCAGGCTCCGGATGCTTCCAAGGTATTTCCCGACCTCTTCTAAGTATCCTATGAAAATTCAAATATTTACATAGATCCAACGAGTGCGTTTTTTAAGGCAGAGGTTCCCACAAACGAAGTGCTCAGGATCGGACGAAGGACGCCTCGACGGACAAGTACGATCCCTCCTTGGAACACCAGGTGATGAATGCAAACCACTGCGACGAGACGAGACTTCTGTGCTCGTCGATGATCAAGGACCTGAAGGAAGTGCGGACGGAACTGTCGAACATCGTCACCAGGTACGCGAACCTCGGCGGACCGGTGCTCGAAGGGTTGGAGGAAGAGCGAAGTGAGAAAAAATCGAGCCCTTCGAGGGAGGGGAGGAAAAGACCCAGGGAATCGAGAGGAGATAGAAAGAAGAGGCAAGGGAAGCGGAACCCCTCCAGGAAGTCGAGGTCGGGGAGTCACGGCTCGCCCGAGAGGGCGTCGAAAAGTGCGAAAGAGTCGAGGAAGGGGAGGAAGGTGGAAAAGGAAGAAGGAAAAAGGGAAGGCAGGTCCAGGACTCGAAGGGATGCCAACTCCCTAGAGGTGTGCCGGGTTCTCCAAAAAAGTATCGATTTGAAATCGGACGAGAGATAAGCATTTTTTCCAGGGTTCCCGTCCGGAGGTGTTGCACACCATGGCTCGATGTCTGGAGAAATTAAGAACCTCGTACGGGGATAAAGTCGTTGAAGAGTTTATGGCGAAGCTGAAGGACCCTGCTCGGTCGAGTGGCAAGTGTATATGCACCGGAAGTGCAGGGCGGAAGAAGAAGGCCGAGATCAAGAAAGCCAGGAGGAAAGGAGAATTCCCTTGCTGTTGTCACCAGACGGTAGAACATGGACATTGGACCAGTTTGTCTCTTGTATCGCGGAAACTGTCGTCGCCTAGAAGTATCGCGGTCGGTGGGCATTTATTATACAATGGTAATTGTCTGCAATTTCCAGATAACCCCGACTTGTTCTTGCGGTCGTCCCGTACCGAGGCAGCCAGCTTCGACGATTTTGCAACCTATCGATCCACCAGCCAGTAACGAGGAGGCCCCGGAGAAGGAGCGGACCCCAGTAAATTCGGGAAATGAAAACGAACCCGAGAAGGACCTCGAGTTAAAAGAGGAGTCGACTTTGCCGGGAGAATCCGAGAAGGAGTCGATCTCGGAAGTTGCGGTCGAAGGCGGTACACGGGCTTTCTGAAATTAATTTATGTCTTCGTCATTATCACTCGATTCATTTCAAATTTTTATTTTACAGAGGAACCGGAAGTAGTCGACAACGGGAAAAACATTCAGACGGAAGAGGGCAAGGAAGAGGAAGAGGGAGGATGCTTCTGCCAAGGAAAGAAGCAGAACTGCTGCGTGTGCGGTCCTTTCGGAAACGCACCCTGCGGAAAGGCCTCGGTGACCATCATTAAAAAGTGTCACGTAAAGGACCCCGAGGACAAGTCGGAGAAGGAGAAAAACAAGGAGAAGAACCGGAAACGAAGACCCTGCTTCCACACCTGGCCCGAAAAATCGAGGTGCTTCAAACGATGCGCAATGCAGCCGAGATGCATACACACGTGACAGTTCTTCGTGCGATTTTCTTATTAAACTCGTCTCGACGCGATGCAACTCCATAATCTACGATTATGAAAAATTGATTATGTAAATTCGAAGAGAGGTATCTTCAGGAAGCGTGACGGTTAATAAGCAAAAATGCGACCTCGATTGAGAAAAATTGTGTCCAATTGGAATCGATACAGTCTCCAGAGCTGCACTCTCGAAATATTAGCGTCTCTTTGCTGCTCCGAAAGAGGTTAGCTAGTTTATCTTCGTTATCGCACATCCAACGACGTCCAATCCCTCGCTGGCTGCAAAAGTTAGTATATCCAATAACGGTCTCGAGAAATTCCGAGTGTTCATACCGAAAAATCTGTCCCTGTTAATAAGTCATTAAATTGTTCAAAACCACCAGGAACGAGTTGCGTTTTTTTTTTTTTAAATCCGCGCACAGTACCGAATTTACCGCCAGCGAGATCCTCGGTTTGCGCCAACCTTGGTCGGCGACTATTCGTCAAATCGACTTCCCAAGTAAAGGCGAAAAATTGTTATTCTTCCCGTACCTTCGGACGAATTTGGCCGGCTCTTGTCACGGTCCCTATCGTTTGCCATTTGTTCGAGTGCCATTGCGTATTCTCTATTCGCCGGAACGACACAGTACTGACAATTTTTTCTCCGCTCGTCAGGAGGCCGGAGATTTCTACTTCTCATGAGGAGGGAGTCGAGAGAAACCGCTCGTCTCTGTCGTATCTTCATATTGTTAAGCTAATTGGGAGAAGCGACTCTTTGTAAACCTCGGAATTTTTTCAAAGCGAATCTTTGTCGGGAGGATTTCGAAAATTCCCGTGGAGTGTCGAAACAATGTTACCTCCCGGTGGGCGCCTCGTTTGCGAGCGATCATTTCGCGTCAGCTGCTGCAACATTGCTTTCGATTATTTCTGCCGGCTAAAGCATTATCGGGAGTGTTTAATAATATACAATTATTGCGCGGCAGTCATTTCGTAATCGGCAAATATGCTTAATGCAGCGTCTTTCCATCGATTTTAAATTCCCTTTGACTTCTGCACTGTGATTGCACGTTCTTACGCGATGACGAGACCCTGTAACGAGCATTTAATGATTCCCTTCAATTCGACGCTCGGCAACGATTTCGACTTATTATCAATGACGGGCGAGACAATCGAAAGAACCGTTTCGACTGCCGTTAGTCCAGCGTAGACTTTCCGTGTCTTCACCTATGCCGTTTAACGCCGCCACGACGCGAGGTTTATAAATTAGATTTTCTGTTTACGTAATTCGTATCCACCTCTATTTTCAATTTTTTACCTCCATTATCGAGTTGGATCTCGGACACATGGGAGCATGTATATAATCCCAACCGAGAAGAAATTACGAAATATCGCACGAAAGAGGAAACGCATTATAAAACTGTTTCAACTGGAAACTCGTGTTACCGCGATGAAACGAGTTCGTTACAGCACCGACACGAGTTCCAGCGCGGAATGCCATGTTAAATCTTCTTTTTGCCGCGTACAAAAAAATTCTGTTACAATAATTGCGGACTGGGGATTTGATCGAGCCTCGATTCGTCGGATTCCCCCGGATGAGACCGAGTTTAATTGAAATTTAGCGAATAATTTTCCCAAAGGAGACTCGCCTCGTCTGGAAATTTTCGGTAGACGTTTCTCCATCAGCAGCGTTGATCCAGTCTCCGTCCTCCTCCCGGGGATGTTCTCGTCTTTCGACTGGCACGTGGGTCCCAAGGAGTGCCGAAAATGAAAAGCACATTTACACGTGGAACGATCAATCGACTCGGTCAAGAGACGAGTCGCGAACGCGCGAGATGTCTCACTTTCCCCACTCGCCGGCAGTCGGTGGAAATTGAATTTTGTTTCGACCAGAACCGATTCAGTCGCCAAGAGCCGTTCACCGAGTTCGGATTGTCCGGCTACCCGGGCCCGGGTTCACCTTCCCGGTTCTCGATTCTCTAGGCGTCCAACGGCCCTATCACCTCGTGGGCCCCGGGTCGACACGTCTTTTTTTTCCTCGTTCACGGCGCGGAAAGCGACACCCGGCATCGGTACGACACTTGGTAGAGACTTACCAAGCTCGCGATATCGGTCATCCGGAGCAACCTGGGGATTTCTGACTCGGTCGAGCCCTTCGGCGACTGCGAGATACGGTGAGCCTTCCCGAGCTGTTCCCTCCAAGACTTACCAGGGATCCGTAGGATCACCAAACAGTTTCTAAGCTCTTTCGTCAGCGTCACGTAGCGAAGCGTAGAGTACTACAATTGATTACAATATAAAAACGTCGTATATCGATTATGTCGTACAACAGTCCCCGATAAAGTTCCATCCCGTGTATGGCAGCGCTCGATCGTGGAGGCGCGGCGATTCCTTGATCGTCAAGAATAGAATGAAAATGCGGTTAGGAAACGTTTATAATTATAAAGTCAGATATTCTTCCCTCGATAACAGACTCTGGGTATTGTGGATTTTCTCATTATTTTCTTTTCTTTCAACAGAACATTAAGTTCGGGGTTATCGGAGCGCCGCGAAAAAGGGGTCAACGCTCCTCGTTGGTGCATACGTTTTGTTGCATCGAGTGCATCAGTGGTCGAATGCATTAGCGATAGATCGTGGAAGACCTTGATACGGCTCCTGGCGAACGTCTTCGGGGTCTCGAGATCTTCGAGAAGGGCGCTCTGACTCTGAAGGGTTAGGTGGAATTTTTTTTTTTAATACTAGTAGCGATAATTGTAAGACTCGACGATTATCGAACAGCAACCGAGACGATCGAAGTCCAAGCGGTGGTTTTCAAGGTCTCTTCGGAACGAGTGTTGACCCAGTCGTTAGCAGGTCAGCCTCTCTTCAAGGTTCTCCGGTCACCTCGGTGCACCTGCGCTCACCTTGCACCTTTGCGGCGAGTCGTTGCTCAAGACCGAGACACATCGCAGGAAGTCGCGAGAGGGTAGAGGTGAAAATGATTCTGCATTCCTTGGCTTGTAATGCACCTAGGTAAAAAAAAAAGAAATACTCGGCGGAGTTTCTTGGATTTTTTTTCTCCAAGCTTCGGGGCGTTCTCTTCGTCATTTCCCTCGGCGCTCGCGTGGCTGGCGGAAGCGAGTTCTTCTTCTTCTCTTCGGCAACCACGTTCGCTTTCTCCAGCCCTCGTCTCTCTCGAGCAAGGCGTCGTCACCTTTCCACGAATCCGAGGCTGAAATACCGTGTAAACACTCGTAATTATGCGAATTCTTTGCGTACTCCGGCTAGCGTGTCCTCACGTAACCAAATATACTTCTCTCCCCACTTAAGTACACGAATGGCTGATGTATTCCCCACAAGTCGAGTCGTGGTGGTGCCGATCGAGTCTGGGTTCCGCTGACGGAGTTTCCATTTTGCCGTAGGATTGCCGACGAGGAACGATCTTGGGGAAGGGCCGGAAGAGGTTTCCTAGGACGCAAGAAACCAAGGGGAATGGAGGTTGCACTGTCCTTCGCGACGATCCTCTACACCGATCTCAGGTCCAGCAGCGTGGTGAGTCCTTTCGGCATCTCGTTCCTCCTTCCTGAAGAAGGAGATTAAGCGAGATTAATCGACACCTTTTACCTCCAGGAGATGTTTAACACCGTTACCAAGGGGATCATCAAGGTGATCATGATCTTCGCGACTCTGATCATCATACCCATCACGAGGATTCGAGCTCGCAAGAGTCGACAACCTTGTCCACCAATCGGGAACGACCTCCTGATGCTCCCGGCCAGCGAAGTGTCCCGAAGGATACGGAGGAAAAAAGTGAGGGATACGTTTCAATGGTGCTTTCTCCTTAACGGAAGGTCTCGGTTTTTCCGACAGGTGACCAGCGAAGAGGTCGTCAGGGCATACATCACCAGGTGCAAGGAGGTGAACCCCGCGATCAACGCCGTGGTGGAGGCGAGGTACGAGGCCGCTCTTCGGGAAGCTCGCCAGGTCGACGACTCGGTCCGCTCCGGAGGACGCACCGAGGAGGAGATCGCAAAGGACACGCCTTTGCTCGGTATCCCTGTCACGGTGAAGGAGAGTATAGCGGTACGAGGTGGGGGCAACCTTATTTTCCGAAGGTCCGAGGAAAAGCGTTACTAGTCTCGAGTTGCTTAGAGCGTAGAAAGAGATGTCGGTAAGGGGTGACCGCGGAGTCGCGGTACGTCACTTTCCCTCTTGACGACGCTCTCTCGTGCCGGGTTAGCTGGGTCCTATAGGATCCTATAGATCCCCATTGGGTCCCATGAGTCCCATTGGGTCACTCCAAAGGAGGCTACTCACGTAAAGACCGGTTCCCCGGCTCGTGGCGCCACGAAATCGGTTCAAGGTCTGCCGTACGACGCGCAACGCTTGCGTAAGGACTAAACAAAGAGTACAGAGAACGGAAAAGCGCGGTCTCTAGAGGGTCTCGATTCTCGCGATCGATGCAAGATTTTCTAGGTTTTGTAGGTTTCGTAGATTTTCGAAAACGGTCCAGAGGGTTGTAATGGAATCGCCGCGTGGTCTGGTCCCAAGGCATGAGTCACTCCGTGGGGTGGAAAAGGGAGCAGCCGATCACGGCCCAGGAGGACGCCGACGTCGTCAAGAGGGTGCGCAAGGCAGGCGCCATCCCCATCCTGGTCAGCAACACTCCGGAGATGTGCATGTACTGGGAGACCTACAACAAGGTGACCGGCATGACCTGGAACCCCTACGACACGAAGAGATCGGCCGGCGGATCTTCGGGGGGAGAGGTTCGCATCCGGACGAGGAAGTCGTCCGAGTCGAGAGGAAACTCGACCCGACCGCAGAGTTTCGTAAGAACGAATTCATTTCTTCGTGATTTCAGGCCGCCTTGCTGGGCTCCGGGGCGTCGCTTTTGAGCCTGTCGTCGGATATCGGAGGATCGGCCAGACTTCCGGCAATGTTCTGCGGAGTTTTCGGCCATAAACCGTCCCCAGGTAAACCTTCGATTCACGCCGGAGGTCGCTCTCCAGTTTTTAAAGCTGCGTTCTGTCAGCGCTCCTCGACTCCGCGTTAATTTACAAACCTATTTGCATACGATTTGAATAATTCCTCGTGTACGTTCCTAATGTCGCGGTAGATTAGGAACGAGTCATCGTTAGGTACAAACAAATCCTCTTTGAAGAGGCGATTTTGACATTCCGATGCTCCTTCAGGCTGGATTTCCACCGAGGGCCACTTGCCGAATTGCGATGACGAGAACTGGACCACCTTCTTCAGCATCGGTCCGATGGTCAGATACGCCGAGGATCTGCCCGTTCTTCTGAAGACTATGTGCCGATCGGAGTCGATCGCCAGCAAACTCGACCGGAAGGTTTGGACCGAGACGATGAGTCTTTTGTTATCCATTGAGGTGCAATTAGGACCGATACGCCGAAATTTTTCAGGTCTTCGTTAAGGATATAAAATTCTTCTACATGGAGGATGACTGTGGATCGGTGATGACGAACACCGTGGACCCGGAAATCAAGACGGGCATACATCGGCTGGTTCGACACCTTGAGAAAACCCACGGGACCAAAGTACAGAAGGTACGGCTTTTTATCGACCATCGTCACCCGATCGGTCGGTCCAATCAGTTGTCAACGATCGTCCTCAATTTTTCGAGGCCGCCTCGCTGCACTTTTTTACCCGGTGTTAACGCGTCTTACGACCTGGCTTTGACCAACGATATTAATTTTCCGTAGGTGGAGATGAGAGATATGAGATTCGCCTTCGAGGTCGCGACAGCTATTCTCCTTGGGATCAACGGTGCGGACACGATTTTCACGAGAGGGAACGATCGTCGAGTACGCGCTTCTTAAACATCATTTTATGATTTCAATTCATTCGAACCGCGTCTTACCGAGAAATTTTCATTAATTATACCTCTTTTCAGGAGTGGAAGAGCGTTTCCGTGGAGGCCTTGAAATTCCTTTTCGGCAAGTCCTGTCACACGTTCCCCAACATTGTGTACGGGATTCTGAAAAAATTCGCAGACATGAGTCCGCGAAGCCACTACGAGAACATGGTGGAGAAGAACAAAATGCTGAAGAAACAGTTCGAGGTAACCGATAGCAAGTAGTGGAAATGAATCCTTGACGGAAGCGCTCGTCCTTTTCTCGTGAATTACAGGAGCTCCTCGGGGACAACGGAGTCCTGATATATCCCACCTTCGTCTCCGCTGCAAGTTACCCTTTCGAGTTCTTGTGCAAGATCTGCAGCGTCTCCTACATGATGATTTTCAATTCTCTCGGACTTCCCGTTACGCAGTGTCCTATAGGACTGAACAGGAACGGGCTTCCTATCGGACTGCAGGTGCTTGTATTCCATTCTTCCATTATCTGCATAAATAAAAGACCAGTGATACGTACACTGAAAACAAAATTTATTGAGCCGAAGAAATTATATGAATAATTATTATTTGAATTAACAAGATATTTCCCGGGCGGAATTTTTTTTTCGACGTGCGAAGAACCGATCGGTTATTAAACAAGATATTAATGAAAATCGACGTCGTATCTTTCATCTACGAAAATATATAATTTATAATTTCAGGTGGTCGCAAATGCAGGTTGCGACGTTCTTTCGATCACCGTGGCCCAGGAAATCGAGAGAGCTTTCGGTGGCTGGGTCCCACCGCCTCCCAAAAACAGGATCGTTTGACCTCGTTCAAGTGGCTCAGCTTCCCGTGGAATTTAAAAAAGTCCGCGTCCAAGCTAATGAAAAGAATCGCGAACCATCTCGAAGATTGCCATCTCTCGAGATGACCGGTAAATGCGTCCTCGTCTGTCAGAAGTCTGCACGCAATTGGCAGGAGTCAGCGACCGAGCGGAGTGGGATCGTTGAACGTAAGACGGATTCGTCTCTTACGACTATCTTCCGCTCTACCCATAGAAAATCATTTTCCTCGGTAATGAAATTAAGAGAGGAAAAATCTAAGCGATTTCGGAGCATCGATGGCTCCGACTGGTTCGAAATGTACAGTTCGAATGGATTAAGGAAGTGCTTTGTTATATTTATCATCGTTATTTATGTACCGAAATTTTTACTGACGCTACAATAATGAAGCTACGTTTTAACTAGGAGTTTAATTAAAACTCGCAGTCTACAGAAAGTGGAGGTTTAATTTTAATCAAGATCGCCACGCTAACGAGCGTCCCGTAAGAGAAATTTCCTTTTCCGTCGTCCATGCAGGGAAGACGTCCAGATCAGCGTCCGATTCCTTCGGAAAGTTTCTCTCGCCCTCCATCCGTGCCAATGTGAGAAAGAATTGTGCGAAACATGCGAGTGGCCTTAATCCGTTAGCGTTTCCAGACTCGATCCCTGCTTTGCAGGCGGAGGGGCCGCGCGGGGGCCGCTCTTAAAACGAGAGACTCCGACAATGGCGGCAAGAAAAGCGTCAGTTCTCCTCGAGCAACCGTGCCGGGAATGCCGAAAACTCCCGAAGCAGTTCCATAACGAGTCCGACCTGCCCGAACGAAGATCGGAGCCGAAGCGACGTGATAAGCTCTGGATTTCCCATCCACGTGGGAGATAAGGACTCCCCCGGTGCCCCTCACCTTTCCATCAAGGTAAGTCAGAAAAAATACTAGAGGGTAAATAAAAAATTCAGAGCAAAGGCAAGAGGATCCCCATCGTTTTTATTCCACATTCTCACAATTTTCGGGATGCACCCAGGAGATGCATCGTCCGAGACCGCTGCACCGTAACGCCCTGCATCTCGATGCTCGAAGAATTACCCGGTTCCGCACGCGTAGAAGACGCGCTTGAACGCGATATACGATGATGCGGTCACTTTGTTATCGATAGGAATTTGATCGATAATCCTATCGGGCTTGCGAGTCGGTCTCGAGAGTCGCGAAGACGCGGCCGGTCGCGGCGAGGGTGTTCCTAAAATGCAGCGACGTTAAAAATATCGCTCCGATTCCGGAGTCGGAGATCAAGGCCGTCGAGTACGTCCACCGGGTGACGTATAATCGCGACCGGGGTATCGCGCAAACGCATCGTTCATCCGCAGTCCGCGTTTGATCGACCAAGTCGCGATGCATCCCGCGTGCATCCCGCGTGCATCTCGCGCTGCACTAGAGAGGTGGAGCGGGTCTCGTTCGGGACAGCCTTCCCTCGCCTCGAGAAAGCGTTCCTTGCGTAAACTCGAAGAATTCAGGTTAAATCGCGATCCCTATAGGGCACGTCGAGTTTTGCGCTCGTTTACGAGCCGACCGGTACCGCCGATCACCTCCAATTACGGAACGTTAACGCTCGGCACGAAAAGTGGCACTTGCCTCCTCCACGAGTGCGACTGCAGTCGGATCGGCTGCAAGTGCCGACTTTCGCCAAAAGGAGGGCCGAGTCCTTCGACGGTGATTCTCGAGATGCAGCCCGAAGGAAGACCTCGTCTCGGGAAACCTGCATCGGCCTGGATATCTCAAACTTGCCCAGCTTTCGACTCCTGGAACGCGATGGCTGAAATCGGCCCCACCTTTCCCTCCTCCTACTTTCCCTCCTTCTCTCCGGATTTTTAATATTTCGCGTGGGTACGCAAGCTCCGACCCCGCCGATCTCTAGTGCTCGGTCGGGCCTTGCCGCATCGCTTAGCGGTTTCGGATCCCGGGGGATCTTTCTCCCTCGAAAATGCGCAATTCGAGGAGAATCGACCGATAAATCGTACCCGTCTCCCTCGATATACCTCGTGGTCGCGATTACGGCCCGCGCGGGGATTGCAGAAGACCTGGGGCACCTCTGTGCGGAACGCGTCCCGTTAATGCGAGTTTCGCGAAGATAAATCTTCGTTTTTTCTGAAGAGGAACCCCCCTGTCCCTCCCACGCGTTGCATCGTTTAGTGCAGTCGCTGCATCCGATGCCCGGAGCCGACTCGATCGACCGGATTGGCTGCATCGATCAGCTCGACGAGTCGATCGACTCGATCGACCGATATATTGTAGCGACTCGCAGGCCGAGCGGTTAAATCGAGCTCTTCCGTGATGTTGTGTTTACGCTTTGTCTGAAAAAAAAAAAAATCTGTCCGCGCGGATTTATTGTATCTATCTTCGCCTCGAGTCGCGCCGGATTGGATTCGAGACCGCCCGGGTGTCGCCCTCGAATCGGAGAGAGGGACTTTCCGACTTTCTTCCGGGACCACCTCGAAGAGGAGAACAATGAGTCGTTTGCCGAGAGAATCGCCGTGCCGAGGCCATTCCGTCCTGCCGTCACGTCTCGAAAGCCGATCCGCCTGGAGGAAACGTGGGTGTTCGAACTCGGAAGGGGACGGTCGAGGGCGGGCACTCTTCCAGGCCGGAATGTCCGAGTAACGATCGCCGCATTTTGCGGGAATCCTCGCCAGGACGATCGCGCAAGTCCTTCCCTTCCTCCCCAGAGGAAGGACCGCTAGTTTACCCAGGGAAGGTAAAAGGAAAAACCGTAAACCGAGTCGCGAAGAAATCCTCAGGCCGCGGAATATCGTTACCGCGGTGGTGAAAAAAAAAGGAAAAAAAAAAAGAATTTCGCGACACCAATATTCTTGTCACCGATCATGTGTCAAGAATAATGGAAACGCCTCCTAGGCGGTTTGATCGTTGACCGGCATCGAACGATATCAAACACAACCGAAGGTGAAGGTTAAGAGCACGTCGATTCGGCGCTCGTAACGAGCACCTAGCACAAAGACGTCATACAATTTGCATTAATGTTCCCGTCGTCGCGTAAAAACGTAATCGGCTCTCGAGGACTTGCATTCTATGAGCGCGCGTGGAAGTGTCGGTGCCTTGAAAATTCCTGAACAACTCGACGGCGACCGTGGTGACCCTGGTGACCCGGGGTGCACCCTGATGAGAGTCTAATTTCGTAAGGAACGAGCCGAAACGGGCGACGAGGAAACCCGAGACGTCCACGGTTCCATCGGGTCACGGTGAGCCGGAAAATCGAGAAGCCGAACTTTTTTAGAATAGGAGGATAAGCAACGCCACGGGTTGCACGAGTCGCTGCTCTTCTCCTTTCTCCTAGGGGAAAACGCTCGCGGGGGGAAAGTGCATTAACGGGTCCATTACGTTATGGGAAATTGGCCGCATGGAACGCACGCGACGCGAAACGCCAGACGGGCGGAATGCGGAAAACGCGACAAAGTGGACACGCTCGCGAGATCGGCGAGCGTGCACTTTTCCAGGTCGCCTTCAATAGTTCTCGTTGCGCGTACAGGTGCGAATCCTCCCCCCTTCCCGACACCCCCGGGGTGCATCGGCGACCGGCAGACAGAAAGGAAGGAAGGTTTCCAAGATGGAGTGGGCTATCCGGCTCTTCTTCGTCCTGCAGAGCGTTCTGCTCCAGCTTCTGCGTCCCGTTTTGTGGTACTTGAACCGGCAACGACCATCTTTGGTGCCTCCACCGAAGGACTCGATCCTGAAGAAGAGCGCCGTCGACCTGGCTGCATGGATCAGGAGGCGCGAGGTGGGTAATGACCAGTTGGTGATTATTCTTGCTATTCTTCTTGTTGTTCAATCTTAGGAAGCGTATCGCACGATCGGGGGGAATTAACCTGGTGAGATAATGTAATAATGAGGTAAGGACGCGCCATTGCGGGGAGAAGTAATCAAGTGGAGGGAATCGTAGATTACCAGCGAGGCGGTGGTAGAGGCGTACATCTGCAGGATGAAGGAAGTGAACCCTTTGATAAACGCGGTGGTGGAGGACCGCTTCGAGGAGGCTCTTCGGGATGCCAGGAGGTGCGACGAGAGACTCCGGGCTGGAGAAGTGAACGCCGTCACTCTGCGGACTCTGCAGCCTCTCTATGGGGTCCCGTTTACGGTCAAGGAAAGCTGCTCTCTCAAAGGTACCCGGACTACTCGAGAAGAATCTTCAGGAGGCAGAGAAGGATCGTAGCCGATCCTTCTTCTTGTGCACCTAATGACGCTCGTGACGTCGGTTTGGCGCAATCCTTGACCCAATCGATTTTTCACTCGAAAGGACTCAGCCACACTGGATGCACTTTGGTGCGCCAAGGTACCAAGGCGCACTCGGATGGATCTTTCGTGGCTGCCTTGAGGAAGGCAGGAGCTATTCCACTATGTGTCACCAATACTCCGGAATTGTGCTCGGGATTTGAGAGCGCGAATTATTTGTACGGCCGAACGAACAACCCCTACGACTTGAGGTGCAGCGCTGGAGGTTCGTCGGGCGGCGAGGTGAGAAAGAAAAAGTGCCTTTACTGCGTAAAAATGATCTTCTTAATTAAAGTCCCTGGGGTTTTTGCCATAGGCAGCATTGTTGGGCGCAGGTGCTTCCCTGATCGGCGTGGGGTCGGATCTTGCGGGGTCCATAAGATTGCCGGCCTTGTTCAATGGGGTCTTCGGCCACAAGCCGACCGCTGGTAATGTTTCTTTGATATATTGGACTGGGTAGGAAGGAGTTGTTGGTTATTGATGCATCGATTCGCTTTAGGAATAATTTCGACAAATGGACACTACCCCAACTCCGACAGCCCGTGGTTTCGCAAATGTCTGGTGGTCGGTCCTATGGCGAGGTACGCAGAGGACTTGATCCTGGCTATGCAGATCGTAACCTCGGATAGCAAACAAGATCTGAGGTTCGATCAGCCGATTCGTATCGGCGACTTGAAGGTGTTTTATGTCGAGGATTTGGGAGAGAGTCTGGGCAGCATCTCACCCTCCAAAGAGATAAAGGGATCCATCGCAAAGGCTTCGAGGTACCTTGAAAAATCCGGGGCCACCGTCGCCGAAGCAAGTATTACAGTAAATTTGAGAAATAATTGTGAAAATTGTGGAACAAAGGGGATTTTTAACACCCCGTAAAATTCTTCACGACAGATCGATTTGGGCGACTTGGAAGACATCGTGGAGATTTGCTTCTCCCCGATTTTCTGTGTCGATAGCCTGCCTCAAATATTGATCAACCCCGACGATCCTAAGGTGCTCGATCATTTTATATGGGGTAAACAGCCTGTCGGACCTTTTTCCCGTATAAAAAATCACGTTATTTTTGCGTCTTCAGCACGAAAGGAGCTCACCCGCCGAAATTGTAAAATCCTTCCTGGGGTTTTCCCTGTACACCAAATCTGCGATCTTTATGAAGTTAGTTAAAGACATCCGTGGCTTCATTCCTGTCTCTAAAGCCCCCTTCTACGAAAAAAAGGGAGAGCAGCTACGACAAAAGCTTCTCGTGAGTTAAGAGCTCTTCTTCATTCCACGGAATCTCTCATTATTTTCCTCTGTTGCCCTGATGCACTCCTCGTTGTAGGAGACGCTCGGCAAAGACGGCGTACTTATCTGCCCTACATTTCCAACTGTTGCCGGTTATCACAACAATACCGTGCTGCAATCATCCGCAGCAATTTACTGTGCGCTTTTTAACGTCTTCGGATTTCCGTCGACGCAAGTACCGATGGGCCTCAACGAGAACGGAATGCCTCTGGGATTTCAAGTAAAGTTACACCTTGGATTCCCCATAAAAGTAGTTCACAGGCGCGATGTATCCTACGTGTTGTACATTTTTTTTCCTTTCAGGTCGTGGCTGCCCCAAACCAAGACAGACTGTGTCTAGCCGTAGCCAAGGAATTGGAAAAAGGTTTCGGTGGCTGGATTCCACCCAACGACAAATAACATAATTCGCTATATAAAAATAACGATGTCCAACCGTACGATCATGAAACCAGTGAAGTCAGAACCTATAATTGCGAGTGTACATACGCATTAGTGATAAGGATTGTAAAAATCTAATCGGAATGAGCAATAGTTTAAATAGTAATTAGAATCGTTACTGTGAAGAAGCCGGTGATCTTGCGTAGAGATCTCCACCAAGATCGGATCCACGACGGTGACATCAATACGCATTATGTATGCAAACGGGTATTTTCTAGTTGTATAGCGCAACAATAAAGATATGATAACTACTCCAATGAGAATTCACGTCGCACGAGGAGTGGAAGTCTGTAGATTATAAATAGAAAGATTAATTTATTAATTAGTATATTTTGTCAGGCTTCCATGTCCTGCATTGCCGAAGGAAAGTGCTGTGCATTTATCAGCGGTCGCACATCGAATCGGATATCAATTTACCTGTTCTCTTAATGCGTAGGACCACATATATTTTACAAGAAAATCCGAGGAATCTGGGTCGGGGGGTATCGGTGTGGCCATGAAGAGGTACAGGTGAAAGGTGCACACTGGGGCGTAGGAGCTCGAGTCGACCAGTATGCTCAGGTGTGGGCTTGAGTGAACTGCTATCAACCTGGTGGTTATTATCTCTGCAAAAATTGGTACTTTAAAAATAATAAACGGTAATATATATTTCTGGGTAGTTAAAAATTCATACTAGCCGAAGAGTGCCGTGAAGAGGTACAGGTGAAAGGTGCACACTGGGGCGTAGGAGCTCGAGTCGACCAGTATGCTCAGGTGTGGGCTTGAGTGAACTGCTATCAACCTGGTGGTTATTATCTCTGCAAAAATTGGTACCTCTTTAAAAATAATAAACGGTAATATATATTTCTGGGTAGTTAAAAATTCATACTTGCCGAAGAGTGCCGAAGAGACGATGAAGCTGTACTCGGTGTCGGATGGACCACCGTCCTTGGCATGTCGCCAAGCACTGGCTGCTCTCAAACTGGACTACGAATTAATCGACGTGGATTTTGGAAAAGGGGAACACATGACCAAGGAATACGAGCAGGTACTTTTTGAAGATCCATCGATGGCTCGTTGAAATTTATTTCGTTTACTTTTCAGCTCAATCCTCAGAAGGAGATTCCGGTCCTGGTGGATGGAGATCTCATAATGGGGGAAAGGTAACTGGTATCGGTATAAGTGACGACGTTCCACGTGTTCCAGCGACATAATCGTTTTACAGCAATGCCATTTTGCAATACCTCGGAGATGCGTACGACAAATCCGGTGAATTTTATCCCAAGGATCCGAAAGCCCGTGCCGTTGTCAACCATCGACTCTGCTTCAACCTGGCAATGTACTATCGGAACATTTCCGAATACGTGGTAATTGTTTTATAAAAACGTACTAACGGTCTTCATTCTCACTTTGAGGCTTATAAAAATTAACGGCTAACTTCGTATTCGATTCCAGATGGCTCCTATATTTTTCGATTACGAGAGGACTCCTCTGGGCTTGAAGAAAGTGAAAATCGGACTGGACGTATTTAACGAGTACCTGAAGCGAGGGAATTCCGTCTATGCGGCTGGGAGTACGTAGGGTTAATGGAATTTAAAGAGCTTACCGACTTAACCACGTCAAATTTGATATTTAAATCCGTATCGTGACTATCCTTTTTTCTCGACGCCGATGTACAGATAATCTAACGATCGCCGATTTCCCGCTAATTACCGCCACGATGTGTCTCGAAGCCATCGACTTTCAACTCGATTCTTGGCCGCACGTGGGAAAATGGTATGCAAATTTCAAATCGAAGCATTCCGAACTTTGGGAAATCGCCGCGGGTGGGATGCGAGAGATCGGCCACTTCGAGAGGAATCCCCCTGATCTGTCCTCTCTGGACCATCCCATCCATCCGGTAAGGAAGTCGACTCGCTAAGCCTTTTCCACTTCCGTTTCGATTGTCCTACAATAAAAGGTGAAGAAACGACCAACTCGAGCGCTCGGATTATTTGAAAATCTATCCATTTATTGTATCCAGGGTACCGAGTCGCCAGGCGTCGGTACGTCCATAAAATAGGTACACCGGGAACGAGAGTGACTCTTGCCAACGAAAGTACATCCGCGTCGTAAGTCATCTAGCACGTTGATAAATTAAAACTCTGACCCTCGCGAGTCCACGAAAACGCATTTTCGTCCTTCTCCGATTCGGATGCGCGAGCCCCATCCTCGCCGACTGCATCGTACACGTGCCCCACCCGGACGACTGCGTGGAAGAACGTTAAATCTCCCGGACCCCGAAAGATACCGTCTATGATACACGTTTCCTTTTTACATGCACCGTGCGTCCTCGAAGCCGCACTCGCCTGCTTCCCCTGGCCCGAATCGTCTTCCTCGGGGAGGACCCGTCCGCGCCGATTCCGCGTCCTTCGACCCCCTGGAGCCCACGAACCTCTTGAGACCCCTTCCGCCGAGAGGAAAAGCCGGACCGAGTCGGTTCGAGCCGTCGACCGGTCACCTGACCCGACCGGAGGGCGACCTGAGGTGAGACTTGATATACCCCGTCCGATAGTCGATCATGTCGCGGGCCGATCCGCCGGGCATCCCGTGTCCGTGTCTCCTGCTCCACCTGAAAATCGAGATGGATCAATCGCCCCGTCGCTTTCCCCTGCGGCCTCGGAAGGGCGAGAGGCAAAATCGTGCCCGTCGCCCTTCCGGGCGTCGCGGCATGCACGCGAAGACCCGGCGTCGACGCTCATCGACGCGCCGGGGCGCTCGAGGGGATGTGAAAGTGGCATCCGAGGGGTCAATCGTTCACGAAACTCTTCTCCAAACAGGCTGCACCAAATCCTTTTAAACCTCACAACATGAATATGTAGGCTACAAACACCGCCCTGACCCTCGTGAAATTTCATATTTCATAAACAGTGTTAATAATACCTACGAACAAATTAAAAAAAAAAATTCACATCTCACGAGGGTCAGGACCTTTGCAAAAGCTTCCACATTCACGTTTTTCACACAAGTTTAAAACGATTTGGTGCTCCTGTTACAGTGAAACACCGAAATCTGGAGAATGTCGACTTACACCGGTAAATATTGACATTCACCGGTGTGTGATTGTCGACACCCACTGGAGAGGGCGCCGAATGTACAACAATGTAATGAAATATTCGATCTTTCACCGCCGTATTTGGTATCTGTTGACATTCACCGGTGAAACTCGACATTCTCCAATTTCGGTCATCCACGGTAACACCCCCACTTTGGAGAAGAGTATCATAAACGCGACGTCTTTGACGCCGCTTTCGCATCACCTTAAGCGGCGAGAGGGCCGAGAGAGAAAAACCTCCACGATGCCACGATGCTCCATTCCAGAACGATAAGTACAGCTAGCATCCACAAGGACAGGGATACAGAAGAGCGCGGAAACTCGAGCCCTCGTCGGGTCGAGCCCTTGTCGGCTAAGCTACGCTAAGCTAGAGGGTCGTACCTGTGGGAGGTTGATCGCGAGCTCGATGGCGGTCGTCGACTGCGGAGGGGTCGGGAGGGGGGCGCGGGGGGAGGAGGGTCTGCCCGTCGGGCTGGGAGGAGGACACCCCGTAACTCCGACGGAACTGCCGCTGCTGGGCCGAACGTCCGCGGCTCCGACTCGCCGACCCGCCGACCCCCGGATGCCGAGGACTCGTACTGCGACGAGGTAACCCCGTTACACACGCTTTTACCTTCGCTCTTCGCGTCTCCTTTGCCTCTCTACGTAGTCTATAGCGGTATCTAGCCGACTCTAGCAGACTTCGCCGCGCCGCGGGCCGATCTCGTCGCCGCGAGCGCGGGAGGCTCGGTCATGCCACGCACTACTCCGAGCGAGGAAGCCCATGCAGAGTGTAAGAGAGGAAACAGTCAGCGCGGAGGCGAACACCCAGGGGAGGGTCCCGACGACGAAACCGACGGCGGGCGACGTCGATCTCTCGGGTGGCCGACGTCCTTTTGGAGGCTAAGACTCGAGCGCGGTGGACCGGAAATACCGGACCGTATACCCCCGTTTAAGGTGAAGTGAAACACGTCGAGGAACTTGATCAACGTCGATAAAGGAGATTTTTCTAAATGCCTACGTGGCCGACGTTCGTTTTTATATCGACGGCTATACCGAATTATATTGTCGTTTTGGTACAATAATTATAAAGAAATAGAAGTAAAACTATAGAAATCCTCTGGATTCATGATTTCTGGGGCCCTAATTGACTGCGGAGGGACCCCCTGCGACATCTGTGATTCCCAGGTGAATTAAATTTTCACTCCGAGACCTCGTATTACCATCGTTTTAGCATTGAAGCGTATACAACACTTTTTTGCCTTTATCCCGTTCAAATGCGAGTTTGTCGATTACCAGAGTGTTCTAAATTGTCGTAAAATTGTCCCGACCCTTTCGATTCTCATATCGGAGCCTTCGATAATTGTATTTTGATCGAAATATGAGAGCTCGACGCCAGTTTGGTCCTGGTCTGGGCTGAGTTAAAAAATGTTAAAAAATCCAAATTTTGAATGTGTCAGGACAATTCTTAGATGATCAGGAGGGATGTGTCAAAGTTTCGGACAGTTTGGTCTAATACCCTTAAAAAAAAGTGTTGTATTCGAATCGACTGATTTGAAGGGTAGGGCCCCAGAAAGCTTGAATCCAGAGGATTTCTGGAGTTTTACTTCTATTTCTTTATAATTACTGTACGAAAACGACAGGTGGAGTACGCCATTTGGTACAATACCCAATATAGTTCGGTATAGCTGTCGATATAAAAACGAACGTCGGCAACGTAGGCATTTAGAAAAATCTTCTTTATCGACGTTGATCAAGTTCCTCGACGTGTTTCACTTCACCATAAGAGTCTTCGGCCACGCCGAGAAACCGCGACCCCGGGTCGGCGTTCCCAAAGGTGAACTCTCAACGACACACCGAGGACACAACGTACGGCCGGCGAGTTCTCTTACCTTGTACTGTGACTCATGACGATTACGTTTCTGTAACAGTACATAACGGATCCTGATAGATGGGGAACGAGAGGCGACGCGGTCGACGTCGATCGAGCACGACGCGAGATGTAACCGAGGCAACCCGTTTGCTCGCGGTCGACGAGATCCGTTCCTTTTGGTTCCCGTTTGCTCGACGGCCGAGACGCGACGGAAACCCGTAGAAAGGATAAAGATAGAGATACGTGAGTAGGCGATCCTTCTCAAAGCGAGTTCCTACGTCGGTGAGTCTATGCGTTGCCTCTATTTCGGTGCAAAGTAAAGTAAAGTCGAAGAATCTTGCAAGAGCGCGTATATATATATACGTGAGAAGATACATATACGCGTAATCGATAAGGAACGAGGAGAGAGAGAGAAAGAGACAGAGACGCATATGAAAGACTAAGGAACTAAGGACTATGAGAGAAATGAAATCGAAACTAAAGTGCATACCAGGTGTCCGATAGGAGATCTTTAAGTGCGTACCGGAGAAGTCTGGTGATGTAGTCGGACCAGTTGTCGGGGAACATGACCAGGAAGAAGCCCACGGCGATCAGGATCATGCCCGCCAGCTTCATGCCCACGAAGTGCGCCCCGTACAGCACCACGTCCAGGGCTGGAACCGTCAACGACTTTTCAATCCGCCTTCCACGGGGGGAACCTCCTCGTGGTTCTCTCTCCGGTACTCACCAGCTGACACGGGGACGGCCGTGATGAGTCCGAGGGTGATGAAGAGGTCGTAGGTCAGGGCGATGCCGAAGTTGCCCAGCATGTTGGCGACTGAAACGGAGACGGAGAGCTCGGGTAAGAGGGGGTGGTCGGGAGAGAGGAAACAAAGAGCGATCTAGTCGAATCGGCCGACCTAGGTGCAGGACGCTGGCCGAGAGCAGCGCCCCCCAGGGTAGGTTCGCCCACTGGACGGTTTCCGCCCCGGAGAAGTACAGGGTGACGCAGAACGGCCACAGCAGCGCCGCGTTGCAGAGGCCGATCAGCGTGAAGAAGAGGGACACCTGGCCGAAGGTGGTCTCGCCGATGACTTTCTTGAAGAGCACCTGGAAGAGGAAGAGGATGAGAAAATGAGCGAGGTCCTCGACTCGACGACGACCCGGGCTCACCTTGTAGACCGCCGAGCCCGCGGCGGCGGCGACGGCCAGGACGACCCCGCCGAGGGTGGGACTGCCGGTGATGCCGTCCATGTAGGCCAGCAGCGCGATGCCGGTATCGCAGAGGATCACGGCGACGATCTGCCGAGGGAATCCAGGAAGTAAGTAAGGCGGGGTCCGCGAGGTCGTACCGGAGCACTTACCCTCACGCCGACGAACTGCTCGTGCAGGATCACCCAGGAGAGGAGGTAGACGCAGGCTACGTTGGTCGCGAAGAGCGCCATCACGTCGGTCGCCAGGAGGATCCTCAGCGAGCGGATGTACGCGTAGTTGGTGACGACCCAGAGAACGCAGAAGAGGCCACACCGGGTGAGGAACCGGCCCCCGGTGAAGCCCTTATCTCGGAAGCCGCGCAGACTCTCGGCGACGATCTCGGAGAGGTTCGAGCACTTGCTCGTAACCGCTCGGCACAGGAAGTACACGGGGAAGTAGAGCACCGCCCAGTTGGTGCAGAACCACGTCGTGAAGAACGGCGCGTTGTAGGGGTGCACCAGCTGAAACGTGCCGGGTCGTCGAGAGGTCGACCTCGATCGCGGAATCTCGTTAGGTCGGATCGGGAATTAATTACGTGGTGCTGGTGAGGCCCGCTCACGGAAGAGTTGGCGGACGCCGAGGGGGTCGCGTTCTCCGGCTTCTCGAAGTACAGGTACTTGATGCAGTGAGTGGCCCCGACCCAGCTGGCGGTCACGCAAATGGTCACGCACACGCCGAAGTATATCTGCAAATCGAGGAGGGAAATCACCCTGGCCACCTCGAAATATCCTCCGTCTTCCCTCGGCCAGGACCTAGATACCTTTTTGGCGGACTCGGCGCAGCACGAGGTGTAGCAGGCGGTCAAGGAGTTCTGCCGCCGATGAAAGGTGGCGACGGAAGGCGGTCCGCCCCCTGGTCCCGGCCCCGGCCCTGGTCCGGGTCCGGGTCCTGGTCCGTGACCCGCACTGGGGGTGGCGGTCCCGGTGGCCGCGGTGGTACCAGTAGTAGCGGGCGTGGTACCGCTTTCGTCCTGCCCCGGGCCGCGGGTCGTGGCCGAATCCCCGAAGCCCCCCGTGCTGGTCACCTTGTAGGTCTCCTGCTCGCGACCTGGAAGAAGTTCACCTCGACTAAACTCTCGCTCCTCCTATACCCCGATGTCGATTTTCAAACCTTCGTTCCGCCCGCTCCGGTCCGATCGACCTGGAGGTAGCCGCGATCTTACCTGGGAAAAGAAATAAAAATCATACCGGAAGCATCGAGGAGCGCCTGCACCGGAGCGGCGTAAGGCCCGTTGTTGCGTCGACCCTCGCCGAGGAGGATGCCCGGCGTCGCCCTGGACCTCCTGGGGTGGAAGATCGTGGGGACCTCGGTCACTCCGGCGCCGCTACCCATGCCCCTCGAGTTAATCCCCCGCCCGATCCCTAGGAACCCCCGTCGACCCCCGGGCCCCTCGGAGCCGCGTCCGCGGACATTCCCCACCGGGGACCCTGGGCACTCGCGCGCGCCTCTCGTCGCCCTGGCGCGTCGAGGTCAGAGAAATACTACGAGTTCGGCTCCAGGTCGCCCCGGTATGGTTTCGCCGTCGTCCCATCGATTACTGGACCTCTCTTCTCCCCCGCGCCACCCCTCGTCACCCTTTTTCGCGACTGCGCGCGACGCGCCGCTTTTTCACCTACTCGCTTGGAAGGTGGAAATAAAAAAGTCCCCGGGCTCGATGGGTAGAAAAATACTTGTATTTCTTATTTTCTGAAAAGAGAGGTTTCATTAATGACAGTTATGACAGGACGCGAACAGTTGGAACGAGCGTCGAGCATTATCTCGCGGGTCGTCGCCCTAGGTCGCCGGTTGCTCGTCGAGGTCGAGGTTTACACACGCAGAGACGTAGACAACGTCCTCGCAAGTTCGCAGCGCAGGGTTTAGAGTAAACCGGGGGTAAAAGGGGATGTGGGGAACTGACGGGTTCTTCGGAAGGTCGCGGCGAGGACCTCGAAGAGGACTCGAGCGGTGCTCGCGAATCTCGACGATTTCTCCCACGTACCGCTGCCATTCCGTATTTCATGTCGACCGATCGAGATCACGGTACGAGATACAATGTAAGCGCAATTGCTATCACAGAACGATACACGAGCTAATTCTATGGGACTATTTTAAGTAAATCGGGGAAGGAGACGAGATTTATTAACGTACGGCGGGAAGGAGGAAGGTTGAAAGTACTTTGGAGAGGAACGGCGCTGTCCGGATTTTTTTTTTTCAAAATTCCCGCTTCCCTCTACATTCGATTATTGGCCCGCCGGAAGGCAAAAAGGCGTATCAAAGAGCGTCGAATCGTGAGTGAAAATTGTCAAAATTCTTACACAGAATTTAGTAACGGGGTTTTTTTTTTTTTTAACACCAAACATCGAATATAGCGTGAAACTAAGACCTGTGTACATTAACTTGCACAACGGCGCTTTCGTATCGCATTAAATGGTCGAGGATGCAACGTCGAGTCTCTTTTCGGAATTGAGGCATTGCGTTAAGTTATTGTGCATTGGTCTTCCGTTTAAGACGCACACTTTGTACCGAGATTGATTTAATGCGAAGTTAAAAATAGACTGGAAGCGTTTTGTTGTACTGTCGGGCGATACATCGCAAGCGACGTTCGTTATGAGTTTTCGGGCAGATAAATGATCGAGGCGATAAAGATCCATCGATCAGATTGATCGATATGGACTTGCGCGTTATTTGTCTCGAGACGCGGAGATCGGCAAACGCGTCCAATTCGTCACATTCCACTAAAAAGTAATCGACGTTTCGTACTCGGTATAGAGGCAAGTAAGGTACCTCTTGGAACGTTGTACTTCACTAAGACAATTTATTTATTTCAACCATTTTCTTTTTTTTTTTTTATTACCAGCTCGGGACTGACGGACAATCCTAAATGTTCCAGTCATTTTGTACAAGATGTCGAAAATATAATCGTGCGTTCTCGTCGAAAGATATAAAAGTTCAACCTCGAGTTGTACATTGTAAAATTTGGCTATGAAATAATAGACATTGGGCACATAAAAAAAAAAAAAAAAAAAATTGACCGAAGAGAGAACGAAGCCTAAACATTGACTTACTTTAGTATCTTTAATTAGTGCACGAACAAGTGCGACCAGAAATCATGGAAACTGAGATCAACAAATAATGCACAAAATATTTTCGGGGAAGTAATTTTTTTCCTCGTGGCCAAAGCCGCGGAAAGGTAACGTTAAAAGTTTATACGTAAAATATGCCATGATGTGCTGTGAAGGTAATTACCACGTACAAATGGGTGTCGGGCATGTGTGTATACGTATGTATATTAAATCTCAAAGCTGTGTTAAAAATTTAAAAACAGATCCGTCCCTCTATCCAGAAATGTGTAAAATTACCGGATGTCTTGCGACATTTTAGTACAAAGTTATTAAATACGTAATAGACGTTAACCAAAGGTAGCGCCTCCCAACCCATTATGTATGAATTTGAACACGATCATTTTGAACGGTGTACCGCCAGGATACGTACATTCTTATTCGAAAGATATTCGCACCTTCCTGGTGCTTTAACATTCGATAACCATTGTTATGTGCAATTATGCATTACCAAATACCCGATGATAACGAGTTGAATTAGAATTGAGGTCTATAGAATTAAAATAAAAAAATTAAACACGAGTCAAAGAAAATGTGACACCCTCGATCAGAGTCCCTAAGGTCGATTAATTTATCCGCGCTGTATGAACGTTCGATTTAAAACGACAACCAGTAAATTCAGTTAAATCGATGGAACCTTTCCCAACGCGTGGTCTTCCGAATATTTCTTAATATAAAGCACCGGACATTAATAGCTCACAATATCAGTCGATTTATAGAGACATTACTAGCTAGTACTTAAAAAAGTAATTGTATACAATTTCTGTCATTATCTATACAAATTCTTTCTATGTACAAATTCAAGCCTATCGTCGTAATATGTGCCGACACATGCAATGACAGATCTCGAGCTCTCTCGATATTTACACACGTTATACTTTACATACGCTAAAAGTGTGCACATCGACTGACAACTCCCTATTTACACGCAATTAGTTAAACTTAAAATACGCGTAGGTTCATAAAAGGTAGCTCTGAATGGATCAATGGATGTTTTTTTATTTACCGAGTGAACGGCGTGAATTATATACAATTTCTTTTCCTTGACACAACAATGATTGAACTGAACATTACCGGGCCATCATCCTGAATGGTGGATAATAATAAATAAAGAGGGAAGAAGCGGGGTACCTTTTAACCCGAAGAAGGATAATTCGAACTTTAGCAATCTACGTAATTCACTTTTTACTGGTCTTACTCCTTAAGTTGATCAAAAAAGTGAGGCAAGGCGAACGGGTACTGTTTTCCTTCGATTGAAACCCAATCTGACGAATGGACGACTTTATCCTTAAGGGGGAAAAAAAAAAAGATATCGCTCAAACCCTGACGTTTCCAACCGGGGGTAAATGAATGATGACAATTTGGATCAAAAGCGTCTACAAATGTCGGTCTACCAGAAGTTACAGTCCCCACTCATACAACACGTTTATACTTTTATTACGACGAGAAAACGATTTTACAAGCACCGTGAAATTCTCGGGTGTATGAACAAAAAAAAAAAACGTAAATATAGGAAAGATATTCCTAAATAATCAGTACATAGATCGTGAGTTTGATGATTTAATGATTCCGAGTGAACTGAAACGCTTGAAATTAGACCACACACTTTGGACTACCCGTTTACACTTTACCCAGTACTAAGTTCAGGTGCAACATTTATCGAGATAACAAAATACTGTACCGTTGTTGCGGCGTAATCAAAAGTAGACAAAATCGGTCCGAAGACTAAACCGTTGACGTTCTTTCTCGACTTTCGTAATCCGTTCGTTTACCTACTTGTACAACTTGGAAGTTAGATAAGGTTCCTTCCCGGCCCTTCCGTTTTCTAAGGGGAAGTAGAAAATGTAAGCCGGTAAACAAATGTATCGAAATGCATCGACATAATATACGATAGCTATCGCTAAGCGTTACATCACGATATAATGCGAATTTTAATGTTTTAATCACTAAGGGACTTACAGAATTTCAAAGAACATTGTAACCAAGACGAAATTGCAACCAAAAAGTACGTCGCCTTAAGTCGATCGGTCTTCTCTTAGAGAAATCAGTTTTGCGTTACCATAAGTATATTATGATAATACACAATGCTTTCAATTACAAAACGTTAAGTTTTAACGCCAGCTAGTCGTAAACGGTGCCGGAGTTCTAATATTGACAGCTACTATTACTTCACGCACTACATGTAACATCACGCGTGCATCTTGCGATGCCTCATCATGAACGGTGGAATCGAATCCTACACGTGTATTCCCATGTATTTTGTGTGTCATATATACGTACACGTATATAACGCACAAAACGATTATTACACCACATATTACGCACTATAAAATGTGTTCGGGAGTTGTGAAGGATAAATTACTTTTGTGCTTTACCTTGCGACCTTGCCTCTTGGCAGCCTTCCGCGAAGCTTTCGATTCTCTGGTATCTTGGACCGTTTTGTTGATGCCCAATCTGAATCGGATGGGGAGCTTCGGATCCAGAACGGTTTCATCTGGAATTAAAAAGAGAAACCAACGATTATACCGAGGAAATTCCTCAGCTCCTTGTTCCAATTCGAGCATTGATTAGAACTTGATCGAACCTTCGGAATCGTGCAACTCGGATGCAGGACGATGGAGCACCGTTACGCGCCTCGCTTCCTTTTGATTCGCTGTAGAAGTAGAAATCCCATTTAATCTCGGTAAATTCGGTAAACGATTGAACATCGAGGAGCTCGAACACTTACTTTTCTCCTCGGTTTTCGCCGGGTGCCTCCTGTTCGCTTTCGCGTTGTTCTTCACGACCCTGAGGAACGAAGGGAAAGGGCGATTAAGATTATCGAAAGAGATCGGGTATCGTCGGGATCGGGAATACTTACTCGTTAACGACGCCTTTAAACGCGGACTGCAGAAGCCTGGCGGATTGGATCGGGACGGCCCGGTTGAGCCGCTCGGCTCGCCTCCGGCTAAGTTCGGCACGCAAATCACCGTCCTCGTCGACGGTCGAGTCCGCACTGGCCTCGAGAGTCGCCGAGGTGGTCTCGTTTTCAAAGGTAACATCCGCTTCCTCGCTGAGCTCGACGTCTTCGGGCGTCGTCGACGCCGCAGGCTCCTTTCGCTTCCTGCACTTCTTCTCTTTGCCGATGCGCTCGGAAAGCGGGAGTTCATGCTTCGGCCTGACCGCCTGGTAGAGCTCTTTATCCTTCTTTTTCTTCTTCTTCGAGGTCCTCTCCTTGGCCGATCTGACGGGCTCGACGTCTACGGGGCCGGCTTCGTCCTCGGGTGCCCCGTCCTGCCCTGGGAGGGAGGATGCGTCGCGATCGAGGACTTTCTCGGATCCCGTCGCCTTGGCGGCCGCCTTTACCTTCGTCCTCACCTTGGACGGGTTCCTCGGAGCGGAGGAAGGTTCCGTCGCCTCCGAGGGCACAACGGGAACGGTCGTGCTCTCCCTCTTGCTCAATTTAATCTTCTTGTTGGCGAGAAGGGGATCGATCGGCCTCGCTGACTCGAACTTGCGCCTCCTGGCTTCCAGGACCGGGTCGGAGCTCGGATGCTCCCTCGAGGTGGGCTCGTCCTCCTTGCGTCGGCTCGCAGGACCCGCGGATACCGAAGACGAAGGCTGCGCCGCCTGAGAAGCGGGGGCGGATGGAGCAGATCCGGCTCTCTCTGGACTGAGGGACCGTCGTTCTCGCTGGGTTCGCGGAGCTTCCGGACGTCCGTCCCGGTCTCTGTCTCGCGGAGACCATCCGGGAGACCTGGGTGGTCTCCGCCTGGTGGGCGAAGCGGGCGAGGCGCTTCCGGGTGATGCCGACCACGGAGAACTCCTCTGTTGGCTCGGAGCCGACGCCGGGGACCGATTCCAGGGTGCCCCGGGTGAGCGAGGCCGTGACCGTCTGCTCGGCGATCTGCTTGCCAGTGGGGAGCCGGGGGACGACCTCGGCACCCCGGATCCCAGCGGTGATCTTCTCGGAGACCTGTGTCTAGTTGACTCTTTGAGCACTTTTCTTGAGTGTCTCGGCGGAGATCGTTTCGGCGATCTTCTCGGCGACTTCTTTCGCAGTTTAGCCTTTGGAGAGAGCGACCTTCGTTTTCGAATCGACCGACTCACTCCGCGCGGGGACACCGACCTCCGTTCCGCCTTCTTTCCCGGACTTCGCGTTGGATCCAGGGGAACGGTGGGACTGCTACTTTTGTTCCTCACGCTGAATTGTTCCGAATTCGTCTTACGAGTATCGCTCTTGGTTGTTACGCGCGTTCGCTTTGATTCTCCCGAGGATTTCGTAGACTTGGTCTCACTTTTCCCCGTTGACTTATCCACGTTCATTTCTCTCTCCATTTCGTCCATTAGGCGTTCCAAACTGTCCTCTTCTTCTAGGTCGGCCATTAACAGAACGTCGTCATCGTCGTCCTTCTCGCATTCCGTTTCCTCTTCGTTCTCCTCGATTTGAGCTAGACCCTCCTCGATGTCGCTTTCGTGCTCTTTGTCCATTGGCACGTCGACTTCTGCATCCGTTGCTTCTTTCTCCATGGTTTCTGATTTTATCGTCTCCTTTACTTCTCTTACTTCCTCCTTATTATTATACCTGGTTTCGTCTTCGTCTGAACTTATATTGTCTTCGTATCGATAAAACTTTGATACTTCTACAAAAAAATATACTAGTCAAATTTAAGGACTGGTACTTTTAAGACGAGCTGTACGACATATAAAATAAGTTATACCTTCAGACTTTACTTCGTCAACCTTCTGTGGAGATGGAGGAGGTTCCGGTTGGCATCGTGAAATGCTTTCATCCACAGGAATTATAGCGATTAAATTTGGATTACCTGGGCTTTGGTAATACAAATTCTGATAAAAAAAAACAAATAATATAAGGGTAATTTCATAGGTATGAATGGTTTAATACAAGAAAAATATATTCCAAAATGTCTGAATAATGGTTGACATTTGGAACGGTATTTGTAACGCATGGCTGTCGGAACCTTGAAGCGGTCAATAATCGTAGACATGCTTACCCCATTTTGCCAATGGAGCGTATTTTGGTAGTAACCCCTTGGATGAAATTGTTGGTTTCTTTGATGGGTACATGGTACACGCGTAATAGGTCGAAGGTGGGACTGCGGTAATGGCCGAATCTGTTGTTTGTTACGAAGAGTATCCTTGGCACGTAAAGATCGCAGTGCCGCTAATCTTAATGCCTCTAAATCCTCCTCGTCGTCCTCTTCTTGCTTATATCGATCGGGGCCTGGTACAACCATCTGAAAATCCGGGTAAATAACGAGTTACCGATCTCAAAAATTTGTAACGAATATTTCCGTCTTGCTAGAAAATTCGAGACTTGTTAAATTAACAAATTATTCTCAGGCAGCCAACTGGTATAATGGTATTACGGTATCACGAGTTAAATCTTCCGACTAAGTACGTATTCCGACAAAAATTAAACCGTACACAGGCTCACCTTTTGGCGATAATCCATATTTCTAGGTTCATAAACTGGAAAGGATCTCAAGTTTTTCGTGTGAACCTGAGGACTCAGTGGAAGCATTAATGTCGCCACTTGGTTAACTTTGAACGCGTCGCTTCTTGTTGGATACCGTCAAAGCTCATTTCGGGCTACATGGTTTATTGAAAGAATTCGCTGTTAACAACAACGAAATGATTAATAATTTTCTGCACGGTATTGCTTATTTCGTTACCCCCCACCAAAGGTAAATAAAAAATGGCGTGCGAGCGCAGCAAGCGAAAGGGAAGCACGAATCATCCAAGCACAACGTTCACTTCTCTGTTCCTTTTTCAGATGGCTTCGACGCATTGGCAAACAGCGCCACCAATGGAATTAATTCTTAGGCCTCACTACGTTATCGACATAGTAGCAATACTTTTAGAAATAGAATAATAGGAGTTCGTTGCCCGACCGCTAGATGGCAAATACGGATGTGACGCTCCGGAAGTCGAAATAACGTATGAATCGATTTAAAACTCAAACTTCTGACTCGGACAAAGTTCAGCCAACTCCATTCAGCAGTCAAGCCAAATCCTAGAAAATTACATTAGGCAGTCAATTGTGAAAATTTTGAAGTGCTAATCTCTCTAAGGACTATACCGATCACATTATGGAACAAACGAGAAAAAATCAAGCATGAACTCCAATAATCGCGGCAGCAAGGTCAGTTAGCAACAAACTCAAGTGGTAATGTATAACCGTAAAAGCTTAATAAAAGTTCGTATGTTATGCGAAAATATGACTACTGAGTAAGGTAAATTCGTTATTTTAATATTTTCAGTCCGAAAAAGAGACGTGGGCGCAATCTGTAACAACCGTGACGCCGCAAGAGCATGGCACGATTCGGACCATCACGAGTGACACTGTCGTTTCTGGATCATCGGAACTTCCTCTTGAGACCGATCCCGCAAATTTCAGCGAGCGAATTCCTATCATCGCGAGTCAGCCTCTCATCGACCCTCAAGAACTCGAGGATAATTATTCGGCTGACAAAGAATGCCAGACTTATTTGCAAGGTGTTCCAAAGGTAGTGTTGCCGGACGAGTGCGTAGACGAAGCTACGCAAACTGTCTACATTGGCCGGGACTGTCGAACCAATATTTCTCTTCTGCAGCCACTTCGGGATGTCATCGGTAAATTACCCTTTTCCTATCACGAATTAGAATATTGACAATACATATTTAGGAATTAAATATTTAGCTTCTGCAAATGACGCGGAATTTCCGGAAATAAAGAAGAGCGAGATGGTGCAGACAATAACGACATTCAAGCCATGGTTTGGGCTCGACTCGACTTCGGATTTTAACATGGAAGACGCAGCCATAGAGATCTTAGGAATAGATATCACCGAGGAAGAACATGACGACGACAGAATTGTCGTCAGAGCCGAGGAAGAGAAAGAATCCGAGATCGTCACAAAAGATTTCCTCGACTTCGTAGTCGCCAGAACGCTTTGGATTTGTGAGCCAAAATGGACATCCCAGAAAATGGCTAACGCGAGGCGAAAGGACGAAGGCACGCAAACTCGTATTAAATATGACTATAGAATTAAAAGATTTATTTTCGATGCCGAGATGCAGACCGACTTGTCATGTGGGCCTAAGACATCTACGTCTCGTTTGTTGGACGAGTATTGGGAAATGAGAAATTCGATTAAGACTATTGTAGACGACTGTTTCATGAAAGGGGTCTACCCACGAATCGTTGTAAGTAGTATAAACATGAGTGGGTAGAATAACCAATTTTTCCTCAAATGTACTACCTTAATACTCGAAGCAGATTTTTTGACTTCACGATGGTACAGAATATCGCGATTCCGAAATATATAGATAGACGAAACGGTTAACGGATTGCTGGACCAGTGTGCGAAGCATATCCACTTGCCACCAAAGGAAGGAACTGCTCAAACAGTGGCTTCGTTTGGTGTGGGCTTTAATAAAGAAGAACAGATTCTAAACAAATTAAAATTACCACTTGTGGTCGACCCCTTGGAATCATCAGTCATCGTTATTCCTCTTCTTGACGCTGGACTCGAAGAAGTGTGTAATTTCGTGAAACAAGATGCGCTTATTATAGCAAATATTATACTTTCCAACCTTGTCTGTAAAACCGTGAAAATCGGGGCGAAGCTGCAAGACATTCGAGCAGTTCACTCAGTGTGTAAGTTTAGAAAATGTATTTTTCATTATAACTTTGAAATTTTTTATACCACAAATAATCTGATTATGTTATTTGATGATCCTTCCAGCTAAACCACCGATAGATGATATTTTCATTCTGCGGAAGAAAAAAATAAAGGAGTCAATGCAAAGAAGGAAAATGGAAAACGCGTCGACGCAAACGAATTTAGCAGGTGTGCCAGAAGTTGGGATGCTAGAAAAGTCGAAGGAAATGCCTTGCATCATTTGCAAAACACAATCACGGTGCTATGCTTGTGCGAATGAAGAGGAAGGGGTCGAACAATCAGTTCTAGGGAAAGGAAGTCTAACGACTCGAAACATTCTCCTGGCATATGATCCATGTTACTTTGATGAAACACATTTAAAACAAAAGAAAATACCTTTTCTTGAACCCGGAGACTCTCGATCAACTGACAACGTGAAGGGACCATTCATCAAGACACTACCCATAGGACTTACAAAAAGATCTATAAAGAAAGAAGAAATCAAGGAAATCGAACAAAAACCCTTCAAGATATCTCGAAAACTTCCTTCTCAGGGTACGTGAAACATTGTTAAATCGATACATATATATTTATTGAAACTGCATTTTTTATATCACAGGTTCTTTAAACTCATGGATACATACAGTGGATACGTCGTTAAACACTGCATGGACGACTCAGGGTAAGATCAAATAATAATTAATTTTCAATGACAATCTGTAATTTGTGATATATTATGTGACAGTGTAAGGTGTATAAGTGGTATCATGCATCAGTAAACTTATACTTTAGATTTTAAGATCAATGAAAGAAAAGCCTCGTCGACTACTTTATCTGTGACTTCAACTTCATCGACCCCTACACCGAGTCATTTACTGCCGTCAACATTTGACCATAAAACTGCTGGACGATGTCAAGAAAATGCAAATCTACTGGCTTTAAAAGCACTTCACATTTTAAAAAATGCTTGTTGCACTCCGCACTCTTGTGCAGTACTAAATCAAAAAGTGGGTACAAAACAAGTAGGATATAATCAACAGCCAAGACAGTCAAAAAGAAGTTGGCGCCAGGCCAAAAATAATCAATCCAAAGTAGTTGGAAAGTCGAAGGAGGATGATTTTACGGTTATTCCTGTTAGAATGATATCCGATTCTGAATTGTAATTATTACCTTTCCTTGTATATTATAGTGTAGCTATGACATGCAATGATTCAGCTTTTCCGAAATTTGTTTCCTGTATCAAATCGATCTAAAAAATATGCATTAACAAGAAGTAATTAACTCTTGGTAATTTATTTATTAACAGAAATAACATTAAGTAAATGTAAACGTTGACATCACATTACGAAGTTGTACATTATTGAACGTTTGCATAGCGTCGCTTTTGTAATCGATGCATTTTACACTAAATGTAAATGCAACATAAAATAATATAAGTTATTGTCACTGTTAGTGAGAATCTCAGTGGAAAATCTCGTCTCAAATATTACAAAAATATTTGTAAATTAACGGCTACTGCCACTAACATAAAATACACGTGTCATCTATACAATGTGTTTAATTCAAAACAGTCGTAATATTTTCATTATTGTATTTTCGAACATGAAATATTTGTTGTGTCCCATTCACTTTGCGCTGTAGCCAGTGATATGGTAATGGGAATCCAAGTTTGGAGAAACATTATGATATAAAGAAATGAGATAAATAATGTATATTGTACACAACGATGTAAAAAAAAATAAATGATTTCAATGCAACACTGTTTTCGCTATTCGCACAGTTATTTTCATCGTGTGCAATGAAGGTAACCCTATGGGAAGTATATTAGCGCTTGAAAAAATACATAATTGTATATTTTATTTTTAATCAGCGCTTTTTTTTATTAAAGTGAAGAACTTGCTAACAGTTTATTGTAATTTTTACATTATGAAATAATACAAGACTCCGAGTATGAAAATAACAAGTAATGTCTCATCATTGGTCCGACATGAAATTGTAATGAAATATATGATTTGACACGTTCTTTGGAAATTATATACCACTAATTTCGATAGGATACTCCACCGTTCACAGGATGCCATAATATCAATGTTGCAAAGCTATACAATATGATGTGTTTGTGTGTGTAATACAATGTGAAATTCAACGAAATAATTACGAATCACATTTACGAAAATCGTCTCTAGTCGTACACTCAATAAAATAAAAATCTTCAGATCAGACATTAATAATTTCACATTGATATTGCTTCAAAATGATAATTATCAACTTTCATTTTTACCTGCAGTTTTTTTCAGATATTAAAGGCGTTCATTCTCTTGTTCCTCGGTTTCAGAATCCTTCACCGCGTTCATCTGCTTTTCCTCCTCGTCACTAGCTGTTTTAGCTAGATCGTTCCAGGGTTGAATCTCGGCAGAACCAAGTAACCAAAATATTACCGCCGCCGAACTAAATACTGCCGCGGAGATCCAAAATATAACGCGCCATTCCTCGATACCATTCTACAATAAAAAAAAACGTAACATATTCAACTTATCATTTTCGAGATACAACAGCTGCGAAAATTAACATACTCTTTCATTTGTAAGGGCACCGATAATCGGTGGAATAATGAACCCAGGAAAGCTACCAAAAGTATTCATAATTCCATAGAGCGAGCCGGCAAAGTTTGGTGCGAGGTCTTGATGATTTTGTAAACTAGTTTGACAAGCAGCACCGTTCAATAACAGTGACAATATCAACATTATAATGGCAGTAGTAGTATCGCAACCGGCATAAGTCATTGCCAATAGAGCTACGGCTGGGCCGACGTGTGCTGTAAATGAATTATATATCATTGTAAATGCTATACAGATCGCAAAATCGACGTGAAATATGTAAACTACTCGCACGATAAAAGGAGTTACATAATAGTTCCCATTCGCTTACAGAAGATCATAAATGATCGTCGAATCCAAGCCACGGTCAATATTTTCTTCTTTCTCAAGTAATCACCCGCAGCCGCAAACACGACACCAGATCCCAGTCTGGCAATATAGGGTAATCCTGTTATAGCGCCGCCCTAAAAAAATCATCGAGCTGGATGGTCCTTTAACTTTGATACTATAACCCTGGGACACTTGTCAGTCGCTCGTACACGTTACTTACCGATTTCATGTCAAACCCAAGAACTTCCAATGTGTATTTGGGTCCATTCGTTGCGATGAAATAAATCCCCCACATGTTTGCAAAATGAGCCCACATTAGAGCTAGGAACGGCACAGAAGTTGCGACTGCTTTCAAAGGAAGTTTCACCTAAGGAAATGGACATAATGACTCTCAAATTAAGAAACTACTATTTAGGCACTAAAATCGTCCGACATATATGTCATTGCCCCCGAATTATGCGGTACCCACTTTTTGTTTTGAAATCGTAGAGCCTATTTGTTCCTTAATATAGGCTTTCTCCTTTTCGGTAATGCCGGGATGCTTATCAGGCGTGTCATAAATTAAATACACCCAAAGAACAAAGAATACTAATATGAGACTACTGGTAACATAATATGAGGTTTTCCACCCATATTCGGATATTATATGTCCGCAAAGGCTGTAAGTTACCCAGGTTCCAAACGGCCCACCTTAAAACCAAGATCTAAATTAAAGTTAAATAATTAGCAATTTGGCATTTATTTTATAAAATACTGCACACCTTGCATCGTCCAAACGAACATCCCTTTTTCGCCGGGTGGAACCCATCTAGCCACCATTGCATGTAGAGCAGGATAAACGGCTCCCTGTGAAAAGATAACTATTACTTGCTGAAATAAATTTCTTCATCCTAGCCTTCCTGAAAGCAAAACGAGTCCGCCCGTATTTAACGAGCACTTGAAATAAAATCGGATTATCGTAAGAAAATTGAGTAAAGCGTTTTTTAAACGACGTGAACTGTATGTATAATTAAAAAGTTGGATAACGTTAAACGTTTTTATGCAACGGTTTCATTATTTCAAGTACTGCTTTGGTTCCCCTACCGTTAAAAATAAAGTGCTGCGCGTGGGAAGAACGATTTCAACCTGGGGTAAACTTACTCCAAAAAATCCCATGAGAAAACGAAGCGTAAATACAAAGCCGTAGTGTACAGAGGCTGCCCACGGCATCAAGAGATTCAATACTGCAGGAATGAAGGTTGCCAATCTATGTCGTAAAGGAGACAAGCAGGTGCAATTAATTATTCCGCTATGCAAGGTTGCACGGAAAGAAATTCAAAAGGTCTGCCGATTCTAGCTCTAGAATTGAATTTACCGCAGACACTATTAATTGCACGGGTCAACTACTCTCTGGGTGTTTTCAGAACCTTAAGGGGTAATCCAAAGCACACCCAACTATGTGATACCATACCATAGAAATCAAAGTAATCGAGTATTATATTACGTACGCAACAACTTTGGCTCCGCCGTATTTTTCGGCGAACATCCCTCCAGGCATACTAGCTGGCAACACTCCAAAAAAATATCCCGATAGAAGCAATCCTTGGATGTGCTGGTTCCATTCAAATCTCTCGCCATACTAAAAACAACGTCGCACTTGCACAATTAAATCGTGTCTATTAAATTCTGAATTAACTTCCCACCGCGTTAAATAATTTTATTAATACGTACGTCGGGCACTTCTTTGGGACCGGTACTGTTGAGTAATTGGTCGGTACAATAAGGTCCCTTTTGTTCTCCTCCTGGACTGGTCACGTTGACCATGGCGACGATGTTTATGGCCAAGTTGGTACGGATCATGTACGAGAACATACATGCCAGGAACATCATAGCACCCAGGATACCTCGGCGGGGTATCCTCTCTGTTAAATACAGTAATCGTATTAATGTTTACCACCATTGTATAATTAATATTTTCCTTGGTTAATCTACGACAATGGAAAATATGAGTTTTCATCCCCGGCAACTCGTGTCCTTTAATTAGTGTCTACATTCTTTTAAGATAGGAGTCCGTGAAAAGTTCCAAAGCGAAGGTTGTCGAGAATGGAAATCCTCTCTGGATTGTCCATGACATCGTTTTAGCCCTTTTTTAACATAATTGTCCAGCATTAACCCGCGACACATATTCTTCATTGAGTTTCTCAGAAAAGCATCATTGTCTCTGTCCGCACGGCACATTCCATTTATCTCGTCCGGAGCAATGTCTCATTCCCATGTTAATATTCCCAATTAAAAGTAGAATGAAATCGCATTTCCAAATTTTATATAGGATAAACTTTTTATAAAATAATCCGTTTCCTCGGCATTGGGCCCGTCTTTGGCGCACTTCTTCGAGCCCGACAAATTCCAACGACGAAAACAGTTAATGTCCAGCCGAGGTCAAATGCTCATAATGGCTGGTCAACGGTAATATTTTCTATTTATTCCGATTGATGTTTGCTGCGCATGAACGACTCGTCTTCGGTGATAACGAAAAATGATAATATTTGCACCGCACGTCGCGCGTCATAATCCTCCAAGTACTATCCGACTTCACTCGTAGGAGCATATTTAGCAAACGAGGCCTTCGAAGCACGTCACGTTTAAGTATTACGAGCCGGAAAATGTAATCGCAGGACATCCGGCAGAAATCAATTGCGAAGATGCTTCACGATTTTTTCCCACAGTATAATTTTGAGCGACCTTACAGAAACGGGCTACGACCCAAAAATAATCCCGCCTGAAGGCCGGTTAATCAAAAATAGATCGTTATGGTAATCCTACGGAACCGAATGCTACGTCAAGGCGATTGGTAGTCAATCTGGTAACCGGATGAAATTGCATATCTCATTCTAGCGTCCTCATATGTGCCCATAATTATGAAAGTGGTCTAAGTCATATATTTTTTGTTTCGAAATGACATTGAATTAATTTCGTTTGAAATAATATGGCGTGAAATAACTGATAAACTCATTTTTTTTTTTAATTTTGACTTAGACCACTTTCATAATTATGGGCACATATGCAACAAGGAGAAAGCAAAGTAAGAGTCGAGAGTACAGGACATTGCATCAGCCATCGATTCGCTTTTCTTCGAACGAGTCAAGGGCATCTCAATGGCTTTCGCAAGGTCGATCAGGTAACTTATATCGATCCAATATCTCGCGTCTGCGTCATATCGTTGACGACACCACTGGATTATCGAATTATATTCTGGTGACGTTTATGTAGAGAATGCTGGGTTTACCATTCATAGAAGCGGAGTAATTCAAACGTAATGTATTCGCGCTGCTTCCGCAAACATAGATTCACGTAACGCATTCCGGGAATACGGCTGGTAAAAAAAGAAAATAGGAAAGATCCAATGGAGTCGCAAGGTCGGCCATTCGATACGGTGACGCGAATAAACCGAATAAATCTTCCTAACCGAAATAACCCGGTCAATTAGATATATCGCTGGCAAGATTCCTACGTTAGACCGTATAATGCATTCTGCTTAGCATTTTTAATTTATCGCAGTTCGTCATGTTTATCGCTGTATCTCGTACGTAGAGATTTTTCAATAAACGACTCGACAAGTAATTAATTCAGATTACGAATAATCTGGAGTGAAAAAAAGTTCAGCGATTAGTTCAGCTTCTCTCAATGTTACCACTGAGTTCCGTGTTTTTTGCCTGCCTCTGGGTTCAGCATCTCAAAATAAATGTTTATATTAAATTACCATTGCGGATACGAGGAAAGGAAATTCATATCGAACAGGAATGTTTGCTTATTCAGGACATATCGTTAAGAAATATGTACTTTTAGATAACATTCTGTAAGATAGGGCCGGCATGTAGGAAAAAATTCGCCATGGTTGAGATAAAATTGTCTTGACGTATGTCGAGGTTCTCCAGGCTGCAGATTTGTGAATTGGCTTGCGGATCCGTAGAATGGCGCGGAATTATGCAAAAAGTCAGAGGATGAATTAAAACTTGGAATGGGGAGAAGAGCCGAACTTTACCGTTAAGGTCTCTTATGTAGTCCATGATTTAGCTGATTGTGAATTCAAGGAAGTCGTCGAGTTCTGCACGGTCGTCTATCGAAAATCAAGGTCAGTGGTGAGGTCAGTTTGCCAAGGCTGCGACGATGTCGAACTCGGTTGATTTCCTCGGTGAAGGACGAACAGTTCTTTGCACCAGGACGAAGCCTGCCGAGGTAGCACGCACCGTAGCACGAGCTAACGTAACAAGGCTCGGGCGTCACGTCGGTTGTCCATTTCGCACGAGGCCTTCCCACGCGCGATCTGGAAATACCAATTAAACGTTTATCTCGATTTCAACTTGACATACATATTTATCTTTACAAACATATAGTGGCTATTTAATGGACTTCGACCAAAGTGTTTACATGGTTCGCTCTTTGTGAATTGATGCTCGTATAGCAAAAGAATCAAGGTACGATGATTTCAGTTTAATCTTAGGTAATATAGTTTTTTAAACCGTATAAATAAAAACCATGGAGAGATGGCAGTAAAATGGAACGTTTTTTTAGGTAAATTTGCAGGTAATTATTTCTGCACCGCCAGTTCACGATCGATAGATAAATCAACTGTATTTAAGAGTTTCGCCCGTTTTTGCTGACTCAGTCTTCACGCCTGAATTTGTCATGCATGTTTTAGATTCCACAATTAAGGTCATAATATTACATGCTCACTTTATTGCTTCGCTGCATGGCTTTATTACAATTCATCGCTTGATTTATTTTTGTCCTAAATGTTTGTCGGCTACGCAGAAGTCAATGAATAAGATATTATCTGATTCATTGGATAAGTGGTATACATATACATTAAGTGATCACAAGTTGCATAATGTAAATAACGTGATATGGGTCAAGTTCATGCTTTGAAAGAATTAAAAAAAGGTGTATGAATTTCACTTATGGTATCGAATGTTTGTTCAACGTCGAGGTGCTCTTTTTCTTACAGGGAATATTTATAATAGCTTTGAGCGATAATTTCGTATTTTTAAATTATCTTCTTATGACTGACCGTTATTGTACCATCTTACTGCTTCTAACATTACTATACCCATGTACATGAGTGTACAAGCATTTTACACTAGATTATTCAATTTTATTTACAAACAGAGGTTCAAAATATTATTTCAAACAATTTTCTTAGTTTCTGTCAAATTCGGCGTGTCGACCAACAAATGATGAAACTGACGCTCTTTTTCGAGGAATGATGTAACGTTTTAAATTTTCAAGCAGTCGTGAAAAGGTTACCTTAATTACCCTATCTAGGAATTCAGGAGCTTCTCTAGAAGTTAAATAGCATGTTAGTCGACTGATTAGCGGCGCTGCAATTATTCTTTCAGCTTATTTAATCTTAGGTAATACACAATGGATGATATGTTCCTAAAATTGCTTGTCAAATATGGCACGTATGACACGTATCGCCAATATGTCGAACACAAATTAACGCAACGATTCGGATAACAGCACAGTCGAAATACTTCAAGCTTCAAGTTTCAACGTTAACCGATTTATTCATAAACAGAGATTAATTAAAATCTCCGAATCGAAAATCCAAACGGTTATGTATGTATATACCGGTTTCACCACTTGTAGCACATGTTAGGCTATGCGGCGAAAAATTACGAACATTTACGAACATTTACGAACGTTTACGAACGGTTACGAACACCTGCGGAAATGTGTATCTAACCTCTTTTCTCTGACGTACGGCACTGCAAGCCACTCTCCACGCCGTTCACAATATCCAACTGCGATGACTGCGTTCTCCACTGGACGTTCCTTTTCGACGCATTTTCAAATACTATGGATGGGTGACTCCGCCTTCCGGCACTGATCGGCACTAAAAGACACTGAACGCGCCGACCCTGTCTGAACTCGCAGAGGGTCACTACGCCATATGGGTCGTAACTGTTGCTTTCTGGTCACGTAGTCAATTTCAAGAAAGCTTGGGATAAAACATGCTATTTTAAATGAAATATGAAAAATGACAATTAGCGAGCGTATTTTTAAAGTATCCAACGCCACTTTCGACGATGCTTCTTTTATTGTCTTTTCCCCAATTTAAATGTTTTAAGTACAGCTACTACCCAAGAAATTGTGTCATGCACGAGGCATGAATTTTTTCTTTTGAATGCGCAACTATAAAATTCCTAAAAAGATGTTCTTCCCAGCGATGCTTGATGCGTTATAAAAAGGAAGGCGTGTATCGATTATAGTAAAAAATACATATCTTAAAGTACATGAGATGTAATGAAGCTTGCTTATAAGAGTATTATTGGCAGTGTCAACATCCGCTGGTTTGCTTCAAGCGGCTAAACTGGTACCACTCCTTTACTACCCTACACTGATCCTAACAGTATCGTAATAAAATAGACTTCACGTTCATTTATTAGCTAGGATTGCGCGTTTCTTCCTTAACCCATTATCCGCCACATGCAATATAACCGAAAACCAATAAATTTAGTCGGCATATCGTGCCCAAATAATGAGTTAGGTGTTATTTCCACCAGTTTGCATTCGACGAATATTTCTTTTTATGTTACATTCAAGTTATCGAAAGCAAACGGGACCAAGCTCGACCCAAAAACTCTGATCAGGTTTGCCGACGTCCCTTAAACCAATGTCCAGTACAGGCAGCCTTACGGATTTGTCGGTCTCGTAGGTAATTATCGTTTCGCCCCATTGCGCGTTTCGCAGCTGAAACAGGAACGCCATATCATTTACTGAACTGGCGATAATTATACACGGTGGTTTAAAATAGAACAATTACCCTGCACTCGTCCGAAATCACTTCGTACCGCAGGCGCAAATTTCCTCGTGGCGTCAGCTCGACGTCGTTCCAAGCCAACAGTTTCAAACCTTTCCTGTAGGTTTTTCGCTCGGAGTCGAAGTAAGCTACCGAGTTTTTACAGTGGTACGTCACGTTCTGCTGAGCATGGCTCGACAGAAGTTGCAAGAAACCGATTTGATTGCTGTCTGCTTTATAAGTAATCTGCAACGGATAATTAATCGCAAATTAGTACTTATATAGTAAAGAAGAGAAAAAGCTGGTCATCCGCAGTAGACCTCTATTAGCAGACTGACATATTCTACACGTTATTACCTTCATACCCTGATCCATTTCACTTAACCAGATTTCCTGACCACCTCCGACATAATTAATTTCCGGTGAACGGGACGGGTCTGGTAAGATACAAGTTTTCCTCTCGGCGGCGTCACAGTGAACCAAAATGGCGTCGCGCGCATCTCCCTCGTTCGGGTCGATCCAGTATTCGCCTTTAAAAGTTGACTATATTAGAGGTGTCCGAGGTGTAAAATCGGCTTCGGAAGCACCGTTTAATTAAAAAAATACCTGATGATTTTTTCGGATATGCTGCAAAGAGATCTCTACAGGTCTTAGCCGGTGATGCTTTCCCGCCATCGGGTTTAACGAGTTTCTCGAAGGAGGTTTTTAGCCTATCGTACGTTTTCATGAGGATTTCCCTTCGTTCCGTTGAAGACAAATCTTTTCCAAACATCCTTGTTGGCTCGTCGCCGCTTAACGGATCAGGACCTTTGCTTTGTCCCATGAGTGCAGCCAAAGAGGCGGCATCGTATCCAAAGCCTAGCGCTTCTCCAGGGGGGCCAGGAGGTCCTGGAGGTCCTGCAGGACCTGGCTGACCGCGTCGACCTTCCTCTCCTGCTGGCCCTCTGAGTCCTGGATTTCCACTGAGTCCTATAGGACCTGGACTGCCATCGCGACCTGGACTTCCTCGGATACCCGGTTCCCCGTCTTTCCCTGGTAGTCCTGGCATTCCAGGCATGCCCTTTTCTCCGGGATAGCCAGTTGGTCCTGGTAGACCTTGAAGACCGTTCAACCCCCGGTGTCCTTTAGATCCTTTGGGGCCTAAATCGCCGCGATCGCCCTTGGCTCCTTCCCCTCCTGCTGGACCAGGTTTTCCACGAAGACCCTGAACGGATGAAAGCACATAAGTTATTAATAAAAACGTGATAAAAATCCTAGAAGTGTTGTATGTATATTAAGACGTAATGTACCTGTTGTCCTTCGGGACCCTGAGGACCGTTCTCCCCTCGAAGACCTCTTTCCCCGGCAGGACCTGAGGGACCTGCGTGACCAGGTGGTCCCTAAGTAACATAAAATTAATCGACCATATTGTAACGTATCAAAACTGATACACATTTTCATAATTTCATATGGTAAAAGAGCCTACAGGTAAACCTGGTGGCCCTGAAAGTCCTGGAGCTCCAGCTATGCCGGGTGGTCCTTTGTCGCCTGGTCTTCCAGAGATTCCTGGAATTCCTGCTTTCCCAGGTGAGCCTTCCGGTCCTGATTCGCCGGTTGAACCTGGAGGTCCCGGTGGTCCTCCCAATCCAACTGGTCCTATGGGCCCTTCCGGCCCAGGTTTCCCGGGTGTACCGGGTTCTCCCTACAAATTTTTCTAATGATGGATACTGACCAAAACTGATAGTTCAGGTAGAATACCTAACATCCTTACCGTTGCACCCCTTGGTCCTCTAGCACCAATTGGTCCTGTTAATCCAGGGATGCCGGGTAAGCCTCTATCTCCGACAGGACCTTGAAGTCCTTGAGGACCCATCGAACCAGGCGGACCCTCGGATCCACTTTCGCCTTTACTCCCATCTGCGCCAGGTGCTCCTGGACTACCAATAGGGCCAGGATTGCCAGGACGTCCGGTATCGCCTGCGTGTCCTTTTAATCCCGGTAGACCTTGAGGTCCCGGTGGTCCCAGCGACCCTGGTTGGCCCTAAATACCGATATGGTTACCACTAGATATTTTTAAAGTCAAGTGGTCATGCATCGTTTATCTCATTACGGCAGATCCGGCTAATCCTGGTATTCCTGGAGGTCCTGCAATTCCAATTTCTCCTCGAGGTCCAATCTCGCCGCGAATTCCTTTCGCCCCGGTTAGTCCTATCGGACCAGGAGGCCCAATTTCCCCGGGAACCCCTAAAAATAATTAAACTATAAAATTATTTGCACAAATTAACATCGAGCACTTTATCATTTCTCATAATTAATTGAATTACCAGCTAGTCCAGGATTCCCCTGGTCTCCTTTAAGTCCTGGATAACCGCGATCTCCCTTAAATCCGGGAAGTCCTACGAGCCCAGGAGGACCCGGGAAACCTGGAGATCCTTGGGGACCCTGTGGACCTCTTTCTCCGGAACTTCCAGAAGCGCCGACTTCACCTGGAGAACCAGGAGGCCCGATGTCACCTCGTTCTCCTTGTTCTCCAGGAGTTCCAGGGAGTCCAACCGGTCCTTGTAAACCTCGGTCTCCAATGCGACCTAAAAATCAGCCGATTAGATCTATTCTGACGAGAGTTTAATGAGTTACGTACCTGGTGGTCCTTCGGGACCAGGAGGTCCGAGAAATCCTCTGTCGCCTTTTGGCCCCGGTTCTCCGGGAACACCTCTGATTCCTGGAAGACCAAGTAATCCCGATGGCCCCGAGTGCCCTTTATCTCCTTTGGGTCCAGGAGCTCCCTGAAACGTTTATTATTTCTTACGTATACGGTAAATAACGATTTTAAAAATAAATTAAGTACCGTGAAAATATAAGGAAATAAAAATGTGTGAATACTTACTGGAAAACCGTCAGATCCTTGAGCTCCTGGCTCTCCTTTGAAACCCCCGGGTCCTGGGAGTCCGGAAAAGCCTCTTTCTCCAGGAAATCCCCTTTCTCCTCTGACTCCTGGTGAACCTGAAGGTCCCGGTAGTCCTTGAACCCCCATTTCACCGTCTTTTCCTGGTACACCAGAAATTCCAGTATTGCCTGGAAGACCCTGATAAAATGTGAAATTTTTAGTAATAAAACGCATCGTGTCTTACTTCCTGTAAATGGCAGAAGGAATTCTTTTCAAAATTTACCTGAAATCCTCTAGGACCCACTGGACCTTGTGGTCCCCTTTCTCCATCAGCCCCCGGTGGTCCTGGCGGACCTTGAGAACCTGGAGGACCATCTTTCCCAGAATCACCTCTAGGTCCTGGTGAGCCTGGATTTCCAGGTTCGCCGTCTTTGCCGGGTTCACCCTATAAAATACACACGAGTCTAGTTAAAAAATACTCACATAAATCAATGTATTCAACGGCGAAAATTTTGTACATACTGGATAGCCTTTCTCTCCTGTAGGACCCAGTGGTCCAGGTAATCCCTGTAATCCAGGAAGTCCTTGTTCTCCAGGCTTCCCATCAGCACCCTGAATTCCTCGTTCACCAGGGTTGCCTGGTTTCCCAGGTCCTCCTGGACGCCCCATCAATCCGCGCGGTCCCTATAAAATATAATAAAAAAAAAAATATACATCTTTTGTTACACTTATGATTCTGACCAAAACATTTGCTAAACGAAAAATGTTGCGAACCTGTAATCCAGGAAGTCCGGGTCTTCCAGCATCTCCAGTATTGCCTTTGGGTCCAACAGGTCCAGGTGATCCTCGATCTCCACTTTGACCTAAAAAATATTGTATATAAAATGTCGTGGGTTAACGGCGACTCTTAATCGTATCGCTAAAAATATTATTAAAGTAAATACTGAATTACATATGTGATTAATTAAATATATGAAGGTGTGCTACCTTTGGGACCGAAAGGACCATCGGGTCCTGGGGGTCCTCGAATACCCGACACACCGCGTTCTCCAGGTGGACCGGAAGGACCGATAGGACCTCTTATGCCTCTTTTGCCTCTTTTCCCTTCACTTCCAGGAAGTCCTGGGAGACCTCGCGGTCCTTGTGGTCCATTGTCACCTTTAGTTCCAGCTTCGCCTTTGTATCCTCGTTCTCCCGGTAATCCCTTTGGCAAAAATTTGCCATTAGATGGTTACACGCATCCTTTAACACATCGCTTTTTTCAGTCATTAATCATACAGGCATTCCTTTGCTCCCTGGTGTCCCAGGAATGCCAGGAGCTCCAGGTTGACCACGAGCTCCAGGGAAGCCTGGGAGTCCGACAGCTCCCGTAGAACCGACGCTTCCCTTTTCGCCAGGAGTTCCGTCTTTACCCTGAGGTCCTTGAGGGCCTGATTCTCCAGGTTGTCCGGGCCGTCCCGATTCACCTGTCCAATTATTTCCAATTAATTATATGAAACCGATACTCGTTTTGCGATAAATCATACGATGTACCTCGAGGTCCTTGCAATCCTTGGCTTCCTTTTGGTCCTTGAGCTCCTTGATCTCCCTTTATCCCTGGAGATCCAGGAAAGCCTGGCGACCCAGGCTTCCCCATGATACCCTACAACATAATTAATTATTTTTAGATATAAATTACTTAAAAAAAAAAACGTAAAAAATTATACAGCGCCCTCACAGGCTGACCCGGAGTCCCTGACATTCCATCGATGCCTCTGATGCCTGGAGGACCTGGAGACCCTTCTCTTCCTCTCTCGCCTCGAGGACCAGGAGATCCCTACAATGGAGCCACGGTTACAAAATTCTCAATTTATTACACGACTGTATATCGCGGAATACGATTTAGCAATATGTCTTCATCGCTTTACAGTTTGTCCTGCGGGTCCCATCGGACCCGGTGACCCAGATGATCCTTTTTCTCCAGAGATGCCCTGCTCTCCTTTTGCGCCGTCCAGTCCTGGAAATCCTCGATGACCTTTCATCCCTGGAAGACCTGGTAGGCCAGGAAGCCCTCTAGGACCTACAGGACCTTGCGATCCAGGTGCTCCTGTTTCGCCATCCTCGCCTGGACTTCCCTGCCGATTAATAGTCATAAATTTTAGTTGAATAATTTAAGCTTGAAAAAAAAAATAGGCATCGATGCGTACATCCTTTCCAGAAAGACCAGTCACTCCACGAGGGCCCAAAGGTCCTGGTGAACCAGGAGGGCCTGGTTCGCCAGGCTCTCCTCGAGGTCCTTGGAAGCCTTGTGGTCCAGGAGCTCCAGGCGACCCTACAATATTTAATCATTTTTTTTTTTTAATTAAGACAGGGTACTCAATAATTTTTTTCGCACCTGGAGGACCACGAGGGCCGACTGGACCCACTTGAGCTTGTAGGTACGAATAAGCATCCGGCACCGAAAGTCCTGTTGGTCCTTTATCTTGAGCTGCCTCCGACAATGCTAGTTGCTGATAGTACAGGGACACCTGAAATTTAATGTCCGTCGTGGTAAAGGGAAAAGCTGTGATGTTACAATTATTTTATTAATTTTCCTTATTAATTAATCACTAAACGTACATCCGGAAGAGGTCCAGGTGGTCCAGGGGGGCCGGGAGTTCCAGGCGTTCCTGGTTGTCCAGGAAATCCTGAATCACCGCGACGACCTATGTCTCCGGGACGACCGGGTTCACCCTAAATTACACGATCGAAATTACTCCTCGAATCTTCGATTACGCGTCTATTTTCAATTATTCACGATTTACCCTCGGTCCGGTAACAGCGATCGCATCTATCCGATTACTTTCCCCGGGTGCGATTTCTGTCGGATCCTAGAAACAATGTACGTGCATCTCGTGCTCCAGGAGTCGAAATAAAGTACTCGCATTGAATCGAGAAATAAATCAGTGAATCAGTACATACTTGCCGTGGTGCTGCATTCGTGACAGCTTCCGGTTCCTCTGAATGATAAATGCGGTCGATTATGTAAAGTATCAAGGCATCGTTCTTGTTATGTTAAATATGCAAATTACTTGAATAAGTTCCAAGTACCTGTCGTAGCGGTAACAGGTGCCTCCGTGCGATCTTCTGCATATAAACGATAGGGAGGTGCCGTGATAGGTAAGAAAGGTCTTCCACGCACTGAAAATAAAAGAAATTCTAGCGTTTCCCATTGACCCCACATATGGATTGAAATGAAGAATTCTACCTAAATTATCATTCGTTGGCACGATGGGGGTGGATGTCGGCGCCTCGCTAGTCGTAGTTTCTGTGGAAGGAAAAAAATTAACATTCGGTACATTTAATACCAATTAAGGGGCAACGTTCATCGCATCCTAGAGAAGCTCAGAAGGAATTACCGAACGAATCAGCTTTCGAACGATGAAGGGTCCCCGGAAGCAATTAAGAGGCACCGGAAGGGCTTTGAGAGAATCGTTATGTGCGCGTTATCAATTGCAATTGACCAATCGTTAATACGGGGCGGCGATATGAAAGGGCCGGCGAGACTCCTTGCCCAATGGTGTCCATCTCGGGATGAATCAGGCATAAATTAATTTCCTGGTTACCAGTCGACCAAGAAAAAAAAAAAACTTGCGTTTCTAACGAGTAACTAATTTCATTGAACCCGGGGGAGCGGCGTTTCGCTTACACCCCCAAAGAGGACAACCATAACGTCATGGAGTAATTCGGAGTACTTCTCTGCGGGCCATAATTCAATATAGAAGTGACGCGAAACTTGACGTTGTAATTACTCGGGTCTCTCTCTGGTGATGGGTTAACGGACGATTAAACTCGCGCGACACTTCTCGAAGGAACGTCAAGAGATGCGAGTGGCACAGTTTCGTTTGATCCCCTCCTAGGTCTTCTAACTTTTTACCGACCCAACGAATCAATGTATCCAATGTAATCGAATTCGCTCGAATTGCGCTCTTTGCTCGTACGAGATGGTTACGGCATCCCACATGACGCTCGCGTTCCATTTTTTTACTCTGCCCTATTTCTCCTTTTCTTGCCACGCGCCTACTTTTCGATTCCCTGTCCCAAGTTCGCGGCAATCGAATCGTATCGGTATCGAGGAAAAAGCTTGGACGTTTCGCTCAGTCCCATACTATAATTTCTCTACCGAGCTTGCAGAACTTTTGCACGTTTCCCTTTCTTTTTTCTAGGACGACTATTCGTGTTTATCGGTACTCGTACATGCTTCATTTTTCTGGGGTAGATTACGAACTGACCATTGACGTTCTCCTCGTAGTCGTAGTTGTCATAATAGTCGTACTCGTTGTACTCGGAGTCGGGGTTGGAGGGTTGCTGAGCCTGGATGGGTTTGGGTCCTGGACCCCTGGCGACGCGAGTCCTGTTCCTGGCGTGGCCTCTTCCGGTCCCCGACGCCGCTTCGACGGCCTCCACCAGAAGGTGGCCCAGGAGAACTCCCGTCACCAGCAGGAGTCCTGTTCCCCTCATCTCTCCGAAAGGGTTCCTCGGGCCGAAAGAAAAGCTTCCAGGCTCCGGCTACTCGGCCAGGCCGGGGGCGACTAGAGGCATCGGAAACGGCGAACCGTCTATTTACCAGATGGCAAGCTAACCCGGGGTAGGTCGTTATCCGACAGCTCCCACCAGCTCGCCCTGATGCATCTTCGACGACGCCGCGTGCATCTCCTCCGCTTCCTCTTCCGGGTTTCCGTTTCCGATCGCCCCTCTTCACCGCGCGACTTCGTCTCCCCCTAACGCTGGGTCGCGGATATATTTTTTTTTAATTAACAACCGCATCGTCTCGTACAGTGGATCGGATAGGAAATCGCACTTGTGCGATAGGAAACGAGAGCTCGACTTATAAAGTGCATTACATTTTTTTACAAGCCGTTTATTCTAAGAGCTACTGTCGCGAGGACTTCCTATGGGGTTCTCATTACTCTGGAGGAGTAACGACCCTTTGTGGTCCGAGTCTTCACATCCTGGGATCGCAAAGGGTTAACGGAGCCCTTAGATTCCACTCCTAGCCAGATGTGGAAAATGTACGGCTTAGATTAATTCCCATTCGATGAATTTCTTATTCGGGGTTGATCGTTTTGGCCGCATTCCATGAGCCTGTCTTACATACGAAGCGTAATGGACTGCATTGACCCGCACCTCGCTGCAATTTACTACAAAGTGTTTCAACCGACTGCGAATCAGCGTTCACGGTGCCATTTCTAATAATCGCGATTGCGTAACGCAAGATTCTTTTTGAGGACTGGAGAAAAAAAATTTTTTTTATCCTAGTGACGTATCGCGTAATCGTCGGGATTGGGCGCGATCGTTGCGACTTTGGGAGAGTGGCGGAAATTTTTTAATTGCTTGTCGGAATATCTTTTTAAAAACGGCGCGGACCGATGGAGTGCCATTCAGCCATTCGTTTAACCCTTATTAAAAAAGGTTCGCGAGACGCCATAAATTTCAAGTTGTCAGAAAATCTCGGTTGTCGCGTGCTCGTAACGCGTCCCTAATTCTTCTCTGGTCGAAACGCTGACTCATTTACTCAGTTGATTGCCGTTAAGGATCACGACACAAATACGCCAAATGTTTCCTCGGATCTAATGCAACTCTAAACAGCATAGAGTTAGATTACATTTGCTATATTAAGATTCCTGTACCTCGCCGTGGAAATTATAAGTAAACGTTGGGCTAACATCCTACAAGCGGATTTTTTGGACTACGGAAAATCGGCGTTATACCATGATTGGTTAATTACACTTTCTAGCTTTTAAATACAAAGTACGTTTACGAAACACCTTTCCTTTTTATTCAAAGATATTACATAAAACTTAATCGGGTAGCAATGTTCATATTAAACTTTCATCTTTACAAGCATCCGGCGTAATTTATAGCGGTACCGAAAAGTCGGTCGACCAATGACGAGGATCAAGACGAGCTTTAGAAAATTGTATACCGGTAGGAGAGCGATCTAATATTACAGATATCGATTTAGGCACAGTACCGATCTACGAGTCAGCTTTTAATGTTAAGACAATATTCGGTAAAAATATGTGACGGTACTTTGCTCCGCAGGCGAACCTCCATCGTTGCACGTAAAGTCGAGTCAAAGAAATAGCCCCATCGGAAATGAAATTCTTTTAATTAGCGGAAGGATAAGTACGCATCCTGCTCATCTCAGAGACTAAATTAATTTATAACGTTCGCTTTTAGCAACAATAAAGGTTCGCTTGAATCGTCTCCTTGCTCGACGAGTCAACCTTCCTGGTTTTATATCAAGATAATTCTACTGATCGTAAATAAAATAGATCATTTAATATACATCCCGTATGTAAATTATTGTATCCACGGAACTAATGTTCTAGTTCGAAATTGTGTTTGCATCACCTGACACAGAATTGGCCAACTTTTTTGAACTTGATTCGTGATTAAATTCTCGGAATTTTCAAAAGCATTAACAAAAAATCTCAGCCGTAATCTTAGTTTGTCCTTGTTATTGAAATAGGTTCCTTAGCCCTAATCTTATAAAAGGGAAATATAAATCGTCGCTTATCATGCTCATTAAAATTTATAGAGATAGAAACCGGTAAACCGATTGGACGATAGATTAAAAATCATACCGACGACATCCTTGACAAGTGAAGTACAAGGTTATCGTTATCATGTAATAAATAATCGTAATGAGTAATAGGTAACAGGGAATTCTACGATTTTGATTAATTTAACGTCAGAAACCTTGGTCATTTCGGTATGAAATTGGTAATAATTGAACGATTGCGCAATGCTACACCGATGTTGTTAATTTGTGTACTGTGGGTACGTGGTAAGATCGAGAGTTAATACTTTGCTCTCTAGACATTCTCCAACCTAGAACGAGAATAATATGATTCATACTTTCTTGCTCCGACACTAGAGAATAGGGAGCTCGAATAAAAGTAACATCACACTTACATCAGGACAGATTCCAATAAGTGCATCGGCATGCGAATAGAATTCTTCTTTCAACGAGATAACAATCGTCTGCAAGGAGCTCGTTTTATCGCGAATATAACTGGCAACTTTTCCGATATTCGTGTTATCCAAAGCTGCATCAATTTCATCCAGGACGAAGAAGGGTGCTGGTTGGAAACTGGAGAGAAGAAGCGGTAAGGCAAAAGTACAACAAAATATTTTAATTAATATATTACGTAAGTCTACCTGTGAATGGCAAACAAGAGAGCCAAAGCAGCCACTGTCTTCTCTCCTCCGGAAAGATTCGACATTGGTTGAAATCGTTTCCCAGGCGCGACGCAATTATAATTGATACCATCTAAGTAAGGTTCCTCCGGATTTTCTGGTCCCAAAAACGCCTGGGCGGACTGATTTTTCGCTAAACTCTGAAAGTAGATTTTACTCTCTAATTATACTCTTGCTCACATAATTAATAGATGCAACATTACATCAAATTCACAGGATTATGCAAACCTTATATATTGGATCGATTTCATTAGCAACGTGTTCGAAACAAGCCATGAACCGGTCATGCCTTTCTTTTTTTACTTTTTCAAACTGCGTTTTTGCTTTTTTCGCCTTTTTCCGAGATTGCTCGAACTCCTCGTTCGTTTCTTGGAGTTTTTCCTTTGCTAGATATAGTTTTTGGATCGCCTGGTGTTGCGCAAAAGAAAAAAGAAACAGATTGTCAAAACAAAGGCCTACACAAATATTCTATCTATGGAACAGCATTTCAGTAAATTGGATTTATCCACCTTCATATTTGGTGCTTGTATTCGCTGAATCGTGCCTTGAAGATCATTGATAGTTTTATTCAACTTGTCGGTGATCTTCTTGGTATCGTCTTCATCGATATCCTTCAAATTGTCGGGCAAAAGAGCGTAATCGATTTGTATGAGACTTTCGCGCTCGTACATTTGATTTGTACTCAGGCTTGATTCGTTGTTCGAATCGCTACTTGCCGTTATAGTCGCTTCGCCCGCTATATCTTCCATATTACCTCGAAGCATAGGAATGGCAATATCTTCCATCTAAGGATTTTTAAAACAACATTAAAATAAAACGTCAGATTACAAAATCAGAAAAAATCGAATCGTGGTACCTTGCAATTCATCAAAATAGCATGTCGTTCAGCCTTTCGCTGTTCAATTTTAGACTCGATAACGTTGAGCTGTTTTTGCGCCGCTTGAATATCCTTGGTGATGGCATTAATTTCTCGTTTACATTTCCCAATTTCCTCTTCTTTTTGATCAACTTCTACTTTTTTACTATTACGAGCGGATTTGAGTTGTTCCATTTGGGCTTCGTCGTTATCAATTTCAGCTTTCTGATTTGATTCCGTTTGACGGGCTGATTCCAACTTGTCTTCTGCATCCTGAACGGCACGTTCCCACCTCAAAACATTGCCTAGTAAATGAGATGAATATTTTAATGAACATTATTTTATAAGTAACCAAAAATTACATAGAACTTATAATGAATATGGTGCGTACTTTCCGTATCTCGTTGCTTCTCAAAATCTAGTTGATTATAGATACGATTGCATTGATTTTCGAATTCCATCCTCTTTTTGGCTCTTTCTTGCTGGGATCTAAAATAAGTATTATAAAATATAAATGTTCAATTCGCTATTAAACTAATTCAACGGGTGCAACGTATTGATAACTGTACTTGATCATGGAGAAAATGGACAATTGGGTACAGGACCAATTCTGAGAAAAACGAAATCCAACAACCAGGAGGCTTTTAGGAAAAAAAGGATTATCAAGGATATGGAGGATTGACAAGGAGTCCTGTGACACGGCTTGAACGGAAAGGTCCTCACCTTAATTCTCTTTCTTCGTATTGTCGGATATTGGTAACACCAATTTGTTCACAAAAATTTGCAAACACGTCATCTTCAACGTTATTCATTTTCTCTTTAATATTTTGAATTTCTTGATCCCTCTCAGCCATGGTTTTCTCTATTGCGGCTATTGTAGGCTGTGATTAAAATTATATGACTTCTTTGAATAGGGCATTCACATAACATAGATGTACTCATTACAACTTAATCAGTACTTACTCCAAACTTGTCCAAATCACTTTGGAGGGATTCCAGTTCCGCTTCAAGTTCAGCGATTTGCTTCTTCTGTACAAGAGACAGATATTTGATCATTAATTTCACACATTAAAATTACAATTACAGTGAGAATATTCAATGTTAGGCACTTTAAAATAAATACATACCGTCACGGTCAAGTCACTTTTGTTATACTTCAAGCGAGTCTCGAGTCCCCGAATTTGTGACTCGACTGTATTTAATTCCGACTCCTTGCGAGATTTTTTTAAAGAATCTCTCAATTCTTCTGTCAATTTTTCCTACAATTTATATAAAGATTATTTTCAGACAACAATGGTTAATTATTATACTCAAAATTGAACGATGAATAACCTTTTGAGATTTCAGTTGAGACATTTGTTTTTCATCCCATCTTTTAGCTTTCTTCGCTAAGTCCAAACTGCCACCTGAAATAATTCCAGCTTTCTGGTAGAAAGTTCCATCCAATGCGACACACTGTGAACGATAAAAAATATTTTGTTGAAGTTCTTGGGTTAAACATAGGATTAAATTATTTTAAGGTATTTTATCTCACATCGTATCTGGCCTTTTTGTCCATTTCGTAAGCAACCTTGTTAGCGTCTTCCGGAGTTTCACAAACCAGGGCATTATTTGTCGCAAATAAAACGGCTCTGTCGATATCCTTTGGAGAAAAATGAAGAACATCGTACAATAATTTTACATTTTTTGGCTCTTGGATATTCCTGTAACAATTACATTTTTTGTCAATTGTCTGTACGGTGAATGTCCTATTGCTGCACTTATCACAATGTATAAACTACCTTAGTCGTTCCTTCAATGGTTTTGCTTGAATATAATCCAAGGGTAAAAATGTTTCTGGTTCAAGGAATTGCTCCTTTAAATACTGAATACATTGTCTAGCTGTTTTTTCAGTGTCCACGACAATAGCTTCCATATATTTTCCGAGAACTTTAGTAATAGCGACATTATATCGACTGTGAATTGGCTCGCACATATTGTACATGCGGTCGTACTAAAATAATTGGAAAATTGTTTAAGATAGTACCAACAAGGTATTTATTAGCAATGTAGTACGTATTCATGAAAAATATTCATACCACGCCAGGGAAGAGTCGCTTGAAATTTTCAACAATTTCTGTCTTCTTTTTAGTTCTGGAGACTTCATGTTTATCAACTTTAGCATCACCTAATTGTTCAGAGATTCTTTCCAATTCTCTTTGAATTTTTTGAATTTTATCCTTGGATGTACCAACATCAGCCTGTAAATCAGCTCTTAGTTTCTTTTGATCTTCCAAAGCAGCTTCGGAAGTACGAATGTGCTCTTCCAATTTTTCCACACGTTTTACAGCTTCATCTCTCATGTGGCCTTTTTGTTTATGTTTATTTTCAATCTCAATCTTTTTTCGACCTTCATTGTCGAGTCTGTCTTGGTCTGACTTTTGTTCTCTGTTAATGGAATCAAGAAGTTGGAGATATCGGGCAGACTGTTTCCCAGCTTCTTCTTTCAAACGATTGTACTCTCGTACCTACATAAATATATATTTTCTTAAGTAGCATCTAACATTGTAATTTCTTAGTAAAAATTGAAAAACCCTTAAGCAAATTATTTAATACCTGTTCATCCTCTAATTGAACGTCTCTTCCTTGAGACAGCGATTGACCCGAGATGCTTGCTTCATATTCTGCTTTTGCTTTCTCAACTTGACGTAGTTCTTCTTGCAGCTCATTAATATCTTTCTTGTGAGCTTCATCGGCTATACGAGCTTGAGCTAAAGACTTGCGAGCAGACTCAACCTTTTTTTGCATATGTGCAACACGTTCTTTAGCCTTTATGAATGTTGGCCTCTTCTTAGTGATCTCCACCTCCACTTCTCTAATATCTTGTTCAATTTTAGCCAGTTCTCTAGACAACTTACCTGATTCCTTTTTTTTATCTTTTAACACCTCATCTACCTTCTCCCTTTTCTTCTCTAATTTTTTTACATCATTTTGCTTCTTCTTTTGGACAACTTCCAAATTTTCAATATCCTTTTCATTGTGATATAAACGGAATAATTGTAACTCAACTTGTTTTTCCATCTACAAAAAATGATTTCAAAATTAATCTGCTTAGTATTGTACAAATATAAATTCGCAGTTTAAAATAGTATTACTTACATATTCTTCTTTTAAACGTTGATATTTCTCAGCCTCTTCTTTTTCTAATTTAGCTTCTTTCCTCTCTGCAGCTATTCCTTTCTTTTTTTGATACGAAAACTGTGTTTCTTCTTCAGCTCTCAACATTTCTAATCTTAACCTTTCATACTCTGTTTTTAGTGCACCTGAATTGCTGATTTCTTCAAAAAGTGCGGTCCTCTCCTTTGGATTCTTCATAGCTATCGATTCGACCGCACCTTGGAATACTAAAAAATTCTTTGCCTTGACATTGATTCCAAGGTGCTCCAATTCATTTAAGTAAACTTGGCTAGTAACAACCTGCACAACGATAATATGAAAATTGTTTTTCAATATAATATTATAATTTTCTCAAATGAAAGCATGCTACAATAATATTTACTCCGCCATTAATTCGGTGCTCCGAAGATGAGCCTTGAACCGATCGCATAAAACTCTTTTCAGTGCCATCTTCTAACCCAAAAACTGCCATCACGGAAGCACTGAAAATTTTAATGAAACAAATAATAATGGAATTCTACGCGAATATTAATAGAATTAGCCATTGGCTGCCCCATTGTTTCCGGTGTAATGAAGTGTCACGGTAATTTCTCATACCTCCTAGCAACTGGCATTCCTATCGACGCTCCATGAATTAGTTCGTTGAATCTCTTGACTCGCAGACTACTCGTCTTCTCTCCCATTACAAAACTGATAGCATCCATTAAATTCGACTTGCCTGGAATTATTTGCCGCATAAATACCGTTTCATAATTGAGGATACTATTGAAGTCGATGATTATTTTTCACAACACAACTTACCTGAGCCATTTGGTCCAACTACGGCTGTAAACGATTTGAAGGGGCCGATAATAAGTTTCCCTTTATAAGATTTGAAATTGTCCACCTCGATATGTTTCAAAAACGCAGGCATGTTGACGTCGTTTGCATAAGATCGCTTATTTACATCGATTCTCCACAATTGGCGCCAGAAATTTTTCTAACGCAACGAAACCAAACGCTACCATTGCTGGCATTACCACGAGTGGTATTTTGTTGGTATTATAGTACCCCTGTGCGGGGAGAGAGGGACTCCAGAGATGAGTCGGTTCTCAACTACTAGGACTGTTTGGGAAACTCTTTTTCGGGATCCTAGGGATATTTTTGTTTTCACGTTGGTCATCTCGTTTATAACGTCGGCATCATGCTAAATCCGTGGCAGAAACGTCTATATCTCTAGGATTTCGAAGGCCAATAACCGTATGTGTCGTAACGGGTATCATTCGGTCGCGATTTGGAGGTTAACCTTGCGGTTCCTCGAATCCCTGCTAGTCTCACGGCAGCAAAGTTGCACGAGTCGCGTCGCAAATGGTGTCGAGCTAGTGCCGGTCTTACTTTTAACGCTTTCGTTAGGGTCCACAGGTCTCGTTCAGAGCTAGACATTGAAGATTGACGTGGAATCAAATTCAGGAAGTCAATATCAAATAAGATGTCAAGTGCAGGGAGTCCAACAACCGCTAGTTCGATCGCGGCGAAGCTCGGATTGCGGCCGATAACGAAGTGCAACATCGTCAAATTTTATGTGCCGCTGGCTGGGGTTACCTCATATACGGCATTGTCCGTCAATGTCATGAATCCAGGACTCGTCATAAGGTAATGCCCCTGTGTTCTACTATGTCAAAGTCTGTCATAACCGCGCGCGGAAAAACTGGGCGGATCCTACGCCGCTGCGGTTCGTCCGAAGATCTTCCATGGATCATCGGTTCGTGCAAGTCGGAGAGATCGTTACGTAAGATTCGCGGTATGACTTCGTTTTGTACCGGCGTTTGATGTAGACTCTGGAATTAGAACGGCTGTGTTCACCCAAGTACGAACGGTGCACCTAATCGAATTTTTCTCGTGATTGCAGGATATTTCCACAGAAGGATATTACAAACCTGCTACTGGGGAGTGCTCTCATAGGCACCGGAACTTACATTTATACTAGGGATCACTTGAAAAATGCCAGTACAGGAGCTAGAGCCGCTTATAGGTAAAGTATCATGCGACAGGGAAAAATTGCAGTATTTGTACTTTATGGGACGTTAACTTGATTTTCTTTGGATGCATATTTAATGACAGTTTTAACGACAGTGGCCGTGTTAATACTTCTTTTCGACAGCATCACAGGGGCCTTCCTACTCAGTTTTGGTTCGGTACTGTTGTGGGCGGTATTACGTTCCGCCATTCCACCTAACCCAACGCTCCGTACTTTGGCCGGCATTGGCTCTGGATTAGCTCTTGCCAAAATTGGTACGAGTTATCTCGATTTCGTCGACGCACAAATAGTCAAGAAGTAGACACTAAGAAACGAAACGTTCGACGTTCGATCGTAAAGAACGACGAAAGAAAGCAACGTCACGTTTACCGCTGTCGCGTGTTATAAGTCGTACGGAATATGCGGCGCGGAAACTGAACCAGTCAAACGAGGGAAGTCTTGCGAGAACCATATGGGTTAAAAGCAAGAAGATATATATTTATTTGTAAGTCTTAGTGACATTATTGGCACCGTAGGGTAGCTCTCTGATATGGATTCGGAACGAATCGACGGTAGGTGGAGAACGTGAGTTGATTTAACTATTTAAATCTTTTCTATTCAAAACGGCAATTAAGTGTACTTTAATGTATCGCGGGAGATCGAATGCTTCTGTTTGAATAAAATGGAATATAAAAAGTTGATTTTACAGGTTAAAGAAAAATTCGAAACGTCCTACCGCAAAAGGCATCTAGTTACTCATTTGATGGCGCGGAAAGGAGTTATTTGGCTTCGATGAGCGAAATCGCAACCTTCTCGTACTTTTAATTTGTCCTTTGCTCGATGCATCGTGTAAGGACGCGGAATCGCGAACGATAGCAGCGAACGTGGGATACCTGTCGCGTCGAATTCGGAATTCGTCGTCGAGCGTCTTCTTGCTTGCTTATTCGACGAAACTCGAGTCTTTAGCACCTTGTATCGTATCCTACGCGATGCGCGGCATTTCGCGCACCTAACCGAGAGTTCGGAAAAATTCGCCAATTTTGGCTGAGACCGACGTCGACGCTTCTACGAGGCTTCGATGTTGTTTAGAAATACACTTGCGCTACATCTAACGTGCCGAGGAAGCAGAATCTCGAGAGATCCTGCCACTCCGCGTCAACGGCGAACTTCCAAGCGTCAGGATCGCGAATCGACGGAGCGGACCTCGAAGAGGAGCGTCGAAACGCAGGCACGAGGTGCGCCGCCCTTCCGTGCCGAAGAGGAAGGATCGGCCGGTCTCCTTCAGGGGCTGCCGGAGACGTTCCTAGAGACGGCGAGTCCGGATTGGTTCCAGGTGCCCAGCTGGTCGATCGTCGACGCAAGGGCGCCGGCGACGTCCGCCTTGACGGCATGCGCGGCCTCGTCGTCCGGGGCGGAGTGTGAGTGCGAGTGCGAGTGCGAGTGGGCCGCTGAAACGAAATCAAGATTCGGGTTAGAGAGAGAGAGAGAGAAAGAGAGAGAGAAAGAGCGAAACTTCCGAGTCTCGCGACCTCGACCTCGGGAACGCGCACGAAACCTCGAGGTCGGGGTCGCGGACTCGCGCCAGCATCGCGACGTCCCTGACCGTGGCCGCGACCTTTCGAGTGGAATCGATAAAGCGAGGAGGAGGTGGCCCGACCGGGAAAGAGCCGCTCGGGGGTCGAAGGCTCGGCGGAGGCGTACTTGGCGCGAGACTCTGCCGAGGGTCTCGAGGGCGCCCCTTCGCCGATACTCACTGGCCAGCTGGAGCCCGACCATGAGGGCGAAGCCCAGGACGATGGCGAGGAGCTGCAGGAGGCCGCTCTTGTCGTTGGCACGCTCCCGGGCCAGCACCTCGAAGAAGACGACGTAGAGGAGGGTGCCGGCGGCCATGCCCTGCAGGATGGTGGGCGCCGGACCGAGGGCGCCGCCCTCGGCGTCGAAGCGGCCGAGGGCGAGGCCGACGCCGATGCCGAGCGGCGTCACCAGGGAGAAGACGGTCAGGTAGCCGAGGACGGTCCTGGCGGAGGCGCCGGCCGCGGAGAGCTCCATGCCCACGCAGAAGGCGATGACGAGCTTATGCGTCGCGACGGCGGTGGCGAGGTAGACGACAGAGGAGAGCGAGGGCTCCAGGCCGACGGCGAGGCCCTCGAAGATGGCGTGAAAGGAGAGGGCCAGGACGGTGAGCAGGCCGCGCGCCGAGGAGGCCTCGGCGGAGCGGACGGCGGGCGCCACCCCCAGCGGGGGCCCGGGGACCGGGGGGCCCAGCTCCAGGCAGTCGCCTTTGGCGGGCTCCGCGGCGGCCCCGCAGGCCCCGTTGGGCCTCCGCAGGGACAGAGTCCGGTAGAGCGCCGCCTCCGAGGGCTGCTCGTCCCCCGGGCCGGCCGTGGCCGAGGGCCCGGGGCCCGAGCGGCCGCTCTCCAACACCGCGTGCACCGCCTCCTCGACCAGGTAGACCAGGAAGAAGCCGGCGCAGAAGAGGAGGTCCGCCAGACCCAAGGAACCCGCCAGGCCCAGCTGGCCCGCCGCTTGGTGGCGCTCCACGCTCTGGCGCACCTCGGGCGCCAGGTGCAGGAACGTCGTGAAGAGCAGCACTCCCCCTCCGAAGCAGAGCAGCAGCGACGTCAGCAGACCCTGCCGACCGACGAGCGGACCTTAGCGCAACCTCGCCCGAGGCTCCCGCGGCCCGACCGCGCCGGAATGCCGCTCGGCCCGAAACCGGGCCGAGACGCGCCCGCGGTCGGGAGGGGAGCCTCCGCGTCTCAACGTACTTGCGATCCGTGGGCCGACTCCTCCGTCAGGACGCTGCTCGACCTGGTGATCGAGAGGCTCGAGCCGGCGGAGAGGTCGCGCCGCCGGTCCTTGCGGTCGCGGTAGCGGCGGAACGCGAGCGGCAGGGTGCCCAGGAACAGCGAGCCGCAGCCGAGGACGAGCATCGCCACCGCCTTGGCCAGCAGCAGCGTGCCCGAGGCCGGGTCCGGGTCCGCCATCCGGGGGCAAGGGTTACCGCATGGGCGGCCGCTTTCCCGCGTGCGTTGACCCGCCGGGGCGGTGGGGAGACGCGAGATCCGATCGCCGTCGATCACATGTCTCGGAGGCGCGAGAGTCGACACCGAGTGGCACCGGGACACCGTTATCCGCGAGCACTTTCGTCGCAGCGGCTCGATTCCACCGCTTCTCTCTCTCCCTCTCTCTTCCTCTCTCTATGCGGGAGCGGACGGGAACGCGCGGTAATCGGCAATATCCTGTGCGGCGCGGTCGGACTCCCGACGCCGCCTCGACACTCTCCGGCTATCGCGGTCGACCGTAGCTGACCGTAGCCTTCCCGCGAACAGGTGCGGAGAGAGGACCGACCGACGCCGTCCACGCGAGTACCCGAACCGGCTCGGCGGCGCGACGCGCTTCTAAGGGGCACCGCGGCGCCTCCTCTCTTATGTTCCTCCTACCTCCTTTCTCGGCTCTCTCTCGCTCCCTCCTCCGTGGCGTCATCGCGCGCTCCACCGGGTCGGCGCGCGTGCCGGCGCCGCTGCCCGGGCGGCAAGGTCGGGAGGAGGATCGTTGCCATGGCGGCGACGCCGCTTTCGATCCGAGTCCGAATCCGCGCGGATCCTCGGGACCCTGGCGCTCGTGGAGAGGACTCGAAGAGTCGGACCTCTTCTCGAAGCGGGTCCAATTTAATAAAAAAAAAGACGCCTTGGCCCGCAACGCCGAAGGAACGTCCCGAGCTCGACGCGCCGACGCGGGGACCGGTGCACCTTTCTCTACGATGGATCTATATATGATCTCGTGATCTTTTTAATCCCCCGTCCAAATGAAATTTATAAGCTGTAGAATTGTGGCGGTTTTCATTTTTTTTTTTTTTTTTTACGGGGCACGTCCTACCGTCGTCCCGGGGCCTAGAGCGGATCCGCCGGATAAATCCGGGCGCCGCACTTTGCCCGTCCTAGAGGATCACCTTCGCATTTCGTCCACCTACACCGATTAACGCAGTTTTTGCCGCCGTTTCGCAGGTTCCGGAGATAGAGGACCTGGAGCCACTTTCGGATCGAGACGCCGCCTCGCCCCCTCCGTCCACCCGCCGAAGACGAGGGACGACTTTTCCAGGAACTCCTTCGGTGTGGAATCTTCAAGGCCGACGCGTAGCGAGCCGATTCTAGCGAATGAAACGCTCCAGGAAGTTGTAATAAAAAGTACCGCCCGACACTTGCGCGAGTTATGGACGCGCACCGGCACCGGGCTCCGTTACATCCCGGCGAAGTAATACCCGCTAATGATTGGGCACGCGCGGTCGGGCCGCACGTGCGAATCGGATGACGCGTGCCTCGCTCGCGAGCGTCTTCTATTTCCTCGGGAAATGCGACCCTCCGTCTAGTTAGATCGGCCGGCAAGCGAGGAACTCGGCGAAACCGAGACGCGATTAATTGCGCGGGCGGCGATCGACCGGAAGCGAAGGCTTGTCAGAAAATTTGTATAACTAATTGGGGAGGCTTCTTTCATCCTCGCCGCGGCCGACTTCTCGGCGCCCATTAGGCGCAATCGACACGGTATGCATTTGATGTTATCTCCAGCGAGGATATCGAGGGTACCCCAGGTCGATAAGATAGCGCGCTACACGATGTAAGAGTTCCTCCGCCTCGACGCCGCGCTCGGCCGAAAATTCCGAAATCTCGAGATTTCTCTCCAATTCCGGATTCGTCGAACGTTGGACGTGGACCCTCTACGGGGCGAGCGTCGTCCCAGCTCTCGAGGCGGGGTCGACGTACAATTTCGAGGCGTCGACCTTGATAAGTCTTGACCGAGTTCGATCGCGGGCTATGAATGGAAAGATACGCGTGACGTTTCGTAAACGTTAATCGGGCACATCGCGGATCCGATGTAAACGCTCGAGCGAATTAGAAACGACACTTTCTCGCGTTACTCGGGCGATGGTTTCCGCAGGGTATCCTCGAATCGCTCCTACGAGGAGAAAGCCGGATAGCGCCCAAGGGAGGGGTCCCTCCGTCCCCTGGGGTCCAGATGAGCTCTTTCGGGCTTTCCCTCCTTCCCTCTTGGGGAGAAAAATCCAAGCAACGGGGAAACTTCGGGTACTCACTCGAGAGCTGGAGAGCGAACATCGCGGCCCACCCCACGATGACGGAGAGGAACTGGCAGAGTCCGTCGCGGTGCTTGTGGAGGATCTCGAAGAAGACGATGTAGAGCAGCGTCCCGGTGGCGATTCCCTGCAGGGGAGGAAGATCGTTATCACGGGCAAGAAGGGATGGAGACCCTGCATCGAGGAAGGGAAGGTTCACCTGGAGAGCAACGGCGGCGACCCCGCTGCTCGCCGCGGTGCCCCCGCCGACCAGCAGCATCCCGACGCCGATACCGACGGGCGAGATCACCGCGTAGACGCAGATGTAGAGGACGTCGAAGTAGCGGCGCGACTTGCAGGACACCAGCTCCAGGCCTATGCAGAACGCGATTACGAACTTGTGGGCCGCAACGGCGGCGAACATGTACCTGGGGAACAAGGAGGAAGATGGGATCGAGCGACTTTCAGAAAATTTCTACCGATTGACTTACCACACGTAATTGGCGGAACTTTCGAGCCCGATCGCGAGACCCTCGAAGAGCTCGTGGACCGAGAGGCCCAGGACGATGAGGAGACCCCTAAGGGCGTTGACGGAGGTGCCGTCGTCGAGTTGCGACGGAAGATGGCTGTGCATGGCGGGGGTTGCAGGGGAACAGCCGGCGCCGCAGTCGGGAGCGCGGCTCGAGGAGAGGCTGCAACGTCGGAGATTCGAGCGAGGGTCCAGACGGCATCCGGCCAAGTACGAGCGCAAGGAATTGGATCCACTAACCTGCCGTTTTGGCCGTTCTCCACCAGGTCGTTGGTGCTCTTGTTGGCGTCCGCCAAGCGTCGCGCCTTCTCCTGACGCCTTCTCGAGTAGTCGTGTACCGTCTCCTCCACCAGGTACATGGCGAAGAACCTGCGGAAAGGAGGGCGTCGCTCTATCAGGATGCGAGGGACAAGGACGAGGTTCGACCCACCCTAGACAGGTCAGCGTCTCCGCCAACGAGAAACCCAGGTCCGGCAAACTGCCCTCCATGACGAGGTCGTCGATGCCGTGGCCCACTTCCGGTAAGAGGTGGAGGAATGCGGTGCAGAAGAGGACGCCCCCGCCGAATCCTAGAAGAAGGCTCGCCGCCCTGCTGGACCTGTACATTCGGTATATTGGAGTCGTGCATCCCCGTAGAGGAGCTAGGTGGATATAGGACTCGGGGGTCAAACGGAGCCGCCGAGGTGTACGGGGGTAAGGGGATTCATCGTGGCCGAGTCGGATCGAGATCCTTTGAGGCGCCGACCCCCTCGATCCGGCGACCTTCGGCGAGTCCTATTCCGCCTTGTCGGCTCGAATAAATCGGCCGATCCCCGACAGCTCGGCGGCTCTCGAAGGACGGCTCTCCGTCCCTCTCCTAGGAGAGTGGAGGGGCACTAGGGGGGTCGCGGTCGAGGAATGGAAGAAGCGAAGGTACGAGGTGGGGACTTCGGTACCTGACGTCCAGGCTATCGGAAGGGTTCCATCCGAGCCGTTTCGCCAGGTGGATGGGGAGCAACCCCATGACGATGCTGACCGAGCACAGGACTACCATGGTCACCCCCTTGGCGAGGAATACCGACGAGTACTCGGGAGCGCTTTCGCCCTCGACGTGGAGCGGCTGGACGGAATGGCTCGCCATCGTTCGGACTTTCTGGTAAAAGACGAAGAGCGAAAAGCGAGACGTGAGAAAGAAGCAAGAGGAGGAGAAAGAGACGGTCGGCTGGCGTCGCATGGCGTCGCATCGCATCGCATCGCATCGCATCGCGGATCTTCGATCGAAGGAGGAGACCGATCGGAAATCGGGGCCTCCTCCGCGCTTTTAGCTAACGTTCAGTGGCGTGCCCATGGAGAGGGTTCGGGAGGTCCGAACCCCGCCTCTTTATATTTTTTTTTTCGTGATTGCTATCCATCCGCCTCGTACTTAAAAAATACTGTAAATCGAATTAAGGGTCGACGCGGGAATTCGTGGGGTCTTTTCGCTCGTTTGCGAAGAACCGCACGAAATTCCGCCTCGAGTCCGCAGCTCCCGGTAACCCCGCCCAAAAAGATCTCCCGGGCACGCCAATGCCAACGTTCCGTACCTCCTTCGCACCCGTCGACTCCGCCACCCGATCTCGCACTGGCGCGACGTCGTGGCACCGGCCGAGGCTCCGTCGAGCGATAAGACCCTCTTCTCGCGGACCCGGCCGAGCGTAGGTCCCTCCCCCTCGCCACCCGACGCCCAGGTACCCGTCGATAAGACGCGATCGATGTCTCGGACGTGCCAACCCGTCGCGGCCGAGACTCCCGAAATCGGAGAATTTCGAGGCCCCGCCCGAGGCTCCTCCCGATAACGCGGGGCCGAGTCGAGGTCGACCTTGGTCGACGAGAGGCCGCGATTTCCTCGGTTCCTCCCTCCGCACCCCCCGTTAACGCCGACGCGCGTCGCCGGCTCCTCCGTCTCCTTCGACCCTCTTGCGACAGGGCAGAGACCGGATGGAGGAAGAGAACCGATTTCGTACCTGGGGCGTCCCAATGGGTGCAGCGGGCGCGGGTGCAGCGACTACGGACCACTGAGAGCGCAAGTCGCGATTGCCGCGAAATTTCTTGGCATCCGCTCGACTCTCTCGGTTCCCTTCTTTTTCCTCATTGGGCCGAGTTCTCCTATCTTTCCGGGCCGTCCCGTCGCCGGTGCGGCCGGTACCCGTGGTACCGTCACACCCCGCGGAACCCCGGAGGGAAATCCTGGGACGGGCCCGCGACGTCGGGATTCCCCGAAGAAGAGGCGGCACGTGTGCGTCACGCGTGCCCTCTCCGGTGGTTGCGATCTGCCCGCGCGTACAGGTGCACCGGCAAGAACTCGGTATCGAATTCTGCAAGGTCCCTCGTTTTTCCTTCTACCGGTTACCGACTCCCGTTTCTCCTCGCTTACGCTCGTTTCTCACCTGCCCTTTTTTTTTTGACGAATGCCCGTTACGGCCTTTCCCGTTCAAAGACCGCGGGACGCGTTAGAAGGGTCGAAAGGGAAAAATCGGGGAACCCCCTCGAGGTGGTTTTTGCATCTTTTTACTTCTTGCCTTCTGCGGGATCGATTCTCTTTTTTCCCTCGTATTTTTAAGGTCAAGTGAAACACGTCGAGGAACTTGGTCGACGTAGATAAAAAAGATTTTTCTAAATGCCTACGTTGCCGACGTTGGTTTTTATATTGACAACTGGGTCGAATTATATTGGGTATTGTACCAAATGGCATACTCCAGCTGTCGTTTTCGTACAATAATTATAAAGAAATCGAAGTAAAACTCCAGAAATCCTCTGGATTCATGCTTTCTGGGGCCCTAATTGACTGCAGAGGGACCCCCTGCGCCATCTGTGATTTCCAGGTCAATTAAATTTTCACTCCGAGACCTCGTATTCCCATCGTTTTAGCATAGAAGCGCATACAACACTTTTTTTGCCTTTGTCCCGTTCAAATGCGAGTTTATCGATTACCACAGTGTTCTAAATTCTCGTAAAATTGTCCTGACCCTTTCGATTCTCATATCAGAGCCTTCGATAATTGTATATTGATCGAAATGTGAGAGCTCGACGCCATTTTGGTTCTGGTCTGGAATGAGTTAAAAAATTTGTTTGAAAAATCCAAATTTTGAATGTGTCAGGACAATTCTTAGATGATCAGGATGTGTCAAAGTTTCGGGCAGTTTGGTCTGATACCCTTAAAAAAAAGTGTTGTACTCGAATCGACTGATTTGAAGGATGTTTCACTTCACCTTAAGTACTTAGGTATTCATTGTTAGAATGAATTTGATATTTTTCTATTCCATTACGCGATGGCTTTCTTGGATAGGGTGGAGAGACGCGGATTCAGGTGCCTACTCGGAGATCCACTGCTCAGATCGCCGGTGAAACTCGTGAACGATCATTAGCTGAAACGATTCCCGGCAGAAGGTAGCCACCTCGCCGTTGATGTTCCAGTTTTGAGGCATCGCTAGGCGACTCTCGGCTTACTTTCCTCTTGCCGTTCCCATGTAAGTTTACGATGACGCGATCGGCCGCGACACGCGCGCAAACGTTTCCCGTTTACAGGCTTCTGCCTCGATAACGGTCGCACCTGGAGATAACGATGCCGGGAGGATCGTTATCGGGAATTGAAATTGAAATTTCCTGGGAAGAAACTGGCGCGATCGACGAGTATGCTGGGATAAAGAATGGAAGTGGAATTGGAAAATTCTTGGACGGTCGTAATAAAGCAAACGACCGGAAAGCCGTAAAAGTAAAAGTACCGCTGAGTGAGCTATTACGAGTTCGATGCGCAACGATTGACAATAGACAATAGTTTTATTCCCCGTCGCGGCGCTTTTTGCCTTTCTGACTCATTCGTCCTAGCGAGCGGGACCAACTGTTCCGTGAGCGTTGATTTATCGGGAAACACAAAGGTTTCGTTCGTCTATTGTTCGTTACTTGCTTGTTCAGGGAGTTACTGTTAGTTATGTAACGGTCCTCGAGTTCGGCGAACGAGTGGAGAACAATGCGTGTCCGTACACGTATTGATACGCGGGGTAGTAATGAGCGAGAGCGGGTAATTAAATAATAAATGCAAAGTGCAGTCGATAGCCTCGCGGTGACAGCAGCTTCCCGAAATAATCAACTTCATATTGTGGAGAATAAATTGCATATCAAGGAAACGATTAATATCGGAGTTAGCTAGAACCGAGATGACGTGATTTATGTTTTTGTACCAGATAGCAAATTTTCAGATCGTTGTCATTCGATCGGTAAAGTAGACGATTGCTGATTAACCAGAACTCTACTTTTATCAACGTTAGTTGTGTTTGAGGACATTGGAAAACACGGTGGCAGCACTGTCAGAGTGTTCCGTCGAGTTTGATCGATTTGACCAGCTCTGATTTGACCCAATTTGACCATAAGCCATTCAAAACAGAGGCGTGACACCTTATATGGGCAATTGTTAAGTACTGATTAATTTCAATAGAGTGCGCTAGTGTTACGATTTTCTGTCGAATTTAGAAAGAGAAACCGCTATAAGTGATCGATATCACCGCGATGTGGCGCTGACGTTGGGTTTACAGCACTGAAAAATAAAATCAGAGGTGAAGCGGGCGACGATCGTAGACACGATAAAATCCAACAGTATTATTCATCGTCTCTTGTCGCTCCCGGTGGATCAACCTTTACTCATCACATGGATGGTTCAAACAAAATAATTAGTGTTGTTCAGTATTGTTCAGTATTGTTTTACAGTGATTGTACATACAGTAAACATGACGGCGAATGGGATAAGCGATGATATTTATAGTGGTTACAATGATTACCCTTCGGTGTATAGTACACAAGATCTCGATCAAGATGAATTCTTTCAAGAAGCGCTTAAAACTACCTTTGCTAAAAGAATTACCGTAAGTATTGGTATAAATGTCTGGTTAAAATTTTTTAATCATCGAAAGAGTAACTGTCATTTTCTACGATGTCTAGATGACACCAAAGACCCCTGGGACAGCTATGCGTCTTGGAACTTCTACTGGCGTAAGTTACTTTAGTGCTACCAAGTGATACTGAAAAAATATTATTTATTTATTTATTTATTTATTTGACATTTAAACGTTGCATTTATAGTATCATCGAGGGGGGACGGCGGCGGGTGGTAGACCAGGTACCGGGGTTCCTCGTCCGATGACCGCCGTGCGAGGTGCTGGATATACTAGCAGTAGTCGACGTCCATTCGATCCTCTTAATATGAGTAGTTCGTCCAAGGGTCCCGCACCACCACTGGAAGCTGCAAAAGATGACACGTAATTATTAATAACTATTGGTTACCTACAAATTCCGTTTTTCTTACTTAGGATAATTAATCTTTAAAGGCCTGAAGAAAAAATAAAAGCAGCAGAACAAAAGATAATGGAATTAATTGAAAGTTCTGCAGCGGCAGCATGTGAAAATAGTATGCGAGTTGCCTTGGAAAGGGCAAGGGAAGCTTCTTCGAGAGAGAGAGCTCTGATAAGATTGCAAGAGCAGGCTGGACTTAGCGACAGTCACAATGTAGATTTGACGTTCGCGGTATGATGACTCTTTTTAGTGAGTATTAAGAAAATTAAAAAATTCTGTATACCTCATTGGAATTTTAGGTGTTATTTAATTTGGCTAGTCAATATACAAACAATGAAATGTATACCGAAGCTATAGCTACATATCAAGCAATAACCCGAAACAGAATGTTTAGTAACAGTGCCAGGCTGAAAGTGAATATGGGAAACATTTATGTTAAAATGGGTCAGTTATCACAAGCCATTAAAATGTACAGGATGGCTTTGGATCAAGCACCAGTGGCTCAAAAGGATTTGAGGTGACCCTTTTGACTTAAAATTAGAAATTTAGAAATTTAGAACTTTTTAACATTAGCATGCTGGCCCTTTCACAGAATTAAAATAATGCATAATATTGGCATGTTATTCGTACAAATGGGTCGCTTGGAAGAGGCTGCAAACAGTTTCGAATGGGTCATGAGAGAAAGAGCTGAATTCAAAGCGGGTTTGCATGCCATTTTATGTCATTTCGCTTTGTCTCATCGGGATAAGATGAAAAGGGGATTCTTAGAATTGTTAGAGGTTCAACTTAACATAGATCAGGAAGACAAATACAATAACAGTACAGTGAGTAGGGTATACGTAATCAATTTGGTGTGATGGTTGCTTTCCCTCATTTTATTTATGCACTAATTACCTTAAATTCTTTCAACATCAATAAATGATTGTAATCGTGTACATTTTTTTCTTTACAAATGTCTAGGATGATGTTGCTGCTAACATACTAAACGAAGTTATCAAGAATGATGATTTATCCAAATTAGAAAGAGAAATGAAGTTAGAGGCAGAAAAAACAATATTAAGTGCAGCAAAACTCATTGCACCAGTCATCGAAGATACTTTAACAGCTGGATTTGCTTGGTGAGTTAAGATAAAATCGCAACAATCGTATACAGTTAATATAATATTTTCCTTTTATCAGGTGCGTCGATGCAATAAAATCTTCTACTTATGGTCCTTTGGCAGCTGATTTAGAGATAAATAAAGCAATGGTGTTTCTACATAATCGGGAAACTCAGTTGGCGATAGATACACTAAAAGTGTTTGAAAATCGAGAGACTAAGGCAAATAGTGCTGCATCGACTATGCTTTCATTCATTTATTACCTTGTGAGAACGTTAGATTTTTACAGAAACTCATACTTTATTTGTTTAATATAATGGCATGAAGTTTTTAAATATATTTTAGCAAGGTGATTATGAAGAAGCCGAAAGATGTGGGGAGGAAGCAAGAAAAGTAGACAGTTACAATGCTGCAGCCTATGTTAATCTTGCGGCATGTGCGATTGTTAGAGGTGAATTTGATCGTGCAAGGGAACTTTTACTATGTGCTTTGGAAAATGATGCTAGTCATGTACAGGCTCTCTATAATCTTGGTAAATTAATAAGATATTGAATATTTACGTCTTCCAAGTTCTGCATATAAAATTGAAGAAATTACGTAACATCATTGCACTCAATATACTTCCAATTTTTTTAAAGTGAAAGATAGCCTTACTTTTCAAATTTAGGTCTAGTCTATAAGAAGCAAAATATGTACGAGGAAGCTTTGGAGTGTTTCTGGAAATTGCGAAATTTGATTCGATACGATCCCCAAACTTTATATCAAATAGGCCACCTATACCAGCTGATAGGTGATGTGGATCAAGCAGCGGAATGGTAAAAATAAAAAAATTGTTCAAATTAAATTATTTGACAACAAATAATTTAAATGCATGTGTATATAATTGCATACTCGGTTACTGCCATTCAGGTACAATCAACTTTTGGGAATAATACCTTCAGATCCTGGAGTATTGCAAAAATTGGGAGAAATGTATGATAGCGTAGGGGATAAACAGCAAGCATTCCAGTTTTATCACGACGTACGTATTTATTTTGATTTGATGCAGTTTACTTGACCTAATTATTTATTCAGCTTGTCACAGACTCGTACACTATTATAACAATATGGAATATTAACAGTTGATAAAATTGAGTTGCACAGTCTTACAGATTTTATCCTGCTAATTTCGAGGTGATCGACTGGCTCGGTTCGTATTCGATTTCTATGCAGGTAAGTAATTTTTCTCATTCCGCATTTCGTATGTCGGGTGTATTCATTTAATCTCAAATACGTTTTTGTGTATATGTGCCCAAAGGTTGCCGAAAAGGCGCTAAATTATTTTGAAAGAGCTGTGGAACTCGCGCCGGATCAGCCCCGATGGCGATTGCTTGCTGCTGCTTGTTTACGACGGACGGGTCAATTTCATAAAGCATTAGCGGAGTATCAAGATATTCACAAGAAGTTTCCAGAAAACATTGAATGCTTAAAATTCTTAATAAGACTCTGTAGCGATTTGGGACTAAAAGAGGCTCAGCTGTACGCATCTGAATTGAAGAAAGCTGAGAGAGCGAGAGAGTTGAAAGAGCGACAAGGTTCTGCAAGGCCCGGAACTACAGGTCAGTTCCAACGACTCAACTTTTCTTAAAACAGACATAGAACAAAATTTTTTAATAGGATCCAAAAGAAGCAATAGCGGAACTTCTTCACGAGCTGGTTCCGTTATGAGTATTTTATCAGAGCATCGAACGAGTCCTGGATTGGGGTCTGCGGATCGCCAAGGATCGCATAGTGGAGGTCCTGCAAGAGCAAGCCGGTCATCCATGCCAGAAAATTCGTTAGAGTTTACACCTGATCAGAACATACGAATCGGTAATTAAATTTATTAACGTTATTTTATTTTTCGTCCGTCTTGTGGATTAAAATAGGTTTTTTTTTCACAATCATTCAAATCAGTCGCTGATATTTAGGTACTTAGTTTCGGTCAAAGGAAAGGCCTATGTCTGCTTTGCGAGAATTACCAACTTACGGCATTATGTAACGAAGGTCACAATACATGACTATGTGTGCCCTGTAATTCACATTCGCTTATTAACCAATGAATTAGGATTACCTAGGGTTACATTGGCATCTCCTAATATTATTTCTTCGAAGACAGAGAACTTTATCTAACGAATCGTTTCATAGCATTTTGTTACGCAGTTACACACGAGGTGAACATGAACGAAAGTGATGTACACGAGCTGGCCACATTACCCTAATGGATTGAATAGGCGATAGATGCGCCAGCAGATTCTCACATTCTATTCTTACCCCTCTATCCATCTTTGCTCTCTATACATCGTTCCAGACTTTGAACGATCATCCTGGAATCCCTTTGAGTAATCATCCAGCTTTGAAACATTTTAATTATTTATTTTGCAGAGACAAGTTATTCGGATCCAGTGGGGCCTTTGCCAGCTCGCCCGATGACTTCCGCAGGAAAAAGAGACGACGATTTCGGGGACGAAGAACTAGGAGATGATCTTTTACCAGAGTAGTTATTTATTTCCCTGCGTAGAGTATCATTAAGTTAACGATAATAAGCAAATTTATTTCCGCGTGTTAATCAAATTTAGGAGCTGTAGTAATTCTTATCAAAATAAATTCTTTGCACATATTAGATATAAAGTCAAGTCACGGATCGAACAAATCTAAGATCTCCGTGGACGTTTTCGATTCGAGAAATTTACGCTCCTCGAAAGGCGTATTTTCGCAATAATATCCAACTAGGAGATAACGAGGTCGAAGTGGAATAAAAAAATGTTGAGACCTAGCACCTCGAGAGGTCATGTCGTCATTAGACTCGATTAATTTTTATCTTCCACTGACCTCGGGTCAAAGTCCGCGATTCCGAATCTCATATAATTTATATGTATACATGTCTATCTTTTCACGGATAATAAAAATATTTTTCAAATACGATTGACGGTATTATTTTTCAAATCCCAATCTGTAATATAATTTACCCGGAGATTAGAAAATTATATCCCAAACTTGGATGCGAACCCAGAGGACGAACATACTCGAGCGGTCGATTCGGGTCACAGTTGGTTCAACCTTTTGACTGGACGGACGTCCAAGTGATCTACTTTGCATTTGTCTCCATTGGCACTCGACGCTTTCGCTAAATATAGAATATACCCCTTATGACCGTACACGCAAGATGAATGATCAGCTTTCGAACTCATTCGGCTTCGGAAAACTAGTATCTCCGTCGTTTCCAGTTAGTTGGGGTTCATGCAGGATTCCTAGATGGTTTGTGACAAATGCCATGAAACGGATAAAATCACGCCGTTGAAGAGAAAAAAAGGAGCCGTAAATAAAAATCATTAAAACATGTAACGCCTACGTGTGCCGTGCGGGCGATCCAGGGGCGAACAATTGTACCGATCTATATTTAAGCACGGCATCCGTTTTAATTAGAGTCCATTCAAGCGAGGACCTATACTGTATCGTTTAACGATGCCATAGGTACGTACACGCATTTACCCGCGGGTACTCGTACAGGCTTCGTCAAAGGGCACGCACTCGGCCCCTCCACACGTGACGACGTCTCGTGAGCTTCGCACACATTCGAGCTCTTCCATCCATACTGGACACACGCAAAAGGACTCCTTTTTCTTCCTCCTTTGACTGCCGCTCTCCATAAAAGTATTTAACGAACGTATCAAGTGAATCTTCACATGGCGCGAGTGATCACGCGTTGGTCCTTCATTTTTCCCGCGATGCGTTTATTGGGCTCGGCACTAATATAAGACCTTGTTTCTGCATATACGTATATACTGCATATCTGCATATACGCATATACTGCATATACGCTCCTTTTGTTTTACACGAGATGGGTATCGGTAGCGTGTCTTTCTCTTCTGGACTTACACCCCCCCGGATCGATCGCTGGGTCAACGATATCCATTTAGCTCTTTCTCCGCACCTAGGATCAAACGATCGATTGTCCTTTGAACGGATTCAATGTATCGAATATTATTAATCACAATTCATGATTTCAGGCTGACTCAACGAGGTCCAGCGAACAAGGCTAACCACCTCGGATTCGAACCTACGACGAGACATCGTCGACGGGCATTACCCACGTAATTCAATGCACATTATAATTTAAAGCTCAATGGCCCGGCATCTCCTAAAAATATCGTCGTCTTCCCTTTCGTTAGACGTCCGTTATTAAACTACTAGAACCCCTCTCTCGCTCCAATCGACTTATAATTTATCCGAAGGATCTCTCGTATCGTAGATCCCGAAGACGTAACTCTTGGAAAGAAACGCGATTCCTAAAACCGCAAAGGTCCACCGCGAGATGAAACGGCGTCATACGTCGGTACTCTCTTCCAAGCAGTAGATTATGCAATTTCAATCTGGGATTTTTGCACTCCAGTGCATCTTCCACGGCGTACGTCGGTTAATCGTTTTATGCACGAAAGAGCGTCTAACTGGCAATTATTGGCCTCGCGAGTATTTTTACATTTGTGGAATTCCTCCTACGGCCTCCACGTGACCACTGGGACGCCGCACGTGCGCGCGCTGCGCTTTAACCGGTGCACGCGCACCGCGGCTGCGCAGTCGCGGCGAAATCTACTGGCCGAATCTGCCGGAGCCGCGTGGGGTCCCGACGCGCTTGCAGATCGGCCGCGCGCACCGGTAAGTACGGACACGTGGTCGGCGCGGCTTCCCGGTATGGGAGCGCGCGCGTAAAAGCGGGCGGGGACGGAGGGGATCGCGCGGAGGCTCGACCAGTCGGCCGTGGGACGCCGAGCGCATTCGATGATCCCGCAACCGCGTCGACGTTCGCACGTATTAAAGCACGCGCTTACGGTGCCGGCGCTTCATCCTCCGGGGCGATCCACCCGGTGCCGCATCCCTCGACTGGCGACCACCGATTCATTCGGAGAACCAAGGTCCAGGCATTTTACGAACTTCGGATTCCAGGGCCCTAGGTAAGTTGTTATAACGGAGTCTAGGCTTTTCGACATTCATCTTTCTCTCGATAACGTTCGACTAAAACCGGAGACCGGTTATCGGGGTATCAGTTGGACGCTTCTTCTAGAGGAACCGTCCCCGGTGATTCCTCGATCGCCTCGCAAGACCGCTTAAACCACGTTCAAGGGACTTTTAAGGTGAAGTGAAACACGTCTATTGTCTTGGTCGATAAAGAAGATTTTTCTAAATGCCTACGTTGCCGACGTTGGTTTTTATATTGACAGCTGGGTCGAATTATATTGGGTATTGTACCAAATGGCATACTCCACCTGTCGTTTTCGTACAATAATTATACAGAAATCTAAGTAAAACTCCAGAAATCCTCTGGATTCGTGCTTTCTAGGGCCCTAATTGACTGCAGAGGGACCCCTGCGCCATCTGTGATTTCCAGGTGAATTAAATCTTCACCTCGAGACCTCGTATTCCCATCGTTTTAGCATAGAAGCGCATACAACACTTTTTTTGCCTTTGTCCCGTTCAAATGCGAGTTTATCGATTACCAGAGTGTTCTAAATTCTCGTAAAATTGTCCTGGCCCTTTCGATTCTCATATCAGAGCCTTCGATAATTGTATATTGATCGAAATATGAGAGCTCGACACCATTTTGGTTCTGGTCTGGGCTGAATGAAAAAATTTTGTTTAAAAATCCAAATCTTGAATGTGTCAGGACAATTCTAAGATGATCAGGAGGGATGTGTCAAAGTTTTGGACAGTTTGGTCTAATATCCTTAAAAAAAAGTGTTGTATTCGAATCGACTGATTTGAAGGGGGTTTCACTTCACCTTAATCGGTTCATTTAGTTGTCGGTGAACGCTTTGTCCTCCGCGGTTATCATATGGGCACCGGAAGCGTAATGGATATTTAACTGCGGGGGAGGAAGGAGACGTTGACTCCGATGTCGGTTTTTGATCGACGGGAAGGAGCGAATCGCGGCTAAACGAGGATTGAGCGGTTTAGTCTAGTGGGAGGCGCTTATCGACGGGAATTTTAAGGAAGTGGATTCTTGAATCGATTTAAATAATCGCGCGGAGCGTGGGCATGTATTTAAATAGCTAACCACGTACGGGCAAACACGAGTTGCTCGCGAGGTGTGCCGATTTGACCGAGTGGATTTTGGTAAGTGGTCGGCAAGGTTGTTTGGATCGAGGACGGCGGAAATGTGCCAGCTTGGTTAACGCGGTCCGCTATTTCGTGAATTTTGGAGTAGACGCCTCGTCGATTAATAATTACGACTCCGCGATCGAACGGCGTTTGTGAATTAGTACACTTTAATGGAGCGAATGTCGTCCAGATTTTTCATGCCTCGCTTGAATCTCACCTCGAGACTGTTTTTTCACGCAATTTGAGAGCCACTCTCGGGCAGATTTTTAATACAATTAAGACGTTTCGATGTCTCGTTTGGATTTCGCGGAGAAAAGTCAACGCACGTGTTCGCCGGGTAAACAATGTGCCAATACGAATTCACATGACGTGTTATCACGTTGCATAAATCTGATATGATCGTGGATTCCCTCCGTCACATCGATCCTATCGATCTGCATATATTTTAGCGCGTGACTTTGCCGTATACGAGAGAGATTTTAATTGAAGAAGCTCCGAAGATTTCTTTGACTTCGTTCCGTTTTCTGGAATTGAAGATCGAGAGGTGACGAGAGAGTCTCTTCGACTTCCTCGAGGGGCCTTACTTTGGGTCGTGATCTATAAATGGCTAAAAGGCCGACCTAAAGAAGACGTTCACTTGAAGTCGCTTTAACTCCAAAGCGGTAATTGACGACTATGCGTGTGACGTTACGAATTAGAATCGCCGCGTTGCGCCCAATTGGCTGGAATTATCGCAATTGACGTTTACACCTTCCAATTGATTTCAATGGAGGGTCACGCTCTCACTCTTCGACTTCTCCGTCCGTTTACTCAGGACTTTTCTTACGTTTCCCTTGGCAGGCGCCACCGCTTCGATCGCTGCATTTGTTAATATCCTGTCTGCGAATGTTATAGACTTTTTAATTTCAAATATATTAACGAGATTAAAAACGTGAATTAAATCGTTGAAATAATTTTATCTTTAATAAAACCTGTCCATCGGTGGGCGAAAGTACAGAGCTTATTGACGGTCGCTGCTCTGGAGGAAGTAACTTATTCACATGCATATGTGCATTTATTCAGATCCGTTCTTTCTCCGAGTTTTTCCCTCGGCAGTTATCAAGACGATGACCGTCAAATCTACGAATGTCAGGGACAATGAACGTGTACTTCTGCACGACGTTCACCGTGCACGGATCTACGAGTAACGTGTCAATTACCCGTTTCTGATTTAATCGTATGCAGAAAGCTTTCGTATCTCGTGTTTCTCGCAGACGACGAAAAATATAAATATTTTCTTCCTTCTGGCATTCCAAAGTGTGCTCTGGATGCGGTAGCCAAGATGTGCAAGAGGCTCATGCCACACCTCGACCAATCAGCTCGAGGAACGAGTTATTCAACTTTTACGATCATTTCTTTTTTACCTTGCACAAGGCCTAAGTGCTTTCGTCTGTGAACACGTACTCGATATGTACGCTGAGAAATTTTCCTCCCGAGTGTTCTTACAGATTTATTTTTACGGAGGGAACAAAGATTTAACGCCTGTCGCAAGGTTTTACGGGTTGATATATCGCATTTTTTTTTTTTTTTCAAGAATAATGGTAAAGCTTTTTTATCCATACCTTATGACTGTTAAGAGTCGTGATTATTCCCCTGGTAATATTGTCATATCCGAATCCATAACACCATGCGCTTAAGAAAGATAGGCTCATTGAAGCGTGTCAAGATTTCCGACATTGCTGGCATTTCGGACATTTCTGTTTACATGACCGGTACACAGTCGGGATACGTAATACCGAGCGATAATAAAATCGATCGACATCGCGTCACTGGCTCGGCTGTGTTTACTTTTGCGTAATGCGCGAGATGGTAGTGAAGTCGTTCCGAAATCCTTCGACGCTCTGAAACAACGTTCAAGCTGCGTAAATTATTTTCACATTTCACGTTTTATTTATGAAATTCGAAAGAAAGGCGTAAACCGATTTTTCTGGACAGGGTAAAAAATTCATACGAAAATTAATCCGCGCAGAATGCACCGACGACAGCACTTGCGCGACTTACTGTCGCTTTTAACGATCGATCGAAGACCTTGACCCTGGCAAAGATTTCCCGACATTTTTTGTACTTTATCCTCTTACGAGATGCAACGCGGACTTACGCCAACTTTCATTAATTTTTTTTTCATTAATTTAGTTCTTACCCGTACGTTTAGAATGTCAATTCCACGTCTCGAGAGGTAAACGCTTTTGGCAACGAGTTACTGCATTTGACGTGCCTAAAAAAAAAAATGAAAGAGCGTGAGTTTCTAGAAAATAATATAGAAAGTACTATATGCCAGTCACTGAATTTTTTCTCGCGTGGAATATACTAATTCTACGTAACCGAAAAATCTCCGAGACATTCGAACGCCAATGAACCGGAGTCGTAAATATTGTTTGGACTTTTGACTCTCGCATCACTTATCATTCCTAGGAGAGAAAGGGAAGCTGTTTGATGCATGACGTTCCTGTCGCAACGGTGTGGCATGGAAATGCGGTACAGACTTTTCGAGTCGTCCTTTTTTATGTTTTGCCTCGCGATACGAAAAGTGCACATCTGGGTTGAAAGAAGTCCGATAAGCGACACGCTAAGAGGAAAATGAATGACACAGTGATAAACTATGGCGCAATCACGGTGGATGCTGGAGATAGGGAAGAGGAATTCTCTCCGTTTGTTATTCGTTCTCGGTCCGATTACTCAATCGTCTGGAAAAACGTGGGCTTTGGAGGAAGTCGTCCACAGATCCTCGAGGTGGGATCTTGGCCAGGTTGTGATGGAAACGTATCGACTGCGCTATAAATCCGAGATAGAGCGAATGCCGCACGGATTAACTTTACACCCCGAGCTTATGTGAATTTTTAAACTTCGTAAATCCGTACCCGGAAAACGAAAGCGCGTGCGTAGATTCGGTACTTATTATCTGCGCGTGACAGTTCAAAGACACTCGACGCGACGGCGATATCGATGAGCAGCCACTCGATTTCATTCGACCGTATGGAAATTATGGCAGCCGCGAGACGCGTGTGTATATTTATTTTTAATTGATATTACCAGCCACGCCGTCACCCATGCGCAAACTTAGTCTGGGGATTACGACACCGATAGCATGTCGTACGATACGAGCCGACACGATAAGGTCGTCACACGTGTTCGGTGTAAATTTTCGGGATTACCGCGTTAAGCGGTTTCTAACGATAGAGGAGGGTTAGATTTTTTTTCCTGGGGTCCGATACGTACTCGGCGACTCGCTGATCGCGCTACTTTTCATTCTTGCAGAACCCACGAGTTCATCCAACGATTCCAAAATGGTGGCTCCCGATGATCGAGCTCTCCACGAGGCCATCCAGGTTGCGCCCCTTGTACTCGCAGATGACGTCAGGAGGGAAAAAGTAAGTTTCCAGAAGTACTGAAAATGCGGAAGATACGATTTAGCGATTAGTCTTATATCGTAGCGTGATCGGTTCGTCTAGTCGAGACTTTATCGCTGATAATTTGGAAACGAGAAGAAGATGCGTACACAATGGTCGTGGGTGGCCGGCCTCGTTTTAGGAATTTGTTCCCGGGTCCTTCGCCTCGGGAATGGTCACTCTCGAAATCGGTCAGACTCTATAACTCAGGAGATATCGCTCCAGGCGGGTTATCAATGGCGTTCTCGAGTTACGACATGGTCTTCAAAACGAGCTCAATCACTTCTTTAAGCAATTATTCGCGACCGCCATTTATTGGACCAATGATGCTGCATTGCGAAGGCGAGCCCCTTACGTACAGGCTGCGTCATCGAATGATACCTTTGATACTTTTTTTTTTTTTTCTCCGGAATCACTCGAATATCGCGCTTTACCGTTTCGCAATTAAATCCACGCTCTTCTCGTGCATATGTAAAATATTAAAAAAGGAGTAATGCTGTTGAATTCGGTAAGTTTAGACAGTGGGTTTCTCGTTGCGGTTCGTCATGGTTGGCCGTTGATAAAAGTCGTGGATTAAGTCAGTGACATTGAAACGTCGCCTCCGATTACGTGTGTTTATCGCTGAAATAAGCGGCGTTTCTGCCTCGCTATTACAGTAGACCCCTTCGATCACCGACAAAAGGAGTCGTATCGTACATCGTGTTTGGATCACATCGCTCGTTATCGAATCGAGTAGGTACAACTTTTTAGAATGTTATCCCGTAACGGCTCCGGGGCGATTTGCGTATTATAAATTCCATAAAATGGCCTGGGTGCGTTGGACCTCTACGAATCCAACGTGTCGATTTAATTCTATGGATTAATGATGACGTTTTGTTTTTTTTTTACCTTCTCAGGTGGAGAACCTGCTGGCGCAGATGAGATTGTCAGCGGCGACTGCTAGGAGGATCCAGAATATTTTCGCCTCGGAGATGAACAAGGGAATCCATGAACAAGTTTCTTCCCTGCCCATGGAAAATACATATATTCCGGAGCTCCCTGATGGAACAGGTTCTTATTATTTTCAATTCTTACCGTGTGGACTTTTCGGTTTAACGGGCATTACCTTGCAATTGTTAGTGATCATTGGCAAAGAGGTATTCGCTCGATCTGATCCGTAGGGATTATTTCCAGAGGAAGGCCTGTTCCTGTCGTTGGATCTCGGTGGCACCAATTTCCGGGTGTTACTGTTGGAGCTGAAGAACGGCGAAGTGATTCGCCAGGACGTGAAGAAGTACCACATCAATCATGAACTTCGACTTGGCTCTGGATTCGTTCTTTTCGACTACCTCGCCGAGTGCGTCAGCGATTTTGTCATCAGCGAGGGTCTTCAAGATGTGGAGCTTCCTCTGGGTAAATTAGAATCGATACAACCATTCTATTTTCGTTGGCGGGCCTCCGCACATGAAGATTTTAATTGGCATTGCAACACTCTCCCCGCACAATTCGTCCGTTCTTGAGGTGGCCAGATAGGCAGAATATATCTAGACGATATATCTATTATTTCGTCTGGTCACCGTGATAAGGATCCAATAGCAGAGTGGAAAAATTTATTCAACCTTTCGTAAAGTCCGGTCACGGTGACATTCTGCATTTATTTCAATTGAGCTTGAAAAGAATAACATGCGATGTAGCATGCACATGATTTCCTTAATTACAAAATGCTGCAACTCCTATTTCTTTGAGGATCGTGTTCCGCGAGAGATTCCAAGAATTTCAGTCTTTCGAAAAAATTGGCTGACGTTACTCGTCATGCTATAAAGACGTATTACCTCGTATTTTGCCAGTGGCATACGAAACTTGTTACGTTTCATCAATTGACGCGACAATTAGACAAAAGTCTTACGCAAGTTACTCGTGTATGTGATCCATATCTGTCTCTGGGCAGAAACTCTAGAGAATGTTGCAATCACGGAAGTCTAGTGGATTTCGTTAAATCCCTCTTTTCTACAATTAATTTTCCTCTCTAAATTATTTCTTTCAGGATTTACGTTCTCGTTCCCGGTAAAACAACACTCGTTGGACACTGGCGTCTTGTCAACCTGGACGAAAAGTTTCAACTGTTCTGACGTAGTCAACAAGGATGTTGTAAAGCTTTTGAGAGATGCTCTGTCTAAGCGAGGCGACACCAAAGTGAAGGTGGTTGCCATTTTAAATGACACAACTGGTACTCTGATCCAAGGAGCATGTCTAGACCGAAATACGAGTATTGGTCTCATTTTGGGCACCGGAAGTAATGCCTGCTACCTTGAAAGAGCCGATCGGGTGGACCACTGGGAAACTGAGAGACATGGAGAAAAAGAGGTAAATCCATGTTAAAAAAAAAAAATATACAAAATTTACAACTTACTTAAAAGGTTGACCAGTGGGTGTATACAATATACTCTGTCACCAGGTTATCATCGATATCGAGTGGGGAGCTTTTGGAGACAATGGTGTTCTTGATTTCATCAAGACGGACTTCGACCGCGAGAATGATGCGAATTCGCTGCTCGTCAGCTCCTACACGTAAGTCCACCTAAGCAAATATCGTATTACCGAATTGCCGACCTATACCATACGATAATTAAATGTTGAGTACAGGTTTGAGAAGTACATCAGTGGGAAGTACCTTGGTGAGGTAGTCCGCGTCATCCTGGCGAGGCTGACCAAGGAAAAGCTCTTGTTTGAAGGAAACGCGTCAGGATCTCTTCTAACACCAGGCAACCTCACGACTGACCTCGTCTCCCACATTGAATTGTAAGTCTCCTGCAAATTGGGAGACATGAAATCCTAATGTATGCAACGTAGTATTTATCGGTTTAAATCACTTTATTCGCCCTTAGAGATTCAGTTCACGGAGGCAGGAGTAACACGCGGAAGGTACTCACTAATTTTGGCATTGCCGCTGACGAAGATGACTTGAACATCGTGCAGTACGTCTGCGAGGTTGCTTCCAACAGAGCCGCTCTTCTAGTTTCGATATGTAAGTGCAGAAGTATGCTCGAGAAAGGAAGTTATAAAATTCCACTCGATCATAGATTATGTGAATTATTTTTTAAGGTATAGCGACTTTGCTGGAGAGGTTAAATAAGGAAGAGGTGGCGATAGCCGTCGATGGATCTCTCTACAAGCATCATCCTCGATTACACGGGTGGATGAACCAGTATATATCTTTGCTGGCCCCAGGATATAAGGTAGGATTGAGTACCTTATGAAAAACAAAAAATATTTATGAAATTAATTAAAATCGATAATTTTTGTCGCAGTTTAAGTTTATACATGCAGAAGATGGGAGCGGAAAGGGAGCAGCGATTACTGCTGCAATTGCCCAACGACTCAAAAGAAGATTAGAATGAAATTGAATTTGTAAGATGGGGCAGGGGATGAGTCCAACGTTTTCCTGCTCCTAGAGCTGATTCGTTAACTCGTTGTTGAACTCCGATTTCAGATCAGAGTTTTGTATGAAAGGCGGCTTCATAAATTGCTGTTGGAAATGGCAATCTCGTTAGCAAGTGGTGAAGTCACTCGGAAGCTCGTACAAATTTATACGTAATTATCTCCATTATGTTTCAAGGGTGAACTATGTATGTCAATTGTACCTATATGTAGATTCCGGGATATTTTTTACTCCGTGCACAAAAACATCCGCCGGTATCTTTAGCATTGAAATTATTTTGCCATACGAAACATTCCTTGGGATACGATTGACGGGCATTTTTGCCGAAAATCGATATTCCCTCGAGAGTTAGTACTGTAGTCGGTTCACCTCCTCTTGTACATAAGCGACTAATAAGTTTATAAATACATCTTTCTCCATTGAATCCTTCCTGGGCTTTGTGTTACACAGAATGCAAGCGATTTTACGAGCATACCCTAAAGCAAGTTATCTATAGAATCGTTGATCAATCGTTAATAGACGTTCGTTACGATCAGTTGGTCTAGGAGATAGAAGGCGTTAATTGTGATAAACAGTCCGTGCAATACGAAATAATAAACGGTGAACCATGAGTCACGTCGTTGTAAGGAAGTTCTTGGAGGCATTGAGTTCCTGGCTGTGGATAGGAAACTCATATTATTTGCTTAATAAAAAAACGGTTATAAAGGACAGATTGTTTCGCCGCACCGCATATAACGCTGCATTGAATGGACAGGGGTGGCATTGTTAATAAAATCCGGAAAGAAAGTGACAATACTGTGCCTGATCTATCTCCGACACGTTACAAAATCAGCGTGCAATTGGACATAAGGTAGCTGTTTAACAAGTCTTGCACATTTGTCTTTACCTAGGAACAGTCCGGATGACCTTAACAAACCTGTAAGTTATATATTTTCGATACGGTTAACCTGCCTCGATTATTTGTAGAGAGTAACATGTCCTCGGATTTACCTGTTGCGGAATTCCATTTTAAGTTTCTACCCTATCTCATTATACGTGGAATGCTTTTATACCCAACACCTTAAGTTTCCGTAACTTGAGTCCGCGTGAAGGTGTCGGTGCGTATCCACTCGTTTAAACAAAATCAATGCACCCCTCGCATTTAATCCGATCCTTCACGATTGACATTTCTCTTGGTGACGGTACAATACGTTTAAGCCCTGCCCTAATATGTAGGTCTTGTCGCAGGAAGTTTTCTCCATGCGTAAGCGAAAATGGTCGATTCATAATAAATTTACGGTTCTCCGTGTCTGTCAGTCGGTGTACATACGTTTTGCGGAAGGTATCGATCCTGTTGCTATGCGCGCAGAGTCATTCTCGCGCGCGATTTGAACAAAGCGTCCTAGGTTCGAACGTTCGCCGCCAGATGGCCATCCCAGCCGGTTCTCCTTTCTTTTCTGAATAATCCCAAAATTAAAAAAAACTCGTTAACCATTCCGCGAGTAAAGTCTCCGAAATGACCGAGAATCTTACCATTCCACAATTATCACAATTTTCTCAAAACAGCCCTCGAAGGAACCTCTTTAACGCGTATTCCAGTCGAATTTAAGTTTCGACTCGCGTCGTTGGTTGAACTCGTCGCCACATGATGGCGCCATCCGCGCGGTCGTCTATCCGTGCCTTAAAATAATGATTTACCTCCATTCCCTCGTTTCCGCCTTCCGTTCCAGCTTCGTTGCAAATTGTCTTCTCGCCGGAGTTAAGTCTGAAGAAAAAAGGAAGGGTCTCCGAGCACGCGGCGTGCCCCCTCCTCGGATTTACCGCAGATTTCGTCCGTTACCTCGGCCCTGGTTCGACGCCTCGCCGCGCGGTGTCGCCACGCTCGCGTTCCCTCCCCGGTCCCTAGTGACAGGTTGAACTGTCAGGCGGCGGCCGTTCCGCGGTTTTTCAGCCGCGATCGTGTAGAATTTCGGTCGGCGGCACCTCGTCGGTTCGGAGGAGTGTCCGCCTCGTGCCAGAGGATCTCGGTTAGAGGAGCGTCTCGCGGCGAGTCGAGGGAGCGCGGGGTCTCGCGGCGGGCGCGTGCACGCAGAAGGGAACGGCTCGCCGGGCCGGCCAGTCCGCTGGAAGATTCCATTGTGAGAGGGTTTCGAAAAGTTGTCTCGTCCCGAAGGAGACGCCGTTCGCCTCGCGGATCCGCGTTGCCAGGAGCCGTCCCGAGGGTCGAGAGGTAAGTCCTAGGAGATACGTAAATCGAGCCGGAGGACCGTCCTCGGCCTCGTCCCGGTGTCGCCGAGGCGCGACGCGAGGTTAACCTGCCCGGCCGACTCCGGGGAGGGGGCTTCAGCTGGTCTCTCAGCTGACGAGCCCCGGCTGCGCGACCGGCGAACCTTCCGCCCTTTAAATTCCCCGTTTAAAGGGACTTTTCCCCGTTTCCCGGATTTTTCGTCCCAGCCTCGCCACCCGGGAGGCCCGATCTTCTCGGAACTACCGTGCGCGAAACCGACGCCAATGGAGGTCGCGAAATTCGCGCTACGTTAGGTTAGCACCCGGGGCGCCGGAAGGCGGCCGTTTCTCGACGCATTTTTTATTTTTTTTTTCCCCGTTATTCCAGATCGTTCCGCGCTCTTCCTATTTTATTCCCCGCTGCAAACGCCGATTCCATTGCACGGTTCTCCTAGAGAGCGTTCCGCGACGGTTCGTGCCTGGTTCTCCGTGGATGTGCTAATTGCGTGCTCGGCGTGGTTTCGCGCTAGAGATGGAGATTGGCTCTACTTATGAGGCCGATCGGGCCTCCAGCCGGTGACCTTCCGTGTTACCAATTTTTTCTCGCCGAAAAGGGGTCTCCATTTTTTTTAAGACGAACATCCCACGGGAGCGTTTTGCGATCGGTCGGTCGGAAAGTCGAGGGAGCTCTGACGGGCGATACGAGGTCTCGTTGGGTGACGAGCGATTCTTTTGTTTTTTCAACTTTCGAAATTCCGGAGATACGAAGAATGAAAAATTTGGAATAGCATGAAATAGTGGTTTTTCATTGAATTCGGGGAGATTTCGAGGGCAGGATAGGAAGGTTCGGTCCCAGCTGACGAGCTGGCTGCGAAGCCGGGAGTCGCTCGCCAATTAAATCCCAATTTAAAGGGACTTTCTTGCGTTTTCCTCGAATTCAATATTTTAAAAGCGTCTTTTCGCTAATTTCATTTCGTCCCGAAAATGGTGACCGGTTTTTAGCGGGTTATCTAAATAGGCTCGAAGCGAGGGTAATTTCCTCAAGGTCGGTTCCGTAACGAGAGGGGGTAATTTTTGGTCGAGTCGTCTGCAGGACGTAAATTTCGAGAAAATTTCCGTCTCGGGTCGGAGGCGACGCGGGGCTTGGGCGGCCGAAAAGAATCAGCTGCCTCTCAGCTGACGAGAACGGCTGCTCTTTAAATGCGATTTTTAAAAGGGCTCTCCCCCAATTTTAAAAGGACCGTTCTCGAATTTTCCGGGACTTGGCCGACCCTCCGGAGTTTTCAGAAAAGGTGCGGGCCGAAACGGGAGAACGGGAGAAATGCCGGGAGTGTTGAAATCGCTCGTTTTTGACTTCATGGAAATTATGGAATTACCGGGGCGGACGGAAATTCTTACCGCTCGACTCACGAGTCGAGAATCTCCTTAAGAAGCTGGATTAGCTCGCGCCGATTTCAGAAATCATTTTCACGAGACATTCGTCCCTCGACTTCTTTCCAGCAGGAAAAACTGGAGATCTCGCTCCGGCCTGGTGACCGTGAACGAGAAACTCGCCGTTTTCCCCGGGTACTCGTTCCCACGAGAAGGTCGAGGAGGAGCGTAACGCGGCGGAGAGAAAAAAGGCCGGACACGTAATTCGGTGACGTCGAGTCTACCGAGAGACGAGGCGGATGCAGGATTTTTCCAGGAGCCTTCCGAGCGACGCCGCGATGGAGATTCGGTCCTTCCCAGGAATCCCCTTTCGCGAAACGAGCTCGGAGATTTTTCATCTCCTCGGGGCGTTTGTCGCTTCCCCGGCGAGAAGCGGCGTTCCCTGAATCCGCAGTGTGCCTCGTTGCGGCTGGTTTGGCGAAAATAATTCCGGTCAATTAGACGCTCGAGTTCCAGGTACGACCCCGAGGTAGAGATAAACGAGATTCACTTTTTACCGAGCTCGTAGCGATTTTCAAGAGATCGGAGTCAATCGCGGTTTTGCCATCGGCAACTGACGCAACGCGTCAGCTGATCGGGGAGCCGGGTCCCAACCGGTCGTGCTTCTTGCACCTCTTATCGAATTTTCTCTCGGAGTCGATCGCGTTTTCCTCCTTCGCTCTTTCGAAGAGCGATCCTCAGGAGTCGCAGTCGACCGAATTTTTCCGATCCGCCGATCGAAAGGGGGGGAGGAGGAGGAAAATCGAATCGGAGCGTCCGTGGGAAAAACGATTTTCGTTTCTTCGCCGGACATTCGTGCCGGCAGGAAAAAAGGTGGATCTCCAGGTAATCGGAGTAACCGAGCAGCTCCTGGAAAGATCGGCCGCCTGGACGTCGGCAGCTGAGCGGTCAGCTGATGAGTCCGGCTGCGACCGGTTCGCCATATTACCCGGGCGTTTCTTCTCTTTTTCCTTCCTTTTTTCTCTCTCTCTCTCAAGAGCACCTTTTTTCCTCCTTAAATCGCCTTTCACGTGACCGTGCTTCTTCCCCGGCAGCTTCCGAGCTCGGCCTCCTCCTTCCGTCGAGAGATCCCCACCTCGGATATCCGGACTCCTTCTCCTGGAAAATCGTATTGTTCGGAGCGAGCGGTAGTAGGCCAACGAGAAGGTACGGAGTCGTCCCTCCGGGTTGGACTCGTCTTGGCTTACCTACGGAGTTTCTCGCTGTCCCGTTCCTGGTACCTAGGGAATGTCTTACAACGCAGTCCCAGGTAGCGCGGAACGTCGCAGGATCGTTATTTTAGAAACTGGGTACGGCGGGATTTTTAGAAATTTTTTCGAAAAAAAAAAAAATTGTTAGAAATTTTTAGAAAAAAAAAAAAAAATTCCCTGCCCTCCATCGACGCGGTTAAAGAGTCCACGTCTGTCTCCTTGTCGAGATACTCGGTGGTAGACGAGTCGTAGACGAGTCCATGATTTTTTTTTCTTTTTTTTTGTATTGGAGGCGACGGCACCCAGGAGTGAAATTGATCGAACCGCGTGGGGCGTGTACTGACCCGAGTCGGACAAAATCCCGATTGATTAGATTAAGAAAAGAAAAAAAAAAAAAAGGAACGGAGCAGTCGGCGGGTTTCGAGGTCTCGGCCTCGCGATCGTCACACGGGACAGACCGATCCTTTCTTGCGCGATCTAGAACCGCCAACACTCGACCGAGTGGGTTCAAGGTGTCGTTATACGGGACGCTCCGTAAAAAGCGTAATTTATTCCCGTCGATCTTGCGCCTTGCCGATCGCCGCGGTTTCTTCTCGACGTCGCGGGATCACTGAACCGGCCTGTGTCGACCGGAGGATAAAAAAAAAATCGGCTTTTTGTCCCACGAATTAACGACTCGCGCGCTCGAGTCGATACGGCGATTTGGCGATTTCGAGATATTTCCTTCAATGGATGAAAAAATCCCTCCTGGGTCTTATTCGAGACGACTCGGTTCGTGGGATCTTTGACTCCGGGAACTCGAATGACTGGATTTTTGCGCGAGGAGGAAAGAGGAAATTACAGTTGCGGGCTTCTTGCCCCTCGTTTTACGCGGTTTATAGGAACCTCTCGTTTGGCGATCGCGGCGATATCTCCTCGTATCGGCGAAGTATCGAAAGGAACCATTATCGAGGCCCGGCAGCCGATT